TACTCTACCCCGACTACAAGAAAGCGTTTGATTTAACAACTGATGCTTCGTCCTTTGGTCTAGGGGCAGTCTTATCCCAAGGTGGAAAACCAATCACCATGATATCAAGGACATTGAAAGATAGGGAACTTAGCTTTGCAACAAATGAAAGAGAATTACTTGCTATAGTCTGGGCCTTGAAAAGCCTCCGAAACTATCTGTACGGAGTAAAAAATTTAAATATCTTTACGGACCACCAACCCCTGACGTTTGCAGTATCTGACCGTAATCCAAACGCAAAAATCAGGCGTTGGAAAGCTTTTATAGACGAGTATAATGCAAATATCTATTACAAGCCAGGGAAGGAAAACTACGTTGCTGATGCGCTATCGCGGCATAATATTCATGCCTTGGAAGACGACGCACAGTCAGACAGAGCTACAATGCATAGCGAAGTATCACTCACGTACACTATAGAAACAACAGACAAACCAATCAACTGTTTCCAAAACCAAATTATAATTGAAGAAGATAGAGTAGCCTCTGATCGTACAGTCATTATATTCGGTAAAAAAATCCGACATACAATTCACTTCTCAGACAGAAATTCGTTAATCGAAAGAGTTTACGATGTAGTCAAAAAAGACGTCGTTAATGCAATCCATTGCGAGTTACCAGTACTGGCATTCATACAACATAAACTAATAGAAACTTTCCCAACAACAATATTTCGATATACAAAACATATGGTAAATGACATTTTTGACAAGAACGAACAAAAAGAAATAACTGTAACAGAACACAATCGAGCCCACAGAGCAGCTCAAGAAAATGTAAAACAGATTTTACAAGACTACTTTTTTCCAAAAATGACAAAACTAGCTAACGAAGTGGTTGCAAATTGCAAAATCTGTAAAACAGCTAAGTACAACCGTCACCCACAAAAACAAATACTTGGAGAAACTCCTATACCTTCCTATGTGGGTGAAATGCTACACATTGACGTATACTCAACTGATAAAAAATACTTCCTTACATGCATAGACAAATTTTCAAAATTCGCAACCGTTCAACCCATTGCTTCAAGGACAATAATCGACATACAATCGGCAATTTTACAACTTGTAAATTTTTATCGACATATCAAGACGATCTATTGCGATAATGAACCCTCCTTAAAGTCCGAAACAATAAAATCACTATTAAACGGCCAGTATGACATTCAAATCGTAAACGCCCCACCACTCCATAGTACTTCAAATGGACAAGTCGAGAGATTTCATAGCACCCTCAGCGACATCGCAAGATGCCTAACAGCTCAAAGAAAAATTACAGATACCGTTGAAACGATACTCCAAGCAACTATTGAATACAACAACACAGTTCACTCGGTAACAGACAAACGTCCAATCGACATAATCCACTCATCCTCCCCAGAACTTAAAATTGAAATAAGAAATAAAATTCAAAAAGCACAGCAGCTCCAAATAAACAGGGTAAATGAAACAAGACACGATAGACAATTCCAAGTAGGCGATACAGTTCTTGTAAAGGCAAACAGACGTTTAGGGAACAAATTGACACCACTGTACAATGAAAACAAAATTGACGCAGACTTGGGGACAACGGTCTTAATAAAAGGGAGGGTGGTCCACAAAGACAACCTAAGGTAAACAAAACATTAAACCCTTTTTATTTCTTTTTATCTTTAGGATTTGGGCTATAATTCTCTTCGCCACAACGGTAGCGGCGAAACTTACCGATTATACGAACACAGATTACATACCGATCTCAGACGGATATGTAACCATTTGGACGGATTTCCAATATTTAAAACATTCAACTAATCTTACTCTATACTCAGCAATAGTAGAGGACACGAAGAAATTAAGACAAAATTTTCCACGATCACATATGAGACAGTTATTAGACACAGATATACAACATATAGAAGCACTAATAGCCACAGTAAATATCCATCATAGACATGCTAGGAGCATTAATATGCTAGGCACCGTTCTTAAAGTCGTAGCTGGCACGCCAGACTCCGACGACTTGGAAAATCTTAAATTTACACAGAAAGAACTTGTAGAATCAGAAAACAGGCAAGTAACTATAAACACAAAAATGCAAGAACAAATAAATAAGCTAACCGACACAGTAAACCTCATAACAAAAACAAAGCAAATAGATACAGAACATTTGTATGAGACACTGCTCTCAAGAAACAGAATAATTATTTCAGAACTAGAAACCTTGATGCTATCAGTAACACTTGCAAAGGTTGGAATTGTAAACCCCTCCATATTAGATTCTTCTGACTTAAAAAATATTGTTAATGAACACCCTATAAATATCACTATTACTGACTTAATGGAAGTATCTCAAGTTAAAGTCTTGCTAAATAATAACTTTTTACACTTTATTATAAGATACCCTAAGCCTAACATAGTATGTAAAAAATTAACAATATACCCTGTCCAACACGATGGCATTGTAATCAATTTCGCCGAAGACTACGATATAGCTGTTTGCGACAACCATGTAATATCAATAGGAAATTGTAGCACAGCCCTCACAACAACGTTCTGTAAGAAATTACCCTATACAACGTGCGCGCAACAACTGCACTCAGGTGGCACTGCACATTGCTCAACTCGACCCAGCCATCTTGAACCTCTAACCATCATCGACGATGGCGTTATCATCATCAACGACAGAGTGGCTATAGTTGACGAGCAAATGGTGAAAGGGACATTCCTCCTTACCTTTGACAACGAGATAAAGGTAAACGGCACCGTATATAAAAATCCAAAAAAATACGTGAGGAAATCCCCGAGACCAGCGGCATCCACGCTTCTAAATATAACGGATCATCAGGAAATACCGAGCCTGCCGTACCTACAGAAGCTAAGCATAAAAAACATCCGGGACATTGCTCAAATAGAAGAACAACTGGTAAAAAGACCAATAATATCTGGACTAACCGTGGTCATCATTCTACTTTCCTGCTACGCCTCAATGAAACTTTATCAAAGACATCAGAGGAGCAAACGTCAACTTGATCTTCAAGCGGTAATTAACAGTTTGAAGAACTCCGAGGACGTCATTCACCTAAGTGGGGGAGGAGTTAACACAATTGATCAGCAGAACGTAAATATTGAAGCTGACCATGCATTCTCAGCATAAATGCTTACGACACCAGCTGTCTCAAGCGGACATTGCACAACAGCGGAAGCGTCCACGCGCAACAATGTTGCTGACCAGCGACCTAGTACTGTATGCAATGCCAGCGTTTTCAGGGCTTAGGGCTAGCTTCTATTATAAGAACGATTGTCAAATAGAGTTAGTTGATTTTTGGAAATAAAGAACGTCGGTCATCGCCACGGAATTCACAAAGTCTTCTCATTTTTCGAATAAGTGTTAACGCCGATACTCCGTACGCGCTTAACATAATTTCGAAATCTTAAAATAAATAACTTGTACACACACACACACACACACACACTTTTGATTAAGGAATGAAAACATATTTCAGATATACATTATAAAAAGTTATTTTCTTATGCCCACTTGATATGGTTTTCTTTTTTCGCGAATTAAAATCTTCAAATGTAAAACAAAATACAAAGCAAAATCATGAGCTGAAAAGAGTATAAGAGAGCATTGCAACTGAAGCCAGAGATGATACGCACCCTATTGGCGTGGCAGGTCGAGAAATACTTTAAACTGGTACTATTATTTGAGAATTCCGGACGATATACAGTCGTGTATACAGCTTAAAGCCTAAAATAAATTGTTTATATATTTACGTTTATATTTCAAGTGTCCCTCGTGACACGTACGAAAACTGATTTAAGTGCCTTTGGATCCATTGAAACATTCTTACTTGTATTTCTGAAGCTTTTGTTGTATTTTTTACAAAATTGTAAGTTTAAATGAAATTAGTTTTTAGAGCTGTTTACTTGGCGAAAAAGTGGTAGACGCTAAATTTAAGGACAACTGCCAACTGGCCTGCATGTTTAACATAGTAGCACTGCTGTGTGCCTGTGTGGTCTTCATCAGTACATCTCCGCCAATGGAAAGGGCGTTAAGGAAGGCCTAGAGCTAAGGTCAATAACAGTCCAACGAACTTTCTGTGTTTTCACTTATTTTACTGCCATTTCTATTTAAATATTTAACGCTACTCAATTGTATAATACTGTGGTAAATGTGATATTGTTTATTGCAACACGTTATGATATTCCGAATTTATTTAGAAAAATCGACTAATTCTCTATGAAGCAGCAACGATTTCGATACATTTTCTTAGTCGAAAATTAATTTAAGTTAGGTATATATGTATAATTTAAGTTAAGTATATAAGTATAATTTGAGTTAAGTATATTATTCGTTGACGAAAGGAAATTATTATATTCTATATTTCATACCTTTAGAGCTATGAATTTGGCAAGTGAGCAGTTGTTAAGACCCTCTACATACACCGTATATTTACTATTGACTGTTATTGATACAATCCCTGTATTCAAGCAACGCTGTAAAAATAAAGCCAAATTATCGATTTTTATCGATAACAAGGTAATACGATGAGACATGAAAAAATTATAAGCTTGTATAGCGTGTGGTACCTTTTGTGACTTACGAGATCGGATGGACAGACAGAGAAGACTAGATCGACTCAGCTCGTCATCCTGATCACAAATATACTCCATAAAGTAGTTTGCCACGCCATTTAAACAAAACCATTATCAAAATAATTGATAATTTAGTTCCTGTTGAAGTAAAACAAAAGTTATTAAACATGCTTTTATAGAAGCTGAGATCGACGCGTTCACACATACGGACAGACAGACTGACAGGGCTCAATCCACTCGGTCTGTCGTCCTGATCAAGAATATATATACTTTATATGCCACGCCACCTTCTGCCTGTTACATACATTTGGGTTATTTCAGTGTAGTGCTTGTATTGAACTTAAATTCTTAGATTAACATATAAATAAGTATAATTTCTATTTTTAGGCAAATAAAATTGGTCTACCTCCATTCTTTTGTCACAACGGAGATCCATTAACAACACCTCCGCCTGCACATTGTGGAATACCTCCTTATCAGCTGGATCCTAAGGCAATAGGTAAGTGTATTTATTTTCCTTAAGTAATATTATGGTCCTTTTTAAGCAGTTCTGCTGGCAGCAGTTCTCTTCTCATGCTCTTACGTGACGTTTGTCACTGCTGTTATCACCGGGGCTGTGCGGTTTCCGCCTTACTTCTACTTTCCATATATCTTTCCCATATAATAATTTTGCATTTGTTGGTTCTATTTAGAGTCTGTAGCGGGTGAATCAATATTTGTCATCAATCTACTCAATAGCCCCACTGCTGCTTTTCGAGTGGCGTGATGAAGCTGTCACTGTCCCTTAAGTCCTTATTATTTTTCCGATTATTCATATCTTTATTTCGGTTGGAATCTGCTTTCCGGAGAACAAAAGTAACTCCGTTTTTTGGGTAGCAAGTTCCAAGCCACGAACCGTCTATCTACGTCTGCGTGCGGATCGTGAAGCGCAAGTTATTGTTGAGCCTCGGCCGCGATGCATATGCAATCAGAAACGCAAGGCATTTCCAGCTTCAGAATGTTGTAGCTGATATTTCACACGTCTGGTTCTAAGATTGGGCGCGGCCACTCTATATGGTTTCGTACCAGTTTGTGTAGCCCAGAAGAGTTCACAATGCTACAAGTAACTGCTGGCCATGTCGATTCAATAATCCGGTATACGAAAACGCTGTTCCAAGGAATCCAACGCATACCGTTATTAGAGTTGTTTTGGAGTAAAACTGGAAGCGAGTATGCATTTCATCTGAATATTATTTTCAAATACAACATTTTCTACTAAATAGATTAGCATATATAATAGTATATTGAGTATTTAGTAAAATATATAAAAACTATATTAAAATGAATGCACTATATAATAATAACAATAATATTATAGAAAATGTAGTACTACTACTACTAATACTATGACTATCACTATTACTTCTACTTTTACTAACAATACTTCTACTAATACTATGCTACAACTAATGCTACGCTTCCAATTACTACTAATACTACAAGTACAACTAACTCTACTATTATTAATGGTTTTCATATTAGCAACAGGATGGGAATAAAAAATATACAGAGATGCAGACAGAGAGAGATAGAGATGTCAGATTAACCCATTCTTCACATTGAAGAGTTTGCCAATAATCCAATTCAAGGCTTTTCGCCTATTTAAATGGAAATGTATTCGAAAATGCTAATGCAATTCGAACTCACAAACTTCATGAATATGATAATGATTTGTCAATTGTCTGGAAAATTGCAATCATTGTCTTGAACTAATAGAATGCTCCAAATGGGTAATTTTTTTTAAATAGCATCTTTCATTCTTTTTGATATTAAATAATTGCAATATATAATAGATAATACTATACTATAAGAAGAAAAACATGCTCCTTTCAAGACTAGAACACTAGAATATAGAGATTATTTAACTCAAATTTGATGTCCGCAGGCTATAAGGGGGAGCTATGAAAATTCAAGCCTCTTGCTCTTATGGAGACCGTGTTCAACGTACAGACTTGTATAGACATACATTATTATGACTTTTTATTATTTTGATCACACAGGGAAGGGTGCATGTATAACAATTAGTGAAAAATAGTTGTTAAGTAGTCGGAGTAACCCAACCGCAAGCTATTGACTTTCTCACCCTTCATCTCAAGCGAAATTCAAACAAATTATGAAATATAATAATTGCACATGATGAGATTCCTTTTTTTTGTGTATGCTCGATTAGGGCATCCATTCATACTGTCAAATTTGCCCTATACATCTCTCTCTTTCACTCGCTCTACACGGTTTGTTAAGGATTTCGCGGTGGTTGGCCGTTTAAGGGCTCTGCTAATGGTATATATGGTCGGGGGGCACGTTCGACTGGTTGGATCTCAATGGAAGCCAGCAGCGTAAATAAAAGGCCATGCACTTAAGAGCTGCTTGCGGATTACATGGCATTATGATCCTTAACAATGGGTGCCATACTAATAATTGAATAACATAATATAAAAAATCCGACCTAGCTGCGACTCTGATTTCAGATCGACTTTAGCGAGGGGTAGCAATGCCAGGCTCATACCAGTCCAGCCACCAAACATAATGCAAATCGTTCTCTATGGAATTATTATATGCTGTTGAGAGGCGCGTAATTTATTGTTTTCATAAGTTTTGATCTCTGTATGTTTATTACGTTATGGAACTCTCATTTTGTATTTAAAAATAATTTATACAAAATATTATAGATATTTAAATAAACCAATTTAATTCGAACTGTTCAAGAAAAACGTATTATATTATGACTAGAAACATATGTTAGTTATTTTATATTTTTATTATTATTATTATTATTATATTATTTGAAGATATGTTGAGAAATCGGGCTTGCTATAGCTAGAGTATATAGTATACGTTAGAGATTTTTTACTTGATATATAATATTCCTTATTCCCACACCAATGGCCGAAAAAAGCAAGATCATAATTATATTTATAATAGATATGAATATAAAATAAAATAAAATAAAAAATTCAACAAATGCTAAATAAAGGCAACTATGATTTTAATAGTTTACTGATATTACTTACTTTCTCTCACACCTAATGTTATTATTTCCCGTAAAATCCATTTAGCTGTTTAGTAAAAAAATATAATCTGAGCCTGTTTTTTAAAATACTATCATCTGTCATTCGCATTTAGAGGGCTTGGTCGCAAATTCATTTCTATCATACTCTCCATACATGATTCAATGATTTAAATTTATCTTTCGGTGTAAGACAACCCGAAAGAGTTTTCCAATCATTTTTGCCCGCGATGACATCGTTTGCTAGATGTAATACAAAGATACTTCGATTGCGTGAATCTATTGATTAGATATAATATTTTGTGGTTTTGGACGTTGTGTCGTCAAAGCTTTGCGGGGATATAGTCGGGTTGCCCGACTAGGAGATACCCTGATCCCAGTCCTATCTGCGTTTATTAATATTTTCCTTAGTTTATATCGAGTATTCAAAAAAAAAATAAACAAATAAAAAACGACATTACGAGACCAGGATTCGAACCCAGATTCTTTGCGCATCGTGCACCAACTCTAACAACACCGCCACTTCATAATTAAAAAAAAAATAAAACAATAAAAAATATTTCGTCTCCGCCGGTCTCGAACCCTGGGCCCTGCTGCATATGAACGACGCCTCTACCAACGCAGCCACTGTACCCCTTGCAAGAAGAGTTGCAAATTTCAAACTGAGTAGCAACTGATAATTCAAGCAGAATTCAATCGCAATTTCGATTCTTGGAATAGAATTGAATACACGCTTTTGAATGTATGTGTGCACACGCATAGGAAAAATGCGTGCGCTTGGCGCTGCTGACATGTGCGTTTGCAAATTGGCCAAACGTTTTGTTTAATAACTTCTGTTTTACTTAATGGATTTTAATGAAATTTTCAGCATATGATCTACATATTCTACTGGCTTGGTGGCCCTAGTTCCAACTAAACTTAAATTTTAAGAATTTGGGGACATTTTGAGCCAGTATCCCAAATCCAACAAAAACCAAAATTGCATAAAATATACATAAGACTAAATACAAAATTTGGAGGCTATAGCTCTTAAGACGTTCGAGATATAATTTATTTACTGCATTTCAATAATGTTTTTATTCGATAACAATTAAATGCGAATAGTTATCGAATATTTGAAACAAACTCGACATGCGCGTGCTATACACGGACCTACAAAAAAATTTCAAGTCTCTAGCTCTTATAGATGCCGAGATCGACGCGATCACACATACGGATAGACGGACGGACAGACAGGGCTCAATCGACTCGGCTTGTCGTCCTGATCAAGAATATATATACTTTATGGGGTCTGCCACGCCTTCTATGCCTGTAACATACATTTGCACAAAACCGTGATACCCTGATTTCCCATTTTCAATGGGATCAGGGTATAAAAAATAGATAACTAATATCAGTGAACGCATGGGAAATCGCAGAAAACAAGAGGTTCTACGGTTTTTTTTTAGCGAAAGTCCTTAAACCCTCCACTATTGGTTGACCAAAATGATGTATATATCGAAAACCCAAAGAAAAGAACTATTTGTGTACACATCTTTATAGCAACAAGTGCAATAGAAATATAATTGGGAAACAAGCCACAAGGACTCACATATTTCATAATACATAATCTGTTTGTGTTACAATATAAACGCCTAATTGTTGGACTATTGAGTATGTGCTGAATAGGAGGGCGTTTTTTTCCGCGTTGACCGCCTCGCAACAGCACCCCAGCCCACTGTCGGCATGAAGAGGACTGCGCGCATGGCCTTTGACGGCGGGGGTTGGCAATGCAAACAACCCCCACAGCTCGTGCTAGTTCATCGGGATCGGAATTGGGCTTGGGATCACAATCGCAATCGCTGTCGTTGTCGTTGTCGTCGTCGTCCTTGGCACATGCCTCTTTAGATTGCCCGATAATGATATGCGCAGCTTAAGTATTACCCACAGCACAAATAGCTGCATTGAACATGGGGAATGGAAATTGCGAATGAGAAAGGGAACAGGAATGGGAACGGGTAACGGTTTTCCTCATTTTAAAGCAATAAGCTTTAATACGACGTTTGCAATGACAAACGGGGTTGACACTCATGAATTTATCCTCCTCATGAATTAAATTGCATGGACTATGTTGACTGAAGAACATCCTTTGATTTCTAATTAATGAAAAAATCATCAAAAAACTACACATTTACAAAAAAAACTGAATGGATATTGGCTTATAAATAAGGATTTATTTCTTCTTCTATTCGAAAACACATCTGAAATAATTGTAATGACTATATAATAATATAAAAGATATATTATTTATTACTTTATTATTCTCATTTGTATTAGGAATATTCAGAAAAGAGAACTATTTTGGAGGATTTAGAAATAAATCAATAGAGTCAATGGAACTAACAGCTACAAAATATACCTCATCCTAAAATTAATGTCATCAGGGTTAGAATATTTGAAGATTTTTCATTATATATGGTCATAAATATGACATAAAATAATCGAAGCTCTCGAAAATTTGTAGGGTAACGCACTTAAGGGTTGCAAAGCGGACGACAAAAAGATATCGGTATCACTAATGCGACCAGACTCATTCAACTAGAAATGTAAAATAAAAAATAAAAAACAATTAAGAACGGAAGTGCCCGACTAAGATATACCCTCAACGGCATGTTCAGGCTAGAATTTCAGTTCAACTCTAATTTGATTGAATTGATGGCCTGAAATATATTATATAATATAGTATATATAATATAATTTAATATTCGTATACGAGCAGCTACGTTCAATTTTCGACTTCTGAACACGCTATACTATGTTCAACAATGATTTTCAAGAGTTGTCAATGATTTGAAATTGAAATTAATTTTACTACCATTTATACTTAGGAATACAAGCACATTCTCCTGATTTTCTCATCTTTAGTTACATGAGCTATACCCTGCTTTCGCATTTTCAATTAGCATAGGGTATCAAATAGAGAGAACGCCTAATGAATAAAAAAACATGTTGCACAACCACATAATAATGACATCCTTTCTCGTCGCTAGATTCGTGTCATTTTTTTTCCACGAGTTCTGCCTGCCCCTGTGTCACAGCACACGCACTCGCTATAGCCCGCGGGTCATTGCTGTGGCAAATGACAGACCCTTTACACCCTTTTCCCAGTTTTTGATACAATCATACCATAACATACAATACAACTTGAAAATGACAACAACGCTAAGAAGTTCATTGTTAAGGGAAACAAGAACTACAACAAAAGCCAGCGGTCCATGAAATAGATGCGACAACAAATCTTCAATTAAAATGAATACATGAGACTTGGGAGAATTGGGAAATACAAATCACTAAATAATCCCATATTTACGCGTCCAAAAAAAAAAATTTCAAAGGAGGATTCGTTATTCGCCCATGTGATGCAGCGTATATTATCGTAGTAGAAAATCAATTAAGCGTTCGGTCTCCCTCTGTAACTGAGATGAAACACATCATTGAGAAGCATACATATGTAAGCAAATGGTTATCTTATATAGTTTGGAAATGTCAGTTGAAGTAGATGTAAATAAAATTATATATTCTATATATGTATGTTCAAAAATCATCTCGAGCTTCCACTTCTCAACGGATCAAAGAAGAACTCAAATTTCGCTGAAGAAATCTACTTAATTAATTTTATACTATTATTATACTAGTAGACACCCTGACCTGTATTTATATATGTATTTGTGTGAACAAAATGTTTATCCGAACATATTCCCAATCCATTATAAATTGTAAGACTAGGCTTACAAAATTGAAGGTCTATTGCCATTTATGTTAAATACAGATTACTTATTTATATTAATAAAATGATATTCTTTACAACCTTAAAGTTAGAATCACTTAGAAAAAATGAAGTGAAACGACTATAAAAATACAAAAGCTATTTGTCGAGACTTAAGACTGGTTGGTAACCTCATCTTATAAATGGTTAATATTGTTTCGATATTACCAGTAGGGGAGTGACAAATCGGGAGATAATATGTTATATTTGGTGTAACAGAAACACTATTGTTTAAACTGCTTGAGATCTGAGATTTACAATATAGTTTAGTCTCAAAATTGGACACATGGGTTACTGTATAAAGTTCGAGACTGAGCATATAGTATTTTGGAATATATTTTTACATTTTTTGGTGCTAGAGAGTTCAGTTCCTGAATAAAAATATAAAACTAATTGCTTACGCTAGTTATTAATTGATTTAATTTTGCCCTTCTTTGATTATTTATGAATTCAACTACGGTGGCGGCATGGCAAATAAAAAACAGTTACGTTACGATAGACCTCTTTGGGCGGGGAAAATCGGGAATACATATCATCTTTACAGCTGGAAACTCTAAATTGGACCACTAAGTGCCTGATGTCCATATATTAGATAGTTTAGTTACTCCAGAGTCCCTGATGATTCTTACTAAAAAAGATTGGCCTATTTGTGAAATGTCTCCAAGTATTATTCAATCGGTGGGGCAACATTCCTTGGCTGCAATATTCCTACTTGTTCTTTGCTACTTTTGACTTTTTGGATTATTTATAAATTATAAATATAACTATTATTATCTTTATATATATAAATATGTGAAGATTACAAAATTGATAAAAATTAACCACAATTTTGTTTCTTTTTTAGGTCTTACGCGTCCTGCTTTGTATCCATTTGCTGCCACGCAATATCCTTACCCGATGCTAAGTCCCGACATGTCTCAAGTAGCATCATGGTAAGCAGAAAATTTAGAATATTTCAGCAACATTTCGAGTTACAATCGAACTCAAAAACAATCGATTGAATTGAATATGTTGGTGAGCCTGTCCCATGAAAGGAATTTAAGATGAGTCGCCCCAACAGAACTTGCACGACTATTTCTGTCATCGTCTTATACTATGCCGCTGCTGTGAAGCTTTTTCCCGATTTGCCCAATTGCGACGATATCGGCACTAAATTTGAGACATTTCAGAAAATTATACATAAATAAAATAAAATAAAAATTATTCATTAAACAAACTGCCAAGTTTGGTGGCTTTAGCTATAAATGTGTACATAGATATAGATAGATTGAATCATTGAAATTCAATAACGCCGGACAAAGGGGAAAACTACGTGATCTACGGCGACGTATTCTTTTGCCGGTTACACACATTTTAGCAGAATCAGTGAACTCTGAACCTGGGCATACATACATATGTACTAAATAAATTGCTACTGCTTTCTAGCGACTTTTCAATGATTTAACTTTTTGCACTTCTTGCCGCTAAACCACATAAACCTATTTAAAAGTAAATCGCATTGCAAAGTAAATCGCATTGAACCTAGAAACTTGAGTTTTTAAATGTGCCACGCCCCAATTGAAGAAGCATAGAACCATATATGTGTAAAGGTCAAACTGCAGTGGATGCTTCGTGATTTAAGCTCCAAGTCTTAGGGGGAAATTGTTTATATACCCAATACTTTTATATTGAATATTGTATTTGAAAATTGTTAAATACGATTTGATTATTTTTCCCTTTTAGGCACACACCGTCTGTATACTCAGCATCTAGTTTTAGAACACCCTATCCCTCCTCGTTACCAATTAATACAACGCTGCCAAGGTGATTATAGAATATATTTTGAATTTATTTGAGTTTTGATCGAATTGTTGAAATTATTTGAAATTTTCAGCGATTTCCCATTTCGGTTCTCACCGAGTCTGTTGCCTTCGGTTCATGCCACCTCACATCACGTATTGAATTCCCATCCAGCGATTGTGGCATCCACATCAAAACAGGATTGCGGCATACAGGATTCCACAACGAACAATCGATATTCAAGGTAAGTTCTGTTTTTTCTATATATAGTTCAGTTATATAGATCAGATTGAACATTCAACGCAAGCTATCTTTAAAATAATTTGAAATTGTTTTATAATTTCTTGTATTCTTGATTAGCTTTGAATATTTCACTCTAATTAATTATCTTTCACTATCGACAGATAAATGCTAAAATAGACATATCAAAATGTATAGAAATATGAAAAGGGATAAAATTATTAAGAGTTATCTGTATATAACTTTCTTCTACATAATTTGATATTTGATATTGATGCAATTTATATATATATATTTATTAATCTATATATATATATATATATATATATATATATATATATATATGTATATATATAGGTCTCTATTGAATAACTATTCACACATGATCATTAAAAACTTCAATATTGTTGGCTTATTGGGTGGGCGTTTAATGGACGCCATATTTAATTTACACACAACCCACTTGAACGAGTACACAGAGACACGCACGAACACACAGACGCAGACTCACACACACATTCATACTACAGAAATGTAAACTTTGCTATTGGCCCACTCCAATGCTCGCGTCTGCGCATTACTTAGCAACCCCTAAGGGCCTTTGCACTACACTGCCGCTTTCAATATTACAAAAAAAAAAAACATAAAAAGAGTATAAGGAGGGGAAGAGTGAAACGGAGCGATTGAAAAGTTTGTCTTATATCCTATTTTATTTAAAATTCTTACTACACTTTATTTTACTGCCAATTGCACTTAAATGTTGCCCCAACAATTCACTCTCCCTTTCCCGCATTTCCTTTCTCTTCTCTCTCTCTCTCTCTCTTTCTCTCCAACTTTATCATCATAACCTTATATATTTAACTACCTTCTAATTAAGTATTTAGTTAGTCATTCATTTGATTTTATTCAAAAACAATACTTAAATAAATAAAAGATAAATTAGTGGGAAATTTGTATATGTCCTGAGTGCCTATTGACAAATAATGGTTATCCCTTTCGAACAAATCAACGAGCTTTCTTAGCCAATAGAGGGCACCACTGTTCTTTTTGTAAGTCAACAGCTGCGCAACTGTTCACATTAGCGAACAGCAATCAATTCCTAAAACAGTAATATATAGCTCCGAATAATCGCTTAGCTGAGCGAATGCCGATTGAGATGCTGTTAATGCTACTTTTAATGCTCGGTTAAAAAAGCTGAAAAAAAGATATACAAATGTTAAGCCATTCAATTTAAAAGCAAACTTAATTTGATTTGTTTATTTATTTTGATTTTTATTTTTCAAATTAAGTATAAGTATTTGCATTATATACATAAATTAGCAGATCAATTAATAATAGAAGCTTAAAGGATCTATCAAATAATATTTCGTCTAAATCGATTAATATATAATTAGGTCAAATAATTTGAAATTTGGATATCTAAGCAATAAAGTTTTTATTAATTACTAGCTAAGTAACAAATATTTAAATATTATTATTAGAAAATAGAGAATTTGATATTATCAAAATAAAAAAAACATAAGTTAAGCAACATCTGATACGGAAATTATATTTGAGCTAAAACATTTTAAATGTTATTTGAGAGAGGAAAGGCAGACATTTAGAGAGCATGAGAGCATGGGAGCATGAGAGCATGAGAGCATGAGAGCATGAGAGCATGAGAGCATGAGAGCATGAGAGCATGAGAGCATGAGATAACCTTTCCATTTTCTTCTGCTTCTCTCTCTCTCTCTCTCTCACCGCGCATTTATTTTGGGAATTGTCACACTACGAGCTCTCTCTCTCGCTCTCTCACTCTCTCTCTCTCCCCCCCCCCCCCCCCCCCTCTCTCTCTTTCTCTCTCTATCAGAGAGAGGCGAATAGTCCAATACAATTGTAAATTTTAGATTAAAAGCCCCCGAAAGTCGGAAGTAATTCGTCAAAAATTGTTGGCCAGACAGTTTAGTTAAAATCAAAAAGAAATCTGCAAAAATCAAAGACTGCATGAAATCTGTGTAAATCGACAAATAAGCCATAGAGTTTTTGCCCAACTTGGAAGTTCTACAAAAAAACCTTAAAAGCAAAAAAAAATATCCAGCTTAAATGTGTCGCCATATCAAATCAAGTGTGCCAAAAAGAGAGAAATAAAATATTAAATTATTACTAGGCTCCAAAGTTTTTTGTTTTGTTAGTGGAAATTCAACTTCTAATTAAATCGCAAAAATCCAACGTGAAAATGAAGTGCGTCTGTAATTAGGGAAAATGTATCTACATTCAATTACATATCTTATATATATATTTAAAGCGATGACCATAAATCAACTCAGCAATACACACAGACTATGTATATGTTTATATATAGATATTTATCTACAAGGCAGTTAGAAAGATAGAGAGGGATAGCAAAAGTTTTATTGAATTAAAATCAAAACAGTACAATGTTAGAGCCGATGTAATCTTAACATATAAGACTGCAATTACAACTTAATCTTATATTTGAAATGCACAGATATGTATATATATATATATATATATATATATATATATATATATATATATATATATATATATATATATATATATATATATATATATATATATATATATATATATATATATATATATATAAATATATATATATATACGAAATATATTTATACGAATTTCGCTCTCTTAACCAAAATCCGCAACAGGCAGGAAACAGGGTTATTGTTATGGTTGCTTATTGCGCCTGTCAGTTGCCTCTGCTCCCTGCACTAGCGATTGCCTGTTAATAACTGGGCAATACTCTGTACTCTGTACTTTTCAATTAGATTCTGTTGCACTTCTTATTTAAATTTTATGGAAATACGTTAGCTTATTTTGGAGTAAACTACAAACTATAACTGTACTAGACGAAGCCTACGCCTGCACACAGTTCTATTGCAGAATACAAAACAAATGTACTCGCTTTCAGTTTGTAAATAGTGTATTAAAAGTCAGAAATGTTTGTGTGCTCAGGAGAGAGCTTTTTGTAAATACAGCATCCATGGGAGAAGAGAGTAATATATTAATGCTCTGGAAACTTCTCTTTGGCTTATTCTCTCTGAAAAAGTTACATGAGTCAACTTTGAATGGCGTTTGAAGCTGGTGTAGGTCAAGAACGAAAAATAAAATCATAGCATAAATCAATCGTGGATAAATATATATGCATTTATATGATTATGTAGAAAAAACATAGATAGTAAAAATAATAATTACAAAATTAGGCTCTCAAGATGATAGGAGCTTGGACTCCATTTCGCTATATTTTAATAATATTATTAAAACGTGCATTACGAATAAGACCAAAGTTATTTATTTATTTTCCGTGGAACAGGTAACGGATTAACAGTCTTTCTGTCTGTTGCAAAAGAAGTCAATAGTTTTTTTTAACTTGTTTTAATCAATTACTTGAACATATCTTATAAGTGTCAATAATTTAAAGTTTTGTGAACTTTAAGTTAACTGGAAAATAAAAAGTAAAATGTAATTCGAAAACAATTAGTGAACAATTAAAAATAAATATCGGCATTGCCAACCGAATAATGAACAAAAGTTTTCAAATGACTAAGCTAAATATTGAAATTGTTCTGTGTTCTGTAAAGATGAACGAAAGTGTTAACAATTTGTAACTCTTAACCGCGCACAATTCGAAGCATTGGGAGCATTGCAGCTTGCGATACGATGAGGAGTATCAGAGATACATTATCTCCATCTAGAGAGACAACTAAATATAGGCAGAAGGTGCAATTGAGTGGAAAGGAAGTGACCGATGAGAACAAAGAGCCAAAGGACTTTTCCATGCCGATTGTCAATATGATAAACGATTCGATCTCGCAATCATCGTCAACGACATCATCAACATCAACATCATCAGCAACTCAGCCCATTAGCGAGATATTGCCGAAAACTAACTCTGATGCAATGGAGCATATTTTCAATGCACCAACAACAAACAATGTTGTCACTGTATCGCCAACGACAGCAACATCTACTTTGATGTCTGAAATTTTATTGAGACAGCAGCATCATGATATGCTGCAGCAATGGTCCAAAATGGAGGAGCGGGATCGTTTGGACAGCAGCTGCAATAATCGTGATGCCATATTGGCCCATTGCATATACTATAGAAATAAGTCGACACAACGGCAACAGCAGCAGCAACTACAGCATCAGCAGAAGCAGCAGCAGCAGCAGCAGCAGCAGCAGCAGCAGCACCAACAGCAACAACAGCAACAATTGCTGGCAACACAATTACTATATGCACAATTTTTGCAGCAGCCTCATTTGTCTTTGGACGTTGATCAGGAGCATGAGCGCGAGCGTAGGCTACATATTTTAGAATTTTCGGGCTTACAGAAATCGGAGCCAAAAGCCCTGCCAGTACCAACACCTTTGTCATTGTCAACGGGAGTGCCGCATGACAACAATAACAACAATGGGAATGGAATCGATGGTCAACAGGGCAAGAAATGGAAGTCAAGAAAACGAAAATCATCACAAAATAGCGCAAATGATTCAAAGGAATATTTTTTTCGTGAACAAAAGAATGTGTTGTTCGATATTAAGAAGGGATTGGAGCAATTGACATTACTTTCTAGTCAATTTCAACATAATCTAAAGCAACCATTAATTGCGCACAGACCTAATGAGGACAACAACAACGCAAATGCATCCGCCGCAACCCTTGAGCTAACAGTGCAACGGGAATTGGAGAATAATCGAATGAAAATCGATGGCATGCTGGGCCAGGTGCGCAAACTCTATCATCAGTGGAGCAGTGCCGAGCTCTACTATTTACGCAGTTTGCAGCGCTTGGGCCTGAATCCGGATAGTACAACGATAAACAGAACCCAGTCGCCCACGCACGATGTGATGGCCCTAGCTGCCATTGCGCTATCAGCGGAAAGTGAACAAGTAACATCAAGTAGTAAGATCGAAGCAGAGAGCAATTTCAAAGCTAGCTACAAGCAAGAGAACTGCGATAGTAAACTTGAAACAAATGCCTCGGAGAATCTGCGTACTTTGCAAGATATTGAAAATATTATTATACAGCAAGCAGCAGCTGCAGCAGCTGCAGCAGTATCATCAGCATCATCAGCAGCAACCGCTACTGCTAACCAAAGAGCAAAGCAATCCAATTCCGGATATGAAAGTAGCGAAAGCAGCAATAGCGAAGTCGATGACGAAGTCGAAGAAGATTCCTCTTCCTCACCAGCGTGTATCTGGCATTCGAAGTATAAGGTCCACCCGGCTGAAGCTAATATAGTTGATGCAGCCGAAATACTTTTAGAATATACCTCCTTATCAACAGTTCAAGCAAAAATGAATGCGATGCTTAGTACTGCACCTGCAACTGCTTCTGTTTCAAATTCCTCCACCTTAAATCTAACGCCCAGCAGTCAGCGCGCTACGCTCATTCGGGAGTCTATGTCAACTTGCAGCAGTGATCCGGTCTACTTGGCCGATATACAATTCCCACCAACGCCAGCCACGCCACCGACGAGTAGCAATAGTAGCTGTTCAACAGTGACTGGAGGAGCAGCTCCACTTAACTGCTCCACTCTGGCACTGACTAGTGCTAATGGTAGTAGCAACAGTAGCAAATACCATCATCGGCGTAAGTCACGTTACGCACGTCGCATTGCAACTCCCACCAGTCAATTGGACTATCAATCAAGCAAAGAGCTAAATGGTAACACATATAAAGTCAGTCTACCCTCAATGTCTTCATTTGTTGCATCATCCTCCACATCATCATCAGGCTCAGCAGCAGCAACAGGAGCAGCAGCGTCAGCAGCAGCCATTCAGGATACACATTCGCCTGCAGCAGCTGTTGCCGCAATGCAGGAAAGAGCCATAAGTGATATGTTTAAGGCACAGTTTGACGCTTTGACTGTTGCAGCAGGAATTACAGCAGGAACTACGACTGGAGCTGGCACAATTGGAGCTGCATCTGAAGTTGTGCTTAATGAAAATTGCGACGGGCTAGCCTCTATGCCTTTGTCTGATGCGCCCTACGACTTAAGCATTGGAAACAGACTAAAAAAAATGTAAATTTAATTCACAAATAATTAGAAATATTTTTATTTACGGATATATATTATTTATACATATTTAAATGATCAAGTTTTAAAATGCTCTTGTAAGGCAATATTATTTTTATTTATACGGTTTACGTGGTCGATTGATAATTCGAACTTTATTTTCACCATCTAATTGATTTATAATAATAGTTTCATTTGTTAATTGCAGAAATTTGGATACGAAAAGCTCATCAAATTCGCAAGCTAACGACTGTAAAGATAGTTCAAATGACAAAAAGAAACCACATATCAAGAAACCATTGAATGCATTTATGCTCTATATGAAGGAGATGCGAGCCAAAGTTGTTGCCGAGTGCACACTCAAAGAGTCAGCGGCGATAAATCAAATACTGGGTAGACGGGTAAGCTATATAAATATATAGATATATATACATACACATATATATATATTATATATTAACAATAATAATATACAAACTTCAAAATCAAAAACTTGATAACATAATACAGTCTTGTGGGGGGATTCATTTACAATGCAATACTGAAATGATGAAAAAGTAATGACTTAACATTTATATATATGAATATGCATATATATTTCTTTTCGTCCTTTGAGAGTATTGTAAATATGGATATTTCGAATGCTGCGAAAGTTTCACACGGCTTTGATCAGTCAATCAATCAACTTATGATAAGCACACTCTGTGACTGACTGACTGATTGACTGGCTATGTAAATTTATTTATTTAATTGACTGGCAAATAATTTTAGAACCTACAAATTCGCACATTAAGAACGTAAAATACAAATAGAGAGAAGTAGAATATGATTTTAAATTTTAACATTAATGGAATACATTTTTGTAGTGGCACGAACTTTCCCGCGAAGAACAAAGCAAATATTATGAAAAAGCGCGACAAGAGCGCCAATTACATATGGAATTGTATCCGGGTTGGAGCGCTAGAGATAACTACGGTTACGTTTCAAAAAAGAAAAAGCGTAAAAAAGACAGATCGACTGCGGATTCGGGAGGTATTGCACAAAATTGTCAAATTTCTAACACTCTTTATATATTCTTTCTTTCTCCTCTAACCGCATTCAAATTCTCCTTTTTTTGTGTTTGCAAAATTTCATTAAATACACACACACTGACATACACACATGCATACGTACACAAACATTAATTTAACAAAAATATATTAAAAAAATAACATAAGCACACACATTTAATATCAGCTACTAACCAAACTTACCAAAAACTAGAACTAACGAAGCAAATTTAAAATTTAAAAATCACATGTACCTCAACTCTATTTATGTAATTTTGTGTAAATACGTAGAATAACTATTACTTATACCACGCATCAAAAAAACCAAAAACGAAACAAAAAAACTGAAAAGAACAATCAAATGAAATTTACTTAAATTGAATTGAATTAAAAAACTTAAGTTTTTGAAAACAAGACGAGAAGTTATAGTTAGAATCGTAGTTAGAGCTTAGATTTATGTTCCAAGCAGTAATGGAAAATGGAATAGAAAGTAAAAATATTTGTGCCTGTCTAAACATTTTTGTTTTTTTTTTTTTATTTATTAAATTCTCCTATATATATATATATATATATATATATATATATATATATATATATGTATATATATATATATATGTATATATGTATATATATATATATTTATATATATATATTTATAAATAAATAAATATAGAACTCCGATCCACTGACTGAACTCTAATTCTTAATTGTTGATTCATTTTGATTTTGTAAATTGATCGAACATGAGGTTGAACTATTGCGTAAGATAAGAGACAAGGCAGAAACGTTGAATGTATATATACATACATACAACATATATATATATATATATATATATATATATATATATATATATATATATATATATATATATATATATATATATATATATATATATATATATATATCTGCAGTATTTGGATTACAGGACGTGGCCCAATCTTTTGACAAGTTTCAATTATATATATAATCCAGATACTACAGATCAATCATTTGAAAGGCATATTTGATTATCAATTGAGAAATACTGCATAAAATATACGAACCAATGCTTAAATGAACATGGATAATAAATAATGGATAACAGATATGGAAAGATAATGGTTATGTGTATATGGTACTTAAAAAATAGTATATCTTAACATATATTGCAACCAGCAATCATATAAAACTATTTGCTTTTATTTGAGAAACTGTTGAACATAAATCGGGAAGCGTGAGACTGAGAGCGAGGGATAGAGAGAGTAGAGAAGTTTAGAAAAAGCAGCTGGCTGTATATATATTCGGGTTGGCAGGACTTCTAATAGGACTTAGCTATGTGTTTCAATTGGCAAAAGAATACACTGAACACAAACACAACAATATATTTATGTGTGAATTACTGAATTATTCAATTGGCAAGCAAAATCGAAAAAAAAAAACAGAACAGAACAGGAACTTAGAGAAGAAGAAAAACTTTCATTTTATTTAATGCTTTCATTTCCAAGGATTCTTAATAAATAAAAATCACATACGACGCATATTATATATTATATATATTACATATATATAGATATATTTATATATAAATCTCTTGACGTGTGTGAACTTAAATTGGCGAATTGCATGCACCCGAAACCGTGTAGAAGATCGATCCGTCAGAAGCTTTTAAATAATTTGCGCCGATTAAACGTATATATATATATATATTTATATATATATATATATATATATAAATATATAAATATATATCTATATATATATATATCTATATATATATATATATATATATATATATATATATATATATATATATATATCTGTATAATTACAATTCTCTCCGATTGATTGGCGGGTGCAAAATAAAAATAATAATAATAAATAAAAAAATCCAAAAATTGATTAATGTATATCTCTGCATATATTATCTCTCTTTATTTTTCATTATTTTCCATTTGCGTATATCGCAATCAAATCTTCAAAAAATATAAAATTTCTATAATATGAAATATTTGATCTGACATGAATGCATGTATGCAATCACAAATATAAACTTGATGAGTATGCTAAAAATATATACAACTTGAAATAAATAATATAAACACTTAAATAAATATGAAAATAACATATAAACGAAAAACTAACTTAACTTAACAAATATTATCTGAAAAAAAAATTGATTGAACGAAATACCAAATGCAAATTATCGCTATTTTATATATATATGTTTATATATATAAATGTCTGATAAAAATGCACACAACAACAACAATTTGTACACCACAAAATATAATTATATATAAATATATATGTATATATATATACCACGCCCCACCTAATTTAGTGGCATGCCTTGGGGCGTGAGGAGCAGGCGAAATATTACGAGCTAGCCAGAAGGGAACGTCAGCTGCACATGCAAATGTATCCTGATTGGAGCTCACGAACGAATGCATCGCGTGGCAAGAAGAGGAAGCGAAAACAAGATGCTAGCAGCGACGCAGGAGGTTAGATACATAAAATTTTATCTTAAACCATATCTACTATAATCATATATACCAAAATTATCAAAAATCAAACCAAAATAAAAATACAGATAGCCAAAAAGTTAATCGATCAGAATTAAAAAGCAAAATATGTATATATATAATAATATGTATATATATATATATATATATATATATATATATATATATATATATATATATTTATATCGCAATTGGATCTCGGGTGAATAACCTATTGTTCATTTGAAACAAAAAAAAATATGATTTTTCTAAATAAAAATCAATTACTATAAGTTCGATCAAAGAAATAATTTGTAAATAAGATTTGGACTTGGAAAATATAATTTGTGATCATAGATTACACACACTTATCATTCAGACTTATATTCATTCATCTAACCCATTGTAACAATATGTATATATAAATATATATATCTATGTACGTATGTTTGTCTGTTTGTCCATAAATGTGAATTGTCTAGTCTTATTAGAGATCGCACGAAATGATTTTCTAATATATACAAATTATATATATATATATATATATATATATATATATATATATATATATATATATATATAGAAATATTTATATAGCCAGCTTTCACTTCACAAATTAATGTTTAGATTATTTTACAATACATTAAAATTACTTTTCTATATATAGCCTATTATCTCTAAGTATTTTTTTAGGTTTGCCACCAGGTATTTAGTTAAGTTAATATATATACACGATCATAGTCAACTCGTTTTAAATTAAATAACCTAATACTACGCTTACACAGATACAATCACAGATGCGAGGTGATTGTATCTGTGCAACTGCTTGTATGTAAGCATTTATTAAAATGATCAGTTAGTTTGTTTATTTTATAACACACCTGCTTACACCTCGTTGTACACCAATGATGCCACAGCCACCGTGTTCCACAGATATGGCCACTGTGATTTTTTCTTGGTCCCGAAATTGCCGCATCGAAGTGCTTTGAGGATTGGAAAAATACTATTTAAAAATAGACGAATTTCGCGATACCCTTCGAATATACCCTATCTGTAGGACCGTACTTAACGATACAAAAGTTCAAACTAAAATTTTGATTACATCCGGAATCCATTGAAGATGGCAATTCAGAGTATAATGGTTTATAATGGATTTGTGCCAGACCCACCCATAAAATTGATCAATTTTCATATACTTTTGTTCTAGACTACAAGTACTACAAATATACGCCTTGCGATATCGTTAGCTACAAAGGATAGATACTTAAAACTTTAAATATACTTCATTTATATTTGAAAGTCGGCAACGTATTAATCGATTTTAATTGATAAAGGGAAATGCTTGATTTGCATTTAACATTGGGGAATCTAATCAAGTCTCTAACTCCTGCAGGCTCCGAAGTTGATGTGCTCATTGATGTATGAATATATAGCTTAGGAATATAGTATAAACTTTTAAAATAAATTTGATTATACTATAGTGACTTTTTGATCAACTAGTTTTAAATAAAATTGTCTTTAACCTGTAAATGAATTTAGCTTTAAGGCTTAAGTATGCTTTAAGTTTTGGTTGATTCTTTGTTTTCGTATTTTCGTCTTAGTTGTAGTGATGCTCTTTTTACAATACTTAATTTTAGTAAGCTAACTGTAATTGAATGCTTTAACTACCTTCTACTTGCTGCCCAACTAACAAACTTGATCTCATGCTCAACTGAACCAAATTTATCTTTAATGTACCTTCTTTATAATATGAATGCCAACAAATCTGCAAAAACAAACTTAACAATTCCTTTCCTAGGCAACAATATGAAGAAGTGTCGAGCGCGCTTTGGACTGGATCAGCAGAATCAGTGGTGCAAGCCCTGCAGGTATGTTGCAAATAAATAATAAAAATCTTGTAAATTCATAGCTTGCTTTATCCACATTAAGTATTTTATACTGCGTTTACATACATGAGATTCATTAAATTTAATTCACAAGATTTCACGTAGTTTCCTAGAGAAACTAGAACGAATCAATCAGTGCTGCCTAGAATTAGCTTTTTCCAGTCAGATCCTTCCATATCCTTTTATTTTTAAAGACCTTGTTCGGATATCGAATGTAAACTATGTGTAAACTACGTATGTATAAACGCAGTGTGGATATTAGAATTTTAGGCTTACATAGTCATTCATACATAGGTACATGCATATTTGAGCTGTGGGTATATATTGCTATTGCTTAATAAATCAGTCAATCAAAATACGTACTTTTTAATCATCTGGAATCTGATTTTCTTGAGGGATCTATGGGAACAGATATATATATATATATATAACAATTCGACTGAAAAGTTCATATCATAGGCTTACCCATAAATAGCGCTATTAGTTTTAAATCCATATGATTCATATGATATGAGCTAATCCTTAGCTTGAAAAGACACGTTTGTGAGATATATAATTTTGAGTGAAGCAACTTTAATTAGTTTATTACAATACACAGTGTAACAATAAAATCGTTGGCAAAATTGCATGCCTTGGTCTTCGTATTGAAACCACATTTACTGTACTATCCAAATCTGGTCCTCAACGACGTTTTCGTGCTCTCTAACCTCAAGAGAAGGCTCACTGGTAAGAAATTTAGCACCCATGAAAGGTATTTGCCGAAACTATAACAAGTAAGAAAGCTCTAGTCGGAGCGCCCGACTAGGAGATACCCTGAACCACGTCCGATCTGCTTTATTAAATATTTTCCATAGCTTGTATCTAGTATAAAAAAAGGAAAAATAGCTGTCCAAAGACTCAAATCAACATCTCCTATGCAACGTGCATCACCCCTAATAACACCGCCACTTGATGTTAGAAAAAAAGGCCTGACGACGCCTGACGCTGAACAGAGAACTTCTCTCCTAACACCTCCACTTCACAATGGTTTTGTGTTGTATTTAGTTTTATGTATATTTTATGCAATTTTGATTTTTGTTGGATTTTTGATACCAGCTCCAAATTTCCCCAAATTCTTCAAATTTAAGTTTAGTTGTAACTAGGTCCATTATGTGAAGGCGTTTGCATCTCAACCAAGCCAATAGGATGTGTAAATCATATGCTGAAAATTTCATTAAAATCCATTAATCCATGTGCACACATACATTCAAATGCGTGTATGCTTTTCTATTCCAAGAATCGAAATTGCGATTGAATACTGCTCGAATTCGCAGCTGCTACTCAACTTCAAATTTGCAACTCCTACAGGAGATGGAGTGGCTGTGTTGGTAGAGACCGGTGGAGATGAAATATTTTTTATTGTTTTATTTTTTTTAAATTATGAAGTGGCGGTGTTTATAGAGTTGGTGCACGGTGCGCAAACAATCCGGGTTCGAATCCTGGTCTCGTAGAGTCGTTTTTTATTTGTTTATTTTTTTTTTGAATACTCGATATAAACTAAGGAAAATATTAATAAACGCAGATAGGACTGGGATCAGGGTATCTCCTAGTCGGGCACCCCGACTAGAGCTTTCTTACTTGTTTTGAATTACTGCTGTCTTATTTAAAGGAATGAACTGACATTTTCAGCAGATATTCTAAGTTTTCTATTGGAATACTTGTCAGTTTAGTAAAAAGGAAAACCCGTTAATATATTGACTATATTTTACACTGATCTTTAAAAAATTTTGAAGAATTGAAAACCGGTATGAAATATATAAAAAAAAATAAAATTGTATAAAATACATACATAAAAGTAAATACAAAATTTAGAGACTGTAGCTCTTAACCTATAAGAGATGTAGATAGTGTTTTTAATTGATATCAATAAAACGGGAATAGCTATAGATCATACATACATACTTCATACATACGGGGCTGAATATATTTTATGGGGTCTTTCACTCCTTCTTCAGCCTGTTACATAAATTTTTAATATAATTTTTGTAATAGTATCCAATGAACTTTTTAGCCAAACTGTTATATATTTGATGACAAACTAATTAACATTTTCTATCTCACGCTCTGTTTCCAAGTGAGCAATAGAATTAGATCAAATATAATCAGACTATATCTAATTTCATGGAGTGAATGCGCTCTTCCAAAAATGTAAATAAGCTAATTTGTGGTAGATCAGCAAATAAATCCGTATTATGTATAAATATACAAAAAAATCGTTAGCAACTCAAATAACAACTGTCCATATGCTTGAGTGTAAGGAAATTCAGGGCTCCACAAAAATGTTTGCCACATCATTGGAAACTTTCCACATCCACTTACATAATTACTACTACATACGCTATGACATAGTATTCCACATTCACATACGAGCATAAACACCTCAACACACACACACATATTATTGTATTGGTATCCTGATTCTAGATAATACTTAACACTAATGTTGACTATAAAGTAACTAAGGGCGATCCAGATTCTATGAAATGTATTTGCATGCTATATAATGCTCTTTCCTCTACTTTGACCTTGCCTGCACCTGGCCCAGAAGCAAAAATCTTTTGATTTATCCAATTTGATGTTGACCTACTTGAATAGTGGATATCCATTAGTCCATCGGCAACTACTTATAAGGAGGCGAGAAGAGAGAAACATACAAGAGAGTAAGAAAAAGTGAAAGACAGAGTAGAGGAAAAATTCAGTCAGAAAAAGAAACCGCGAGAGATAGAGAAAAAGGGAAAAGCAGAGAAAGGTATATATATCTTTCTTTCTAGCGCTGTTTCTTTCATTAACAAATAATGGATTAAAATACAAGTTAAATTAACTTTAATTTATTATTATCTTTTGAGGGCACAATTAACTCTTCTTCATCCGAAACTCTGTCTTTATTCATGATTCTCAGTAGCCATTGTATTGGAATTATTGATGTTTCAATTGGACCGGGATTAGTTGGGAAATTATTTATTTATTACGTATTCTGGAGTTTTGTTTTTTTGCTTCCTAACGTTTTAATGCTATGTATTGTGGAGAGATGCTTGAAAGCATCGGATGCTCTAGCTCGACCTAGCTGGCCGATGATAAATGACTGGCTAATACTTTTTTCAAATTCGAACTATACCTTTAAGTTTAAATTCCTAAGAAAAGACTTATTTGGTATGTAAAAATATATTTTCTGTTAAAATATTTTTTTTCAAATATTTTTAACAATATATTTTCAACATTGGAGAAACATTCGACAATATTTATTTTTATAAACATTTTTATGGCTTATAAACCTTTTTCTCTTATTAAAAATAGGATTAAATAAAAATATAAGCAATTCCGATCCCATATAAGATGTTTCAGATGACGAGTTAAGTCCCATCATATGCCCGATCAATACTCATATTTTTCATATTTTGTTTACGGATTTTGCAGCAAAGTGAAGGACACCTTGTTGAGACGCACTTTGTAGGTCCATCCCAGCTATGCCATTAACTCCATAATACATCAATATGTTCATATTAGAAGAGGTTTAATTTAATTGTTGGGTTGGAAATCATTATTATTAATATATTTTAAGAGTATTCCCATTTATACTATTCTATTCTATATATTTATTAGTTTTTCCGTGTATTTATTTTTCATATTTTTATGCATATATATGTATATATGATGGTCCAGATAACTTCAATTTGTGTACTCTGCACCCATTGAACATAGAAATCCAAGGTATATTGATTTTGTTAAATTGTATGTCAGAAGACCAAAAAGGCGCAGTGATCGTTCAGAATGGTAGAACTGCCTCTTTTAGCTTGGAAGTAATAGAAATTGTTCATTTATAATTTGTTAGGAAAAATGTAAAACTTGTATTATTTTTCTTTTTTATTTTACACTGTACTAATATTTTTTTATTCTTTAGAATTTGTTTCTGAATTTTTTTTTTAATTTATTTTAAAACATCTTAGCTTGATTCTTTGGGAATCGATTCTGTGTTGAATGTTAAAATAAGGATCATACATTTTTTGAAAATTGAATGAAAGCCTAATTGGTTATTCCACAAGTGGAACTGAGGCTTTGTCACAATTTTCTCAAATTAAGAAAGCTCAAAGAATAACTTCTTTGGACTCATTTCAAGTTATCAATTGGAACGTAGTACCTTTATGTTTTAAATGTTTGTTTATAGTGGCATTAATAAACAAATTTCAAATCTACACAGATAGAAAAAAAACAAACAAACACACACACACACAAACATATAGAATTTGGAATTTTCATTATTGTAAACAAAATGTTTGACGAAATACAATTATCGTTCTTTTCCAATATTCAAATTGCTTGGATTATTTGCATACATATATAATTCAGTCCCAACGTCAGTTTGGGGATCAACAGCAACGTGGGCGTCGGCCTTGTCAGTAGTGGGCCAGGTGTGAATAGCATAAGCGTCGGCATGCTGACGCCGGCCATGGTAGGTGCGACAACAGTTTTGCTGCCCAACTCGTCATCGAGTTCATCATCCTCATCGACATCGTCCTCCCACACGCACACACATCTGCAATTGATGTCCAATAATAATGGAAATAATGGATCAGTGGGATCGATAAATGGGGCAGCTACTGGTGCAGGTGTTAGTGGTGCTGGTGGTGGTGGTGCGAGTGGAACTTCCTCAAGTACTCAACAGCTTTCACCTCAAGCACCGCCGACCTATGTCAATTTGTAAATTAATTAAGCCCAGGCATCATATCCACCGGGAGAGCAACCAAAAAAGTTACACAGCAGCCCAATTAAAACAGGGGCAGATGCACGACTACGACTCTGCAAAATGCCAGTAAATAAAACGTCTATCTATTTGTACATATATCAATCAACTGAATGCTAATTTGTATTAACAAATTATAAAAACAATCAAAAAATATTTTTTAATTATTTTTGATTTATATATATAAATATATATATATATATATATATATTTATATATATATATAAATACAAAACTAGCATCGAGTCGCATTAGCATTAGCTTTTCTTTTTTAAAAAACAAATAAGGAACATTTTTTAACTACATAAAAGTAACGCTTAACTTTCCCTTTCTATTAAATACAAGAAACCATAAATAAAAACAAATAAATTTCACTAATGGCAAAATTGATCAACATAAAAAAATAAATATATTTATTGAAATTGGCCGATTCCTTAAAATAAAAATCAAAACGGATTTTTTCCGTGATAGTGTTTAGTCAAATTATTAATAGATAAATGAATAAGAAAAGTATATGCGATGTTGCCAAGTTTTGATGAAGTACTAAAACAATATCCATAGGCTAAGCAAAAAATATATTCGTACATATATAAAAGAAAACATTTACACGTATAAAAATATGATATATGTATCTTAAATATGATATATGTATCTTTAAGTGTCCAAATATTTATTTTGCTTAAGCTATGTGTAAATGTTTTGTAATTAAAAAGTGTTATTGTATTGATTTGGCGAATTTTAATTAAAATTTGTAGGGAATATACATATATAAATGTATATGTACGTACAGAAATACATATATGTTTGTATATTTATTATGTATTTTGTTTTGCTAGAGCTGTTTGTTGTTATTGTTGTTGTTGTTGTTGTTTTTGCCGTTGTTGTTGCTGTTGCAACATTTGTTACGTTTTCATTTATTGTGAGCATAATCAGTTTTTCCACGATATGATTTTTCTAATTATTAAATGTTACTTTACTTGACTGCAAAGTTTTTGTGTTTTGTTTTGTTTTTTTGCATTGCAAATTTTTTTTAATTTTAAATTAAAATTGTTCTGTATTTATTACAAACGATTGACTTTCATATATAATAAATCGAGCCAGATTGCAAAAGCTCCATAGTTCAGCTTAAAAATTATGTTTCGGGCTAATTAGGCATACGAGGGCGGTCTGAAAACGTTTCCGTAAATAAAGAATATATTCACAAACAATATTGTATTTTATTTTATTTAACAAAAGATATGAACGGATTTCTAGCTTTTAGTTATCGTGTTTTAAAGACCATCCTCGTATATGAAAAATGTGTATATATATTGTAAACATTGAGAATATGGAATAAAAATAATATACATACATACAAAAATATATATGAGAGACATTTTACATTTATTTTTATACATCTTTTACTTGCTTTCATGAGTTTTTAATGGCTGCATGCAGTAATATCATATAATATGACTGTATTAATTTTAATGTGATATCAAATTGTGGATGTTTCGACTTGCTAAAAAAACACTTTTGTCGATGAGTTTACAGATATAGATAGTATATAGGAGCTTATAGATAGCATATTTGTCTACCATTCTCTTTTACTATAATTAAATGTAAAATAGAACTTGTTAAACTCTCTTTTTCTATATTTTATTTTTAGATTTGCTACCGGCATTAGATCCAGCGAATAATTAGAAAAAATTGCTTTTTTAGAGCTTTTTCTAATTTATTCATCCAAAACGAAATTTCCAAAAAATTAAGTTCCAATATATTGCCAGATCTCAAATAAGCAAATATTAAAAACTAATATTCAGTAAATGAAAATAAAAAAAATATTTAGGTATAATTTTTTTATATTTTTATTATTTGTTTCAATAATAAAAAAAAATGTCAACCTCCTCTAAATATTTAAAAAAAAAATATGATTTCACTATCATAATTATTAAGAAGCAAATTAATAGTTAAAATTTAAAAGAAACTAAACATTAAAAATAATAATCAAATATAACATAATTATTAATAAAAGAAATAATTTAATTGATTGAAATTTCCGTTCCCTTAGAAATTCTTTGATTTGTATGAAAATTTTCCGCTAAAAGTATTATTTTTGCCATTCTCTTTCACGCACGATCATATATATATATATATATATATATATATAAATATATATATATATATATATATATATATATATATATATATATATATATATATATATATATATATATATATATATATATATATGTATGGTATGTATATGTATATATTTAACCCTGCCGAACCGTGTGCATGTATTATATTATATCTATTATTTTATTTGTCTTCTGCATCTCTGTTGTGGAATGCCCTTCATATTTGCAAAGAGCAAAAACATATATTAGCAACACTTCAAATAATAATGATTCTAATACTGATTCTTCTTCTCTATCTCTTTTTGATTGTGCAGACGTAAAAAGAAATGCATACGCTATATGGAGGCATTGCATGGAAACGACGGCCATGAGGAAGGCAGTGGCATGGACGATACTGGCAATCTGAGCCAGCTGAGCGATGATGATGATGATGATGATGAAGATCTGTTAATGAGCGGCGGCGGTGGCATTGGCAGCTCTGGTAGCGGAGATGAGATGATCGATATGAATCGAGATAAAATTGCCGACAATGAGGACACGGAGTCAATGAGTCAATCGCTGTCAAGCCCAGGCTGTCTGAGCGGCCTCTCCAGCCTACAGAGTCCATCGACAACCACCAGTGTGGCCAGTCCGCTTAATATAAATATGTTAACTAGTCCAATGACGCCTGTCACCAACACCAACCCCAACAATAACAATAGTAATGTAGCTCCGCTTTCTGTTATTAACACCAGTAGTACCGAACAGACGTTGACGAGTAGTCAGTTATTAATATCTGGATCTGGTTCCGGTTCCAGCATCAGTTCAACATGTAACATTAGTAATAATACACCGAATACCTCTAGCACAGCTTCATCAGTGACTGCTGCAACACCAAACTCTTCTAATGAGCGTGCCATGATGCTCGGCAATCGCTTCAGCCATCTAGGCATGGGCCTTAATCCAGATCAGCTATTCCCCGCTGCAGCTGCAACTATCAGCAGCAGCAGCACTATCGCAGTTACCTCTTTGGCAACAAATGGCTTCAACAGTTATAGCAATTCGAGTATGAAGACAACGTCTATGACGATTGCTTCACCCATACCTACATCGACATCGGTATTGGCATCGGTATCGGCATCAGTATCGGCATCGGCATCGGCATCGGCATCAACATCGGCATCCGCATCTGCATCGATACCTGCAATAAGCCTGCATCGCAATCCGATTGGCGCCAATCCGCGTGACATTAACAATCCGCTCAGCATCAATCAATTGACCAAGCGCCGAGAGCATAACAATATTGCTCTGTTGGAAACTCAATCGACCTCAGCGATTTTAGCCCATAATCCTTACACGCACTTGAATTCGCCACATCCGCACACGCATCTACATTCGCATACGCATCCGCATCCCCATCCGCATCCTCATTCGCATCACTCGCTCTTTAGCAGCAGCTTCAGTCAACATTTCCAGCAACAGTTGAGCAACCATCTAGCAGGCACAGGCAGCAGTATCAACAACAGTAACAGCAACAGCAGTAGCAACAATCACATCGGTTCAGCCGTCCAGGCCATTGACACGCCCACTTTAAGCAGTATAAAACGTCGGAATACATCTGATTCGCCAGCAGCGACTGGTAGTAACTCGGCACCCAGTTCAACTGAGACTGGAGCAATAAGCGTTTCGTAGCAGTCTGGCAGCGGCATGACTTTAGCTCTTGTATCAATCAGCCTTCGTCACCTGACAATATTGCCTTACCAACACTCACTCAAACGGAAGCGCTTCGGATTAGTGGTTTATGGCATATATCAGACTATTGTCGGTCAGTCTGTCAGGTCGTATCGCTCTTACTTCAGGATCAGCATACGCCAAGTAGCCAATTAGCTAACGTGCAATACAGTACCACGACTCGCTCCGCTTCACCCATCATCTCCATTGCCATAGTTGTAACAAATGTAACATGTGGCCATTATTGGATAAGTGCCAAAAGTACTCACCTTCCTATAAACATGCATATATAAGCACACATGTACACATACATATATACACGAATTTATTATCAAAAAATACACAGTATGTTATATACATACTTTATCAGCCAACAAGAATTATTATCAGCCAATCGGCAATCCAAGTGTGTACCCTAGTCCAACACACGATATGATTCTATGAATGCCAAGTCAAAGCAACATCAAAGTCAAGTCACTAACATATAATAACTCCAATATGTATATATTTATATGTATATATATATATATATATATATATATATATATATATATATATATATATATTATAATTATTAACGTAATTACATAAAAGTATTTGCATAATCTATATTGCAAAGGATAAAACAGAACAAAAAACTGAATGCGGCCAAACAATTTATATTCATGTGTGGCCAAACAATTTATATTTGAAAATGTAGATTATTCTAATCGATCGTATATACCATATATCAAGGTATTTCTCTATTCACTAACACTCTTTCACCCACATACGCGAGGTGTGTTCAAGTAGTAAAACATAAACAGTATTATTTTTTTATTATTTTCGATGAATGTACTGTTAGTCATGAATGTATATACATATGTCTGTGTATGCATAACTGTATATCTCTGTGTATGTACATATATATATATATATATATATATATATATATATATATATATATCTATATATATATATATAGACATATACACATATGCAAGAAAGAACGTACGAATTTATTATAAAAAAATTGGACCTGATAGCTCATACTGGAAAAAAAGTATCCCAGTTTTTGCGTGTACATATGTATGTGTATATTGTATATCTATATATATATATATATATTGATTAATTTACTTTGGACAATATATGCAGTGTAAATCTAACTGGCCAGTTATATATGTATGTATGTATGAATATATGTATGCTTGTATATACATAAGAGATACATGACTTATCAAATCAGGTTCTCCTTAAGTCCTTAAGTTAATATCAACATTTGTACATAGGTGTTGATTTCATATAGAAATATGGAGAAGATTAAGCCAAACATTTAGTGGAGAGGTTAGGAATATGAATGTTAATTAAATTAATGCGAAAAAAAAAATAATATATATATATATATATATATATATATATATATATATATATATATATATATATATATGTATTAACAATGTGTGTAAACCCATTGCCAATTATAAAAAAAGACTGTTAAATACGTATTTAAATAAAATGACATATATTTATATAGACAAGTGTTATATCAGTTAAGGTGCACACCTAAACAGATATACACAGATGTTTTAAGTCAATATAAGTATATACATAACGAATTAATTACATACAAACACATACCCCAACATCAACATAACGGGCTAATGTATGTGTATATTAGTATGTGCAAATTATTGAACTGGCATAAACATGTAATAGCGGACATACACACTCAGACACCCGCACACAGACTCACACACAGCCAGTCACACACACACACACACATACGCATTATCAACAACAAGCTCACATACATATACACATACATTATATTAGTATGTCAGGTTAATAACACATACATTATATTAGTATGTTACAGGATTTTTTCCAAATTACAATAAACCGAAATCGAAAGCGCAGCCACACTATTAAAGACAGAATGGTTCGAGATATAGTTCTATATGTAAAAACACATATCTATAGACGTATATTTAGAAACAGAACACTAGCTTTAGAATATATTCTAATCAAAAGCAAAAGCAAAAGCAAAACAAAAAAAAAACAAAAACTTATATTTACGTTAACTATGCTTCCAATTTTCTGTGTTTTTTTTTTAATGTTTACTAAGTAAATAGTGCATATGAGAAACAGTTTTGCAATATTTACAGTTTTATTTATTGATCATAACCTCTAAGTTAATATATACCAACAATAACGTCAACAAATTTGTATTTTATATATAAATGTATGTATATAAGGTCACATTCAGTCCATAAATGCCTTTACATTTCACTGTGCATCCAAGGTACGTACAACATACATATGTACGTATATACATATGTATGTATGTACTGTGGAGGTATATATTGTAAATGCAGCTCAATACCTTTATTCATATAATTGGCCATAAATGTCTCGTTCTTTTCTCCATTCACATATCTATATCAACTAGACAAATACCCTGTACAGCGTCCTATGCAAGATTTTGAAAAGCCCTAGACAACACATACATGTGACAGTCTGTACTTTCAACGAGATGTAGCTGCTAACACCTAGCTCATTACTCTCTCTACTCTCTAACACACTCTCTCTCTCGCTCTCTCTCTCGCTCAAATAAATGTATTTATACATATGCAAGCTTTGCTAACTCAGAGTGGAGTTTTGCGTAAATATATTAAAGGGTTTGACAGAGTATTACATGTACATGTATTAATATATATATATATATATATATATATATATATATATATATATATATATATATATATATATATATATATATATATATATATATATATGTATATTGGTGTATTGGACTGAGAGGCACAGCATTGTTGTGCATATGTACATATGTATTTAAAAATTGTACGGAAGTGGGCACAGAATTTAAAATTAATATTTAATAATTAATTTGCATTCAATGAATAAACAAAAAAAAATAACCTAATTGCAATTAATATTGGTTAATTGTTCCGTTTATATTTAATAGATCTTTTACCAAGTAAGTAGACATAAATATGTATAGTTAAGAGGTTGATACTAATACACATGCATAGATATAAGCAGTATTTAGATATAGTTATATATATAATACAAATTAAATGTTATATACACCCCATTTATTATAAATATGTAGTTACATTATCTATAATAAATAAGGCATTCACATAAGAATATAATGCAAGAATTACATTAGTAAATAATTTGATGTATTAAAAGAATTAATTATACAAACAAATACTGATAAATAAAAAAAAATAATAAATAAAAAATAAAAAACATGTTGACAAGAGAAACAAAATTAATATTTTAATTATATTCATTCACGAAGAGAAAGAGTAAACTGCATTTGCTGTCCGTATACTCGCTAGAACCCTTGTCTGCTAAAGTCTATTATATCAAAAATTAAGCGGAATTGGTAATTACTCTATTTTTGACGACATCAACTCTAAATTTAACAGCTATTAGTTGATTTCGCCAAATAAGATTTTATAGACTTCGGAAACAGTTAAAACTAAGAGAGAATTAGTAACTGATAAGATAACAATGAGTAGGATAAATTTGCAAATAAAGTCAACAGCAGATTCCGACAATTATCTAACTTTGCAAAACAGCAAGGTGAAAATCAGGCGACTCTGAAACTTGGTTGCAGCAACCCCATCGGCGTCACAATATCGTTTAGAGCCAGCTTAGTCTTAACTTTAAATAGAATAAAAGTAGATTAAACTCTTTGTTAACATATACATATGGAGCACAACTGCTTGTTTACAATTGTAAATAGCCTAACAGATAGCCGTATAAAGATAGCTCGCTCATCCGCTACCTGAGTTCTAACCGATTCTTGCTTCGTAACTTGGATATAGAAATCCACCATTTGGAAAATACGTAGGCGTCAGTACGTCCAAGTTACTAAGTGCATAGACATAAGGGCTAACAGATCGGCAGAAATGTTTTCCTATATTCATGAAATGCTACCCGATTGCGTCTGTCAGACAGAAATCCATCAATGCATTCTGTTAGACATCTAAATGATCATATTTTTGCGCCCAGCCTCCTAAAGGCTAAGAGTCTATTTTAGTCAGTTCAAATTTGTATACACTTAATTGTGATGTTGTTCAGTTTTGTATTGATCGTTATTCGTCTGATCAATGGTTTTTATACCCTAACTCGTGCGTATTTCATCCCTTAAATCTAGCTTATCTATTGCTGAGTTCGTGTCCTTTGGATACAAATATAAATATGATACTTCTCATTTTGAGACTACTGCCAACATTTTTAAGTTAGAACACGTTAAGCTTACGCGATCCAAACTGTTGCATTGTTATTGGACCGACAAGTCAAAGAGGATTGCAAAATCAGAAATTGAATCCGATGAATTCTCTTGTGATGTCGCTGTCATCAATGACTTTCAAAAGCAATTTCTTATAGGAATTTGCCACGTAAGCCAGAACCATAGGATTTGGCGAACGGCATCATTCGAAGATCAACCAGTCGAGGTAGCTGCTCACCCATCAAGCAAACGAGCCGAAGCTTAGTAGATGGACCTGGAACGTTATACGTCGATCAAATTGTTATTTCAATAGTTTTGTAACCTTTCTGTTGTTATCGTGTGCCTTATGTGGGATACATATTAAGAACAGAAGTCTTGGACTGACTAGGCTATCATGGTCTTCACAAAATTAATGCCCCAATTTAAAAAGAAAACCCTGATCCCATTGAAAATGGGAACAAGATATAATGGTTTTGTGCAAATGTATGCAGGTAGAAGGAGGCGTGGCAGACTCCATAAATTATAATGATGAACCCTGTCTGTCTGTCTGTCTGTTCGTCTGTCCATATGTGTGAGAACGCGTTGATCTCAGCTTCTACAAGAGCTAAAGAAAATTTTTTTGTAGGTCTATAGCACGCGCATTTTAAGTTTGTTTCAAATATTCGATACCTATTCGCTTTTAATGGTTATCGAATAAAAACATGATTGAAATGCAGTTCATAATTTATATCTCGGACGTCTTAAGAACTAGAGCTGGTTTTATATATATTTTCTGCAATTTTGATTTTTTTGATACCTGCTCCAAATTTCCCCAAATTTTTTAAATTTAATTTTAGTTGAAAATATGGCCATTATGTGAAGGAGGAGCCAATAGAATATGTAAATCATATGCTCAAAATTTCATTAAAATCCATTAAGTAAAACAGAAGTTATTAAACAAAACGTTTGCCCAATTTGCAAAAGCACGTCAGCAGCGCCACGCGCATGCATTTTTCCTATGCGTGTGTACGCATACATTCAAATGCGTGTATTCTCGGCATCGAGCGCCGCCTCTAACATCACCGTTACTGCACTGCTTGTCCGAGAAATTGCAAATCTCAACCTCAATTCAATCGCAATTTCGATTCTTCGAATAGAAAATAATACACCCATTTGCATAGGAAAAATGCGGTCGCTTGGCGCTCCTCGCTACATGCTTTTCAAATTGGCCAAACGTTTAATAACTTCTGTTTTACTTAATGGATTATAATAAAATTTTCAGAATATGATCTACATATTCGATTGAAGTAATTGTCAGCTCAGTAAAAATGCAAACTCCTTCACATATGGGTCCTATTTCCAGCTGAACTTAAATTTAAAGAATTTGGGAAATTTGGAACCAGTATCCAAAATAGAACTATCAATTGTATAAAATAAATAATGTAACTCTTAAGTCGTAGACACAAATAGATGATTAAAAGAGAACAGATAAGGAAAAAAGGGAAGAGAACATGGTAGACGATGATTATAAGAGAGGACATGAGATGAGATGAGGGCTCATAGGTGGTAAGAAGGGATTCCTCTGTAAGTAACAGACGGATTAAAAGTGATTATGCACAATAAATTATGATTAGAATGCTGGATTATGGATCCAAAAAATGGTAAATAAATACATTTATACATATCTTTAAGGTCAGCTAATATTTATAATTTATGCAACCTGTTTGTTTCGCACCCTATAAGGAAAAAATAACAAAACAAAAGCAAGTTAAATAAAGCAATTGCATTGTTTGTGATATTTGTTGACAATTCCAAATGAAAGTTTTCTATTTTATTTCGTCTAACTAAAAATGTGTATGCTAGTGTTCCTCGGAATTATTTTCAGCTTGAACCCTCATAAATCAAGTATTGAATACACACTCATTTATATTTTACATATCTCTTTTGAATAATCAATATGTATATATATATGGTCTTATATAATATACATTTGATAAGGGATTAGATTTAAATTGGAAAAAATTGAATTAAAATATTAAAATTATATAAATATATGTAATAGATATGTAGCCTAGAATTTATTGTGTATATTGTGAAACATATATTGTAGTTAAATTATTAATTATTAAATTGTTAATTAAATGATCAACTTTCCAATTAGTAGCGCAATTTTTTTTTTGCTTTTTCAATAATATTTTGTAATAAAGGCCAAATGTAGAATATTCTTATGTATATGTACATTGAAGTATTTAATTAGTAGATTTAACTATAAGATTTTTTTTTAAATTTTTACTAGCTCTTTTTAGCATATTTGAAAAATTTACTAGATGCAAATTTATCATAGAAATTAGTTTGTGTCCTTTTTTTTAATTAAACTGAATGGTATTAACTTATAGTCGGAGTTTCGAAGATTTTATACCTCGGCAGATATTTACAATATTACTGCTTAAATTTGATGATTTTTATTTTGTTTATAGTTGAAATTTCGAATGGCAGTTTGATAATATAGGTCGATTGCAATGTTTTATAATAATCAATTGAAATCGGAATCGGAATACGCAGACATACCATTTATAAATCAATTATTATATGTATATATTTAAATGCCATGGTTTAACATAAAATATTTTGGTGTAAGGATTTCCACTTCAATTAAATTGTCTATAGAGCCTTATATCAGTGGAGTACATATTACATTGTACATAGTTTAAATATTGGTTGTTATTAAATGGAAGCGAGAAACATTATATATTATATATATATATATAACACAAACACATATATATATATATATATATATATATATATTGAGTATAATTTGTTATAAGTTAGTTTACTTCTATAGCTGATGAAGAAATATGCATGTGGAGTATTACTTAACATACTTGCTATCCCATAATATTTGATTTATCATTGTATTTATTATGTATATATAATTGTGTATAATATTATCCAAGAGGTAATTATGTTTGTTACGTAAGTTTTTGTTTTCAATTAAGCACAAATTATTGTACAGTTATTGGATACCAGAAAGAACTGTTTTTTAAATGATAATACCCACGATTGATTTTTATACATTTATATAATATAATATACATATACAGATGTATATATATATATATATATATATATATATATGTATGTGGGTTTATTATATATCCTTTGTTATTGTGGAATTATATACATAAACGGAGCTATATTTATTGTATCCATTATTTTCTGGTTTCAAAGAATGTAAATTGAATCATGCAACTGTGGACTTGGTTCTCAGCAAAGCTACGAAGTTGCCATCAGAAGCTGGACGTAAAAATATATATATGTAGTTATATATGCAGAAGCTACACTGTATCTATTTCGAAATATATAAATATATATAATTTGCAAAGCCGTTGTTGATGGATTGACATTCGGTTTTGGATTCTGTCGTCGCTTCAAAACCAGCCGCCACTTCCTAGCTTTGAGCTAAGTCCACCAATGCCTTTGCCGAGCAGATTGCCAACACGACCAGCTACCACATTGGTAACAGCCGCTGCTTGAGCGGCCCCAATCTTTGGCTTCGGCATGCTGCGTGACGCATGGGCACCAGATTCTCCACCCTCTCCTCCATCCTCTTCGTCACCATTGCGCATATCGTCACAATTGCTGTAAGTTTTGAGCACAACAGAATCTTAAGTTTAGAGGATTCGTTTGGGCTTTGACTACGGGGATACTTACAGATCTCCGTCGGCTACATCCGGCATAGTCAGCGCACAGGTGGCCTCTTCAGCAGTCATTCGTTGTATAACTGTCTGATATGCTTTTGAATTTAACTTGTCCTCAAGCACGCCTTGCAACTCAAAGTCCGAATAAATTTTCTGGTTCATATATATAATATAGTACATATAATATAGTGTGGTAAAGTATATATATATATATCTAAATAGAGAAACAAAACATCAGCTGATTACTTTCCCCTCGCTCTGCATTTTCACGAAATTATTATTCTCTCAATTCCCATTTTAAATGTGTGCTTATTGCATTGTAAAATTGAATTGTCAACTGCTAAAATATTATTTGTTACGGTGGTACCTAAAAAACCTGGTTATTAAGATCAGGGTTCCAGTTCTGATAGACGTCCACTTGCTTTCTTATATAACATAGTATATGAGTATAGATACGTAAGCTCGAATCTCGAATTGCAATACTTTTAGTTTTAAAATTTTCTTTAAAACATCTATATATATTGTATGTGTGCATGAGTGTGCAAATGTTCAGAGACAAGCTATAACATGTAAGAAGGCTCTGGTCGGGCTGCCCGAATAGTAGATTCCCTGATCCCAGTCCTATCTGCGTATTTTAATATTTTCCGTAGTTTGTATCGAGTATTCAAAAAAAAAAACAAGTAAAAATCGGCATTACGACACCAAGATTCGAACCTCCACTTCATAATTTAAAAAATAAAGCAAGGCAAAGGAGGATCGAGCCCAGGGGGCAATCTGCTTACCAGCGCCGCCTCTACCAACGCAGCCACTGCACTGCTTACCTAAGAAGTTGCAAATTTGAATTTAAGTTGCATATTCTAAATTCCGAGCCCCTAGATTTCTTATTTTTTCTTCTTACAAGGGACGGATTTTGAGTCTAATAAACGTTTTCCTGTTTTAAGAATTGTTATATACATTGATAATAGGAAGTCAGGGTATAATGGTTTTTTGCAATTGTATGTAAAAGGCAAAAAAAGGCGTGTCAGACCGTATTAAGAACATATATTCTTGATCAAGACGACAATACGTGTTAATTGATCCTTGTTCGTCTGTCTGTCCGTAAGTGTGAACGCGTCGATCTCAGCATCTATAAGTGCTAGAGACTTGAAATTTGTTGTAGGTGTGTTTATAATAATCGCAAACTATTTTTGTTTTATCGTTTTCGAATTAAAAACCTAATGAATACTTGAAGGAGTTTGCCTTTTTACTGAGCTGACAATGACTTCAATCGCATAGATCATATTCTGAATTTGATTATAATCCATTAAATAAAACAGAAGTTATTAAACGTTTGGTTAATCTGAAAAGCACGTAGCGAATAGTGCCCATCGAAAGCATTTTTCCTATTCAAATGGGTGTATTCTTTTCTATTCGAAGAATCGAAAATGAGATTGAATTGTGTTTGATTTATCAGCTGATACTTAAGTTGAGATTTGCAATTTCTCGGTGGCGGTGCTCCTCACCGGCAAGTTCTGGGTTCTTGATACCAGGCGGCGATGAGACGTTTTTTTTTTGTTTATTTATGAAGGTCGAGTCGATGCTCGTAAACAATGTTGATTCGAGTCTCGGTGTCATAACGTCCGTTTATATTTGTTTTTTATTAAATAATACCCCGACTAGAGCTTTCATACTTATTATATATGTATTTGATTCCGCATTACCTTAATAATGTGAGAGATGGACGTGACCTGAGCATAGTGTAGGGAGTGATCCAAACGTTCTGATAGCCAAGTGGAGAGCATATTTATTTGCTGAGAGTACCACTGGTCAAAGAAGTTTAATGTCCATAGATCATCGCCGATTTTACCGCGTATTTGATCCATATTATTGCGAAAGAAATTCACATATCCTTGTCCCAGATCCTTGCCAGAGCTCGAGACATTGGTAAAGCTAAGGATTGATCCGATGAGACTGCCCTCATCGTAACGCCCTAGCTTCGACAAAGTCGACTCTAGCACTGACATAAGTTTTCCACTCAAACCTTGTGTCATGGCTACATTCGCTTTGTCGATTTGATCATCGATTCTTGCATGGAATTTGTACTAAAAATTAGAATAATAATCATAATGATAAAGTGTGTGGGTGGACGCGAGTGTGAGTGTCTTACTTACCAGATCAATACCATCAATGGTAGTTAATTTAAAGCTTTGATTTTTAGCATCTAATATCACATTTACCATAGCGCACATCTCTGTTGGTATTATATAATCGGTCGATATGAAGGCAACATTTTTCTTTAACCATGACTGAAATGACGTATCCGTTCGCTGTATACACTGTTCGATCATATCAACGGCCATCATCTTTAATCGCTGCTCCAAATGCTGTCGAAACTCTGCATCTGGCCAATGCAGATCTCTAATAAACGATTGCAATGCATCCAATTTCCAGAATAAGTCTTCCGATGTTGCACAACCATTTCTGTGCAATCAAATAAGCAAATTATTGATAAGAATATTAATACAATGCTATCAGATATTTTGTAAGTGTAGATAGAGTAGACAAAAGATTTCGCTATATATTTTATGCATACATATATTAAATAATCATTAATTATATATAATATTGGGAATTCAATCAATGATCCGTTCTACAGTTCTTTACTCCACTACAATCTTAAATTTCAAATATTTACGATCGTGATTGTTCCACAAATTTTTGTTTTTGGTAATTGGAACACATAATACACATCACAATACAATCGAATCGCTTACTAAAATAACCATCTATCACATCATCTATCACTTGAAATTTTTATTTTTTATCTAATAATAAATAATAAACTGACCCACTAGTTCCCAAACTTTATAAACTCAATTTTAATCACCAATTTTATATTCCTATCTCGTTCTGAAAAATAAAATACCAAAAACCATTTAGAAGAGCTGCAGCCTAGTTTTATATATACTTGTATATCAATTTTTCCAAATTCGAAATTTACAAATATCAAAATTTGGGATTTTTTAAATTCTCACATACTATCCGAATGTATAATTATTATAATAATATATATATATATAATATGATTATAATAATAATATATATATATAATATAATTACAAATATTGGCGAGTAACTTCAATTGCAAGCAAGCAAATGCAACTACAAAAACTTTAAAAGGGATGCTTAATCTACATTTAATTGGTAATACTAATGTAAAGGTGTTGTATTGACATAGTAGTTAATTGATTGATTGAACGAAATATATTATAGTTAAGAAGCGCACGCATAATGAGAGTTACATGTGAAGAGCTATACTATACTAGCTTAAAGTATGTATATATTGAATTTAATTATTTTATTTTATATTTTGATTGTTTGGAACTTCAATTCTTGGATTCAATTGAGTAGATTTCTTATAAAATCTAAATGGAGATATAAGAGATATCTATCAGATCACATGGAATTATAATATAATTGATCACATATAATATATAGATTACTATATATATATATATATAGATATATACATAGAATACAATACTATATACTATAATTTTAACACTGACATTTATAACTTCCAATGTTGACGGACATGATGTAGGTATTTTTATATAGGATCCGTCATGGACTCAAAGAGAGAAGTTATTGGGGCTATTTAATATTATTATTTTTTAAAATTTTAAAAAGCAATGAGCAATAACTATATGTTTTGACACATTTAGGGAGCGATTGAAGATTGGGCCGTGAAATATCATCTTGTAATTAATGTAGCGGCTTTTGTACTCAGGTACCTTTTTTACTTGTTATTTGTTCGTCTTTGTCTGTTCGAAAATAGCACTGAAACTACATTTAGTATTTTGCCTACAAGTTAGTTCTAGCGTAAGTTTTGTAATTTGGTAGCTTAGCAGAAAAAACTAAACAACAAACAAACATAAAATATAGTCGTATATATACATAAGTATGTTTTCTATATGCACACCTACAAAAGTGTTTGGATGCACAGATATACATCGCATATGTATATATTGTATATATATCTATTATATATATATCTTGCAGGTGACTGAGTTGTGAAGTTAGGTAGTAGCAGTAGTTATGGATTATATTGTTTACTGTAAATTTTCTAATTTAGTTAGCATACATATTATGTATATATAAAATGTACATTAATCAACATTTGCATGTATTGTCGAATGTTAATAGTGAAAAATGTATTAATATATGAATATTAGCTAAATCTGAATCGTGTTCTAGTTAAATCAATTCTCGAGGCAGCAAAAACAGAACAAAATGCAAAGAGAGTATCTTAGATAGAGGCATTAGTGTTAAAAACCTCATTTCGTCAACGCAACCCGCTGCAGCACCAGCAGCAGCAGCAGCTGTGCGTTTCGGTAGCTTCGGCACATAAAAATTGACTTGATCTTTCTTGCCGCTCAGCAGGGCCGCCGGATTAAGAGCTGCCGTGTTTAAAGCCTGGGCGGCATTGTTTAATGCAGCTGGATTCAAGGCGGCGTTAATCCTAAATTTTCAGCACAGAAATATGAAAATAGATAATATGAACGGCAAACATTTGAATTGCTTAATAATGATAGGACAGTCAAGAGTTTATGAGAGAGAGATAGGACGGGGTACAAATGAGCGGAGATAGATGAATAGAAAGAAAGATATACAGAGAGAGTGGGTGACTACAGATTGGGTGAGACTATTGCAATACTCGCGATGTCATATTATCAGAATCATTTGCGCTCTCTTATTTAACATTGTCTGTCAAGACTTATTATTCCATAAATATATTTTTATTAATGTTAAAAAATCAGTTCTCTATAATATTCCCCTTTGTATTTAGTTATGTATTATGTATATACATATATTTTTAGAGTTGTAAGTATATGAAAAAAAATATATATATACTTACAACTCAAAAAATATTGATAAAATCAAGCTTACATTCGATCGGACAAAATTCCTACTATAGGAAATAGATTTTCTAAGAAAACTTCCAATGAAATTTCACAAAGAAAGGCACCCTTTCGTTATTTTTAGACTATTTTTTCAACAGTTTTTATACCAGGGTATTCCTAAAAATAATAACTCAACCCTCTTTATGCTCTATAACTAGTGTAATACTATGGCTTTCAAACTCAAATGATTAATCATTAGTCAGTCAGAACAAGCACTTTTTAATATATATACATATTTATATAAAAATATGTATATGTTCATAAAATGGCCCAGCCCGATAATGTGGATTTTAAATGAAATTTCGTTGAATCGAATATAAGTATCACTTACCCTTTGGTCTCCCAACGTTCTTTTTCAAAGCCTTTGTGTATGGATTGAGCTATCGAGGATTCCATTAGATCCACGTATCTCACCACCAATGGGGCAAATGTGTCACGCAAGTGCTGATGGAATCTTCCGTTTCGTAAGTTATCTGAAAATATTCACAGCCATGAAATAATGTTAACACATACTTTAAGTTCTGACTTTATTTGTACATATATTATGACCATTCAATTTAAACCAATAAGGCATTTTTTATCTACGTCCATTTGTCTTATGTTTATTCACAAAGTAGAAGATAATATTGGTTTTGTAAAATTTCCGTCTTGATGTCCTCGCGCCTGTTTGTGTGACCGTCTGTCTGAGTGACCACTAACCATTTCACCCAAAATCTATTGATCGACCTGAGTAATTTCTATCCTATTCCCATCCCTATTTTTAATGAATTCATCTTATAACAAATTTTTAAAATGTAAATAGTGTATAGCTGGCTGTAAAATACTGCGTCTCGTTCAAAAACATGAACAATTTGATTCATGGTTCTATTTGTAGTGGTTCAAAACTTAAAGCTGGGTTGTTGCCAAGCTCAAAAACTCTGAAAATAATATATTTTTTACAAATTTATCACGAAAAGTCAGTGGTCTACTTCAAACCTTTTTAACCTTAATAGGGTTCAAAAATAATGGCATTTATAGTCAGTTCCAATTCATTATCGAACAAGTTTTAATACTTTATTAGACAAGAGTGAATAGTACATATATATTAATGTTTGTGGACTTACCATCAGATCTTAAATAATCATTAAGTATTTGAAACAATGGAAACGAGTCCCATGTATCTGGTGCCTGCTCGGACAAAACTCGATCCATGTCAACTGCAAATAGAGACCAGAATATTTCCGCATGCTCAACCAGTAGATCGCTGAACCAAGCAAACGCCTATAGAACGATAATACGAATATTAAATGAGATAACCTATTTATACGAATGATATATTCATTTATATAGAAACACTTTTATTGTTAAAAACAAAAGAAATCTACAGACATGTTTTATCTAAATTGAAAGTTTAGATGATAACGAAAGTCAAGCGATCATAATTTTAAAAGATATCTATATATATTTATGCATTTAGTTTTTCTTATAAGTATATAAATTAATTATATTTATAAGCAATAAAAAATATAGTTCGATTAATTTTCTCAGTCAGAAAATCTTCAATACTATGAGGTATTCAGGAATACTATGAGATATATTCGGCCAGCCGAAATGCACACCTGCAGAAACTGTTTGTTAATTTAATTTATTTATTTATTTAATTAATCTTTAAGTCTTTTAATTAAACACAAATAACCGGAAAATGTATAGAAATTCATTTTTAAATAGACCATGTACTCATGTGTACATATTTATAGAGAGATTACTTTTCTATACGGTATCTTCTATCCTATATAAATTTATCATTTATTTTCATTTAACTAGGTTTAATTTATTATATATTACAGATTTAGTGCATAAATAATATATACAATTTTTTTTTAAAAACCATCAAATCTAAAATCAAAGCTAGTTGAGGATCAGAACAATAAGCAAATCCATTTTCTGCAAGTTACCTATAAATTACAGTTGATGAAAATGGTAAGCCTTTTTAAGATTTAGATATTCTTTAGGTGCAAATATAGCATGAATGTCGTGCATTAAGCTCACATATATAAGTGTATAAGTAGTTTACATGTATGGATTTATAGTATAGAAATATATTGAAATATATTTTTTATAAAATAGTTATTGATAGTATTCAACTTTCATATGTATGACTTATTATTTAAATGGGTATGTAGATCATATTATTATCAGCAACGTACGACAGACATGCATTGTTTGTTTAACTAACTCCAATATTTACATTAAGTATATGAATTTTTTTTTTTTCAATACTAAAACAGATTTAATATACAGTCAGACTTTGGATTAAGATGAAAAAATATATATAACCTAAAACTAAGCTTTCACCTTAATTTTACAATTTTTATCTATTGATGACGAGCGTTTACAAAAGTTCTGATATATCTCATTTATATATATATATATATATATATATATATATATTGTAACTTGTTATATAAATATTACAAATTATAAATATTAAATATTAAAAAATAAATAAAAATTTTGGTTTTTTATATTTTGATACATTTATTAAGAATAAAACATAAAAAAGGGAATCAACTAAAAATATAGTGATATTATATGTTAACATAATGTATAATATAGAGGATGGAGAACAAAAAGGCAACTGTAAAGATGGAAAGTATAATATAATATCAATATTTACAAAATCACTCATTGAAAACAAATCTAATTTTTTTCGGAATAAATAGTAAAATAATAAATGATAAATGCTTTTATTACTAAAAAAACTTTTCTCCACTTATTTTTATTTAAGTTGGAACTTCATGTTGGAAAAGAGGGACACGCTAGACAGGTTAAGTTAGATCGTTAGACAGAGAAAGGGTGAGAGAGATACAGAGAGAGAGAGAGAGATATAGATAGAGAGAGAGATAGATAGATAGAGAGGGATAGAGAGGGATAGAATGAGAGAGAAAGATAATAGACAAATGAGAAACCAGAATAAATTTTTATGGTATCCCTTATGGGTGAATCCTTTATGCACCAGTTACTTTCAGTCTAATGTAAGTAAGGAAAGTCGTGATCAGAATCAGGATCAAACATCATATTCACTTCATGTTTTCGAATTACGAGTCGAAGTCAGTGACACGCCTAACAATTTCTGTTTCTCTCTCCCTATTTAATCACTATTTACCCTACCTTCCTATCTACATATCAATATTTACTGTTACCTTTTCCTTTTTGCACATACTTATTTTTATTTTATTTTTTTATTTTTTTATTTTTTACATACATATCGACTGTCAAACAGTTCAGTTTTAATTTTAATTAATGTATTTATTTTCATTTAAAATGAACTACATTGCGAGAATTAAAATGATTGCAAGGAATTAAACTTTCATTTTAATTTACTTATAATACACATCATATATATATATATATATATATATATATATATATATATATATGATATATATATATATATATATATATATATATATATATATATATATATATATATATATATATATATATATATATAAAGTATCTATTGAAAAGATCGTTTTTAATTCTTTATGTGCATACGATATATTTTGTAAAGAAGTCAATATGTTATTTCTTATGTTTATTATTTGAAATAAGCTCTTGAATTTGAAATTTAAATTCAAAAACTAATATGTGTTAATATGTTGTAGTGATGCCCAGAGATATACATGTTTATATAATTAAGAGAATGGGTGTACGAATTGTGATGTCATATAAGTATGAATATACTATGTGTGTATATGTTTATATAGCTAAAAGAAATATGTGTTATCTATACTCATTTATAGTTATGTTGGTCTATTATCTAAATGAGAATTTGTTTTGTATATGTGTATAAAGAAAGAGAGATAGATAGAGAGAGAGAGAGAGCGAAAGAGAGAGAGAGAATAGTACATGCCGTTGGTACTGGCGATGTGTATACCGCATGTGTGGGCATACAGTAACGAAATGGGGGCGCTCCGTCAGTGTTAGTGGCAGCTGTAGTAACATCCAAAGTGCCTTGATCCATGCTAGTGTTACCCAGACTAGACGAAGCCCCGGCGACAGTGGAACCACCATCAAATCGACCATCACTGGGCAGTCCAGTCCCATCTCCGCTGCCTTCCTTTATTGTCTTAATTTTATCCTTTTTGTTGTCTTGTTTGCGCAGCTAAATTGTGTAAACCGAGTATACAAATACAGATGTACGTACCAAAAACAAGTTATATATGTACAGAGTACTTAAGTTTGTGTTAAACACGATCAAGATCATCTTGATTGCATTCAGTGTCGATATTATTTAAATACTACGATAATTTATTTTGAGATCACTAATCATAATTTGTTTATCGAGTGCTTAAGCGTTTGAGCGACAGAATTAAGTTTTTGTTCTACGGAAACTATGCATATATTGTTTAAGCTATACTTAAGCTCTTATAAAAATAATAATCATTTAAAGATCGATAAGTTGATCTAATTAATGTCATTTTTTCTTACTCTGGTTTTATTTTTATTTTTCTCCATACCGATTTGTATTCTATTTTTATATATTGAATCTATATACACTGACGAGCAAAACTGTAACACATGTTCAATGTTCTCATTTCAACGGTCTGTATTATCTTTTCTACTTTATGCATGTATGTATTTTTAATATTACAAAAAAGTTTTTCCCCAAACTCTAAGTGTTTCCAAGATTGCAAAAGTGTGTTCAGATCTATTCGAAGTTTATAAATATTCAATCTGTATAAAATTGCATGTTATTATATGGTTGACTAGCCATGGTTTAAAACGTTCTTCTCGGTCAATATTGCTTATATTCGATCGCGTTGCAAAATAGAGTAACGTGGTGCTTGAATATTGTAATCGGAGGGTGCTGGAATTTTGGGAGGTGGAGTAAACATACAACATATACATATACATACAAAGAGATGGGGTTACACTCGTATACATACACACAGGTGGTAAGGTTCAAAGAATGAGTCAAACTATAATAATAACTTTAGTTAATAAATTTAGTATATTGTGTAGAAGATTACATATAAATTAATTGATATACCAAAAGCTGATTAGAGTTTTACATAATACATAAAGAGTGCTGCTGCAACAACTGGGTGTACTTTCCAATATACATAAAGATATATTAGATATGCAACACACACGCTTTTGCTCATAGCGTAGTACAGATAGTCGGTACATTTAATTGCCTACACACATTTAAACAACACACCTAAAAGAAATTGGCTCATTCGAAGCACAAGTGTGGACGCAGTACAGTTTATAAGAGTATAAGAATAACTTCTTGCATTATACTTACATTTGACATTTGACTGTATATCGTCGTGAAACTTATACATAACACACATATGTATGTATATATCTAACATACATACCTGTTTGTGTTTGGGTACATTCATTTCACTCTTATTATTATCTATTTTCTTGACAACGACAACTTACTTCGCCATAGTGTTCCTCATTTTGCTGCAGTAGATCAACACAAAGCTCAGCCAAATGTATTAAATCCTCGAGTTTTTTGGGTGGTGGTACAATCAGTTCACCACGTAAGTCCTCTGTGGAGAGTTGATCAACAAAATTACATTTTTTAATAACTAAAGTGGATCCCAGTGCTGATTTACCTTCGATTTTAGCTTCTGCTGATAGCCTTGTGTAGTTTACAAGCGCAGCAGTCTCTAAGCTTTTTTTTATCATTTGTCGCACTTCTTCCGGTGGTACTGGGGTAACGATATCTTTCATTAGAACCCTTTCGAGTAGGGATAGTGTTGCTTTCAAAGCCCCTTCGGGCCGACCGAATGGAAAACAATATCTAAAATTGGTTATTTGATACTCAAGTAGCTGACGCAAACGTTCTTTAATTTCCGAAAACTTCTCCTTTTCCTCATGAGTTATACTACCCACTCCATCCGGTCTACAAAAATAATAGTCATACATAATAATTACGTATAATCACTCTGTCTTTGTATATATGATGGTACGTTACCTATTGCCGTGAACATGACTTGCGCAGAATGCAAACGAATAATGGATCAATGTGGGATCAATCATATGCTGTTTTTCAGCACGATCCAAAAGATCGGAAAGATAACACAAATGTCGATAGCATCCACGCACACCATATCGCGCGCAGTACTCGTCCAAAACAAAGACTTGCCCTGGACTAAACCACCCCTATTATGAAAGCAAATATAATATACGCATCAAATGATTTATAGACTATTTTGATATGACTTACCAAAGAGGCATATGGATCATTCAATCGGTACTCAAGTGTTAGATTTTGTAATGTCTTAAATAGGCTTGCATGATCAAATGTGCATGGATCCGCACTTATATAATCCTCCATGCCATGCTTTCGTGCTTTATCCGCATCTAAATAAATTATTTATTACATATTTTAAATTCAATTGAATGAAATTAATCGAAATACAGGGTTTATAAAGCAAGTCATAGATAACTTATTTGTAATAAATTTATATTTGTTATTCAGATCAGTTTTGCTAGATTATTAACTAAGTTTAGTTACCTCCTTGAATTTTAGACATGGCCGAATTTTTGTCCTGAGTTATTGGTGGCGTAGGCTTATGAGACTGACCAGTTGCTCTATACATAGCCATAACCCAGAGACTGCATTCGTTTTCATCGTCACATGCAAAAGCTATGCTGTCGCCTTCGCGAACCGCATTAAAGAAAAATCTGCCACCGTTTAAATCGATTCCGAACATAAGATTGGCTGTAAACACAAATTTTATTCAATATTTAACAAGAATGGATTCTGTATACTATATTTATTGTTTTACTCTCAACACATTAAAAATGGGAATGTCGGGTATAATGGTTTTATGAAAATGTATGCAACAGTCAGAAGGAAGGGTGACAGGCCCCATATATATTCTTGATTATGACGACGAACTGAATCAATTTAACCCTTTCCGTTCGATTGTCTCAATGAGCACACCGACGTCACAAATTATATATAACACTAGCTCCAAAGACGAGATTTATTTTAATAGCTGAAGCTTGATAGCATTTTCATCGATGGAATGCATACAATTGCAAGGATTGTTCTACTAACAATGGAAGATAAAAACAAGTAAGAAAGATACCCTAATCCCAGTCCTATCTACGATTTTTAAAAATTTACAACAGCTTGTATCAAGTATTGCAAAAATAAAAAGCAAATAAAAAACGACATTACGACACCAAGATTCGAACCCACAATTTCGGTCTGCTACGCCTCCTTCTGCCTGTTACACACATTTGCACAAAACCATTATACCCTGGTTTCCCATTTTTAGTGGGATCAGGGTATATAAAACAAGGAGCATACCACTGTAAAAAGGTATAACATGTCATAAAAAAAAAATAGATATATATATATATATATATAAACATACCACTGGCAGCTTCAATATAATCAACTGTATATCCATCAAGCTGCATCATCTCGGACGGCTCCGATTTCTTCTCCTTATAGCTACACATTGCAAATGTGTATTGAGATACTTGAACTAACACAAAATACCGTCGTTTCCATTTTTTCCATACTGATTTTCCAATTGCAAACAGATGTCTAAGAATATGCATATGCATATAACAAATATAATATTATTTTAAATATATAGATCTGATATATAACATTATCGTTTACATACCCACAATGCTTCATATTCAACGGTTTGTCGAGCCTGCATGCTATCTTGATCCGTACATCCTGGTCGGGTAAATTTTTGGGTACGATCATGCGATGCCATTCAGGAGACTTAATTAGAAGACAAAATAATTGAATAGAAAAAATATTTTGAATTAATATCATTAAAAAAGTTGCAGTCTGGCCGATTGCATATTACTCATTTACGGCCTAAGTTATATAGTTTTTCAAAATTTGAAATGCCCCACTAGGCGTGGACGCATCATTCTTAGACTGGGTCTTCAAATCGTTCCAAAGGTGGTGAAATTGCCGGGTATTTTTAGTGTCATGTCCTAAGGGGCATTCAATTTTTTGCCATATCGAACGAGGAGGTCAACAATAATTAAATAAAAAGAATTTCTCTAAAGCTATGGATGATACAGTATTACCCGACTTTTCACGCCCCAATGTGCGTAAATATAAGCTATATTTTTATCTTGGGTTGTCAACGCGATGTTATGTGCCAAATTTCTAGCACTTCAACTAATTAAGTTTGAGACATACCAGAAAGAGTATTTTCCGATTTACACGCCCCAAGTGTCTGTATCGTGAAAATCTTAACACTTAATCAGGATGCTACTTACGAGACAGACAGACAGACAGCAAGATGGACATTGTGCAAAACCAACATACTGTTTCACTTCGTGAATAACTATACAAATATGTGAAATAGTTGCTAACTTTGGAAGAAAGAGGTGTAGGCTTTATGGTGACTTTTCCCAACTCTTTATCCTCCAGTGCGAGCATTCCAGGATTTTCTGTATAGAGCTTCACTTTAACGACAGGCAACGGATGAGTTGTAGTAAAATCGCCCTGAGTATCCCACCTGCAAAAGATTTGTAATCAAATTGTTATTATTATGTTGATATTAACATTAAAAAACGAGCGAGATCTCTCTTACATTGGTTTCGATGCCTCGGCTTGATCAGTTTGCAATTTTTCCCCATTTTCAACTTCCATTGTACAGTAAACAATCCTATTAGGAGCTAACGACTTGAGGCCTTTTACTTCCATTACAATTACTTCCAATTGAAATGTAAGTACAACATCTAATTTGGTCAGCTGTGTAGTACCATCTTCCGAATCACCTTCTAGCTTGGACAGGGATCCATGAGAGCGCAAAATCATTTTTCTAGTTGTGAAAATAACATTAATATTTATAAATAAAATTATCAATACTTTTTTAATATAACTTACAAAAATGATGGTGTGCTGCGGTTTTCGGTGGATAGGAAAAGAGAGTTAATAAAATAGGAAGTTAGACATTGTTTATAAATGAAGAGATTTTACCTATGGTTATAACGTTTCAATTTCTGTAACCCATATTTACTGTCCATATTTCCTTTTGATACGGGAAGAGATTCCAGATTAGCCATCAGTAGATTAATAGATGATTTCAATTCCTCAATGTATAAAGACTCCATTTCTTTAAGCACAAACTTTGGCATCAGCTTTCGATTCTTTTCCATTTCTCCAACACGCTGCATGCGTCCATCCAATTCTCGACGAATGGCTGCAGCCTGCTCATCAGCAGAATCGAGCTAATAAAAATGAAACAGAAATATAACATATTGTTATATAAATAATATCATAATAACACAAATGTCGTAATGATAATACCATAATAATAATAATAGCAAAATAAAGCTCCGAATAACGGGGAAAAATAAGATGTGAAACACCCAACAAACGCACAAGATGATATTGATCCACGGTTAACTGGGCAAGCAAAGCAAGCAAAAACTCGAAGTTTCAAAGAATCTCAGTAGCACCTGTATCCAAAATGTAGAAGAAACATGACGAACAACTATGGCTGAAGGTGTTGAAACTGGACGAACTACTGGATAGTCATTGACTTTGTACAAAATCCCGGAAAAATGCTAAAAGTGCAGCAGATTCCCCAAATAGAACCCTATTAAAGTCTCAAGGACATAGTAAGGTAGACGTCCTTCGAAACATAAGCAGCAGAATCCAACAGGACGAAAAGCGAAATGTAGGAAGCATAACGAAAACCCGTTCCGGGGAACGACTTGTGAATTACAAAATATAAATAAGTCAAAGCTTTTGTTGCTTTAAAATTACAAATAGCTCACCTCGGGAAATATAAAATATATTAATGAACCCGTCCAATCCGCGGTTCTATATTATTTCGATAGCTTTTTCTATCACAGAAAAAGGAAGAAAAACTAAAGGAAGATAAAGCAGGACTCGAACCAACATCTCTACACTTAATTTTCTAAAAACATGTAAGAAAGCTCTAGTCGGGGTGCCCGACTAGGAGATACCCTGATCCCAATCCTCTGAGTTTTTAAATATTTTCCGTAGTTTGTATCGAGTATTCAAAAAAAAAAAGAAAACATATAAAAATCGACATTGCATAACCAGGTTTCGAACCCGGATTATTTGCGCAACGTGCACCAACTCTACCAACACCGCAACTTCATAATTAAAAAAAAAAATAAAACAATAAAAAACGTCTCATCTCCACTGGTCTCGAACCCCGGACCGTACTGCATACGAGCCCGCCTCTACCAGCTCGGCCACTGCACTGCTTATGCGAGCGGTTGCAAATTTGAACAGAAGTAGCAGCTAATAATTCAGAACAATTCAATCGCAATTTCGATTGTTCGAAAAGAAAACAATACACGCATTTGAATGTATGCGTACACACGCATAGGAAAAATACATTGCTGACATGTGCTTTTGAAAATTGGGCAAACGTTTTGTTTAATAACTTCTGTTTTACTAAATGGATTTTAATGAAATTTTCAGCATATGATCTACATATCCTATTGGCTTGGTTGAAATGCAAACGCTTTCACATAATGGCCCCAGTTCCAACTAAACTTAAATTTTTAAAATTTTGGGGAAATTTGGAGCCAGTATCCAAAATCCAACAAAAATCAAAACTGCATAAAATAGCTCTATATAGGCTCTAGCTCTTAAGACGTCCGAGATATAATTTATTAACTGCATTTCAATCATGTTTTTATTCGATAACAATTAAATGCGAATAGTTATCGAATATTTGAAACAAACTCAGGGTATAAAAAAAGACGCTCGAGGCCGCCTGCGTTAAGCTAACTACTTAACTGTTAGATCTAAGCCCGTGGAAAATAATATTTTTTGTCACGACCCACAAAAGTAAATAGAGGCATAATATAATTGCCAAAGTTTTGGTTTTTAGTTGTTTAAACAAATAGAATAGAATAGAATATAGAATATAGAAATTCAAATCTATTGTATGAGGAAGTTTTTGGATTTTCATTATAGATGTAGGACTATTTGCATATAACACCAAATTGTTTCATAAATAGAAAATGACTGCTTTTTCCAGCTTTCACTAAAAATTAAATGACGGACTTGGTTAGATCGAGTATGCTCGATGCACTATTGCATTCTGACGCCATGAACTACTGCTACTCGTTACCAGTCCAAAAGCAGTTAAATATAGCTAACAATCAATATATGTCATCTAATCAACTTTATATGAAACTCTAGTCAGGCACGTGTGAATAATATCTCATAAATAACATTATTAAAATTAAATAAATAATAATATTTGTATCTTACCATTAAGGCGTTAAAAAGAATTTGATGCTCGAATTTTTTCACAGATAAAATCTGTTGAAACATATCATAGAGTTGTTCTTTAGATAGAATCAGTTCACTATTCAATGATTGTTGCATGCGCGAAGGACGTTTAGTATCCTCTTCTCCACTGCCCTTAAGAATAATGTCGAACTTTGCCATCCAAGAAGTCAACACCGTCTCCTTACTCAATCCATCAATCTCTGGTAGGGATCTAAATGATATATAAATAATAAATTTCAAAATACAATATTAACGGTTTTTTTAAATCATTCACCTGACACGTTTTTCAATATTATTACGAAAAACTTCTCGGAAGTCATGTTGCGAGCATGCTCCGGACTGAACCATTTTCAAAACCCGTTCCGATTTTAGAAATACATCGTGATAGCTTTGCACAGCATTTTGAAAAGCTTCATCAGCCATTATCTGTGTTTCGCCCTTTAGAAACGCCTGAAAAAAGATAATTTCGTAAGTTAATAATTTATCCAGTTTTATTTAATTTTATATTTAAGATACTTTCTCCAAATTTTACAAAGCAATAAATATTGAAATTGAATTGCAAAAATAAGCTACTATTTACAGTATTTTTTTTTTGCAAATTATGAACCTCTGAACTCAAAATTAGTTAAAAATGTAAGAAAACGAACTAAGCAATATCGCACATCTCTATATAACTCCAATTATAATTGTTAATTTAGTTGTAATAATAGATAGTTTGATGTTACTTGAAATCGTTGTGTGATTATCTCTAGTTGCTGCTTTGTTATTTTCGGTTGTCTTTTCGTCATATCCGTGGGTTGTTTAGCATTAAACGGGTATGATATGCATCTGGATATAAACACATACAATTGAATACGTCGCTTCCGTTCCTCTTCTTCGCGCTCGTGTTTTTCCTGTACATGGACCAAGAATAACCGAAATAAATTTATCTGATGATTATAGTTAGAATGTTACTTACATGTAGTTCGCCACAGTCATGTTTATCGCTGGCAATTGATGGCGATGGCGAAAGTGGGCGTGGCAGAGAATTTGCGCGCGATGATCCACCAACACTTTGATTGAGAGTCTCTTGCGAAATGCCACTAGACGACGATAGCAACGTTTGATTATTATTATTTTTTTGCGGATTTACCGTCTGAAATGGTCGCTCATTTGTTGAGCAACTGTTGCTGATTTTGCTGCTGTTATTGCTGTTGCTGTTGCTGTTGGTGTTATTGTTGGTGTTGTTGGTGTTCGTGCTGGTACTTAGAAGGTGCGCAGAAGCTTTAATTATTGATATATTGATTGCACCAGCAACAGCAACAGACTTTTGGCCAAGGAAATTTGTATGCGGGTATGATGAGAGTTAATTTTGATATTTATTATGATGCTGTTGATGATGATAATGAGCTGCCGGGCTTAGTTGCTGTACAATAATCTTATGGCCTGGTCTCGCTCTATGCGCCCCAACATTATTATATATGTATTTATATTTGTATATGTTATGTAGTAGTAGCCAATTAAGTCCCAAATTCAAATCAAATATATAAATAAATATACATATATTGATAATTGCAATCCATTTTTGGAATGGTTTTTTTTTATTTTGTGCCAATTTAAATAGGTTTATTTGTATTGATAAAGCAGAGCCAAAAAAAGTATATATATATATATATATATATATATATATATATATATATATATATTAAAAAATGTTAGTTTTCCCAATAAGAAAAGGTAAGTTTAATGTAAAAAAATAATAATATGCTCATAATAACCTTAATCCTTTTAATCTTTTATCTTTAGAGTTTATCAAAAGCTGATTTTCAACTGCCTTGTCGGGAATATATATATATATAATATATAAATAACTATCGGACTACAACCGAAATAGCAGTTTTCTCGATTTTCTACAAGGCAAGCCAAATAACTTATCTAGAAGATCGATCCACATTTAGTTAAGACTCTGTATCCGTCTTTATGCCTGACCGTCCACTAAGGGAGATGCAAGTGAAAGGTCTACAACTTGCCGAGAACTAGATACTTGCAGCTTAAAATATATATACTCTTGAATGCCACAACCCCAGATAAGGTAGATAGTCATACCTAATGGACAGGGGAATTTGTTGACCTTTCTTAAATATTTACTTTCCATTTTATTTTGGACCGTGTACACATATTATTCTGTCGGTTGCGGCCGACTGCAAGGTTCTTTACTATTTAAATATTATATGAAATATCAATTAGAATTTTGTGATATACACACCTTGGAATTCCATTGTTGGGTACCTCAAGGCTACCCCCATCTATGCCATGTTGGGGTTGATCATTTTTAGATAGAACTGCCCCTACTCCTCCAGCTCCGCCACCTCCGTTTGTGCTGTCAAATCGAGTATTGCCAGCCACAAAGGCTGCTGGTCTTTGACTCGCTTGAAATTCACCATTTTGGACATTATTTGGTCCAGAATTTGTAGCTATGGCCGATTGGCCCGATGCTGAAGCCCCGCCAGCTGGTGTGACTGTTTTATGTGCAGTTCCAATACGGCCTTTATTAGGTAAGTTAACAACGGTTTCTTCGTCTCCTTCTTCTTCACTAGAACTTGGGTCTATCATGGCCTGTTAGAAAGCGATCCTCACTTAAACCTTTTGAGATTGGGAGGCTATAAAATAGTTAGTCGCGTTTATAAAGGCATATTTGAAACGTATTTTATGGTGTGTAGACGATTTAGTACAGCCGCTTTTTTAATCAAAATAATATAAAATTTTAAATTCATCGACCACTTGAAAGTTTGATGTTTGTTGATTATGTCCGGTTTTCTATGACATGAATTAACTAAAATGCATGTTCTAGTCGGGAGTCTGCGACTGATTAATACGCACGTATAAACACGCACTCCACTTACTGTACAGTCTATGTGACTGCGTTTGAATTTATTATAAAAGATTAGTTCGAATAACTTTTGTTCTTTATGTTATTTATGGAGAAAGTTGAAACGAAAATAATTATATTCCTTCATAAAAGCCTCCACATAATCAAAAATGTAAAATAATAATAAATGTTAGAATATATATATTTAAAATTGAAAGTTTTTAAGATTTGGCATATGTGATTCTGAGTACGAATATGCATATATATTCTATAGTCTTCTTGCTTGTTACATTATCATAAAAATATAATAGACCAAATTACCAATTTTCGATGTTAAAGGTATAAAAATCTTTATATATGTATATACAGCTGACATATATTTGTATATAAATCTATGTATACAGATATACTAACGTGGATTCTGTCATATAAGTCTGTTATGTGGGCTCGCAAAAAAAGTTGACTATGCCAGAGTGTTCAAAAAACCCCAACCTCATCTCACCTTGAACCAGTTCCAACCATGTGTTACTAATAAGGGTGGAACATGTAGAGAGCTTGGAGACTGCTAATTGGTCAACCCTTTTGCTGAAGCAGTGCGTACAATTTGTATATTTACGTACAATTTGTTAATAATTTATGCTATTAACTGTTTTTTCTTCACATTAACACAACACATATCTTGTACTGACAGTAAAACAATCAATTCACACACTTACAACCCTCTTAGTGGTAGGAGATTAACCATCGCACACACACACATATATATATATATATATATATGATATATAGTATATATGTATACGTGTTTGTTCCACTTTCTCTAAATGTAAGTTCTAAAGTCAGTACATAATGTTAGAACTAATTTCAACGAGTATTTTTAAGAACTATACATCATACACTTACATTTTTAGAATCACTATCTTAATTATTTTAAAACTAGTTTACTTATCATTATATTAAAATTTCGCAGTCCCAGCTTAACCAGATTCGAAGGAAATGGTTTGGGGTGGTTTTTATCGATGTCGACAACAGTCATATACAAGTTAATGGAGCATGGTTGCCTAATTTCTATTATCTTAAAATTTTAAATACATTTTTTTCTCAGCTACTTTCGGACTTTACAATATTTTGCCAAAGGATTGAACAATTTGTATAAGAACTATTTAAAAACTTTTTGCAATTTCCGATTATTCATGGTGTGTACTTTCTAAGCTTAACTGTCACTACCGACTTTTCGATAAATAAGTTTCTGATAAAATATATTTTACAATAATTTTGGGAAATGGGGTTCCAAAATCGTCGAAATACGCAATTTTGATATATTTAATATGAGACCTATTCGATTTTGACAATACTGATTTTGCTTTATTTAATTTAGGAAATATAATACAATATTAATAATTGTCGATTTAACTCATCGATAAGTGCAGACGACAACACTAATTTTGGAGCAGTGGCAACGCTACTATAGAACCGTGTGTGACCATATAAAAATGTGTACTTTCCACACCGTATCCTATTAATGAAATTTGGTCAGTCAGTTTTAAGTTGATATTGTATTAAATTATAAATGTTAGGCTCACAGAAGTATAGATATATTTGAGAAAATAAATCGTTTGTATGTGACAGATACACCGTAATATTCGGCGCAAAAGCTCCACTTTAATACATTTGTTATGGCATGTATACGTGCATGCCATATGTATGTATTCTAGTTTTCGCACTTTACGTTTTATAAAATTGTATGCACATATATATGTGTATTATCGATGTTGATATGTCGATATATCGATACACAAATACTCAAAAGTGAATTAGTAGTATTTTATTGTAGCGAAAAGTTGCATGAGTACGTGTAGACGTATTTTGTGTCAAATGCCGCTTGGAATTAATTCAGAACTACATAAAAGCATAATTGTATATCATAGACTTCTTTCGAATCGTCAATAATATGTGAGCATAATGCAAATATATCAATTAATTTATAGTGCTAACCACAATGAGTAACAGGCCCAGCAACTGTAGTAGCAACAAAGTATCACACAACACGCACAGAGTTTTATTATTGTTGGATGTGGGAACAAAGTAATTGCCAAAATAATTTAAGTGCAACAAAGAGAAGTAAAAGCCTAGAAGAGAGCACATTTCAAAGCAAAGACCGAAGTTCGCTTAAAAATGTATTCAGTTTTAATATTTTAAGCGGGCTTTGCGGGCGGCAAATCAATAGGGACACGGAATCCGAAGAAATAAAGAATTATCTGAAAATTCGCCCTGGGTCGTCGAATAATAAGGACGTTGCCAACTCAACTAAAAGGTTTTCAACGGATGTGCATTTAAAATACGCACGAAAAAGCCAGATTTTGGGTAGATCGAATGTTGCAGATGCATCCAATTATCTGAACTATCGCAATCCACAGTCTGAATTCGGACCTGTTCATCGAAGATGCGAAACACCGACCCTAACCGAATGTACGATTGATCAAAATTATAAAAATTTGAGCATTTACTTTAACAATGAGAAAGAACAATTAGAGAACAGAACTCATAAATTGACTAAGACCTCATTTAGTGACGATCGAGAATATGCTAGGCGACGACGAAATCCACCTGTGACGCGAACCGCTAAATCGGTGAAAAATCAAAATCATATACAAGCTAGTTCTATAAAGAAGTGCATTTGGCCACGAAACGAACGGAACATATGTTGGCCATCGCCTTTGGAAAACAATTTATTTTGCCTAACAACACCATCGGTGCTAATTGATGCTGTTGCCAGACATAAATCTTCGTTAGAAATCGATACTGCGGGACTACTGGACGAAAGAAATGGAGATTCGGAGCGAAACTTTGAAATACAAAACTTATTTCCATCAGATACAAAACCTGACTCATATGAATCTGAACTAAATCTCGAATCTGACGAGGATGTAGACCACAATAGCGAAAGCTGCACTCATTTACAGTCAAATGTATCGAATAAAGCTCGTAGGCAACTAACTCGTCAAGCTTCAATACAAAGCCAACTATCATCCATTGATGATTCGTCACCACATAGCGAACGTTATGGTACGGCATTTGAAACATTGGAGGACATAACTGCTCACGATTTTGAGAATATTTTAAGTCAAGAATACCAATCTAATTCAAATTTGTTGCCAGCGAGCTCAGTTCGTTTAGTAATGTCATTGTCATCATATAGATCGCAGCAAGCGCAGCAACCGTTGAACAATTTTACTAATTCGCAGCAGAACCTCGGCCGCCTATCACAACTACCTACACCACCAACAAAAGCCCCATACTCCACGCTGCAACTCGGCTCCAGTTTAAACAATGTTGATGAAAATAAAAGCCAAAAATTCTTAAGTAATAGTGAAATAGTCACTGAAGAAACGGCAATTATTGGAACTGCAAACAATAACCAAAGCGTAACAAGGGTAAATTGTCGAAATAATAATAACACGAGTAATAATAATAACAGGACGTTAAATCATTTCGATTATAATATACAGCTAAACAATAATATGGTTGGCTCACAGCAACAGACTAAACATAATTCTCAATTGGCGGCAACGAACGCAATCCGAGATGCGAGCACTTTTACAAGTAACTTGGAGGCAGCTTCCATTGATATCCAAATCGAAAAATCCGTTTCACCCGCCATGCTAAAAATTAGTATGTCACAAAATCAGCAAACCGCCTGTGGAATAGATGGAAGTGGCAGTGGTCAAATGAATCCAAATAGCTTATCACTTCACTCCTGTACAGTAGTTCCATTCAATTTCAATAGTAGTTATGGATCGGCAGTAATACTTCAGGAGCGTAAACAACAACATGCGAAACAACTGCCAATTCCACATGAAATAAGCACTTATATTGGCGATAGCTCAACTCAAGATGCTTCTGGAGTCTCAAAATCTATTCAAGGTAAGAGTCTGACCTTATTTACTTAATACATGAATTCCATGCTATTTATAATGATAGTTTTCGGCTTTTCGAAGATTTACTTAAAGGCAAATAAACAGAAATATCAATAATGGATAATAAACCAAATTTTTTTCTTTGTATTAGGAATATCGAATGCACTGGCTATAAATAGTTATAATCTGATAAGGGCGAAGAGCTTAGTCAATAGCAATTTTTGCTTGTCCAGTGATGTCGTATACTACAAAAGCTAGTTTAATTAAGAAATCTCAACTTGAACAAAAGTTTTTCAACAATTACATTTTCTTAAAAAAAAAAAACAAGTAAGAAAGCTCTAGTCGGGGTGCTCGAATAGGTGATACCCTGATCCCAGTTCTATCTGCATTTTTTTTTTTTCATATTTTCCGTAGTTTGTATCGAGTATTCAAAATAAAACATATAAAACGATATTACGATAGCAAGATTCGAACCCACCATTTCTACGCAACGTGCATTAAATCTACTAATACCGCCACAATATAATAAAAAAAAAAAAACAAACAATAAAAAATGTTCCTCCGCCGATAGGCTCGAACCCATAGATTAACCGCTTACGAGCACTGCCTCTACCAACGCAGCCACTGCTCTGCTTGCGAATGCAGTTGCCATTTTGATAATTCAAGCACAGTTTAATTGCAATTTCGATTCTTCGAATAGAAAAGAATACACGCATTTGAATGCATGTGTGCTCACGCATAGGAAAAATGAATGCGCTTGGCGTTGCTGACATGTGCTTTGCAAATTGGCCAAACCTTTTGTTTAATTACTTCTGTTTTAATTAATGGATTTTGATGAAAAGCAAATGCTCTCCACCATATGATCTCCAATTGATTTTATTGGCTTGGTAGAGATGCAAACGCCTTCACAAAATGGCCCTATTTCCAACTGAACTTAAATTAAAAGAATTTGGGGAAATTTGGAGCCGGTATCAAAATTTGAAGGCTGTAGCTCTTAAGACGTAAGAGATAAAATTTATGAACTGCATTTCGGTCATGTTTTTATTCGATAACAATTAAATGGAAATAGCTATCGAATATTTCAAGCCGCTAGCTCTTATATATGCTGAGATCGATGCGTTCACACATACGGACAGACGGACGGATAGGGCTCAGTCGACTCGGCTTGTCCTGATCAAGAGTATACTTTTTGGGGTCTGCCACGCCTCCTTCTGCCTGTAAAATGGGATCTGGGTATAAAAAGGGACCAGTTAGTATTCGCATTCTTACGTACATGTGTTGTTTATTATGAAAGATGAGTAGAATGAGTGTAATAGCTCTCCCCAGGGTTCAGTTTATCTCCTAGTCGGGCACTCCCTAATAAGGCTTTCCTACCTGATACTGAAAATTGTAATTTATAGTTTCAAATCCTACAAACAATATAAATAAATATAAATATAAATATTCGTTTTAAATAAATAATCGTTTTAATTTTTTTTTTGTTTTTAGCGAGTTCTCTGCCGAATTCAATTGTCAGGCCGAAATTGGAAGCATCGCCAATATTGCCGCGGAAAGAATTGTCGTTGAATGCAGCGGCTGTTGATTCGCTCGCTTTGGTATCGCAGCATCAGAAGTCTGTCATACCATCGGCCAACGAACATTATACATTTCACGAGCAAATCATAATGTCGGGTCAGCAGAAGAGTGCATTGCAGGATAAGCCAAAGGCATTGGTTGTATCGCCGCAGCAAGTTATGATTCTGTATATGCACAAATTGACCCCATATGAACGAACCGAAATCTTAGCCTATCCGCAGATTTATTTTATTGGCGCCAATGCAAAAAAACGCCCGGGTATTTATGGACCAAACAATTCAGATTATGACAATGAACAGGGCGCCTATATACATATTCCACATGATCATGTTGCCTATCGCTATGAAATGCTGAAAATAATTGGCAAAGGTAGCTTTGGTCAAGTAATTAAGGCATATGATCATAAGACACACGAACATGTTGCATTAAAGATAGTGCGCAACGAGAAGCGTTTTCATCGACAGGCACAAGAGGAAATACGTATATTACATCATTTGCGGCGCCACGACAAGTACAACACAATGAATATTATACACATGTATGATTATTTTGCCTTTCGAAATCACACATGCATCACATTCGAGTTGCTTAGCATTAATCTGTATGAACTGATTAAAAAAAATGGCTTTAAGGGTTTCAGTTTGCAATTGGTGCGTAAATTTGCTCACTCTCTGCTTCAATGCCTGGATGCACTTTACAAGAATGAGATAATTCATTGCGATATGAAGCCAGAGAACGTATTACTTAAGCAACAAGGTCGTTCGGGTATTAAGGTAATAAGTAAACTGTTTTTCGAGTAATATATACATACAAATATGTTTTTTTTAGGTTATCGATTTTGGATCGTCGTGCTTTGAAAGCCAGCGTGTTTACACATATATACAGTCAAGATTTTATCGCGCACCAGAAGTTATTTTGGGCGCAAAATATGGTAGAGCTATTGATATGTGGTCTCTCGGTTGCATTCTTGCTGAGCTTCTATCTGGGCACGCACTATTCCCTGGAGAAAATGAGAGCGATCAGTTGGCGTGCATCATCGAAGTGCTTGGTATGCCAAGCAAAACGTTATTGGTGAACTCAAAGCGAGCGAAGACATTCTTCAGTCCAAAGGGGTATCCACGTTACTGTACTGTCCGCACCATGCCCGATGGAATGGTCGTTTTAGTTGGTGGGCAGTCGCGGCGGGGAAAACCACGTGGGCCGCCATGCTCGAAGAGCCTGTCAAAGGCACTAGACGGTTGCAAGGATCCACTATTTCTAAACTTTATTCGTGGCTGTTTGGAATGGGATACAGAAAAAAGATTAACGCCCTCTGAAGCCCTGAAGCATCCATGGTTACGTCGTCGTTTGCCTAGACCTCCAAGCAGCACCAGCGGCGGGGCAGGGGATGGTTCCAGTAGCGCAGGAGGAGGAAATACTGGAGGAGGTGGTGGGCGAGGAAGTATTAGTGGTGACCAATCACCAGTGACGGGTACATTTTTAAAACTACTTTTACTGTTTTTTTTCCATAAACCTTAAGTTGTATTAATACGCTGAAAAAATCGTTGCCTCATAATATATATGTACTTTTGATCAGGATTAATAGCCGTGTCAATCTCGTCCTGTCCGTATATGTAAATTTCTGATTGTTAATAATTTACTCTGCTTTTAGGTATAAAAACGAGTTGCGGTAATGAAACTGTCTCAACAGGAGGATCGGCCGCCTCCGAAAGAGAGAATAGCAATTGCAGTGGACGCGTTAATCATGTTGGATTTGGCATTCCAGATTTAAAATATGGCAGCAACCATCTAGCTGTTGCAACGTCATCTCCAGTTAGTAATGCGTCACTGCCAGTTGATCTATTGGCAGACATCATAAGCAAAACGAGCGTAAAGTCTTCTACATTAGATAAGTCACCATTAGATGATTCCTTGGATAGCCGTGGATATCCATCTTCGTTCTTAAATCATACTTCTGTCAACGGATCTGAATGTAATGTAAAATAAAGTTTTTAATCACTCCGTTAAATTAACTATTTAATAATGTATTTATTTAAATACAGGTTTATCCACAATCAATTCATTAATAGGGGCCACCAAATCCTTGACGCGCTTGTCAGAAGCAACTACAATCTCAACGCCCACTTTAACAGCTGATTCGACACTTACTACAATTAACTTCGATATGGATTGCTATAAAGCATATAATGCTAATACAATTGATAAGGCAACCAATAATAGGCCATCAAATGCCAATTTGCTCCCACACGCACAAATGATAAAAGCACCATCCAAGGATATTTAACAGAATATGGAAAAATTTATTGACATGCATCGAAAGGCTTAGGGCGGTGTTTGTTTGTTGTTAGTCTATATAAAATTAACAACACACTGCCATTACAAGTGATAGACTTTAATCATAAACTCCTATTTGTTATATATATATATATATATATATATATAAACACTCATACACATGCACAGGAGGAGGCAAAGATCTCAAGCAGGCTAAATTAAATAAAAACTAGTGGCATTACAGAAATTACTAAACCATTATAATTGCTTTTAATCATTATTACTTACGAGACATTGTGCAGTTGTGTGTGTAAGCGTTATTTCCATAAACTTATATTCATACTTAAAATCGTACCAACTATATATAGTCAGGCATTTGATGAATTTATTTCATTAATATATATATATATATATATATATTAATGAAATAAATTCATCATATATATATATATATATATATATATATATATATATATATATATATGCGTGTGTGTTTGTGTATATGTATATCTTCCATGTTACCTTATTGTTTTTTTTTTTTTATCAGTATTTCAAGCATAAAATAATACTCGATTTGGGAATTCCCAATCAGCTTAATTATCTATATGCTAAGATCTTTATTTCTCATCTGACAATGACTTTTTATAAAGGAGAGTAAGAACCTTGTAAATTAAAAATCTATCTAATGATTAGTTCTTGAACACTACAATAACAATATGGTCATTAATATTTCAAAGTGAATTATAGAAATTATGATGGTAAAAAAAATTAGAATTACATAATTTAACAATCGAATTATGAGTAGCATTTTATTTTAAACTTTGATTACTTTTGAATCTATTTATTTATTTATTTTAAAACTAAAATTTTTGATTACTAGTTTCCTTTATTTGTCGCATATTTCAGTTAACTTCTTTTACTTCTAAGTTTGCATTATGAAAATGTTTATACGCGCATAAATATAAAATATTGAAAATAAAAGACAAACCTGGAATATTTCACCGTTTAAATAAAGTGTTAAAATTAACAAAAAAAAATTTTTATTCAGTTTTTTCTAACTGTATATATAGGTGGCAACTGGTAAGTACTATATAATCCAATTTTCACATATGGAACGCATACGAATATGTTCGAACTATGCAAAATTTACAGTTTATGTTGAGTTTTAAAAATTATTTAAAGAGTTTTGAAAATATTAGTTTTGGATCAATAATAAAGATTTACAACATTTAGCTTTAATATACTCTACTATAACAAAACCTAATACAATAAAGGTATACAATTTTCGGTTCTAAAAAGTCAAAATATTTTTAATTTTCTTTTCTGAACTTTTTGCCGGTATATATAGAAACAATATTAAAAGCTCCCATATATATATATATATATATATATATATATATATATACTATATCTATATAAGTATTTATATAGAGCAGTGGCAAAGCTTTAAAAATACGCTCTGTGCTACCATTGAATTCTGCGTTCATCATTTTGAAAATCTGATGCGTCAGTCTTTTGTGGAATTTGCAAGAAGAAAGTTTGGATCAGCAAAAAAGTTAAATATAAAGAACTTAAATTTTATTATAGAAGGAAGAGTTCCTTAGATTTCGAAACTTCAACTAAGGTTAGCCAATCGTGCATATACATATATTCGAATAAATGCAATATAGATCATTTTAAGTTATACAACAATTCCAATAATATAAACATACTAAATGTGTACAAGTATAGATAACATTTTTCTATAATACTTAAGATATACAGCCCAAAAATTGACTTTAACTTATGTAAACAAATTATATTTTTATAATGCTTTGGGAGCTAAAAAACCACCCGTTATAAACTTTTTATTCTGCAAAAGTGATAAACCATGTTAAAATTGCATCGTGTTTTTTTTTTTGAGCGGATGCATCTGTCGTTCTACTAGCACACTAAATCTCAATCACACCTTTGTCTAGCCCTCTCTCTCTATCTTTCTGCATTATTATCTGCGGTATTCGGACACAAGTGTATACCATTAATGTAGCCACACACGTGTGTATGTACATATTGTGTGTCCAAATTCCGGACGAAATCGTATTTTTATATAGGCACAAGTGTGTATACACACAAGCACACACGGACAGATTTTTATATACATATTTAAAAGTGCATTTAGGTCTCAGGTAAACATAGATATTCACACAAATATAATATGTAAATAATATTCGCTTGTTTATTTTCAGAAATATCTCGTCTGTTCTGAATAGGTATTTATATGTATAGTAAAATTTGATTTAGTTCACAACATAATCCTTTTCTGTTTACATGCACATATTGTAAATTAACTCTTTCACGAAATGTCTTTGTACAATGTCCGTTTTGATGTCCGTCCATATATCACTCTGTCCGAATGAACCCAATTATTTCCGCCACTATTGAGGCTACACACTAGAATTTTGAACATAAGCTCATTTGTACAATGCCCGCAAAATATGTGGCTTATATATTTCTTCAAATTTGGCAGTTAAGTCAATGCAAGCTCCCCCTTAAGATGTATCGAGTAGTATTATTCTGTCGACGTAACCCGACTGCAACATTCTTATTTCTTATACCCCGAACCTATAGAAAATATAATTTTAGTATGTAATGGTTTGGGGCCAATGTTTGAATATAGAGAGCCACAATTGGATTGGCAGACTGACCCCATAAAGTATATATATATATATATATATATATATATATATTTATATGTATATATAATTATATATGATCGGGTTGACGAATCGACCAATGAATGAACAGTTAAAATTAAATTTCACACATGCATCTTTATTGTATGAACCGATTAAAAATGGGAAAATATATTATATAAAATGGAAATATATATTCTTTTAAGTTTTGCATTAGTTTTAAGCCATACAACTACTACTACAGACAACAAAATAATTAATATGTGTTATAATATTCTAATGATTGCACATATGATGAATATTGCCGATATTGGAGATTTCTTAATATAGTTACTTCTATGTATAATACAGGCTATTAAGTAAATATGTACATATGTGCACATGGTATCTTGGGACGACTTACTGAGTCAAAGTATAAATATTTATATATATATATATATATATATATATATATATATATATATAAGTCCTACATTTCTTACAACGTAATTTCTTTATATCGCGAATGTTGTACAATAGACAAATCGTAATTACTCTCTTTAAGTCTTTAAATTTGTTGTTCTTGAAATAGATTTATAGAAACCTTGTTTCCAGAGTTTTTAAATTACGCTGATATTTTGAATATTATATATAGATGAAGACTGTTATTAACGCCGAGGAAGAGCATTTGGTTTCAAAGTCAGTAAAAACAAGAACAGCAACAGCAACAGCAACAGCAACATCAAGGAAAACGAAAACTAATTCGAAAATGGAGACACTAGTGGATACGAAAGTCTTGGATTTGGAATCGACAACAAATTTAATTTTAGAGAACGTTTCGGAAGGCGACGCATCCGCCAAACCAAAATCGCCAAATTCGCCAAATAGCGATAAATTATCAGTTAATAATGCAAATGATTCAAATGTTACAGTTGAAAAAAAAAAATCAAAGTCGAAAAAATCGAAGAAATGCGTACACGATAATCAAAATATATCTGTGGTAAGTTCAAATTGATCGGAATAAAACGGTGAAACCCCAATTAATATATTAATATATATATATATATATATATATATATATATATATATATATATATATATATATATATATATTTCTTTTTTAATTGTATACGCATAAATATTTATTTATAATTTTTGTCATATATTTATTATTATATTATATATATATATATATATATATATATATATATATATATATATATATATATATATATATATATATATATCTCGTATCTGGCTGCATATATATATATATATATATATATATATATATATATATCTCGTATCTGGCTGCACTTTATATACTTAAAACTTTTATAGTTTCACCTAAAGCCTACACGGATTAAGCTAACATAAAAAATAGCCTTAGCCGTTTCCATGAAATCGCATCAAATTATTATCGAGCTGAAGATTTTTAAACCTATATGTGTTATTTGTACAATTTAAGGTTTTCTTATATTCTGGATACAGGCTTCAATTGGAGTATATGAATGAAATTATTCAAAAAGCTGCATATTCAATAAACTATGTAGTTCATATGTTAACACATTCATGTAAATCCGTTAAGTAACATTAAAGCTATTGAAGAAAGAGGGTAATTCGCAAAATCGGGTGGCACTTAGAAAAAGCGCACGCATTTGCTATAAGCATGTGCACACACACATGAAAAGGCGTGCATTCTTTATCAAATTCTATTTATAGCATAGCAATTGTGATTGAATTGCTGGCGCTTTCGTTTTGAATTTGTCAGTTCGCCAACATATCGTACATAAAGTGTGAAGTGGCCCGATGTATTTTTTCGTATATTTTTCCTTGAACCCTGATCCTGATCCCATGGGCAATCAGGGTATAATGCTTTTGTGCAAGTGTATGTAACAGGGAAAATAGCACGTGGTAGACCCCAAAAGTATATGTATTCTTGATCAGGATGACAAGCCGAGTCGATTGAGCCCTGTTTGTCTATTCATATGTGTGAACTAAAGACTTGATTTTTGTAGGTCCATGTATAGTAGGCGCATATCAAGTAAAACATAAGTTATTAAACACAACGTTCGGTCAATTTGCAAAGCACATATCAAGCATCACCAATCGTACGCATTTTTCATATACATTCAAATGCCTGCATTCTGTTTTATTATACAAATCGAAATAGCGATTGCATCGTGCTTGAATTTTCAGCTGCTACCTAAGTTGAGATTTGCAATTCTTTGCTCAAGCAGTGGCTTTGATGGTAGAGGAGAAGAAATAATCTATGGATTCGAGCCTGGCGGCAAAGGGAAATTTTTTTTATTTTTAAATTATGAAGCGGCAGTGTTGGTAGTCTTGATGAGCATTGCGTAGAAAAAGTGGGTTCGAATCTTGGTGTCGTAATGTTGGTTTTTTTAATACTCGATACAAACTATGGAATATATTAAAAATAATATTGGACTGGGATCAGGATGTCTCCTAGTCGGGCACCCCGACTAGAGATTTTTTACTTGTTTAAGTACTTTTAAGTATTTTTACAGAATATCTATACTGATAATTCCCAATTCAAATTATACTTTTTAAATATTTTATAGAAAAGCAGTTTCAACAAATTTGATGCCCTTCAAAAGCGAAACCTTATCCATGTACGTTCAAGTGATTCAAGTAAAGCTCAACAAATCTTCAGTGTAAGCAAATCATTTATTAATCCAAACATTTTACTGAACCATGATTAAAATTTAATCAATTCACACGCGCTTAAACGGGCAGAATTAAATATATATATAAATATATTGCCTATTAATGTTAAATATTATGTTTTGTCTTTAGAACCTGCAAGATGAGCAGCAAACCAATTGCAAACTTTGCTCAAAACCGGTCTATAAAATGGAAGAAGTCATTGTTCAGTTCAAATCTGACAAAGCTATCTACCATAAATCCTGCTTGCGATGCAAAGGCTGCTCCAAACAATTAAAGTACGTACCTGAAACCGGCTATGTGTTATCTTAATATAAACAAGTAACTCATAAGCTAAATTCGTCAAAACAATCATTGGAACACATAGTTTATAGGTCCATTAAGATTCACTATTAAATAGAAGATTCACTTAGCAATCTCTGGTCAAAGACGATGAAAACATTAAGTTTAGAGTCTCTAGATTTGTAGCGATTCAATCAATCAACGCTTAAAAATAAAGGCAAAGATCGAATATTATCGATAAAACGGCCGGACACACAGCCAGACGGATAGACGAAGATAGCCAAGTGGACTTAGGAATCGGTTAACCTTCTTTCTGAATGTTACAAACATTTTCTCGAAACCTTTATATTCTGAATTCAGATTTTCAATCCGATAAGGGTGTACAACATTCATTTTGTGTGTCAGTAGGAGCAAAAAACATATATTTGCCTCAACAATTGCAATTTTTATTTACATACTCACCTCCTTAGGTTCGACAATTACCAGAGTCACGAAGGTGATCTCTACTGCAATGTACATTTTAAGTTGTAAGTACTTACCAGATGCTCTTTTATTTATATGTATATGCAAAACTCATACTCATATTCTTCAGACTCTTTGCTCCCAAGGTCGTTGAACAGGCCGAAGAGCCGAAGCAACGCAAAACGGAGCTTATTATACGTGAGAGCCAACCAGTTGAGCTACCTCCGGATGTAGTTCGTGGTAAGTTAAGCAGATGTAACTATTTTTATACTTGTTAAAGCTTCTGTTCGTGAAGGAATGCAAATCATTTGTTGTTTACTATGGGAAATTAATTTTAACTTTTTTATAAATGAAATAATGACACTCAGATGTAAGCATTGGTCAAAGCACAATAATTACGTTTTTGCTGTACTTTGGTAGGAACGGAGGAGGTATACAAAGACCGAAATTGTCGAAATCTAGGTATTCATCATCTAGGTATCCTAAGATCCAAAGTAACATGATCGATAACAAAGAAATGGGATAAGGAATCGAAGAAAATTACAAATTCAGTGCAAATTCACAGTCTATACAGAAGTATACATTTAAAATATCAAGTCAGTAGCTTTTGTAGTCAACACATGTGGAGCCGATGAGTAGATAGACTCACCTCACCATTCCGTATAGATCAAGGATATATATATACTTCATTGAATATAAACTATTAATATCTCAGCGAAACCCCTATAAGAGTAGTAGTAGGTTTTTTAAAAAATTAAATTTAAAGAATATCGATATGACATTAAAAGTATTTGCCAGCCAGCAGGCTCAGCCATTCAATCGGATTAATCGGTCATTAGAAAAAATGTGGAACTCCCATGTTATTAATTTTTTATTTATTTATGCATGCAAGCATCGGATAAGCCAGACCTAGGACTTGATGAACTTCATCAATTGAACGTTCGTTCAAGATTTGAACTATTTGAGAATGTGGAACAAAATAAGCTTAAAGAGGAACAGTTGCTATTGGAGCAACGTCCAGTGATTAAGCGCACCAAGTCCGTTCTAACGAAGTATCGACCAAATGATGTCGATTATGAAAATAGAGCATTGAACGAGAACGATGATGAGCCAGGTGAAGAAGATGAGGATGCTGACTTGATACGCTCGAAAAAAAACACTCAAAAGGAGCGGCCTGTAGGTCTTGGCGATGCCATGATCGATATTAAGACTAGATTCGAAAAGGGCAGCATGCAGTCTAAAGAAGAACGCCGCGAAGAACGAAAACAAGAAATCCAAAATATACGCTCTAGACTCTTCATGGGCAAGCAGGCCAAAATCAAGGAAATGTATCAACAGGCAGTCGCAGAATCCGAGCAGGCTATCACATCTATCGGCAAACAGCCGGATGTTGAAATTGGCGGAGCAGCTCGTTCCATTAAGGAGCGTTTCGAAAAAGGACAAATGTTCAACGACAAGGACAATGAGTCTAGAGCATTGAATGGCTATAACGGCCATGGGACAGGGCTGTCGGAGGATGCGGATGTCTTTGAATCTGGTAAGAGTAGAATGAAGATGTTGACAAAGACAATAAAAGATAAATAAAATAGGACCAACTAAATATTATAACATAGGAAATGTATATCACATAGAATATATATCTATATATTTCATTTAAGCTATAAGTAAAAAGTCGCGCAGCATCTTTATAGAGTTAGATGCAAACATGGCATCAAATACGAATGTCAAATGTGATTTTCAAAGAAGTCCGTCTATCTCTCTGAACAAATGTTCGAGTCAAAGTCATCTGCTTTCCGATGTAAGTATGAATGCGTTTAATTATTAATTATATACGTATATTTACATATATATAGAGCTCCGCCATGGATGTGATAAAATGTGACACAAAAGCGGAGGATATCAAAGTCGCCACAGCCGAGCTAAGTCAAAAGTTTAAATTTTTCGAAACGTATCGTCCAAAAGATGGAGACAAGCGTCAATTCCGTATTACGCCGCCTCGTGAAGGTGTTGTTAAAATGCCATCACCCGATTCCGAATCTGATATTGAGTTGGTTAAACAGAACTTTCACGATAATGTGCTCCAGAAAACGCAGACCACGTCAACAATGTTGAATAAGTTTCGTGAAATGGAGCAGAACAAATCGTTGAATGCTACCTGCAACAGCCCCAGACCTCTTAAATGTTTCACGCCTCCACCAGCGGGAGATAGACGGAACTTTTATGATAAATCAAATAGCGAAGAGGAGGAGGACGACGATGACGACGATGAGGAGAATGATTCCGATTATGATGACGAAATCGATAAAGAAATTGTAAACTTAAATTCAGATAATGGAGATGAAGCGCTCAGAGAGGTAAGGAGATCTTTAAAAATACTTGTTACCGGTTGAAAAACAACTACAATTATTGCACAATGGCTGCAGTTAATTTAAACCTAACGATCGTTGCACTAAAAATATTAGAGATAGTTTCTTTTAATTCGCTAAACATCAAAAAAGTATATATAAAAAACGTTTGATAGATGATAGATGATCTGTAAACAAAACAAATGTAAAGCAAATTTTTTTTTATATGTATTCGAAGTTTTTTTATAGTCACACACATTAATGGAGATTACCAGCTTTAAAATTGTTGAAGATATAACTTTGCTCTTTTGGACATGACATTTTTAATCCAAGGATCGTATGCTAATATATATTGTATTCTTAAAAACTTCTAACTTCAATTTTCAAATACACAAATAATAATTAATTATATTCATCAAGGCACAGAACGCAGCTCGGGCTAAGCAACTGCGCGCCAAATTCGAAAAATGGCAGGCAAACGAGATCAAGCGTGACATAATGCAGGGCTATGTGGATATCTATTCAGAACAAGTCTCTGATGATTCAACAATAGAAAGCGCAAAGGCGTAAGATTCAATTATCACTTATCAAAATCATTTAAATTGGCACTTCAAACAATTACAGAATACGCGAGCGTTTTGAAAATATGAAAAACGTTGAATGCAAGTCAACTGTTCGACCCCGGCATCAAGTTAATCGTTTTGTAGTAAGTATCACCTAATAGATTTGGCTTTACATATTGATAACATTTCAATTTCCATTTAAATTTTAGTAATGTTTTTTTTGGCAACTGGAAGCACATAAATATTTGGAATTTAATAAAATAACCTATATTATATTCATACATTTAATTATAGCAATAATAGAAGTAAATATCTTTTATGGAAAAAGCATAACACCGTTTTTTTTTCATAAAAGATACTTTAACGTATTCTAAACTATTTCAGAACATATAAACTTATTCATAAGCTCAATATTGAATGGCAGAGAATCAAAGGGCACATATTCAATAACTATTTTATATGTATACATGGATTTATTTTTAATATATTATGACAAATACAATTAAATATCTTATTCTATAGCTTTATCCATAAATTCCAGGAATCTTTTGGCATATTGTTCAGGATCACAAGTTGATATTCCATCAACATTACTACCATATTTAACTGTTTTCGCCGCTTTCGCGGCCTAAATAAGCATAATAATTAATTTAACTTTATTATATAAGTTTATATAACTATATAGATATATACCTGTTTTTTGACTCCGTATTGCGTTAGAACATCGATAATAGCTATAAAGTAGATTTCTCGTCTCTCTAAAATGAAATGTATATGTTCCTTTATATATTTTTTTCAAATATTTTCAAATTTTTTTTTATAAACTTACCTTCAATACTTGGAATGGCGTAAATGTCAACTTCATAAACAACTTCCTTATATTGTGCTCCTCTCGGGGAATCGGGTGGTGTATTATACGTCCAGCTTTAAATAGTTTGTATGGCCATTTTTTTAAATTTTCTTAACTTTTTTTTTTTAATTTATGTTCTTCATGATTTACCGTTCACCACTATCGCATTCTTCGCTCTCACTGTTTTCGCTGCGTCCTGTTGCTAGTGCGCTATCTCCTTGCAGAGCCTCCTCTTCGGCCCGCACACAATCATGGATGCCAACCAACAAAGAGTAGTCCATTATATGTAACTTGGTTAACAGCTGTTTACAGTAAATATAAATTTTATACAATAATATTGAAATTCCGTTACTATATATTCAATAATAAAAACGACAGAAAATTTATTTTTTTTAATTCTTAGAATAAATAAGTAAGTAAGTAAGTAATGTTGATCAATTCTAAGTTTTATTCAGTAGAGGGTTATTGCTTTGTGGAGATCAGAAATCTATCAGTGATCAGTATCAGTATCAGTATCAAAATTACAGTTAGTCTCTCTATGCAGAAAGCTTGAAAATTGTGGTATTCCTCGATAAAAAATTGATTTAAATTGATATGTTAATCTAATATTATGCTACCAAACGTGTTTCACCTGGATAATTATCCAAAAGATACGGAAAGCTGACAATAATTTGGTTTGCATTGGAAACTATTGACTATTGTTATGCCAGCTGGGAGAATCTCTATGAAAGTATATTTTTAAAGTGCACTTTATCAACTGCAACTGCAATGTACCAACTTTGGCAGACTACTCAAGATAAATCAGATCTAATCCCTCTACTGCTTAGTCAGTATTCCGAACTAGAACTGTTAGTTAAAATTAAATTTAACTGAGGGTATTCAACTTCAAATTCATACATTTTAAATATAGAGCTTCAAGTTAGGTATATATAGATATACACCATTCAAATATATTTAAAATGTATGTAAATGTTTCTTACATCAATGTCATTGTTTAAAGTATCCAACAATTTTTTCTTAGGTTCCTCTCCAATCTCCAATTTGACTTTCTGCTTTATAAAGTCGTTGTCCTTATACGTAGGTAAAAGCTTTTCAAGCTCTTTCTCTGAAGCCTCGCGATCTACAGTACTGCCTTTCAAATCAAATTTTCTACAGAATAACAAATTATTATTAAAGGAGAATTAATAATTATTTCGACACTTCGATTCATACTTATGTATGGTCAACTGAGAACTGAAAACATTTCTCATTACAACAAAATAATACTGGACGCTCTCTACAGTAATCCGGTACATGCCCAAATATTGCGGCAAAAGTGTTTTTCCATGTCTTTCTACAACATACTAAGAAAAAGATTAGAGGAGAATGTGAATTATATGTAATTAAGTTGAATTTAAAAGTATTTTGACTCACTGGATGATAATGTTTGAGGAAAGCATGCATGCGTTCAATTTCCTCAGATGTAAGACTTTTAATTATAAAGAATTTATCGTAGCTCTCATAAAACTGTGCACCCGACTTTCCCGATGAGTCGATGCCCAATGGCTGCGACCTAGTTAAAGATTCGCGATAATCAACATCATCCACTCCAAATCGCTCACGTAAATTGCGAAATACAAGGGGACAGTATTCCTTCACCTTAAAATGTGACGGCATATTTTCTCTAAAAAAATAATAGAGGCAATAATAATTTTGGAGGTGGCATATTTGTTCTCCGACTGTGTTTCTTACTTGTTGAATAAATGGTTGTCGACTTTTATTTTCGAATATGCACGAAAATCGTCTGGCAGCAACATGACAGGTATGTTGACATGACTTAACTCGTTTATCTAGAAATTAGTAATGAAATGAAAGAATATCATTCTACCTACATATGCTTATATATATAGTATATTTGCAACGAAACTTACTGTATGGTTAATGCCCCACATAAATACGCTAAGAATTGGCTCATTAGCACGGAATAGCTTTACTTTTTGATGCTTTACTCTGAAATGCTTCTTCTTTAAAATACGCGGCTGCGATGTTAACGAGATTTTTTTATCCATTTTTCCCACTCGAGTCAGTATGGCTGTATTTATATGTATTGTATATCATATAATTCATTAATAATTACTGCATAAATACTTAGTCGAGTCTAAATGCGTGAATGCGCAAGTACACCTTTTGATACATATACACAAATACAATCATGAATAAAATGCAATTTACGGTACATACACAACGAAATCGTTTAAGAACGGGGCCACTATAACATTTAATATAATTCGAAACTTTTGCCCTACAGACGGATGTATTTAAATTGCGAATATTTTATTTTACACAAATTTTAGGCAAAAAAAATATTTGTGTATGATTGTGTTGCAACGACAAATAAAAACTGCACACATACGCACAAGCCTATATGTATGGATATATGCATATACTAAGTAATCATGTGTGTACTTATGTTTGTATGCATGCATGCATGTATATACACGTTTGCCTGTATGCAACACGTACAAAAACAATTCAAGTTGCTACTGCAATCCTTTTTGGTTTGGATATGGACTTAACGATATATCCAAATCACAATGGCATTAATGTTTATTGTAAATTGCACTTCAAACGAAAAAATATATTAGTTTGTTCTTGCTCAAAAATTTTTATCGGCAGCCACGGTTGAGTTTTGATAAGCATTCAATCGGGAGAATACACACGATACCCACACAAAATTCGATTTATGTATCATGTAAGCTATCGATATTTTATATTATTTTAATTCTTACATTTTATTCGTCCCTGGTGGAGCCATTTCCACAAAACTGTGGAAACTAAAAATACTGCGGCAACTTAAAATACGATATTTTAAGTACTTGTTATCGGATGAAGAATTTTTACATCACTAAGTGATTATCTATTGTAATTAAACATTCAACTTCAAGGAATATCGATGTTTCACAACTTTTTGTAATTGACATTCTTTAGATGCATTCATTTATTAATTTAATTATGAATGTTAAGCTCAGCCACTGGAAATTTAATTTTCGTAAAAATCTATAGAAATAAACTATCATTAAGTCATTTGATCATTATTAATCGATGTTAACTTAAACTTCGTATTGCCTCGACCAATTTAAATTCAACCCTGAAATATTTAAAGTGATTTTTTATATAAAACAAAAATTCAACTCTCAGTGTCTCTTTCTCTCTCCCTCCCTCACGCACACAATGGACAACAGGTTATATTGAGAGTTATATGTCGATCGATTAATGATTACTCTCTTGCGTCTGTCTGGGTTCTATAAGACGCGTGTAAATTTGTGCGAAAATGGGAAAACGTATCCAATTAGACTCATGATAAATGATTTTAATTAAACGATCAACAGTATTTTGTGATCCAATCAGATCTCCTGAAGCTGTTATCGTTCTGTGCCCAGACATGGCGGAATCCGGGATTGACTTGGGCTTTGACTTGGAGTACGACTTAAATCTTAATTTACTTAACGATAACGACTCAAATATGGACTTTTTGCCAAATATGGATAATGTCGAGTTCTATGAATTGAAGTCTACGCGGTCCCTGCGAACAGACGAAATGTAAGTAACAACGCAAGCATGGCTAGCACGACAAACATATCTAAAGTTAAAAGTATAAATTATGAATAAGCACGCTTAAGCACTCAAAACACATATTTATACATATATATATATATATATATATATGTGCACATATACAAGATATACATATATGCATGTATACAATTTGTATTTTTCTACATGATTAGCACTCTTTTCTTTATCTTATCGGGATTTGTACAAACCTACCTACATATGTACGTATGTGTATGCTCACATGCGTACTTCCGTCCGTGTAGCAGTCATATACCTGTGTGTGTGTAAGTATCTGTAATGGAACGTTGTATTTTTCCTTTTAAAAGCCGTATCATTTAAAAGGTTATTTAAATATATATACACATACATACAAATGAATGCCGATTATATATATTTATTATTTATGACGAATATGTGATATTTACCGTTTCCAATTTAAACGAAGAGTTGGTCAATCACAATGGTTCCTTACTCCAAGTTCGATATATGTTCAAAGGAACATAAATACATATTTAGACAATCATACGTACATTATACATGAATGGAACACAATAGGAAAATGATAAATAGTACGGTAAAGAACATTAAACTTCAAAAATGATGTAAAGTACATATATTTATAGGTATCCAAGCGTATTTGCGCGCATCCTCACAATCAAATATGTTTGATGTAGAGGACATTTTGCCCTTGTCATTACTGAATAAAATGTCCCCTTACCACACGTATCACCCCTATCCCTATAAAAAAACATTTTCAAATACTGGTAAGTATCCAACCAAGAAAAAAAAAACAAAAATATTCAATAAACTAAATGAAAAATGTTGAGATTCGAGCTCGTAAGACGTAAGATCCATGATTTAAGAACAATTCAACAGTTCAATTACGTTTTTAGTCGATTTCATTTTCAATAGATTCAGGGTATAAAAACACATATAATAAACCACAGATAACAAGTATAATTTACAACTAAAACTCCAGCTTTTTGAAAAATATATTCCCATATGAAATATTCGAAAATGGCGCTCATATCTTTGCTTTCGAACCGGTTACGTGTGTTTAGATGAACTAAGAGAAATTGAAAGAGCATTTTCAATAAGGCGCAAGTCTTTATAATAGCCAATATAATAGACCAGAGACGCATTTTTACCGTGTGTATAAAAATACATATTGTTTATGTATATATTTGCGCATAAGCACTATATAATACTGGGTATTTTTATACAAACACTGAGAGAAATATATATATATTTCTCTCAGTATATATATATATATATATATATATATTTATATATATATATATAGTCTCGCGTTAAAGAATTCTCTCACTTATTCCGCATTCATATTTAAACAATCGACAAGATCAAGGCCCTTTTAGATGTCGAATTAAAAAAAGAACAGAATATTTTAAATACGAAAATGTTTTCCTATTGGGCTAAAAAAACGTCAAATAAGAGACACAATAAAAATAATAATGGTTCCAGTGGTGTTGTTGATCAAATGATAAATGATGAAATATTGGAGACTAGGCCAATACCTAATGATGATATGAAGGAAACTTTATCGGAGGAACGCTTGTTGGAGTTTCAAGAGTTTTTAAAACGTGTCCAAACGTTGCAAATGTCTCCAAGCCAGTCACAACAACAGCAACAACAAGAACAGATGTCACCATTAGTGGCTGATATTGAGGTTGGTGTGGAGCCAACGACTTTAATGGAACTGGATGAGCTAAATGCTGTTTCAACTAGCCTTCAAAGTAGGGTCAACAATAAGTCGACAACGAACATTCGTGTTACTGTTGGCATCGATAAAGATTTGGAAATGATACTTGAAATGGATCCAAGCATCGTTGATTTGGGTGATATTACCCTTAAAGAAACTACAGATACGCGCGTTTTTGGTCTGCCTCCACTAGCGGGTGGGTAGGTATATGTATATATATATATATATAGTGTACTGCTAAGGTTGACTACATTCTTATTTAAGCTATCTTTTGTATGTATTATTATCATAAAAAACGCTTTCGTTTCTTTAGCCCAACATTTAAAACTGCAATGCCAACATCGCGTACACAATTGAAGCTTCAACTGCAGCGCGAGCAGCAACAGCAGGAACAGCAGCAAATACTAATGCAGCAGCAACAGCAACAGCAGCTGCTACATACGCAGGATCAAACAATGCTTAATGCATTCGGAATGCAAACTGCTGGCTTTCAATATAACACAATTGAAAGCAGTAATCGAACCAGCGACTGTGGTAGTGGCAGCTCTTGCAGCCTGAATCAACATCAGCATTCTCAGCAGCAGCAGCAGCAGTCAATAACTCAGCTTGGCCAAAAGGATAGGCTACCAGCATCTAGTCCTGTTGCGCTTAAAGTACCTTTGCAGAGCATAGGTGTGGATGTGCCACCTCAAGTGCTACAGGTAAAGGCAAATGTTATTCGCTTCTTCACTTGCACAGACGACTCCATAATATTCGTTCATGATATAATATCCAGAGGGAGATTTTTTACACCCCTCCAAACGCAATCTATATATATTTTCTATCTATAAAGAAGATATACTTTTGTTTTAATTTGCAATGCCTCCCATGGAGTATCAAGTTTCTAGGTCCACCTATACAGACTGTCTCGATCTCGCCCGTTCCTGGTGGGCGTAGAGTATACTTCTTTCGTAGATCTGCAGAGAATCATAATAGTCACTCACATCTACAAATAATGCTAGCTTTAAAACTGTGGAAAATACAGTTACCCGAATTGCCACGTCCTAATATGCGTACATTTATCTGCTATATAATTTTCTTAGGTAGTCTCCACGAATATGTATTCAAAATTTAAAAACTCGAGCATCCTAAGTAAAGACATTTCTATTATACAAAAATCTTAACAAATCGTATAGATTTGAATTGTTTTCATGGAAAAAGAAGGAACGAGATGTAGAACTTTAATAATAATAATGTTCAATAATTTTTTCTTATAAACAGGTAAGCACCGTTCTGGAAAATCCTACCAGATATCACGTCATTCAGAAGCAAAAGAATCAAGTAAGACAGTATCTCAGTGAATCGCTCAAGCCATCTGTATGGGAATGCAACAATTTCAAAGTGAGTATTATGAAATATATGAATAAAAATACATTTAATACTTCATAATCTCTATATGAACAGAATAAAACTGCTACTAACTCAGCTTCAACTGGCAATTTACAATGTGCTTCAGAGATGAACAACAGAAATGTTCAGAACGAAAGGTCAAACAGTTTCGGAGGTGGTGATACTGCTTCGAATATTATTGGAAAACACCTAATGCATTCCGAGGACTCATCGCTTTTGTCGCCGTTTGGAGGTAATTGTAGCTCCAGTTTTTTTGGAAACGATTTGGATGGCCAGAATATTGGGGATCAGTCAAAAGGGTTATTTAACAAAACCAACTTAAATCTTAACTCGTCTATGACAGGACGAACGTCTGCCATTATTAATACTATGCGTAGCTCCAATTTTTCGGGCGCAGGTACAGCGAGCCCTCTGCAATCAACGTCAGCTCCAATGTCGCCCAGTCTAAGCTCTGTGGCAACAAGTGCATCAGAGGTGAGTTTTATTATTATTATTATTAATATATAGTAATTATTGTTGTATACACTATATATGCCGGTGCACGTCAGAAAAATGAAAAGCACATCTGTATAAATGAAAGTATTAAGATGGACTTTAAAACGCTTCATAAACTACTGAGAATTTGAGCTGAAATTTTAGAAGAAAAAAACTCGAGCATGCCATGTTCAATTTACCTTCCCTGGTATCTTGTAGCTTGAGTTAAATTTAGGAAATACCCGATATTGTTGATAAATTTCTCCCTGAACTGAAGTTTACCCGAGCATATCGCTTATAGGTTTCTTATATACCTTGTACCTTGTACTTTGGGCCGAAATTTTTGACATACTCGACATATCTCTTATAAGAAGTCCATTTACTTTGAGGTGAACTTTTTAAAATACTCGAACACGTTGAGTTTTTGTGAGAAATACTCGAGGGTATTGTTGATCAATTTTCCCATGTACATAGTGAAAACTTCTGTTCTTATAAAATTCTACATATTATCTCTATTTTACAATTCTAGCCATATTCTATGTTCCTATCAACCTAGTATTAAAACCCCTAGGATTGTCAGGAAAACCACGAACCTAAAGTGTGCTTTGAGCGCATAGCTAACTTTCATAATTTAAGAGAAAATATTGAAACTCTCATTGGCCACACCCACAAAAAATAGCTTGGTTCTTTCAAGTTATAGAGTTTGGAGAAATGCAGCAAAAAAAGTAAAAGAAAATAACAGTTCTCAGGATTTTTAGCTATTTTAGGGGCGTGCATTTTTGCTTTGACAAGACTACAGACAAAATACAAAATGGTATAACATTGCATTCTTTCCAATCGATAGTTGCATTTAATCGATGTAGCGTTATCATCTCTAGCCACATGTTTCCATCACAAGCAATTTATTTCCAAATTTGAAAGTTTTGCAAACTAAGGTGTCTTCAGAAGTAGACAACAAAATTCTTAGCTCTTTAAAAATTGAGAATACCTTGGCCAATGTTAAATCTCTGGGTTCAACCGCGTTCACACAGAAAGCAATCTATTAGCAGTACACAGACGAATGGATAACCTTCGTGAACAGTGAGATGACTATACCAAATCTAAAATATGACGTTGACAATAGATTTTCGACATATTAATGTATCTGTATGTTGTACCTGCCACGCAAATCAGCTTTTGTCGTTATGCTTTCATTTAGTATTTTTATGGTGATTTTTGTATGGGATTTATTTGCGGTTTTGTGCACGGGAACACTTAATCACAATCATCGGCGAATGTAAATAAATATAATGGAGTTTTTGCATTGCCCTGACGACATGAATCTGTCAATCCAACAGGTTGACTTACATTGAATTTATTGGAAAACGTTTGTGCGCGTATTTCTTTGGATATCGTAGTTTGTTAGTAACAGCAACTAATCGCAAATTTATAAAAATTGTTCGCGTAAGTCTAGTAAATCAAAATTAACGCGCTCAACCTAAAATAATCATGCCGCTATTTATTTAAACTAAATTGGCAAATTAACAAAATGTTGTGGATCCGTTTGTACGGATATGAATTAAGGATATTTTTAGAAGGTGAAATGTATTAAGCCATGACTAACTGATTAACGGCAATAAATGCATTACCTAAGCATCCCAAAAGAGCCAAAATTGATAACAAATCATTTAGACCTTAATGATAGTAGCGAAGCCGAAATTTCATAAGCGTTACGGCCACACACCATAATAACCAGTTGGAAAGAGCGAGGTCTAATGCACGTGCTACCTTGGATATCGGCCGCCAGTCTGTCGGAGAGGCGCAGCAAACGTTACTTGGCGACACCGGTTTCTCATAGAATTGGCCGTAGGCCGGTATCGCCTATGTTCAGGACGAAAAGGGAAATAGTGAGCGAAAACGGGGTTGAGAGAACAAGGCGACGATTCAAAATGCCGGTACTCAGCGTTATAACTCGCAGACATACCAAGGTATGGTTGTTTTTATCACTTTGAACAAATCTGAGTAACAGTAAATGAAACTTTAAGTTAAATGTAACTTGAGTACTTAGTAAAAAACAGAAATTGCAAAGGGTAAAGGAGAAAAGGAAAAAGAGACGCAGAGATGGAGACGCTGACTGCAAATTGGCGGCTGAGAAAAAATCTCTTACATACACTAATACGTATACACAAACATATACACACATCTTTGGCCTCGTTTGACACTAATATTAATTCAAGTTTAATTTGAGAAAACATTTATTCTATTAAAGTGTTTAACTTTGGTTATGTATATGCGTCTACACATGTGTAAATGGCAATGCACGTACATATGTATGTAATTACATACGTGAAAGTATACGTTGGGCATACTAATTATATATATATATTCAATACATTTGTTGGTATATATATATATATATATTATGTATATATATATGTATATACAGTGACATAGTAGCCGATCGTGAAACTTGTTTTAATTTTACGTATTGTTTTTTTGTTATATTTGTATTTTATATATATATATATATATATATATATATATATATATATATATATATATATATATATATATATATATATATATATATATATATATATATATATATGGGTAGTATGTATGTATGGATATACCTACATGTGAGCGAATGTGCGTTTGGTTGGCAGGCAAGCGATTGCGAATATTTACAATTAATTATAATTAACAAATATTTGTACAATGCTAATTGATAATATGCTTACAGTCTTTTATTTGTTTTGCACATTTGCGATGTATATGAATGTATGTGTGTACAATAAATGTCAGTCAAATATTAAATATTATTAACTTAAAAAGAAGAAACAATACAGAACAGCTAATGTAATGTATACATATATATATATATATATATATATATATAAATATATATATATTTATATATATATATATATATATATATATATATGTATATGTGTGTGTATCAGAAATAAGTTAAATAAAAATGTGATAAGTTGTGAATCAAGGCAATATTCGTAGGAAAGAGCTTCAACAGCTTGTTTTAACCATGTAAGGAGCAAACGCATGTACGCATGCAATAGTCACAACGACCGCTTACTATTAAACGGGTAAAGATAAACGGGAAATAATTAATAAATTATTGATATTTATTATTATAATGTACATTATATTATAAATAATACATACTTTGAATTAGAATTGACGTCTATCATATCCTATTAAAACATTTTCGATCAGTAGGGTAGTAGTATTAAAATATGTTAATAATTAATACAAACAAATATAAAGGCAATATGTGATCTTCATTTGTAGTAGTTGTGTGTGTAGAAAGAAATACTGCTGGATTATTACTCTCTCTCGCTCGCGCTCTATCTCTCTTTTGAATTCAGTTCAGAATTTCGTATATGTATATGTATATGTAGGCTTTTCATGCATATGTGATGTGTGTGCGTATGTCTGTATGTATGTGTTAACAAGTTATTTATTTTGTTTGTCTGTGCGTAGACAATAAGATTTTTGTTGCTTAGATAACGTAAACAATTTAAGTTCTCTTTTTTATTATCGCAAATGCCATCGCCATGTATGACAGCGCAACACAACACAACACAACGCAACACAGCACAGCACAGCACGCTCTTTGTCCAGTTGTATGTGTGTGCTTACGCAAGCATGTTTGTATGCATATAGATATTACTGTGAGAAGGAGTAGAATTTATGTCATTGCAAACTAACTGATCTAATTGTGATTGCATGTGTGTATACTGAAATACATATATATCTGTGTATATATATATTGTTGGTAATATTTAGAGCTAAGTATTAATGTAACTCCCTTTTATGGAAAGCTTGTTTTCTTACATTATATAATTAAATCGACTATCACCTATTGGGTTTACAGCGTACCAATAATCTCTTTGTACACCAATAAGTCTTCTCTCGTATTTGAAGTACGTTTTTTTGTGAATTCGATGTGAATGGGATAGTATCCAAAATGCAATATCTAAATTATATATGTATTCATTACAGGACCCTAAACAGTAAATCTCAAGTCGCCAACATTTTCGGAATTCAAGCTAGGCTTCAAAAATTAAATCAATGACTTATTAAAAAACAAAGATTAAGTTGGACTAATCCAGTCCTGCTTAAGAATAAACACTGCTCTGCATTAGATTAGCCCCCCCCCCCCCCCCTTTTTTTGTATTTTGTTTTATGCATATTTTATGCAATTTTCATTTTTGTTGGATTTTGGATACTTGTTTCCAATTTCCTTAAACTCTTCAAGCTTAAGTTCAGTTGGAAATAGGGCCATTATGTGTTTGCCTCGCTATCAACCCAATTGAATATGTAGATCATATGCTGAAAATTTCACTAAAATTCATTAAGTAAAACAGAAGTTACTAACATAACATTTGCCTAATTCGCAAAAGCACATGTCAGCAGCGCCCCACGCATCCATTTTTTGCATTTGGCGGCTGGATTCTCATCTTTTTATTTTTTCATTATTAAATGGCGGCGTTAAATATATGTCGTAATGTCGGTTTTTATTTGTTTTTTTTTTCTTTTCATACATGATGCAAACTATTGAAAGTATTCAAAAACGCTGATGTATTTTCATATAGCATATGCAATATATGAATTATAACAATAGATTGTTTAATAACAAACACCTCAATTATAATGAGTTACATGAAAAAATTGATGAAAAGGGAGTGTCGGTCCCGTTCTACATATATAAGCTCAATCATTCTAATGCACGCATAAATCACGGCTGAAGAATTATTTTTAATGATAATGTCAACTTTATTGAGTGGTTAATGTTGCCTCTAATTGAAGGGAGCTATTCCCTGAATGATTGCGAGTAAGCGACCCCGCTCATTTGAGTTATTTATTTATTATTTTTCATGGTTGAAGTACATTAATTGATTTTTAAGCCTATGTTCGTAATGTTTCGCAACGTATGTATACATATATGTATTTTTATCGATACATATGTACATATGTATTTATACATATATCAATTTAAGTTACTGAACGACGCGTTCCACATTAAAAAAATGTTTATTGTTGCTGTTTCAATGGGCTTAAATAATATGTCACGTATCCCAACAAGCTTGTGCTGATTTAGATTGACTAGCCGATACCCTAACTCTAATAATTAAAAATTATTATCTTCCCTAAAAATACTTTGCAAAAAATAGAAATAGATTAAATTATATCTTACGTACATATCTTATTTATTGAATCTCGTAAGCAAGAAGCTAATATTTTTTTTAATAATATTAATATTAAGGGGAATCCACATTCATGACTTGAGATATTCATATTATATATTATATAATTTGTATATCTATATTGTCTTTAATATAAATAATAGAAAGATTGAAAGATTTCATCGTTTAACTACATATATTCATGTTGTCAATGGATGTATGATTTATTAATTGTTTATTTTGAATTGTTATGAAAGTGGTTAATAATATATTGAATATATTTATATTTAACAAAAAGTCTTCTATGTAAATTTATATAATTATAATTCACAATATTTTTTTCAAAGTATCGATTAAATATAATCGATATCTTTTATCGGTTTCAATAAACATATAGTTCAGATCTGAGCCAATTATTGATTTTCTTATACCAAGGTGCACCGAATCTAATTAAATATAATGTTACATTTTAAATTTCACTGGGTATATAAAAATCACTAAAATATCACTATTAATATGCTTTCAGCTCCCTTCATTTGACAGCGATGTAAGTAATTTCTAAAATTTATTTTAAATTTAATATACATAAATTTTTTAATACTTGAATGAATGTATGGTAATTCAATAATTGCCAATCTTCTTATCCAAAAATGGAAGCTCATAAAATGAGGATGTCGCCAGTTTCTGTCTGACAGCAAGTCGAACTGTGCAAAAACCAATGTACTCTTTTCCCAGGGTGAATTAGAATATGATTTAGTTTAGATAGTGATTATATGAAACATTGTAGCTGTTTTTAGTACAGGAGTCAGCTCAATAACTAACCTGGAGCCCCAGCTCAAAAAGAAGAGATGTACATACTCTAATTTGCCTTTCCCTCAAGAGGCACAAATATTCTCCGCTTTTTATACTGTGATAATTCCATTGAAAATGGTAAATCTGGGTATAATGTTTTTGTGCAAATGTATGTAACAGGCAGAAGGAGGCGGTAGACCCCATAAAGTATATATATTCTTGATCAGGACGACAAGCCGAGTCGATTGAGCCCTGTCCGTCTGTCTGTCCGTAAGTGTGAACGCGTCGATCTCAGCATCTATAAGAGCTAGAAAAATGTTGTTTTTAGGTCCGTGTATAGCTCGCGCATATTAAGTTTGTTTAAAATATTCGACAACTATTCGCATTTAATTGTTATCTAATAAAAACATGATTAAAATGAAGTAAATAAATTATACCTCGAACTTCCCAAGAGCTACAGCCTCCAAATGTTGTATTTAGTTTTATGTATATTTTATGCAATTTTGATTTTTATTGGAGTTTGGATACCGGCTCCTAATTTCCCCAAATTAAAATTTAAGTTCAGTGGGAAACAGGGCCATAATGTGAAGGCGTTTGCACCTCTACCAAGCCAAAAGAATATGTAGATCATATGCCAAAAATTTCAATATAATCCATTAAGTAAAACACAAGTTATTAAACAAAACATTTGGCTAATTTGCAAAGCACATGTCAGCAGCGCCACGCCCACGCATTTTTCCTATGCGTGTGCACTCATGCATTCAAATGCGTGAATTCTTTTCTATTCCACGAATCGAAATTGCGATTGAATGCTGCTTGAATTATCCGCTGCTATTCAACTTCAAATTTGCAACCCCTCCTGCAGGGAGTGCAGTGGCTGCGTTGGTAGAGGCGGCGCTCGTTAGCGTTTAGTCTCGGGTTCAATCCTCGGGCGAAGAGGCATTCTTTATTGATTTATTTTTTTTTTTAATTATGAAGTGGCGGTGTTGGTAGAGTTGGTGCACGTAAAAAGTGGGGGTTCGAAACCTGGTCTTGCAATGTCGATTTTTATGTTTTCTTTTTTTTTGAATACTCGATACAAACTACGGAAAATATTAAAAAACTCAGAGGATTGGGATCAGGGTATCTCCTATTCGGGCACCCCGACTAGAGCTTTCTTACTTGTTTTTAGATTTTTTTAAATTATTTTAAATTATTTACGCAACCAGCTGGTTTTTTTGTTGATCGTGTTTGGAGGGTGGGATATCTGTATAGGTTCCTAACCAGCAGAGCACGACTGCTTAATAATCACTATTACCTAAAAATTTGGTTAAACTAAAATCATATTAAGTTCTACCTTGAAACATATATATTATATATAAACACATTCATTAAATAACAAAATAAAAATAGCAAAAAAATAACAAACAAACATTAAACCGAGTATGATTAACAGACTGAGGAATTCATAGTGAGAGAGAAAGAAAGAGCTATAAGTCTGGGGCTTTAAAGGAAGATCGTAAAGTTGTTCGTTTCGGCTTTCGTTTATGAGGCTTGCTTATGTCCGAATTTGTTAATTATCATAACTGAACTGTTTATACACTGATCCCATTAAAAATGTGCAAATAATAGAATATGTAAATCATTTGCTGAAAACTTCATTAAAATCCATTAAGTAAAACAGAAGTTATTAAGCAAAACGTTTGGCCAATTTGCAAAAGCACATGCGACATATGACACATTTTAAAGGATATTAGCAGTGGGGATCTTTTGATGCTTCTGTTAACGTTATTATTGTATAAAGTATAACAAAATCATACTGAAAATTTGGTCATCGGGATATCGTCATCACAGAAAATTTAATAAATTTGGGTTTAAATAAAATTGTTTAATGCTTATTTAACATATGACACATTTTAAAGGATATTAGTAGTGGGGATCATAGCTCTTTTGATGCTTCTGTTAACGTTATTATTGTATTATATTGTTTTCTGGACTCATATACCTCCAGCCATTCCCAAAATTCGCCAATAATATTTAGGCCGTCATTTTAGGTCTGAATCCACGATTTGACGATATAGCAGTGGGGATTGGGCCATTGTCACGCTGGAAATGCCTGATCATATCCTCAAGTAACTCCTGAAAGGACAGAAAATCGAAGTTAAAGTTAACTTTTGGTTCGTACACACAAGTAGTAGTAGTAGTCTGTCTCACCTGTTAATACCAATGAAGTTTTTTCAACAGCAACAATTCGTAGTTTCCAAGATTATAAAAAAATGTAAAGTGAAACAAGTCAGAATGTTGCAGTCGGTCGGACCCAAATTAATAAAAGTCAAGGTCTAAACGCTACCAGCTCCAATACTTTGAAATATATGTTTCATTTCGATTTGCCACGCGCTCAAGAGGCATATGCTAATAATTTTTGGTGAATCGATAGGATAGGTCAAGAGTAACTTAGTCTTTAAATTTCAGTTGTCTAGCCCTAAAACGAGAAGATAAAGTTTACCCCGATTTTTTCACTATAAATGTTAGATAAACACGAGGAGTATATGCTTCAATTGTCAAGCCTTTAGCACTTTCACTAATATAATATCTATAGACGGGGTACCACTGAGATTATATTCCAAATTTTAAGTCTCTAGCTTCAATAGTGGGGAAATAGCTTGTGTTTATTCGAACATCATAAACCAATATACCTTTCACTTCGAGAATGAGTATAAAACTTATTTCGAATAATTTTACAGATATATTTGTGCAATAACTCCGATATTTCTGTATTTGCAGGCAGAAGATCTCTTTGATGACATACTTCAAAACGATTCCTTTAATTTCGATAAAAATTTTAGTTCAGAGCTTTCTATTAAGCAGGAACCACAAAATTTGACTGATGCGGAAATAAAGGATCGACAGAAGAAGGATAATCATAATATGAGTAAGATGTTCTTTCAAAATAACAATTTTATTATAAACAATATGTTTTTGCTCACTCTTCAACAGTTGAGCGTCGGCGCCGTTTTAACATAAATGATAGAATCAAGGAGCTTGGCACTCTATTGCCAAAAGGCAGTGAAGCGTTCTATGAAGTTGTACGCGACATACGCCCCAATAAGGGGACAATTCTGAAGTCATCTGTGGATTATATCAAATGCTTAAAGCATGAAGTCTCACGCTTAAGACAAAACGAAAGCCGCCAACGCCAAATGGAACTACAGAACAGAAAGCTCATATCTCGCATACGGGTAAGCAAATTTTCATCCACATCTATATACATATATATTGTTATAAAAATTTCAAACCCACTCTCTCATAACAGGAATTGGAATTGCAGGCAAAATCGCATGGTATTTCCCTCTCTGATTACAATCTGACATCAGTATCAGCACCCACGCCTGCCAACTCGTATCTTAAGTGCTCCAGCCCGTCATCTGTTGGCCATAATCGGCATACAGCGACATCCCTAATGGAGGAAGTTATTGAGGCCAAGGTATATATATATATATATATATATTATAGTATCAGATAACCATTTATAATACAAATTCAAAATTTGTTTTTTTCTTTTTTTTACAGCTTCCGTTGATCAACAATGATGCTCCTGGTATTAGTCTCAATCAAATTGATGAGCTCATGGAAGACTGTAAGCATCCGGTCCAGGGAGGTGATCCGATGTTGTCCTCACATAGCAGCCATTCACCAGTTGCAACGCAACTTCAGTGCAATAGAGAGGCTGCCATTTACATTGCCACAACAGCTGGTGTTCATCATATGGGTACTGTAGATATGCAGCGCAGCAGCCGTGGTGATAACAACAGTAACTGCTGTACCCAATCAGATCACTCGCATTCGCATTCTCACAGAAGACAAGGGCATCAGCAATCACATTCACATCAGCATCACAGAGGTCATAATGAACAAAATACGGCATTTGGCATGCTAAACGATTGCGATGGCTCTGGGCATGATCCGCTACTTTCTTCATCGCAGCAATCGCATGGCCTTGTTGATGTTGATGACCATCAGTCGGTGGACCTCTCTGCAGTGATGATAAATGACCATTCATTATCCTCTTTAGTAGATGAATCCCATGGTGAGCCCATGCTTTTGGCACCCGATTCGCTAGATATTGACCTTTGAGAGAATGCAATCGCTATGCATCATTACCAATCATTACCAAGTACAGCAAACGCATCAGCAAAGTTCAAAAATTTCAAGGAGTAGCTTAGTATTATTGCTTGCATTGTAAAATGCTTGACCATATATTGAAATAAGAAGTATTAATGAAAATTTTATTACAGTAAAGCAATTGTTATATATGTCGTAAGTCACAACGCAATCAAACATATGTGTGTACAATGTGTCTAAATATTCAAATTAGATTCGAGATTTGTATTTAACTTTATTTGTATTCATGTATTTGTGTCTGTTGCGTATATGTATATACATCCATACAAATGCATTCCAATTTTCCAGTTAACTCATTTGTAATCAATTTTAAATTTTCATTTTTCATGTACTTATTCTCGCAGACATTCAATATATATATCTATATATATATATTATTTTATTTAAGGCAATATATTTTTAATTGTTTGTGTCGTCACCCAACTAGTAACCTTCGTTCTCGCTTATACAGTTTTTATTTTCTGATAACGAGTATTAATAATTTGATTGATATTTACGTATATTTGTGTTCTTTATCACAAACACCTATGCCCACATTGTACATACATTTTTAATGTTGATGGCTGCGAGTCTTATTGTTTTTGTTTGTATGAGTAATTTAAAATTGTTGATTAAAAAATGTTAAATACATATATAAAAAAAATAGCCTCTTTCCGTTTTCATCCCCTGGGAGTTCGATTATTAAATAAGTTCTGGTAAATTTGACTTATGATACACATACATTTATTTATTAAGAATCTATTCAATAATAATTGTGTTTTTATAGTTGAAGAGAAAAGAAAATCTTAGCGCTCGATTGGAAAATATTGCAGTTTGATTCAATAATCATTTTTTGGCTAATTCTGCTGACAGCCAATCTAGGCCCTCATATAAACCGTGCCCCTGGGTAGCGCAAGTGGATTGAATAAACCACTAGAATATATAAGTTAAATAAGTCAACAAGTACAGAAAGAGAATGAGGTAATTAAATATAACTTACATGACGGTTTCTCAATTGATTCAAATGCAACTTGTCAGTCAGTTCGGCAGCACTCATCGCATTGGGCAGGTCCTGTTTGTTTGCAAATACCAAAAGAACGGCGTCCCTAAGTTCATCCTCTTGAAGCTTAATTGTTAATAAAAAAAAAAAACATTAGCATTTGCATTTTTTACAATGCAGAGATCTAATGCTGTGTACCATATTTTGTAGTTCCTTTTCAGCCTCGGCAATCCGATCGCGATCGTTCGAGTCGACAACAAAAATTAAGCCTTGTGTGTTTTGGAAATAATGACGCCAAAGCGGACGAATTTTGTCCTGGCCGCCGACGTCCCAAACAGTAAAGCATATATTTTTGTATTCTACAGTTTCCACATTAAAACCGATGGTAGGAATGGTTGTTACAATTTCACCTAATTTCAATTTGTACAATATGGTTGTTTTTCCGGCAGCGTCCAGGCCAACTGAGTAGAACACAAAGAGGTTAACATATAAGTATGAGTATATTTACATATGTATATGTCTGTAAATACATATGCATTCAAATTTGCTTTGTATACGTATGTTTGTGTAGAAATATATTTATATATATTGATGTGCTTGGAAGTATATGAATTCTTGTATGAAATTAGCTTAGAATGGTGCTTTTTGACTGCGTGGCTAGAACTTTACCGTCAATTTAAGGTGTAGTATCATTACGTATTGGCGTGGCTAGCCGCTTTGCGCTGCCACCAACGCCTGACATTGCAATTCACAGATTCATCCATAACCTACCCATTAAAATACGCATTTGTTTTTTGCCAAATAGTCGTGTTAGTAAACTGGATATTGTCAATCCCATTTCCTCGTCCGCTTTCTGCTCAAATAAATAAAATCTAGATTTTCACACAAATTTTGTGACAAAAAATTGACGTGTAACGATTGGAGATAAATTGTTATCGATAGTTTTAGTCTTAGCTCCCAACAATGTATTATTGATTTGACTATCGGTTGTTTTTTAAATAAAGTTTTTTCGTTTTATTTTTTTAAAATAATAATGATGTGTAAGTAATATTTTTTAATAACAGTATTAACGTAAAATAACTTTAGTATTTCACCAAATTACAAAAGTTTTAGCTGGAACTATTTTATTTGGCACTAAAATTGACCGAATAAAAACTAAAAATAAATTTAATAAACCCACTTAAGTCCCTAAGCTAGAAATCATTTTTTTACAAATTAAATAATTAATATATTTTAGAATTTACTTTAATACCAATTATTTTACTAATCAAAAGATAAGAGTGTAAATATCTCTTTATTTATTTCTTATTTGATAACCCTGAATAACAAATTTTAAGTATGTTTTAATATGTGATAAAAAAAACTGGAAAATTGTTTCTAAAATCATTGCTTACAGCAGTTTTAAATAGTATTAGAAATCGATTTAACTCCAAAGTTAAAATGTAATGTATGGTTCAGTTTTTTCAAAATCGAAATTTTAAAAATCCTTACCTAATTATTGAAAACTCCTTATAAAGGGAAATTGTTGTGAGTAGTTTGCTTAATTTCAAAATTTGATTTACCAAAATTCATAAAAGTAAGCCCACAATTTGTTTATTGTTAACATTGTGTTTTTGCCTGATTGATTTCACATCCTATATATTAGCTTACATATATGTATATTATTTTTAAAATATAAGAAATGTTTTATTCGAAGAGTGTAAGGACTCATATTGAATTCAATTCAACTGAGATGCGTTTGCTATGAAATAAAAGCTCCAACTTTATTTAACCAAGATGTGTGGAGGTACCAAATTTGATCGCTTGACTGCAGGACCGGCTTAACTAATGGTCTTTCCGTATCTATGCACATGTGTATATTCATATAGATTGGTCCATAAGTATGTGTTCAAGCTTTTAAGAAAAAAATACTTTCCATAAGTTGCAGTTATACATACCCATACACACACGCATTCATATATACATTTATACTGTCAATATATGTGAACTGGCGTGTATATATATGTACATATATGTCAAGACCCACACACAGCCTCATATACATATATATATAATAATATATATGTGTGTATGTAGATATGTGCATGGCATACATACGCTAATATCGATGTTCAACACCTAGTTGACAAAGCTCCGCTTTGTCAGTTACCCACGAGTCATATCCACATCAACATCAACAACCACAAAAGCGACAACAACAACTAAAGAAACTCGAAAATCCACAAGCTCGATTTCGCCTATAAATAGTTGTGATACTGGTCGGTTAGTTTCAATTCGGTGTTTACTTTCGCTTATACCGGACTGGTTTCGGAATTGGTCGGCGTTCGGAATCGTCGATCTGAACTGATTTTCGTATTCATTGTTGTTGTTGCTTTTCTTACTTGTCGTTAACGAAAAGGGGTAAAAACAGAACGAAAAATGAATAAATTAATAACAGTTTTAGCTGGTTTCGCCATGGCCTTTCTACTGGTCCCTTCCATTGCCTTGGCGGATACCGAAAAAGTCGCATCGAATGATGGGCAAAAAGATGGTGAAATCAAAATTTATAAACGTCTTATTCCGGCCGATGTGCTTAGAGGTGAGTCATATATTTTTATCTATATAATCTAAATTTATTTATATATATGCTTGTATATATATGTATCTATATATATATATATGCTATAAAAACTTGTTTGAACAAGACAATTGCTGCAGTATTGTACAAAAGTTAGAATCTACCTTCCATTTGCTTGAGTGGCTTGAGTGCCGAAGCGTAACGGCTTGCAATGGTTGGTAATATATATATATATACATATATGTGTATGTGTATAACCTCAGCTCAGATTATTAAAATAGGCATTGCAATCCTTGTTCAAATAAATTAAATAATTGATTTATTAATATTTTGTTAGATTTTCCTGGAATGTGCTTTGCATCGACTCGGTGCGCCACGGTGGAACCCGGAAAGTCATGGGAATTAACGCCATTCTGCGGTCGTTCTACGTGTGTGCAGAATGAAGAGAACACGGCAAAGTAAGAATCCTAAGGGAGATATTCGTATATATGTATATGTATTTAACAAATAACAACAATACTTACAGGCTATTGGAGCTTGTAGAAGATTGCGGTCCTTTGCCTCTGTCGTTAGCAAACAATAAGTGCAAGTTGGACACAGAGAAGACCAACAAGACAGCACCATTTCCTTATTGCTGTCCCATCTTTACATGTGAGCCAGGTGTAAAGCTGGAGTATCCTGATGTTGAAAAGGAAGAGGAGAAGAAGAACTAATCTAGAGATTTTGGTTATTTTCTATTAATATTATTTTGGAATATCTGTAATTTCTGATTTATATGAATCATAGTTTATAAACCTGGCAGAAAATGAATAAACTTTACAATATTTTGAATTCAAATGTATTAATACTGTTAATTGGTAAAACTTTAGAGAAATTTCGACAAGTCTATAAGGCTCTTTGATATCATGTTGATTATTTTCATAGTAATTTTTGCATTTTTATAAGTTTATGAGTTTGGCGCGTAAATTAATGCAGTGTGGCAACATAAACAGCACGAGCTGTGAACTAATTCAGAGTTGCACTGAAAACTTAACGACAGTGCTGCCACATTGCTAAAACGAAACGCCAAGCAGCATTAAGATTTGTTATCGCAATCGTAACTATCGATCATAATGTAAATAGTCAATAGCCAAGTAGCCTCAACAGCAGCTGCGGGTCCTTAGTTTTGGTTAACATAAAACATATGCATATTATTTGAATTTTATACTTAAGACCCAAGTTATATGTATAACGGTAATTTTAGGATTCAGCGTTCAAAATTTATTAAAAGAGAGTAACATTTCTATCAAGTATTTCGACATATCCTTTTCTTAACAACTTTCCTTAACTTGTCAACGGAGCAGACTATATTTTACTCCTAGTTTAGTGTTACCCGAAAGTTTTAGATGCCAAATACTCTCTAGAAAATAACAATTTCATATGACTAAGTATTTTGTAGGAATACGATATTATATAAATATTAAAGATCTCAATAACAAGAGGCATTTTGTTAAATATGTAAAGAAATAGTTTCGGAATACTTTACTCTTTACCTTCTATAATTTTCTTATAATAATTTCAAAGGTTCCTTCCTTATTATCGAAATCTTAAAAATTGTTTCAATTATTACAGTTGAGACCGAACAATAATCTTAAATGCAATAGTTGTTGAAATAATTTATAAACATATATGCATACAGTTTATATATGTGTATTTGCTATTAAGTTGAAATTCTTGATTACAAGCTGCATTGATAAACTAAAATACTTGTGTGAGTGATGCGATATTTTCCTTCTATAATTGTCTTATAATAATTTCAAAGGTTCGTTTATTATCCAAATCTTAAAAATTATTTGAACTACTATTACAGTTAAGATTGTATTAGCCGGTTACCAACCGAACAATAATCTTAAATGCAATAGTTGTTGAAATAATTTATAAACATATAAGTATATATTTTATTATATGTATATGCTATTAAGTTGAAACTCTTGATTACAAACTGTATTGATAAACTAAAATACCTGTTGTGTGAGTGATGCGATATTTCGGATTCACCATTTTGTTTGTACCATGAAACTCCTCCTATGCAACCTGTTTCACTTATTGTCTGCTTTATAAATAAGTAGATTGACTTCACAGATGTATTGAACGTATCTACAAACACATACAAAAACTGAAGAGAGCGTCGCAGACACACACACACACACACACACATGCCTGCTCATCTCTTTTAGCTTAGCGGCTTTTTGAGATGGGTTGGTTTGACTTTGTAAGAGTAACCATAACTCTTTTTTCTTGTCTGATATACATTTATACAACCAGGTATTAAATATATTATATTATTATTAGATATTATATATACATTTAAATCAAATAGAAATCTAGTGTTTATATCGTAACTAATTTTCAACTTAGATCTATAGATTAGCCTAAAAAGATTAAATATATCCCTGAACTGCAATGCATTATATGCATTTGTATAAGTGTGTTTAATATATTAAATTTAATATATATATATGTATTAATTATAAACATACACACACACACATTCATATACATATGTATGCTTTTAGAAGCATGCACACATGCATGCTTATATATATATATATATATATATATATATGTGTGTTTATAATTAATATGCTAGTATTATATATTACCTATACAATTTATAATATTCAAACATAAATTTATTTAATTATTATGTATTTACATTAATTTGAAGAAACAAACATTATTTTCGAAACATTTAGCACGTGTCATGCAGCTTTACACGCACACATAAGAAGACACACACAAACACATACACAAAAGCTGATGCCTAAACACACATTCATATACATATGTATGCTTTTAGATGCATGCACACATGCATGCTTATATATATATATATATATATATATATGTATATATATATATATATATATATATATATATATATACTTATACAGGCACGTCGTGTCTAAAATAAAGTTTGAAAGGACCGGTTTTTGGGTTTTTTCTTTAGTTGAATACTTCATCGAGCATAAGCCATCAGAATGGAATGTCTTCATTAGTCGGGTATAATGTTGCTTGGCTTGTTTGGCTTGGCTGAGGTTAGTCTCTTAATACCCTAACCGAATATTCAGGTGTTTGGATTCAAATAATTATTTAATACCCTATTAAAGCTCTTTATACACATATATATATATGTGTGTGTTTGTGTGCATGTATATGTACATTGTTTTTCTAAGTATGTGAATTTCATGAAGACAAAATTAAATTGACGCAACTCGTCCTACGGTATTGAAGCTCATATTTCTCGTATTTACCTCAACTAAACGATTTCTTTAAACTTGAAGACCTTGCGGTTGGCTTTGCGAAAAAAATGCTAAAAGTACGCACACTTGCGGTGTCGTCACCACGTTTTACATCAAGAGTTGTACCGATTTACATATGATCTGAAATATTTCCAGTTAAGCTATTAGGTAGAAGAAATTGATCCGAATACTCATTATGTGAGAGACCACAAGAATTAAGATTCGTATTACTTTTTTTTTAAATAATCAATAGCTTGCCGGAATTTCAGGACCTATAAAGCGATTGAAACAATATTTTACACGGTTAATGATAATAGCATAGGCGAACAGGATTTGCTTCTCAATCCACTATACCTTTTCGTGTTGAACCCGACTCGGTATCCGACTTTAGAAATCTGAACAGTAGTGTTCCATCAGAATTTTGGAAATGAGCGATTTCGAGATCGATTTTAATGTCGATTTGTAGCCCCCTATGAATAAGTGAAATATTTTTGAATCGGTATATGAATATATTATATTATATATGCGTGTGTGAATATAACATGGGGAATTCATGAAGATGATGATACGATCACAGAACTGTGTTGTGCTCAATGGCACACGCACAGACCCCGAAACAAACACAAACACAATTACTCAATAATACACACACACACAGCGATAGACAGAGGGACGGCCACGCAACATTCGCTGCGGTTGGCCTTATAAATAATAATGTCTTCATCAGCAAGCGACAGCAGCACGATGCGAGAGATGGGGCTGTTGGATGTTGAATTGTGAATAGGGCGAGATGGAGTAGAGAGAAAGAAAGGTCGCGATACAAGCGATTGCATCGGATGGAGCTTAACTGGAGCTCACGGCGTTACTCTCCAAGCTCACCGGCAAGGGTTAATCGAATAGTTTGTCTTATCAAAATTCAACACTAAAAAGTAAATTTTATAACTTAAAATTGCTTAGCTTTGTTATATAAAAATGAGTTTATTACAAGAATTATTGTCATTGCATGAAAGAAGTTTTCAAACTGGAAGTCGAAAGGAACGAAGCCGGGTTTCGCGACCATCATTAATTATTATTTATTTAATTAATCTACAAAATAATAATTGTTAATTCTCCAGGCGTAAAGTTTTCCCTACAAAAATTATTAACGAATTGAATACTAATGTGTATTGATATAATTTGTTTATTATTATTTAACTAAAAATTGAGTTTATTTGAGATACTTAATGAGCAGCCCATGAAAAAACTCGACGAAAGCAACAATTTACTTGATATTTTTGTTGTAGCTGTTCTTGTCAACTTTTTTAAACTCTTTTGCCTTTGCAAGCATCCACATAGGTGCTCATTCCTATATATATATATATATAAGAAAAAAATATATGTATATATACGTATGCTTGTATGACAGACATTCACCTTACAAACATACAACATAATTGTTCTCCTCTAAAGTATGAACATTTTTCTGGCGGTTCTGATGCTGAATTCGATACACAATATGTATGTATGTATGTATGTGTGCATATACACAGTGTGTATGTGTATATGTATACATTTGTAGAAATATTCATATGTATGGATGTGTAGAAACACGTGGAAGTGCAGTGCGTTTGTATGTATCTATATAAATATGTATGTATGTATATATGGGTTGCTGTGTGTACATTGCCGCTTTAATGAAAAACAAAACTGGATTTGAGAGCGAGAGTTAATATCCCCACACCGTTGACTCTTGGTTTGGGATTTCGATTTGCTGGCTAATTAAGCCCTTAAAATCGAGACCGGGCCCAGGCTCGACTCCAGTCACATTGAAAATAAAGTCATTCGGACGCGTGCAGTTGTCAGCCTTAATAATAAGAAAAAACTTCGAAAGAGTTACTGGATGCCAAGCATATTTACATCAATTATAAGCACATGTATGTATAGACATATATAGACATATACTGATTATTATGCAGACAGAAAAGTATTTTCTTCCCTGTATACCAACTAGAGCTGTGTCGATTGAAAGACTCATTAAGCTAACTTCTTTCAATGAATAGCAAACGATGCAGTTCAATCTGGGTTTTCAGTTGCTTAGCAGTTCGTGAACGATTTATTCTCTTCAACTAGTCAGAAGTCCAATACGGATCAACTAGAATTGTGCGCAGAATATATTGTGCTTGTGTGTGTACATAGGCAATCATATTATTAAATATTAATGTTTATGTTTACTTACATATATACATACGTATAGCCACATAAATCTATTTGTATGTACATACGCATGCATACATGTATGTATAAATATGTTGGCACAGGAGCCGCTTGAGTTGTCGATGCTCTAAAGATCGCGACGTTTTCATTTATGTTGTATCTTGCAATCGGCGACTGCAGATGAGAGATGCTGTATGGAGACTTAAATGCTGATGCAAAACTTAAAAACTAACATACGTACACTCCTACATTAAGCCATATGTATATATATATATATATATATATGTATATTTGTATATATAAAGACATGCATATCTGGTTTTATGTCGTTTCCGAGAACCGACGAAGTTTCCTCGTTAAATAAGACGAATACGTGCAAGTGTGTGAGTGCGAACGTGATTGTGAATGTTTTGTGTTCTTGACAGTACTGCCAAGCAACTAGCGGAAAAAGAAAACAGACCATAAAACGCCACAACACAATTATTTATTTGTCTTGTAATACGTACCTTAAGTTATTTACTCATATATAAATACATTTATTTGCATTTGCAATCAATATTAACTTTTAAAAAAACTGACTTTTGCATATTATACGATTGTTAAATATTATTTTTAAAATATATTTATCTCGGACACTTAAAACCCCATCGCATATGTTATTGAAAAACCGCTAAATGTGCAGCACTGATTTATAATCACAGGCAGGCAGCCAGACAGGCAGGCAGGCAGACAGGCTCAACTTAGCTCGGAACTGAGCTCGTATCTCTCGCGTTCTTCATAGAGAAAAAAGATCTTGGAATGACTTGAATAAGACGTTAAATTACAAAAGGAAAACATATAATGAGAACGTTGAGCGCACAGCAAGCGCATTTTAAAGGTTCGTTCCAGTCCCGCTGTGTTGTCTGCCTTTCCTCCCTCTCTACACAGTAGAAATTTGTATCCGAAGTTTCAAAGATTCTCGTTGTTTGCGACTTAAACAAAAAAAATAGTGTGCAACAATGCAGGTTCCTGAAGGTTGGAAGGTTTGTCATTTCTTCTCTGGCTACCTATACCTATGCTTTGACAAATGTCCGCGGTTCTCTTCAGGTACATTGACCACAACTACGTATGTCCTAACTAAGGAAAACCTGGACTGTCCTTTTCCTAAAATTGCTGGTCGTATATTTTTTAATTTCCAAATCAAAGCCAACTATCCAGATAGCCAATTTAATAAGTAAGACATATATATTATATACACAAATTATAAAATACATGGAGAACTCTTGCTTGCTAAGCTATGATTTGGTTGTCTGATTTGCTTGCTTTGATTTGCCAATTATACAATGTACGACTTGAAATGTTATATTATATTCTTGTTTATTTATTTATTATTATCACCACGAATTTAGAAACCAGGGACTAACTGCTTACGAGCACCGCCTCTACTAACCCAGCCACTGCACCACTTGCAGGAGGAGTTGCAAATTTGAAGTTGAATAGCAGCTGATAATTCAAGCAGTATTCAATCGCAATTTCGATTCTTCGAATAGAAAAGAATACACGCATTTAAATGCATGAGTGCTCACGCAGAGGAAAAATGAATGTGCTTGGCGCTGCTGACATGTGCTTTGCAAATTGGCCAAACGTTTGGTTTAATAACTTGTGTTTTACTTAATGAATTTTGATGAAATTTTCAGCATATGATCTACATATTCTTTTAGTTTGGTTGAGATGCAAACGCCTTCACAAAATGGCCCTGTTTCCCACTGAACTTAAATTTTAATTTGGGGAAATTAGGAGCCGGTAGCCAAAATCCAATAAAAATCAAAATTACATAAAATATACATAAAACTAAATACAAAATTTGGAGGCTCTAGCTCTTAAGACGTACGATATATAATTTATTAACTGCATTTCGACCATATTTTTATTTGATAACAATTAAATGGAAACAGTTATTGAATATTTGAAACAAACTCGATATGCGCGTGCTATACAAGAACCTACAAAAAATTCAAGTATCTAGCTCTTATGGATGCTGAGAGCGAAGCGTTCACACATACGGACAGACGGACGGACAGACAGACGGGCAGGGCTCAATCGACTCGGCTTGTCGTCCTGAAACTTTATGGGGTCTCCCACGCTTTCTTCTGCCTGTTACATATATTTGCACAAAACTATTATACCCTGATTTCTCATTTTCAATAGGATCAAGGTAAAACAAGTAAGAAAGCCCTAGTCTTATCTGCGCATTTTAATATTTTTAATAGTTTGTGTCGAATATTAAAAAAAAACACAAATAAAAACCGGCGAAGATTCGAACCAAGATTGCCTACGCAACGCGCATCAACTCTACCCATCCTTCGCACATATGTATATAGGAAAATGCGTACTCTTGGCGCTGATCTGCACGTGCTTTTGCAAATTGACCAAACGTTATCTTTAATAACTTCCGGCTTACTTAATGGAATTCAATGAAATTTTCATCATATGATCTACATATTCGATTGGAGTAATTGCCAGCTTATCTCTTTCCAACTGAACTTAAATTTAAATAATTTGGGGAAATTTGTGACCAGTGTAAAAAATACAACTATCAAAATTATATAAAGTATACATACATTAAACTAAATACAATATTTGGATGCTGTAGCTTTAAGGCCATACCATTTTTGCATTTTTATCATGTTTTTAATTGTTAACAATAAAACAGGAAAAATGATTGAATAAAAAAAATATTTTGATATGTGCGTAATATACACGAACCTACAAAAACATTTCAAGACATGTCAAGTCGTGTTCAGACACATGGACAGACAGACGTGCAGACAGAAGGGCAGGTCTCTATCGGTTTGTCGTTCTGATCAAGAATATATATACTTTACCTTTACCTTCTGCTTGTTACATACTTTACATTTGCACAAAACCATTAAATTATTTAATGGAATCAGGATATAAAAACTTTCAGACTATTTCCACGTACAAAATATGTATAAAAAAGGAACACCTTACTATCCATTTAATTTGATACAAAAGAGAAAAAACAAACATTAATTAAATGAAATAAAATAAAAGTACAATTTAAATTAATATTTTACTATTTAAAGTTAACGGTGCAGTTAAATTAAGTTATTAAACTACTTGGCTCATGCTGACAATAATACTCTCACCAAGAAAGGTAATCAATCACCTCAGTGTTTTAATTCCATAAGAATGTAACACTATTTATCTCAATATTAAGGTAATACCATAATTGAAATAAAATGATAATGGTCGTAATGCTCGAATTCTTAGTCTTAAGTCTATGTTAGGTAAGCACCCCATCAATGTCACACACTGTGAAGTATTATATTAGAAAGTTCGATTTATAAATATATACAAATTAATACAAAATTGCAAAATAATAATTAAATAATAATAACAGTAATAAGCCGGAAGGTTTATGTGAAAAACTTGAAGTCATTCTGACTGCCAAGAGCATTTGTCCACATGTATTTATGACCAGACATACACACACTTATATGAACATATTCGGTGGCAATAGTGTGTAAATGTTGACTTCAAATATCTGTTTTATGAACAAACACATCATATACAAAGGCTCACTTACAAAATCATGGATGTTCTTTAATACTTCGCTAATTTGTGTAAAATATGGACTGCTTAGGAAAGAGAGAAGGAATATTCCTATAAATATATAGAAATATTTGTATGAATATTTGTAAGAAGAAGGAGATTTTTGTGATATTTATGCAATGTTATATGAAGAAGGGGCTGTATTTTAATTTCAATCTACCTACACCGAAATACTGTTATTTGTGCAGGAAGATATTTTTTAATATTTCTATATTCTGAAATCCAGCCCTAAACAAGCATCGTTGGTCATTTGCTCAAATGATGCCGACTGAGCATTCAAACCCGGATACAGGCGGGTAATTTCTTTATAAAAAGAGCATCTCGTTGCAGTAATTGAGCACATATACACACACTCCTACATTCATGCATGCACACACACCGTCGACTACTACTTTAGTGTGATCAAAAGTGAAGGAGTAAATGAGAGGATCGATTTTTAGATACGTGTGAGAGAAAGATGCAAGCATTGAGAGAGCTAAACAGAGATAGCGATATAGGAAGAGAAGCCAACATTGAAGAGAGCGCAGTGCAGATACAATGTGGGTGCGCCTAAAAGATGGTCTGTGCACGTCTGCTGCATAACAAGTAGCAAGTTGTTAAAGTCGAGTTCGGCGACGCCGAGATATATATACATATGTGTGCATGTGTGCTCGTATGTATGTGTGTGTTGATATTGTACCTGCTATGGTTTGAAAATCAAGAAAGGGAGACAGCTTAATCTTTGTCAGTGCTAGCAGGGCTTAGAGATAGAAAAAAGTTTTTAATTTTAAATAATATTTAATTAAATAATATATATATAATAATATATATATAATAATATATATATAATAATATTTAACATAATGGGAAAAATTAAAAGAAGGAAAATTAAAGACTGATTATTATATTTTTTTAAATAATTCACTAGTTATATAGAGTTACCATACTATTATAAACGGTTAGTAACCTAACTTGAATCGTTAAAGAAACAATAAACAAAGTGATTTGTTCATGACCGAACGAATAACTGTGAGCAAAGAGTAACGTTCATGAGCGTCTAAGCTGTTCGTTCACTGATCACTAATTAAGTTCCTTTTCAATGGCCGGTTCTATTGAGCATATGCCAACACTGGCATACGAGAGTCCATCCAGCGCAAGAGAGAGTACCAAATTTGGCATGGCCATCTTCAATCTGCCCGCCTTCTCTCAATTTAGGGCTTTGAGCAAACAAAGGCAAAGGCAAAGGCATAGAGCAGATCGTGACCTGTGGCTGTGTACACTTGTGTCTTCATGGCGTCGTCTCTCTCTCTCTCTCTCTCTCTCTCTCTGTCTGTGTGTTTGTGCGTTTGTAAGCGTTGGTGTGTCTGTGTCTCAATCTGTAGCAGTATACATATATATATATATATATTTACATACATATATATATATATATATATATATATATATATATATATATATATATGTGGTTGTTTCTAGTATATGAGTGTGCGTAAGCAGCGTGCGTTGCTCCAGCTAAAGCAAGCGAGGCATTGCAAGAGCTGTTGCCGCTCAGTCCGCTCGGAATAAACACGGCAGTAAGACGCGCCGTGTACACGCCCGTTATTGACTTTGTCACACTTAATTTATTTTTTCTGCCTCTAAAGTTAGTACAAATTAAGTGGTTTAATGATGCCCGTGAGCAATACACAGTGCGTCAGTTAGTGTGTGTGCGCATGTGTGCCTGTGCATGTTAATATGTTTCTATACCCAAAAAAACTGAAATAAAAAATAGTTATGCTAAATGCCCATTAAGAGATTGTGAGCTTCATATATGCATCTATATAATATATGTACACATACATATATATGTGTGTACATATCGACTCGCAGGTGCCACCATATGAGGCACATCCTCGTTTGAAGCAACAAAAACCTAGACAAGAGAAATAAAAATGCTAAAAATAATTAAATTCTAATGAAGTTGCTGCCAGTTCGTTGTCAATTGTACTTTCTACGCTAGTTTCTTCTGTGTGTATGCGTGTGTTAAGATCAATTTATAGTGTATACATGCACACATATGCATGAATGTATAACTATGTGTTGCGTGTGTGTATATGTGTGTGATTAAACCGATGCCATATTATACATCCATACATATGCACATAGCTCGCAATTGATCAATTCATTTTTGAAAATTTTTGTGTAGTGCCGACGGCAAATGTGAACAACATCTATAAGAAGAAATGCAGTAAATAAGAAGAAGACCTATAAGTGGTTCACAGATATAATCTCAAGTCTAATCGTCTATTAAATATATTTAAAATGGATGCATATACATTACCAACATACTTTCCCCTAGCGTAAGTATTTAAATGCATTATTATTAATTTGTTAAAGCTTATTTCTTTATTTGCTATTTTATTAATATGTTATTATTAAGTCAGAGATAGCTTAAACATTTTAATTTTGAATAAAAATAGAGTAATGTATATGTAATAGCTATATACAATTATGTACGTAATCAAGTCATACACAAAAACCTAATCACCTAGACTAGGAAGCCATCGAAATAAACAGTCAACCTGTAACAAAAGTAACAAAATTTAAAGCAGAAATTATTTAATAAATAAACACAGACGTGTGTCTGAATGTGTTCTTAAAAATAGAAAATTACTTTGATCATTTAGAGATCAAATACCTCCTAGTGGGACATTCCCAACTATGTAGATCAGTATTGCTGGCCTTTAGTCGTACATATATATGTATATATATTTTGTATACAAAAAGTAATAATGGTCTGAATTACCAAGCAGTAATAAAGGAGTCAATTCCGGCATTATCCGTTTCACTTTCTTGATCTTGTTTTCTAGATCTTTTGGTTTTAATTGATTTTAATATAGTTTTTTAAGATAGCTAACTGATTATTTGCAGAATTCCCAAGCTACGAAATATATTTACAAAACTATTTTTATATTAAATAGATATTTTGAGACACAAAATATTATGTCTTAAGCATTTCCAATTTGTTAACCAAAGTACCCAGTTGATTTGCTCTTCAGATTCTTTTCTATATCAAAAATGAATAAAAGTCACCTACGGACTTTTACTTATTTCTTATTCACTTACAATTTACACAGCTGTTTCATTTAAATTCGTAAGCGATTTCCCCGTTTAATTGTTTCGAATTTTTACTTTTTGCTCGACCAAGTTAACGTATGAATCGCTAATAGCTAAAGCGAAAATGATGCCATATATATTCTGTATGCTTGACTAAAAAACTCATTTGATGCTCACAGTAATTGCCGAATCTTCTATTTCTATTTAATAGCTTACTATATACATACACATACATATATATATATAAATATATATATATATATACATACATACATATATATATATATATATATATATATATATATATATATATATATATATATATATATATATATATATATATATATATATATACACGTTTGTATTTGCATACACAAATTGAATGCCTGACTAATCAATTTGAAATAAATACTAGAGATTCAGAAAGGGCGTGGTATACCCCATAAAGCATATATTCTTAATCAGGACAAAGAGCCCAGTTGAACTAACCGTATCCGTCTATCTGTGCCTGCCTCCGTCGATTTCTTATCGCTCAAAAAATAGACTTAAAAAAAATTTTTTTTTGATACCACCCAACCCATTTAAAGTATTTTAACTATTGCATATTTTAGAGTAAGGGCGTATATATCTAAAATATATCCAAAATCTCAGATGTATGAAATCTTTGTATCATTACACGAACCTATACGACAAATGTGAAGTGAAGTGAAGAAAAAACATTTAAAGAACGAAAACGAATTATTGATCTGTATCGATGATAATGATAGTATTGAGACTTAGATAGGGTTGAGCTATGGATAACTTCGCAATGCGTATGGTTTGCGAAATCGAATGGACAGACAAATATGGTTAGATCTACTCAGCAAAATCATCCTGCTCAATAAAATACATACTTTATATATAATATATATGGGCTATGCCACCTCTCCTTATGCCTGTTACAGATATTTTCACAAAAAACTTAATACCCCCATTTTCAATGAATTCAATGAAAGGGTAAGTAAATTAAAATTTTATTAAGGTGAAATTTGGAACTAGTATCCAAAGTATATAATTGATAACCTTTGGATAAAGTTTAAAGTCTCTAGTCTTTATAAGTTCTAATATCGACGCGTACAGAGGAATATTTTCCCATATTCAAAGGGAAAATGGTCCAGTGTATAAAAACGTTTAATGTACACTGCCAATAGAGCGAGGCGAATCTGAGAGGTGAATCGGGAAATCAGTATCTATAACATTTTGTAGCTGTTCACTTGCAATATATAAAAAAGGTTTCTTCGATACGTCCTCTGAGATCGTGACAAATATGAAGCTAGAGACTAGGTATTTAAAATATATATCTTATATATAAAACTTTGTACTAAATATATAGTAGTCACAAATCGATTAATGCTGTATCTTCCACAGTTTAAGATTTAGAAGGTTAAATGTTTCCCCATTGGGCAAATTTTATAAATATATGTATGTATGTAAGAATTGATAAATCCCACAATTTTGAGTTCAATATATCGATAATTTAATAGCTGTGTATAAGTTATTTATATAATAAACAATAAGTTTTTAGTAACAATAAGTTTTTAGGGATGAAATTTACGCTGCTTCCGTTAAACGTGATTAAGTCTCGGTGTATCTTTCTTTCTCTCTCACACACACACGCAAACAGTGCGTTGTCCTTTTTGATCTATTTACAGAGATGACAAGATCCACTCTGTGTATATACATATGTGTTCATAACTCTCTGTAATAAAAGCAACTTAAAATCAACAGGGATTCAGCTTCAACGTGTATGAGTATGTACATATATATGTAAATATGACACAACTTGAGTTCTATATAATATGCTTTTGTTTGCTCAGTTTTATTAATGGGAGGTATAATAGGAGGTATTCAAGATAAACGAACCCTTCGCAAAGATGGTATTCCAATTCGCCTCTTTTATACATGTATAGAACACAACACATGCAGCACATTGCCTAGATTACGCAGCGGCTGCGTTCGTGCTGCATTCAATTTATTGCATAAGCTTAATTGTAGATCGGAGCACATCTTTTATAAAAAGCACACGTCCTTAGTGCTTGAAATAGGTTTTTCAAAATTGTGCGAGGGGACATTATCTGAAATCCGAAATCTATGTACTACCTACACTACATTCTCAGCTAAATCAAATGATCGATTATTCACTATAAAAAGGAGATTGGCTGAGTTATCGAAAAAGTGTTAATATCGTACGTTATATAGAGAAATATACCTTTTGTGGTTTACAAGACCGTGCCATTCATACGGACGGATAGACGGACTATTGTACTACCTGGTAGTAAATATATATTACTTATTAGAGTTATTTACGACTGATTCTGCTTGCGAAACCATTTCGCGAAACCATTAAGCCATCAAATCCCATTTTCAATGTGTCCAGGGTATAGACATTATATAACAGATTACAATTTGGATATTGCAATCTATATATTCTTAATATGCTCAGGTCTGCCATGTTTTTTACATACATTTATTTAAAATAATATTAGTCGAATTCGGAGATAGGATTAAAAGTGTTGAATAGTTAAGCGGCTTCATGCTTCCGCGCAACTCCGGCCATCTTTTACCCTACATCAATTTCTATTTGTTTTGTTTTATTTTTACAACTTTTTGAAACTTAAAATTTCAAATATTATTAATATTAATCCTCTGTATATATTTACCATTTGACATTACAGATATACGGAGCTACAGTTCTTAGCATCGAGGCGGGCAGCTGCTGCAGCTGCGGCAGCATCTGTACTACCATGTAGCTCACCTGTCAGCAACCACAGCAACCAGGTACCCACAACTGATGTAAGCAGCAGCTCGGTGCCAGTTGCTGTGTCTCCTGGAATGCCTGCGCCGCTGGCAGACTCCAGCCTGGCCTCTACTTTAGCACCGACTGCGAACGGTCAAAGTCTCGGCGGCGCTGCCCCCAGCGGTCACCATCATCATCATCATCATCATCATGTTCAGGGTCACAGTGTAGGTCAGCAGCATGATTTTCATCCGGCGTATAGAATCCCTAGCTACATGGAACAGTTCTATTCGTTGCAAAGAAGCAGCCCCACCGCCTCCTATCATGGTAAATTATTTGGTTTGTTGATAAGTTAGTCAAGTTAATGCAACTACTACTCGTCCAAAAAAAAAAAAAATAGATCCATATGCCAACTGTCCGCCAGCATTTCACTTAGCCGGATTGGGCTTGGGCTCCGGCGAGTATTTAAGTGCACGAGGAATGGGTTCCTTAAGCGAGCTGCATCACGCGGCTGTCGCAGCAGCAGCGGCTGCTGCAGCGGCGGGCTCTTTGGCCAGTACCGATTTTCATTTTAGTCTGGATGGCAATGGGCGTTTAAGCAGTCCACGTCCACCGGGCGGTGGCAGTATGCGCGCTAGTGTTAGCCGTAAGCGTGCGCTATCCTCATCGCCATACTCGGATTCATTCGATATCAATTCAATGATACGCTTCTCGCCTAACTCTTTGGCCACGATGGTTATGAATGGTTCGCGGGCGAGCAGCGCGGCCAGTGGCTCCTATGGCCATCTATCTGCCAGTGCCATCGGCCCCATAGCTCATACGCCTCATCTACAACAGCTGCAGGCCCATCTACTACGCGCTAGTGCCGGTCTTCTGCACCCCATGACCCCCCAGCAGGCTGCGGCAGCAGCAGCTGCCAGCTATTCCATGACTCATGCCGCTAGCGCTGCGGCGCTTGGCTTGACCGAGGTCTCCATTAAATCCAAGGAGCTGGCCAGCCAACCCACAACGCCAACCTCGACTCCGACAAGTGCAGCGGTAGCAGATGAATCCGCGATCAAGACAATCAGTTCGATTAAGGTAAGCTGATAAAGTTTGGGCTTGCATGTCCCATAAAAACCATTAATCAGGATGACAAGCTGAGCTATTCTCCTGTCCGTCCGTAAAAGTGTAGCGATCTTGTAAATTACAAATTCAAGAAACTTACTTTTTTGCCAGTCTGTATATGCATTACTATACCTACACAAAACAGTAGTTGCAGTTTTTGTAGTTTTCAAGTTACGCGAAAAAAACTACAATAAATTAACAATTATTACCGAAACTAAGAAAAAGGGACGAGTTATCGAAAACTAATGATAATTTCTTACTGTATATGGCATACGGGAATAAGCGCGTAAGCTTTTAAGCTCGTGGCTAGCTCGTGTGGTTTTCTAGTTATCTGCGTTCATGCGGATGGGCAGATGTCGGATCAAGAATATATATACTTTATATCATGTTACTTAAATTAGTAAAGAAAAAATTTCTTAATGCAATTAAAGAACTGTGACGAAGACAGCATGGATCGGAAAAAAAACAACAATAGCAGCAACAAGCTTCTTGAACAACCATCATCTACATCGGAGAGTGTTGCTCAAGTTGAGGCAGATAGCGCGTCTGCAAATTTGTTGGAGCGACGACATCGTAATAAGACATTATGTATGGATCATCGGGCGCACATCCACGATGAAAATCCAGAGCATCCATTTAACGAATACGACTGCGCTACGGCGGATACAACGGACATTAAGGATGAGCCGGGCGACTTCATTGAGACAAATTGCCATTGGCGCAACTGCAGCGTTGAGTTCATCACCCAGGACGAACTTGTTAAGCACATTAACAATGATCACATCCAAAGCAATAAGAAGGCATTCGTATGTCGCTGGGTAGATTGCTCGCGTGGAGAAAAGCCATTCAAGGCACAATACATGCTTGTTGTCCACATGCGTCGCCATACGGGAGAAAAACCTCACAAATGCACGGTAAGTGAAAAGTACAGTCAATAAAAAAGTCAATAGCTTTAAAGTATGCTCAAGTCAGTGCCTAGTTTTCATAGCAGATAATCCGACATGGTTTCCATGTGTAGCAATAATCATATCTTTATATATATTTTCCTATATTCATTTATAATATGCATGTATATGTATATGCATTTTTTAGAGGCTTTGGCAAACGTACATTTTTGGAACACTCCCTTAATATATCAATAAGAAATTAGACAACTTTTAGAAATGTGTTTCAATAGTTTCATGGTTTACATACAGTCTATGAATTTTGAGTTGTTCAGTTGTAACATTTTCGAATTTCTTTTATAGTTTGAAGGATGCTATAAGGCGTACTCTCGTTTGGAGAATTTGAAAACCCACTTACGCTCCCATACAGGTGAGAAGCCGTACACATGCGAGTATCCGGGCTGCAGCAAGGCTTTTAGCAATGCGAGCGATCGTGCAAAGCATCAAAATCGAACCCACAGTAATGAGGTAATAATATTAAATAATGCATTCATTTTATATCGTAGATATACATATATCCATGAAATATAACTTGTGAATGAATATATATATGCACATATATTTGTAGAAACCGTATATCTGTAAGGCACCTGGCTGCACAAAGCGTTACACAGACCCCAGCTCTCTGCGGAAGCATGTGAAGACCGTGCATGGTGCCGAGTTCTATGCAAATAAGAAGCATAAGGGTTTGCCTCTCCATGATGCGAATTCCGGATTGGATAGGGAGAGGCGCAGAGACGGTCGGGATGGTAATCAGCAACATCAGCAACAGCAGGAACATCAGCAACATCAGCAACTGCAAGAGCAGCATATTGACTCCAGTCCATGCAGTGATGATCTGCAAGGTGGCAAGCCAGTCAGTGTGTCCAGCCCGACCATTAAGTCGGAGTCCGATCCGAATTCACCTGGGCGAATGACTGCGCAAGCGGGATCCTCCACAGCGTCAGTTTCCGATTGTTTAATGCACATATACAGACAGGACGACCTAAACAGTCCTTCGGTGCCGACTCTCGACGAGTGTTGGCCCTATGACGATGATGTGGATGCAGTTGATCTTCCAATCGTGCTGCGTGCTATGGTTAATATGGGTAATGGAAATGGAGCACCATGTGCCAATCTAGCACGTCAACGTTTTCGTAGTCGTCTACAAACTAAGGTTATCAACTCGAGTAATTCAATGCTGTCTAACATACCGGAGAGTAATCATCATCATCGGGCCATTGGCATAATAGAGCTAAATCAGCGCATTACCGAGTTAAAAATGGAACCGGGCACATCGACCGTTACTCCACAGCCAATGCAATCGGGCCGGCTGTCCACGGGCAACTGCAACGGACTACAACTAACCGAGCTGCACAACCAGCCAATGCAAGGTCATAATCGAGCACAGGGACAGGGCACGAACCATCTTCTTCAGCAGGGTTACACTCAGGCGCAACAGCGCCGAGATAGCCAAAACTCGAATGCTAGCACATATTACTGTAGTATGCAGAGTCGACGTAGCAGCCAATCCTCACAGCTTTCATCGATGTCAACAATGAGGGCGTGTCCAGTATATAATACGGCATCAGGCACGCCGTCCCTGTACGATCCCATATCTCCAGGGTGCTCTCGTCGTTCCAGCCAAATTTCGAATGTGGTTACAGCGCAGCTTCCACAAATCCCAGCCAGCATTATGAACGATAACTCATCATCGGCACACGCCACATCGACTAATGCAGGCCAGCAATATATCGCAGCAAATGGATCTCGCAACAGCACCAGCCTGCCACCTCCGCCATCCTCTCATTTGATTGCCACACATTTGCAGCGCTTTCAATCGAACGATACGAATGGCCATTACCATAATAACAATGCGAATCCAAGTCAAAGTCAGTTAACAGTTGGTCAAAGTGGAGGACGCTTTTCTACACCAAACGTTTTGCAGTCGCCGCCGCTTAACTCAAAGTATCTCTATGACGAGCTAATTGGAGTTCATCATCATCACAGACGTCAGTCAGAGCCGATTATGGCGCAGCTGAGCATAGAGCGAATGAGAAGTTCACCTACTTTCAATCCTCAAGTCTTCCATAACAACATAAATCGTGCCTCTTCCTCCACCACTAACACTGGCCATAAGGATTGCCCTGGCGAAATAAAGACAAAAACAACCGCTATAACCAATTCACGAGATCATCATCCTAATGAAAAAATTAATTTGGATGAAGTTGAAGAGCTTATTTTACCCGACGAGATGCTGCAGTATCTTAATTTGGTGAAGGAAACGGAGAAGCCCAAGGCGAAACCATTAACTGATGTTAATGACAAGGCTTCGTTTACGAACAGTTCGCAATATCTCGATTTGGTAGCGAATGCTGGCAATTCGCCCACACACGTGCCCAACTGTCCATCGCCATTTATGCAACAGTTGATGTCGCCTCAATCGGGTCATACGATGTCAGCGCTTGGAAGTCCATACTCCCAGCGAAACTACGAGCTAGAGGGCGGTAACAATAGTGCGTACCGTCAACAGCAACGATTGAATACTGAATCATCCTCACAGTATCCATATGCGCCAGGCCCAGCTCCGATTGCAGGTGCAGTTCCACTTCCTGCTCCAGCCCCCAGTCAGGCACATTCACTTCTACCATTCGGCTCGCTTAGTTGCGAGCAACAGCAACAAATTGCATCGCATCAAAATCAAATTATTGATTCATCGATGACCAGTCTGCCTGAACTATCAAATGTTGTTACTGTTATTCCAGTTGATCAAAAGCTTAATAATGTCAGCGAAATACAATGCGGGGTCGTCAGCCAATCGCAGCTGTCGCCAACAGCAAATATCACAGGGAATGGAAATACGAATGTCAATTGTCCCATCAGAATTCAGAATCAGAATCAGAATCAGAACCCAGGTGCAGCGAAGCCCATTAGCGGACAAGCACAACATAAAATCCTGACGGACTACCAGACAAACAATATGGCATCGATGCATTCCGATACTTATCAGCGTACCCTAGAATATGTACAAAGCTGTCAAAACTGGATGGAGTCGAATAGTAGTACCTCGATGGGTAATGTTTCACTAAATACGCCAGCCACGCACAACAACCATCAACCCATTTGGCCCGACGTTAGTAGCTCGACGCACCCACATCCAAGTACAAATTTGATTATCAACGATATGACGACATCCTTGAGCTCTCTGCTGGAGGAGAATCGATATCTGCAAATGATGCAGTAGCATTTATTACAACATAATCGATTTCGGAGGTGCCAGCGATTAAGCCTGCCATGCTGTACGGACATAATATTAAAGTAGAATTGATACCTGCAGAAGTGAGGATTGCATGTTTACCTTTAAAAAGATCTAAGTTTACTATTTGTCATAAATTATTTGAATTTATCGATTCCATAACCAAATCTGCGACATACATACATATTATCATTTTTAATACACATATACACACACATGTACTTATTTAGCCTCAGTTAATTGATATTTTCGAGTATTGTGTCTTATTAAGAATTATTTATATTTTTATTTAAAAAGCTACATATCGCTTTGACGTGTACTCCTGTAATTGTAATACAAGCGGAAAGCTTCATAATCCTTAAGCCATTCAAGGAGATGCATTTCTTTTGTAAGGTAGCTGTAATCAAACAAAACAACTATTATGTGTCTTCCCAATTTTAAATGAATAGTTTTTAATATCTCATCAACTTCAAAACATCAAAAATAAACATTTATATAATGTATACTATGCATGTGAACAAAATAATATTACTTTTTTCAAGATCAATCCAACATTGTCAATTGCTCGTCGATTTCGATTGGTGTTCATTTTCGCATCATTTGTGTATGATTTGGATGCATTCATGCATAAGGCTTTACGCATACATATATACATTCATACACATATGGATATAAACAATTGTTTACCAAGTATATTTAATATATATATATCTGTGTATGAATGTATACAGCACAATCCAGCAGGGAAAATAATTTTTGACTTAGACTTCGTAAAAAAGAGTTATAATTTGCCAGGATCATACAATGGTGCTTATCAATGGGAAACAAATACTTTTAGGAAAAGAAAGTTAGATTTACTTACGTGAATTACATGAGCAATAACTACATAGAAATTTTAAAAATTTAATCATAGCTATAAATTAAGTGAACTTTCTTTTTCATTTGTTTACTGCCTTTAAACCAAATTTGCCCAATTTTCAAAGAAGACTATAAAATAAACATTCTGTCGGCGTGGGCATTAACAACTATATTTCCAGATATTTACGAATTGTTGAGTTTAGTCCCCGTATATAAAGAACCTCAAAAAAGTCTTTATTTTAGTCAAATATAGTATAGTCTTGCACAGTGATTCCATTACTGCTGGCGGGCGCAAGTATTATCCTATATATATATGTAAGGTTTTGACCAATAAATATTAACAGTGCCAAATGAGTAATTTATTAAAAGAATCAGTAAGTGTTCTCCAAATTTTAAGATGTGGTGATATTTGCTTTACCTATTGATTACACATCCTGATATATATCGTGCATTAAAATCATGTTAAAGATTGCAATCAAGTTAAAAATCAAACATAATAAATGTTCATTTTATAAATACTAAAATGTAATATTATATTTTATTAAATTTTTTTTTTCGCAGTATATTTTAGTGAATAAATCTATATATGAATACATCAGAGAAGTGAACAAATATTTATTTCGTTTCACCTGCATGAATTTGAATTCCATTTGCGTTGGAAGCCTTTGCACCAATTTCTGTAGCTATGATATTCACAACCTTTCCAATAAAACTACATTCGTTTATTTATATATTCGATACATTAGGAAGTTCTTTTCTACGTTAACTTACCTACACAATTATTTTTATATCGATAGTTAACCTGACAAATATTAAAGTATCGCGTCACATCGTGTTTGTCATCGATAGTTTGACAGCTTTATTATGAAAGTATACACTTTTTTCCACAATATGTATATGTGTGTTCGTGTTTGAAAGACTATACGGTAGATATTTTTTGTTGCTTGACAAATATTGCAGTCGTTTAACCGAAATGTAACTCTCAACTAAGTGCAACAAATGGTGTAATTCATAATGTGATAAAAAATCATTGGCTAAGCTGGCTGTATCATCGTTCAAATTGCACAGCGTTCTTGCTCCGCCCCTCCACTCCTATAAAGAAGCACCATTTTGAATTTACATACATAGAAATTAATGGTCAAAGGATTTGCCATAGATAGAATGTTGCGACAATTCTTCCGTCAGCATAACGCCGTTTGTATGTTGAATGCATTTATCTTTTTAACTTTGCAAATGCGTAGTGCAGTGCATTGCGTCAAAGTTGAGCATGGACACGCGCAATCACGTTCGTATCTAGATTTAAGCAATGTTGAATCTCCGCTGTTGAAGCCATTCTCTTCAACTGACATTGTCGCCCAGTTTGTTCTACCACCCATTAACAATGGAGGCGTGGCTAGTGGACAAATTGATATTGGTATCTCCACATCAACATCGACGGAAGCAAACTTTGGCAATCGTACAAATGCTGCCAATGGTTTAAATGTTGGCAGTTTAAATACCCAATCAAAAAACTATTTCACTCATCTTACCTTCGATTATATCCACGACGTCCTCTATGCGGGTGCCACAAACAAAATACTAAAGTTAAATGAAAATCTACGAGTTCTCTCGGAGGCTGTCACCGGGCCCAAGCCCGATGCACCGCAGTGCCATGCCGGTGGCTGTCCGGAGGATGTGGAAACGTCGCTGGTCAACAACTATAATAAGATATTGGTAGTTAGCTATGCTCACAACGACGGCATCCTCATCTCTTGTGGTAGTATACGGCAAGGTACGAAAAATTTTTTTATAATTATTTTGAATCTTAATTTGATGACCGAGCTAAATTTCTTAAACCAAAAACTTTTTGTTTTAAATATTCATCTTAACGAAAATTTATAATTATACAAATTGTAATATATTATTCATAGCGACAATATAAATATTGTAAGAATACTTTACATTGCTGGATTTTAAGTTAATTTTAAATAGGTTTAACAGATGTTTAAGATATTTAAGCCATTATATACAATTATAGAAAACTACATTAGATGTTTTGATATTTAAAATTTGAATTTGAATTTGAATTTGAATTTTAATATCTAGCAAAATATAATTATAAATTTTGTATATTTCTTTAGAAGTCAAGGAATTATTTTGAACATGGACATACTTTTTATTTTTTCCTATTTACAATTACAGTTGCCTGTTGTAGTTTTAAACACTTTAAGAATGGCATTTCCTAAATTATTCAGGCTAGTTTACAGTTCTTAAAATTAGATGAATTAATCATGCAATTGTGAAATAGAAAAACATGTTATTTTCAAACGGTAACACAAGTAGGCTGCCCAAAACAATGAATTTGTGATGATATACAATCAAATATAAATAGATTTATTTATACATGTGGCATTACATTCTTTCTTCATTTTGATGTTTAAAAAGATTGATAAGCATTAGCAAATACATACATTTGGAGATGATTAGCATACTTGGAACATTTCTAGTTCGACTAGAAGAAAAGTTATTCAGCAATTAATTTCTGATAGTAAGACGTCGTCAAGGCGCTATATGTATAGATAGATATATCAAGTTTGTGGATCAAGGTATCTCATAGTCCACTCCTGATTAGAGCACTCATAGTTGTTAATATATGCATAAGAATTGTAGCTTTGATTATTTGAATATTTTTTTTCTAAATGTGTTTTGTGGTTTTTTCTTCGCAGGTGCCTGTGAGATTTACAATCTTTTGCGATTTCCTTCCGCACCTCAATTTGTGGCAGTGCCATTAGCTGCTAATGATGAATATGCCTCCACTTATGCATTTGTGGGTCCGTCACGTTATTCTTGGAAAGAGGAGGATATACTCTATGTGGGGACGACATTTACTAACGTCGGCGATTATCGGCACGATGTGCCAGCGATATCATCTCGACGCTTGGAAGACTTAAATTATGCTGAGTTTTCCATACAGCAGTCAATTATTAACATCGATGTGAAATATCGTGATCATTTTCTAGTTGATTACGTTTACGGATTCAATTCATCTGAGTATGCATACTTTGTGCTTGTCCAAAAGAAATCACATCTGGCTGAAGAGGCAGGCTATGTCACGCGTTTGGCACGTATCTGCATTACAGATCCAAATTATGATAGCTACACAGAGATAACCATTCAGTGCACCGCTACGGAGGAGCAAATCGATTATAATATATTGCGAGATGCAAAGATAACGCACGCAAGCCAAAAGTTAGCCCATCAAATGGGCATTAAGCGAGATGATCATGTGCTGGTGACTGTGTTCTCGCCATCAAAAGAGATTAGCGATGAGCCAGAGAATAAGTCAGCTATGTGCATTTATAGCTTGAAGGATATTGAGGATGTGTTCATTGAGAATATACACATGTGCTTCAATGGCACTAATAAGGATCGCAATCTAGGCTATATCTCTGGTACGATCAATGATGGTAAATGCCCAAATGCTGGCTCTTTGGGCAACATTTATAATTTTTGCAGTGTGGGTCTTAAAATTAGCGGCGTTGCCCCAATATTGGCACATGCGTTATTCCATTTTGATAATGTTTCGGTTACTTCGGTGACGGCAACAACAACAACTGATCACCAGCATTCACTTGCGTTTCTTGGCACAGAGGCCGGCACCATAAAAAAAGTCCTGTTGTCTGGTCAGAAACCTGGAGAATATGAGGAAATTGTCGTAGATGCCGGCAATCGTATTCTTCCCAATACAATGATGTCACCAAAAAAGGATTTTCTTTACGTCTTGTCATTGCGTAAAATAACAAAGTTGCGTATTGAACATTGTTCCGTATATTCAAACTGCTCAGCCTGTCTGGAATCAAGGGACCCATTCTGTGGCTGGTGTTCCTTGGAAAAGCGCTGCACTGTCCGTTCGACATGTCAACGGGATACGTCAGCTTCGCGCTGGCTCTCACTGGGTAGTGGTCAACAATGCATTGATTTCGAATCAATTGTACCCGACAAAATTCCCATTGCGGAATTAACACGAGTGCAGCTTGTTATACGTACATTGCCGGAACCATTTAATGCCAAGTATCGTTGTGTATTTGGGAATTCGACGCCAATTGATGCCGAAATACTTGAGCATGGTTTGGCTTGTGATACGCCGCCAATTGATCAAAGACCAATCATTGCTGCTAATATGGATCATGTGCTCGTACCACTGTCCGTGCGGAGCTCCGAGACAAATAAGGATTTTGTGTCGCGGTCCTTTGCATTTTTTGATTGCTCGCATCATGGCAATTGTCAGTCGTGTGTGCGAAGCTCGTGGGGTTGCAATTGGTGCATTTTTGATAACAAGTGCGTACACAAATCGGAACAGTGTCGTAACATGGAAAATGCGATCAGTGGAGAGGGTCAGTGTCCGCACTTAAAGCGCAATCGTCAACCAATTTTGCTGCCAGTGCGTGTGCCAAAAGAAATACGTTTAGAGATTGAGAATTTGCCAAAGCCAAAAAGTGCGCATGCTGGATATTTGTGTACGATACAAATTGAAGCAGCTCAAATGCTTTTACCAGCTCACATTGAGTCCAACAAGATTGTTGTGTGCGAAAAGACGCCGTACTTTTATGAGACGAATACTCACGAATACGAAGCTAAGGTTGAGATAACTTGGAATCGCCAGCATTATATAGATACCGCTATGGTCATATTGTACAAGTGCGATGTGCTTGGCTCCCATCGAGAACACGCCGATTGCAGTTTATGTGTCACACGTGACCCCAAATACCAATGTGCTTGGTGTGGCAGTACTTGTGTTTACAATGAGACTTGCCGATCACCAATAACAATTCATGGTCATGGGTTCGATGTGGACGCTGTTTCAAATAATGTTCTGCTGCAAAATGAATGTCCACGACCCCGGATTGATATCATAAAACCATTGTCGGGTCCTGTGGAGGGGGGAACTCTGGTTACAATCGAGGGCAGCAATTTGGGTATTCGCGAGGAAGATGTTAGAGGAAAAATATCAATTGGAACAGTGCCATGTATACTGGTGAATTATCAAATCTCTGTTAAGATTGAGTGCCGTACGGGAGCAGCATTGCATGAGATGTCGGCGCCAATTAAGGTGGCCAATGATGCTGGATTTACGGAATCAAGTGTTCAATTTCATTTTAAAGATGTACAACTTACCGGTTTGTATCCCACTGTTGGACCCAAATCAGGTGGTACACAATTATCACTATTGGGAAAGTATCTGAATATTGGCTCAAGCATTCGGGCGTTTCTCGATGAATACGAATGTCACATAAATGTAACACAAGCTTCATCCTCACGCCTATCCTGCATAACATCGGAGGCAACGCAACCAGAGCCAATTCGCTCCCTACGGTTGGTTGTCGACGGAGCTAATCGCACATTCACTTGCAAAAATTCAGAATTGGGACAGCAGCAGCAGCTGATAAGCACTTCTAGAAGCTATTATGGAACATATCATTACAATATGCCCCCGCCGCCGTGTTCGATATTCAACTATACACAGGATCCGCGCATAATGCAAATAAAGCCATTGCGCAGCTTTGCTAGTGGTGGACGTATTTTAACCGTACATGGCATGTACTTAGACTCAATACAAAATCCTGAGCTTGAGGTTTTTCTGGATAATGAGCGTGTAAACAAAACTTCTTGCACTGTCATTAATTCCAGCCAAATGGAGTGCCCATCACCGCCCGTAAATCTAAAGTTTCAATTGTTGAAAAATGCTGTTGAAATGAAATCGGTTCACAAATTCGAACGTAAGCGAAAGCGCAATGTACTATTCAATGATAGTTTCAATATTTATGCAACAGGTTCAACAGTATCCAGCTACTTTTCTAGCAATAGCATGGATGTAACAGCCTTTGTGAAGATACATGAGACTCAATTAAATTTGCAGCTTAGTTTTGTCATGGACAATGTGCAGTTAGTGCGAGACTTGAACAAATATTTTCATGAAATTCGCAGCACTATTGTATACTTGAACGATCCAAAATATTTGCCATTCCCGAATGATGGCATCAAACTTTATAAAGGTGACAGCTTGGTCATTGAGGGTGAACTGCTTAATTTGGCGGCCGATGAGTATGATGTGAATGTAACCATCGGAACTGTGCAGTGCAACATAACGAGCCTAGCTCTCACACAACTGTTATGCATACCGCCCGAGCAGCAGCCGGCCTCGACAGATGAAAATGGAATTGATCAGTCAGCCGATCTACCGCTGGTTGTCGTTAAAGTTGGTCGCAATTTGCGCTTTGTAATTGGTTATCTAAAATATGATTTGAATAAGCCGTATTCGATCTCACATGCAATGCTAGGCATCATATTGACTGTGGCCGCATTGATTATTATCCTTGTAATTGTACTGATAATATTTAGGCGAAAGTCAACCCAAGCGGAACGTGAATATAAACGTATACAAATCCAAATGATCACATTGGAGAGTAATGTGCGATCCGAATGCAAACAGGCATTTGCGGAACTCCAAACTGACATGACCGACCTGACGGCGGATCTTGAGAGCAGTGGTATACCAACACTTGATCATGTCAATTATATTATGAAAGTTTTTTTTCCGGGCGTGTCGGATCATCCAATATTAAATTCGCCAAAAATTCAAGGCAATGGCCAGCACACCAATTACGATACGGCTATGATGCAATTCGAGCAGTTGGTCAGCAATAAGTACTTCCTTTTAACGTTCATTGAAACTTTGGAGACGCAACGATCTTCATTTTCAATACGCGATCGTGTAAATGTTGCCTCACTTCTAATGATCGTTCTTATGAACAAAATGGAGTATGCCACGGAGATTTTAAAGTCGCTTTTATTGCGTCTCATCGACAAATCATTGGCCAGCAAACATCCGCAGTTGATGTTGCGCCGCACCGAGAGTGTCGTAGAGAAGATGTTAACAAACTATTTAGCAATTTGTATGTACGACTATCTGAAAGAATATGCCGGATCAAGTTTATTCCTGTTGTTCAAGGCTATTAAGCATCAAGTAGAGAAAGGTCTTGTCGATGCTATAACGCATGATGCACGATATTCTCTATCCGAGGAACGTCTATTGCATGAACAGGTCACACATTCCGTTGTCATTTTGCATATACTACAGGACGACCTGGACGAGAAGGTTCAGTGTCGCGTCAATGACTGGGATACCATATCTCAAGTCAAACTAAAGATTCTTGATGCCATTTTCAAAAATACACCATTCTCGATGCGGCCATCAGTACACGAAGTGGACCTTGAGTGGCGTCACGGTCGCGGTGGTCATTTAACCCTCCAAGATGAGGATCTCACCACAAAGACGATTAACGGCTGGAAGCGCTTGAATACATTATTCCATTACGGTGTCAAAGAGTCCGCCGTAATGTCTCTTATAGCTAGACAGAATGAGAGTTATAATATGCCTTATAGTAAACAGCAGGCTCCCTATCACAATTGTAAGTATTTTTATGCCCTGAACTTATTTAAAATGAAAATTTAAGGGAAATGGGAAAATGGGAAATCAAATCCGAATTCTTTAAATTTATATTAGTTGGAAATACGGCCAATATGCATTTCTAAGAAGCCATTATAATCTGTAGATCATATCGGTGTTGGGAGATTCGGCGTAGGAAAATTTAGGGTTTTTTTGCGTTGCGTATGCAGTGTTGTTTCGAATCTTGGGGTCGTAATGTCGCTTTTTAATTGCTTTTTTTAACGATACAAAATATGGAAAATATTAAAAACGCACATCGGACGTTATCAGGGTATCTCTTAGCGGGCACCCCGACTAGAGCTTTTTTACTGGTTTTTTAATACGTATGAATGTGTTGTTTCCGCCACCTTTAGGAGCTATAGAAACTTGAAATTGTACCCGTCTTATAGCGCGCGTAGATATAATGTATATATTTTTTAGAGCATCAACAGAACAAAATTTATTCAATAATTGATTTATATATATTTTAGCCCATAAGCGCGCCTAGCGTTGGGCAAGCTGCTCAGTAAGCAGAACATGTGCTTATGTGAATGTGTTGTTTGCCTTCTAGTCGTGCACACCAGACTAAATCACTCTTACTTGCTTATACAATATATTAGTTGTCATAATTCATTATATTTTTGTTTTCTTTTTTTTTTGCAGTTTATTATATAAATAATTCGCAGAGTCATATAATAATCAACAACGATATTGAATCGGGTCTTCAGCAACCGAGGCTTTATCACCTAGTTAAGCCAATAATACCCGATCACTATATGAATATCAAAAACTCAGCGATTTCTGGAGTATTGACACCAGCGCAGGGCAGTGCGCACTGCATTGGAACTGGGAACGAACGAGCTAATAAAACTATACCAGAAGTGTATTTAACCCGCTTGCTTGCTACGAAGGGTACTATACAGAAGTTTGTTGATGACTTCTTTTCCATTATATTGACCGTAAATGAAGAGCTGCCGCCTGCAGTTAAATGGCTCTTTGATCTGCTCGATGAGGCGGCTAGGCGTCATAATATTGCCGATACAGATATTTTACACGCATGGAAATCGAATAGTTTGCCACTTAGATTTTGGGTTAATTTTATTAAGAATCCCGACTTTATATTTGACGTAAACAAAACATATTCTGTCGACTTCTGCTTAAGTGTCATAGCACAGACTTTTATGGATGCATGTTCAACAACGGAACATAGATTGGGCAAAGATTCACCATCTAATAAACTTTTATTTGCCAAGGTAATTATGTTGAGTTAATAATAATTTGTGTCTTTGAAAAAAAAGCTTTTAAAAGTAGAAAGGGAATGTAATTAATTACTTATCCTCAAAACATTTGTTATCTGGAAAATGGTGTATTCTTTATTTATCATTCGTTTTATTTGAACAGGATATTCCGAACTATAGAAGGATGGTAAAGGACTTTTATCGAGACGTGGCAAGGCTTCCTCAAATTAGTGATCAAGAAATGAGCACAGCTATGCAGCAATTGTCAGTTCAACAGAATGCAGAATTTGACACAATTTCTGCTTTAAAAGAGTTGTACATTTATATAACTAAGTACAGAGAGCAGGTTTGCAAAAGAATTGATTTAATTTCAAAAAAGATATTGCTAGAATTTAACTTTTTTTAGATTATGGATGCGCTGGACACCGATCCCAATTGTAAAAAAATGCATTTGTCCAGTAAACTGGAAAGTGTTGCCTGCACACTCGACGGCGAGGATACATTAAACTGCTGACAAGAATGTGTGTTTTATTATGTGATTTATGACGCTGCCGACCTGATTTTTATCATTTCAAGCAACCCAATTTTAAGTTAATAAAATTGTGGCAGAGAAAATTTACGTACCATATAAATATACTCTATCAAGTGCCAACTCCAGAAACAACCCATGACACTATATAATTTAACCGTATTTTTCATGTATATACATACACTGGATATTGTATTTGTATTTGATAAAAGTTAAGTAAAAAATTGGTTACTTTTCTATATATGAAAACCAAAATAAGCGCGAAAAAACAACAAATATCTTATAACACAATGTATACTAAATTACAATACTTAAAAAAAGTTTGATCGTTTTTTAAATTCCACCATTTTATTCTCAAAAATGCCTATTTATACCGTTTTATGGGTCTATTGGGTTGCTTTGAATTCCACAGATTGAAAATCTACCATTTGTCTCATACTAAGTTAAATAAGTAACAGCACGCGTGTAGATATAAATGAAATGTAGCTCTTTAAGATATTTCCGGGATTCTCATGGAGTTATTATTAAGTAAAATAAATGTACGACGAGCTAACATGTACATCTAAAAATTTAATTATACTCTGACATCTTCGTGTTGTATGATTTCATATTAGTTATAACGTACAATAGTATGCATTACATCGACATATGCTATGACTGAATTGTAAAAGAATCTTAAAAATGTAAAGTCTGCTAGTTATTGCACAAAAATTTATTTCGAAAAAAATCTATTTTATTCGAATTATATTTTATAGTACAGTAATGTTAAGATCCATATGTATATAAACAGATCATTTTTAATATTAACAAGTATTGTATAACTTAATTGTATTTGAAATTGCAGTTACCGTATTCTTCAAGGGAGCTTCATTTAAATTGATTTAATAATGTACCAAAAATTATTAATTGGACAGCAAGCTAATGGGTTTTTTATTCTTATGTAACTTGCCTTCATGGCCTTACTTAAAATATGTTTTGTAAATGAGTTCACATAATGCCCTCTTCATTCGGCTCAATAAAGAGCTTAGTACTTTAGAAAATGTGATATATATTGTATTAATTATGCGTACAGTTTAAGAAGCGAAGATGCATATGGAATGACTTTTAATATCTATAAGACTAGCCACCTACTTGTAGTAAAATTGCAAACAGCTTCAAACTATATAATTTTTACTATAGAATAATATCCGAAGTTTATCTTTGAAGTTGTGTTCGATTACATACTTTCTGAACTAAGTTTAATTCTGCCATGCGAAATACATAGTTTTAGTTTAGTATTCGTAATTTACAGTAGAAAATTAACCTACAATATATAATTCAATTTTATATTTTTTAATTGTATATGTATTTTTTACCTTTACTTTTATTGGCTACTGTTTATATAAAGAAACGTATGAATACAGAAAAGATAAGTTATATATACACGAAATAGTACATACATTTTGTAGATACCATGCGTACATAATGATCATTAATTTGTAAGTCAATGTAATTATGAATGAATGTATTGCTATTCTATTTTCAATAAAGTTTATTAGGTTCTTCAAGATAACCATATAATGTAACATAAGCTTGAAATTTAATTATAATTTACTTTCTGCAATAGTTTGATTAAAATCCTTTCAGTGCAACAGAAATTCAAAATGAACCATTTGCAGTGGTGATACTCAATACAAAAATGTTTTTGGAAATTAAATCCTTTGATACTTAATTAAACAAATTAATCATTATTTAATTCAATATTATTTTAATTTTGAATCTATTGAAAATGTGAAATAATTTCCCACAATTTGTGGAATAGTTGATCTCTAGACATAGACTTTAAATTTTTAACGTAACTCGCGCTTATATAAGTTTAAAATCTTCGGTATTATTTTCTGTTCTCGTGAAATATGTTTTTTAATGCTTTCTTCAAAAGTTTAAAAAACAAAGTGCAAGAGTGTTCCAGTCGAGAGTATCCGCCTAGGAGATATCCTGATATTGCAATCATATGCACAAATACAACCGCTCGCGACTTTGCCAGGGCTGCAGTATGGGTTTTTTAGTAACATTTAATTGTTGAATAGCTTTTGCTCTACATGGACTTTCTCGATAAAATTGTAGATCCTGATAATGACATCTAGATGAGTGTACTTGTTGAAGTGCAAGTCTCTGGGAACGTATCATACAAATTGGAGTGGTATTCAAGTTATCGCATTTTGTTTTATAAACGATGACAACCGATATTTCGGTTTGGTTCTTAAATCGCAGTTTCAATACCGTAAAAGATGAAGACTTGCGCTTTAGCAAATAAACATATATTAATGTGATTATTATGATTAGTCTGATTAGGAATCCATTTAGTAAAAAAGTAATTCAACAATAGTATGGGCAATACTGCAGTCCAAGCGCTACCCAAAATCCGTAGTAAGCAGAGCGCCCGCTTACGCGCCCGTGTGCATGTGGGGATAAGAGGATAAGAATGTTATGAATATGTCGATTAGAGCACTCTTACTTGTTTAAGCTTATGTTTAAAACAGCTACACCGATTAGTATATTCTAGTTGAGTTGTCCCACCTATAATAATATTGTTTTTCCAAATAATTTTTTGTTAAAATTGCTTTTTGTTTACTTGTATCCTCATATGCCATAGTTAAATGAAGATCTGAATCATCTCATAAGCAGACATACATACATTGCATGTAAATAAGTATGTGTATTTACACACACAGGTTTTTGTAAGATTATATATACATACATGCATGAATACACGTACATATGTGTGCAACTAATTATCTCTCACAAAGAATGTTTACGCTCTTCTATCCACTTCCACAGATGAGTCGCTTTTATACCTTGTTCCCATTAAAAATGGGAAATCAGGGTATAATGGTTTTGTGCAAATGTATGTAACAGGCATATCCCATAAAGTATATATTTTTGATCAGGACAAGGTGAGTCGGTTGAACAATATCCGTCTGTCCGTCCGCCATTTCGTATGTGTGTAAGTTGGTATGGGATATGGCACACTAATATGAAGTTTCAAATAATCGATAAATTTTTCCGTATCATTGTAATCATTTAAAAACATGATCGAAATGCAGATTTTTAATTATATTTCGAGCGGCTTAAGAGCTATAGTATTTCGTGTAATGTATATTTTGTACAATTTGGGGTTTTGCCACATTTTGGATAACGGCTCCAGAAGTTATTAAGCAATTATTATGGCCAATTTGCAAAAGCACGTGGCAAGCAGCGCCAAGCAATTTTTTTTTTTAAACGCAGATTGGATTTTGGTCAGGGTATCTCCTATTCGGGCACCTCGACTAAAGGTTTCTTGTTATCAATAAAATACTGCAGCTGCTTGGATGCCTTTCATTTATCACAAAGCGCTAAACGTTGTAACATAAAAAGGTATACACACCAATGCACATGCTTACTAATGCACATGCATACAATTATACACATATGCAGTATGCACCAGCTCACGCATACACACATTTATATGAGCTGTTTTTTCTCATTTTTGTTTGTTTTAAGATAACGGATTTATTCATATTTTATGGGGTTGCTCGCTCTGTACTAAGCGCATCTGTAGATCACGATTGCCGCCCGTGGTACAAACGAATGTCCAAAAGACTGTTATCCTACTTCAGCGGTACTTTGTTCTGGCATTTATCAAAAAAAAACTATTCAAATCAAATCTATTGATTCAGTGGATGCGTGGGGGTAGTTTTCACCACATTTATATGGAGATGCTTCAATATTTTTATAGAGTAAAATGAATATGGCTGATTTTTGTAATATTTGAACATAATAATAATTTAAAATAATTTTTTAAATAATTTTTTATAATTGCTAATTTTTTCAGTATTTTTTAATGCTAATGAAGTAAAGCATTATACTACTGCCAGCATATTGCAAAAAAAAAAAATAAATAAATAAATAAAAATGCAGAAAAAAACTATATATATTTTATATAATATTTAATTAAAGTGAAACAAATTAATACAAACAACTTTGCCATTATTAAGTAAATAAAGTGTGTATTTATAACAGTGTCTCTAATCATATGGCACGCACTGTTAACATATCAATTAGGTGGGTGTGTGCGTATGTGGGTATAAGCAAGAGATTGCTTATATTGTGGTTGGCTGTTGAGTAAGCATTTTCTTTCTGGTATTTTAGTCGCATGTGAAGTGCTGAACGAACAGGTTTTCGTCTGTACTCGCTGTATATTAAAATCAATGAATACGGCACGGCTGTTGATCGCGGATGTTAAATAAAAAATATAAATATAATATTCGGCATATTGTTTATAAGCAGCCTCAGAAATGAAACTGTGATTTTTAACTATACACTAAAGTTTATAACATAAAGCTAAACAGTATTTTGTGTTAATTTAATTTAATCTCATCACACAAATCAGTACTATTCGAATTTCAACATACGCACACACATATGTATGCGTGTTAAAGATGGATAGCTTGCTGGGTTTAAAATGAGCATGCAAATAAGTTAAGAGTGTGAGAAAATCCCCTTAAAGATCGAGACATCGAACAACACACCCTGATAGTTAGTTCAAGTTATTTCTGTGTCATCTTGCGATCTATAGAGGCCATGTGGTATAAAAATGAAAATACGTATCGAATCTGAATACTTTGCAGCTACATTCCAAAGTATTTTCAACTGGAATGATATTAAAATAGCAACGAATAAAGCCAACGTACAAAAAAATAACTTTTTCGAATATAACGAGAACGGAAAGAAGTTACGCGGTAGTTGGAGGCAAAATATTTTTTATGTCAAATACAGCTACAGTGTATTACCTTTTTGCGATGTTTGTTATTGCTATCACAATGATGCGAAGCGAATTCGAAAAGAAGCGAAAGGATCGGTACAACGTCGGCGCTTATATTCAATATTGCAAAAATTAACGCAATTTTGTTTTGTGTTTATTTTGTTGTTACCATTGTTACTCACCTGTAATACATTAATACAGGAAGCTACTGGCGAAGATGTTAAGCCAATCCCAACTATTTCATCAGAATCAAGGTTATTTTGGGCCAGCTCCACCTATATGCACTATGGACAGAAAGGGCCAAAAGCAAAAAGCAATTGCCAAAATAAATGGAATTTCAAACTAATGTTCAACAACTACACAAACCATAATAACTATAATAAAAATGATAACCAAAATGATATCATGAATAGCCATAGCCATAGCATAACAAAAGGCATCAGCCTCATTTATCCATCTAATCACAGCTTAAATGAATATAGTCTGATAATAACTCTAAGTCAATTGTATAGTAAAAACAAAGCAAACCTACATTCAAAAGCGCACACCATATTACACGGGACAAAGCCAAGTTCCGGTACCGACTCCGGTTCCGGTTCCAATAATATACGCCCTAAACGAAGTATTGATTCAACTCCACATAAGTCGCAACCACCTAAAACTAAACGCAAACATGAAACTGGCAGTCAAAAATTAGATGTGTTTGAGAAGCACAAAAAATATCATCAAACACATAATAGAATTATAAATACACAGAAGGTAACGGAACTAATTATGAACGGACTTGGATTAAAGAAATTGCCAGACATGAAAAAGGTAAAATGATCACATTACGAAAAAAATTTTATTATATATTATATATAACAAATTTTTTTATTGTCTAGTATAAGACAGATTGCAAATAAAAACAGCATTTAAAAAAAAAATAGATGTATTATATACTTATATAGAATATTCCCTGAAATTTGCTGCCTTAGCTTTAGATGATAATCTTCGTATTTTCGAAGTCTTCGCTTCTATTCCCCGAAATTCGCTTTTTTCTCTTCTCTTTTCTCATTTTTTCAAGATAAACAATTTTCTTGGATACTTCCTTTGAATAAATTCATTGAGTAAATTCTTGTCCCTATAGATAATTAAAATATAATAAATATAATATTTGCCGGTTAATCATATTTTTACATTATCTTAATTACAGGCAAACATTAGCCAATTAGAATATTCAAGCAAATACTTACAATATTTAGAGCGTGTAAGAAATAATCGGGGAGTTGGAAGCGGCAAGGACGGCAACCCTTATTCTTCAGGCGGAGATCCACCCTCAACAACACTTCGTATTTTAACCATTGTAACAAATAGTTTTAGCGATATAACAGAAAATCGATTCGGCCGTCAACGTGAACGTCGGACACCAAGAGGAACGAAAAGAGGGAACCGAGAATCCAAAAAATCTTTTAGCGATAAGACAAATATTCTCTTACATTTTCCATTAGCCATTAACGAAGCTGATAAATTTCACTACAAGAAACTAGATGAGGCAAATGTGAGGCTAATGATGTTGTACAATCCAGCATTGGCAGCACAATCACATCGTCATAGAACACGAATAGAGCAAGGAGTTAAAAAAAAATATAATAATTCGATGAATCACAAAGGGAATTGCAGTACGGATAGCACAATTCCCGCAAATCACCAACAAATTCGTAGACCCAAAAATCGTAGTCACATATTAAAACTGAGCGTTTATCAGTTGCTTCCAATGCAGAAACGCAAGCAGTTGGATGCACGTCAAATCGAGTTTGAGAATTCAATGGGTGATGATGAAACCCGCAGCCAGTGGCTGGAATTCGATGTAACCGATGCGGTGCGTGGATGGTTAAACAAAAGCCGCGAGAACCTTGGCATAGAGATTCAATGTGATAAATGTCGCCGCATTGGCGCTCGCATACTCAGCGGTGTTTCCAGCTCACGATTAGATCAGAAAAATGATGAGGATGATGATCGATTTCACCTGTCACCAGTTTTGAATATTATTGGGCACATAGGTCGTACCCATCGTGAAAAGGGTATACAATCGTTTAATCACAGCAATTATCATCATCGTAATCCAAATAAGTCTAAAATGTGGCCCAATAGCTGCTACAAACCGCATCAACGTTGCTGCCGTCATCAATTGAATGTGGCCTTTAAGGACATTAAAGGATTCGAGTTTATTATACAGCCAAAAATTTTCGATGCTGGTTATTGCCTTGGTCGTTGTCCTCCCAGACACAATCCCGCCCATCACCACGCATTACTCCAAAGCCTCATATGGCAACAGGATCATAATCGTGTACCCCGACCTTGTTGTGCCCCATCGAAGCTCACGGAACTGGAGATATTGCACGTGGATGAGGAGCACAGTGATAAACTTAAGATATCAACATGGAGCAATATGCAAGTTTCCGAGTGCGCATGCTCATAAAACAATTGTTAACATTTTAGATGAGGAGCACAGTGATAAGCTTAAGATATCAACATGGAGCAATAGGCACGTTTCCGAATTCGCATGCTCATAAAACAATTGTTAACCTTTTAGAAATGACTAGCAATACAATTGGCAGATACCAAAATATATATACCTACATACATACATACACACACACACTTTCATATATATATATATGTATATATATATATATATATATATATATATATATATATATATATATATATATATATATATATATATATATATATATATGTGTGTGTGTGTTTGTATGTATGTATGTATGTAGGCATATATATACATTAACATTAACATTTCTACTATACGAAAACGTTCTTGTCACTAGACTGCAGTGCTAATATTTTTTCTCTGGGTTTCGAAATATACATAGTCTGCGGGATCGCGTCGATCTTCCTTTTAAATGTTTTCCTTATTTGAACCGCAAAATATATTTACTTATATATTCAATATAGATATATGTATATATTTATAATTATATTTGTTTTTTTTTTTAAAGTTAATTAATAAGAAAGCCTACCTCGCACACTTTAATGTTGATACTGATATTTTTCAAATTTCACCCCTAAAACTAAGATTAATTCCAATGTTATTTGCTTTTGCCTTTTTTATCAATCTGAATTTTTAGCAGTATTAAATATTGATGCAAAGATGCATCTGAGTCATTTAGTTCAATTACAAAATTTAGGAATACCACACAAGTGTTTGAATATTTATAAAACATATAAAAGATACAAGTACATTTTTAGTTCTTTAATTTATTAAGAATAATAAAATTTTTTGTAATTTTTGAAATGACTTTGTTATTTGTCTTTGGGTTTATAAGATATGAAATGTATAAGTATATCTGATATTTATGAGTAGATCTTATGTATGTTAACGAACGGTCATTTGCCTTTTTGAAAGCGCAGTGAATTTCTATGCGTTAGGAAGGCAACTCAAATTAAGACTGACTCTCGCTCTTTTTCATTTCTCTACCTCGAACCGAGCTACACTCTGCGACAACTTCTTTGCAGCCGCGCCGTTACGGTTCATTGTCTAGCTTCAAAAACGCTACCAAAGGATCATCATTAAAGATGATTCTATATTTCTGATTATTGCGAAACCACAACTTCTTCGTCGCCGTGCTTTAACGGTTATTTGTCTAGCTGCAAAATTGCTATCAAAAGCTAAACTATAACACAGCAAAGCTGATCCAAATACTTGAACAAGCGATGATACGACACGGCCATCCTGACATTTACACGTCCTCGTGTACTCAACCTTTGATTATTCATTCCATTCAACTCCTCCTTCATACAACTGCTAAAGTTTCTCAACAAAACCATATGAGAACATATCTTCTTTAGTACAGCTCAACTCAAGTAATTCACTTATGCTGGCTACTAAAATAAAGCATAATCGTTTTCACCAAATATGCCAATATGCCGATATGCCGATTTTACATTTCGTTTGACCAAAATTCAAAACTCAAGTCATCATTTCACTCAGAAAAGCAATCATCGTCTCACTTGGACGGCTCATGATCACCTGGACGGCTCATCATCGTCCCACCTGGTCGGCTCATCATCGTCCCACCTGGACGGCTCATCATCGTCCCACCTAGACGGCTTAAATTCAGCTTCCACCAGACCATTTGACGAGCCTGGAACCTCATTATCAATTTCCAGCTCATAGGGTACATTTCCCTCTGGAAGTTATCTTATGTCCTCATGACAATATTTATATAGTTTCAAAACATCTACCCTGGTCAGCTATAATGTGCGTTGATACACGGAATAAGAAAGAACCAGAATGTCACTTTGCTGTCCTACAGATTATACAATTGTTAACAAATTTACGGACACATTTGTTCATTTTCTCAAACCAATAAAATTGGTAAGTCTTGTCAAGTGTTTTCTTTTTTCCAATCAAGGTGCATGATTGCCCCATGTACTTGATTAACTAACCATCTGAAAATTCGGGGCACAACTGTCAAGCAGCGTGTTTTTCCATTATTTTTGGCAAAAGCTGAACAGCTGGGTCGAATGATATTACGTTTAAGTGACTCACTTAACTTTTCTCGAACAATGTCCTTTTCTTCAGGGATCTTAGAATTTCGCAACCAATAACAATGTCGGTTTTCAAATTGCACTACATGAAATAATATTTTAAGTGCGTTCTCGTTTATAATAACCTGGCTTAATATTTGTAAGGTGTGCTATATAAGTTAACACATAAAAATTGTCTTAAGGTATTGAATAAGCATTTCTTTCAAACATTGCCATTTGCTACCGACCTATTTCGATGGCAGATAAATTTAGTCCCCCGACCGCAACGATCGGCAGCCGTAACGCGGTACTTGACTATGTCGCGGCTTGCCGACTGTAGCTTTGCAGCTCATGACAATGATCTTTAGTTTAGGCCATAGTTTATTAGTTCAGTTTTGTACGACATTTGATGTTTTAATTATTACATTGCTGAGTCACAAGGCCAGTAATCTAAATACCTAATTGTATTCCCCCTAATCAACCTAAGCATCTAACCACTCAGGATCTGGCCAACAGTATCATCTAACGAGGACCCCTGGACAGGACAGATTACATAGCTTATATGCCAGAATCGCCTATGCCTTTTAACATGACAATGCTATTAAGATGCTTACCAGCTAACTTACTCTTCTTGGCGTCAGGTCCAGGTTCAGATTCGTCATCGCAGTAGTCATTTCTATGTTTTTGAAAGGTGAATGCACCTAGTTCGGATTGCAAATCACTTCTGATTTGAACTTTTGACGCAAAAACAACTCGTTGTAAGCGGCTATCCACATTAGTTAAATGCGCGAGCACAATTGAATGGGCAATTTCTTCAATGTCTTTGTTTTGCCAATTCGAAGTTAAAGTTGGCTATCATTAACCGAAAGGCACTCGCCGTTTAGCAAATTTAAAAAACATTTCCGATGGCATCTCCCAGTTTTCATTCCACTTAATGCCGGGATATGAAATTTGGGTATGCCAATGTGAAGCACTGCCCTCTATAGCTTCACTTAGCGCCATGATCAGCTTGCTTCCTTCTAGGGACTGCTCCGTTAATATAATGCCAGCTATTATACACCACTTCGAGGCATCTACACCTGCAGTATCAGAAAAAAATTTCGGCAAAGTGACGGCACGAGTCTGCTGTTGTTCACGTGTTTGCGCTTGCACAGTTTTTACAAGCTCCAGCAGATTTTGGTTTTGCATTTGTAAAATTATGAGCCACTGATCCTCTGAGAATGCAGGATGTGGTGCCGATCCCATTTCTGATGTTAACAAACGGTCATTTTCCATTTCAGAAACGCAGTAAATTTCGATGCGTTGATAGGCAACTCAAATTAAGACGGACTCTCGCTCTTTTTCATTTCTCTACCTCGAACCGAACTACGCTCGGCGACAACTTCTTTGCCGCAGCGCCGTAACGGTTCTTTGTCTAGCTACAAAAATGATACCAAAAGAGAAACTATAACACAGCAACGCCACCGTTGCTGATCCAAATACTTGAACAGGCGATGACACGACATATATAAACGTAACTTCTATATGGATCACGTAAACCAAAAAGCCAAAGACTTGCAATCTTCAATATATCATATAAATATATATATAAATATAAAATATATCTAATATATTCATGTATACGCAGCACGATCTTGTAATTTCGATAACTCATTCCATTTCAATATCGATAATATAATTAATGATTGATTTCGTTTTTAAGTGTGGATTGAATACCACAAAAGATGGAGACTTAAAATTATTTAACAATCAAAATCCAATAGCGAAGCGCATGCTGCAGACCAAGGTGAGTAGCTGTAAGCTGTAAGATGTAGGCGCGTGCATGTGCACGTGCGTTTGCCTGTGTTTTTTGTAATTGATTAATTAAAGCGAAAAAATTATTAGAATTTCATATGCCCGCAGAGTACATTTTATATAGTTTATAGTAAAATTTCTACATGTTTCTTAGACATTTATATGATTTATTTACTTAATCTGTGCATTTTAATATCATAGCATATTCTTCATCGGGACGACAAGCCGAGTTGATTGAACCCTGTCCGTCTGTCTGTATGTGTGAACGCGTCGATCTCAGCATCTATAATAGCTAGGTTCGTGTATAGCACGAGTATATAAATATATGTACGGCTTAAGAGCTAGAACCACCTCATTTTGTATTTAGTTTGTATCTTTTGTACAATTTGGATTTTTTTTATATTTTGGATTCCGGTTCCAAATTTCCAAAATTTCCAAATTCTTTAATTTTAAGTTCAGTTGGAAATAGGGCGATTATGTGAAGGCGTTTACATCTCTACCAAGCAAATAGAATATGTAGATCATATGCTGAAAATTTAATTAAAATCCAATAACTAAAACATAAGTTATTAAACAAAACGTTTGGCCACTTTGAAATAGCACGTGGCAAGCAATGCCAAGCTTACGCATTTTTCCTATATATGTTCAGGATAATAGCCTTTACTTGTTTTGTATTTCAGAATAAAGACAAACGAATTTTAAGTTCTGTTCCGTTTTATTGTTCGGATCAGACATAAGTTCATATTTTTATTTTATATGTCAGAGCACTGACGGCTGTGACTATCTAGAATCTGAAATACCAAAAGGTTCATATGTTAAGCTAGTTGCTAGTGGGATGTGTTAACTTGCACACATCCAACTATTGCAACTAACTAATTAATAAGTGAAATGAAATCAATTGAGCGCTGCATTATACATTGAAGTTTACAGTTTTATTTGGCGATATTCAATAATCTCTAACACAGACGTCAAGAAGGTTATCTAAAATATCTTCATTGCGATTTAACTCATTGCTATGTAGATAATTATACGGCTCATCAATGCAGTCCATGTATGGTCGAAAGTTAGGGTAGTCGCAATTAATGGTAAAGCTGCTCGGGATCTCAGTATTGGAGGGGATCGGTGTTATCAATGCCAGATTAGTTTCTTTATTGGAATCCATTTTATGTGACGATATGATAATATTCTCACTAGCTGTTGGAATCTCATCCTCAGTATAGATCTAAAGCAAACATTAATAATATAAATAATAATTGTATCATATTAGCAATTAAAATGAGATTATTATTAATAATATTAAGCTTGCACCATTCAAAATTGGCATCTTACCATATTAGAGCAACCGAACTTATTGCTGATTATACTATTTAGGCAAGAAGGGTCATCGATGATGCCCGTTGTGCTAATTATAATGGTGCCCAGTTCATATTGCTGCTCCAGATGAAGGGCTTCGTTGTTTGTAGAAGATTGGAAAGATGTATCTGGGTATAGAAATGTTGGGTCACTATCGTGTGGACCATTTGGTAAAGTCAGACCATCACCTAGGCCAACTTCTACTTCAGTTAAGGTCAAGGAATCCAATTGCACGTCATGCACAGCAATGCTATTGTCAGGACTAGATAAGTGTGGCTTTTCATTCTGCATATATAATGACGACAAATTTGGAAAATTGTCTCGAGAGCACTCGTCATTTATCGAATTGGCATTCTGATATTTTGCCAATAGACTTTGATGGGCTTTAGCCTCTTGCGAAGATTGGTTTGACTTTGAATTGGTTGATTTGCGATTACGTATGCGTTTTCTATTACATTTCTTAGGATCCACTCCTAATTCCCAATAACCTCCTTTGCCTTTTTCCTCACGTTTACGATTTCGAAAGCAATGATGCAGTGACAGATTGTGCCTAATGGAATTCTAAAGTAAAAAACATTTATAGAAAATATTGTTAGTAACTAACTCACAATTATATACATAATATACATATATACTCGTGGGCACCCCCGCCTGATACAGTGGCATCCGTCCATCTACCCGTCTGTTCGTTTGTGTGAACGCGTCGATCTTAGCACAATCGATAACTATTCTCGTTTTATTGTTATCGATTATTAATTAATATTGTAAGGCTTAAGTTCTAGTCTCCAAATTTTATATTTAGTTTTTTGTATACATATGTCGGAGAGTAGGTAGTCGAAATGTACAGGCGCCTTGCTGGTGCGTGCTGGTAATATGTTTGAAGGTCACACTACATATGCCTTGGTGCGTCTTCGAGCATTTTCGTAGAAACACAATTGCAACATTATGTGATTAGTTGCCTGTGTTTTGTAGTTTGGTTAAGTCCCGTTTTAGCGAGGCGACAGCCACAGAAGCTGTCGCCGAGTGTGGTTCGATGGAAGGCACAAGGAATAAGAGACTGACAGAGTTTAGTTGTATTTGATATCTAAGTGTAATCGAAACTCGCTGCGCTAGAGCAATGCCGAACAATAATAATATGAGTGACGCTGCAACATATATATTACAAAACTTTAATTTTTATTATATTTTGGAGCCCGGTTCAAGTGGCCGGCATTAAGCTCAAGTGGAAATAGGGCCAATTTGTGAAGGAGTTCGCTATTTTACTAGGCCGACAAGTACTCCAATAGAATATGTAGATCATTTGCTGAAACGTTTGGCTAATTAGCACAAGCACGTGATAAGCAGCGCCAAATATACGCATTTTTCCTGTACATGTGAACACATATATTCAATTCTTTTCTATTCGATAAGTCGAAATTGCGATTGAATCATCATTTATTACATTAGTTGGGATTAGCCAATTTTTATGCGAGCAGAGAAATCTTTTTGTTTTTATACCCCATTGAAAACGGGAAATCAAACATAAAGTATATACTCTTGATCAAGACGACAAGCCGAGTCGATTGAGCCCTGTCCGTCTGTGTATATTTAGTTTTATGTATATTTTATGAAATTTTGATTTTTGTTGTATTTCGGTTACCGGCTCCAAATTTCCCCAAATTCTTTAAATTTAAGTTCGGTTGGAAAAAGGGCCATTATGTGAAGGCGTTTACATCTTTACCAAGCAAATAGAATATGTAGATCATATGCTGAAAATTTAATTAAAATCCAATAACTAAAACGGAAGTTATTAAACAAAACGTTTGCCCAATTTTCAAAAGCACATGTCAGCAGCGCCACGCGCACGTATTTTTCCTATGCGTGTGTACGCATACATTCAAATGCGTCTATTGTTTTCTTTTCGAACAATCGAAATTGCGATTGAATTGTTCTGAATTATTAGCTGCTACTTAACTTCAAATTTGCAACTTCTTACAAGAGCAGTGCAGTGGCTGCGTTGGTAGAGAAGGCATCCGTTAGCAGTTAGTCCCGGGGGTTATAAAGTGGCGGTGGCTCTAGCCCTTAAGACGCCCGAGATATAATTTATGAACTGCATTTCAATCATGCTTTTATTCGATAACAATTAATTGCGAATAGTTATCGAATATTTGAAACAAACTCGATATGCGCGTGCTATACACGGACCTACAAAAAATTGCAAGTCTCTAGCTCTTATAGATGCTGAGATCCACGCGTTCACACATACGGGCAGATGGCCAGACGGACGGACGGACAGACAGACAGACGGACAGGGCTCAATCGACTCGGCTTGTCGTCCTGATCAAGAATATATATACTTTATGGGGTCTGCCACGCCTCCTTCTGCCTGTTACATATATTTGCACATAACCATTATACACTGATTTCCCATTTTCAATGGGATCAGGGTATAAAAAACGCAGGTGGGACTGGGATCAGGGTATCTCCTAGTCGGGAGCCCCGACTTGAGCTTTCTTACTGGTTTTTTTATTTTGAATACTTGATAGAAACTACGGAAAATATTAAAAAACGCAAATAGGACTGGGATGAGGGTATCTGCTAGTCGAGCACCCCGACTAGAGCTTTGTTACTTGTTTATATTCATAATCTATATGTGCTTCACTCTTGTGAGCATACATATTAAATTAAAGTCTCTAGCATTTATGGTCAATATTTATCTACAATATGGTATGGTACTTAAGAATATATATTATAAATTGAAGAAAAGAAGATAGACTCAGCTAATCGTCCTGATCAATAAAATAATCCGACCTACACCTCGTTTGGCTGCTATATAATAATTGAAAACAAAATATTATACCAAAAATTAATTGCCATTGTTAATACGTTTAGGTTATGACTCACATTCCATTTTTTACGAACTCGAAAGAATGCGAATTTCGACTCAATCCATGCACAAATTTGTTGAAGTGTAACACGTCCATTTTCGAGCATAGCCATCCCAATTATATTAGAGTAATTAAACGGCGGCTTATGTGTTACATCTGTCTTATATTTGTTGGCCGACTTTTCATACTCTACCAAATCGCTGTAATGGTAAATGACTGTTACAATAGTGTGTTAAAATAACTCGATTCTTACCGTTTAATTTTGTTAATGAAAATATCGTATCTTTCCGCTGGAGTTGGACGTTTTAGCAGGGCTGATGTTGAGTTTAGTTTTCCGGAGTCGGGGTAGCTCATAACGTTTCGGATAAGGGATTTATTTGCCGTATTCTTCGAAGAGCCTTGTTCTGACGGCTTTAGTTTTTTTTGGATATTGATACGTTCGACCTCAGTATCCAGGTACCGGTGTCCAGTTTGGATATTGATATCATCCTCAGAGTTGGCATCAATTGTTTTTGACCACGTCAGATTTTGATTACGTAGTAACCAATTTAAATTTGTTAGCTCACGCTCCTCGTCAGAATCATCTATTTCGGGAGATTTAACGATACGCAAGTACCCAGAGATTTGCTCATCATTTCCTCTAAGTTTATTTGTTGAGCTAATCATGTTTCCTTATGTGTCTGTCAAATAATGTTTAATAACTAAGTTGACGATAGCTGGAGTACACTTCATTTATTCTTATTCTAATAAGCACTCCATAATCTCTATATCCTGACTGATTCACTAAATAACTGATCTTTTTAGAGTTACTTATTAACGTTTATGATACCACTTAGAAAAACTCTAGCTGAAATTGTGGAAAATGGCTTAATGACTTGCGCTGTTTTTTCCTTCAAATCGATTTTATTAAAGATTTATTATTTCTTCATTTTTGAAGCTGTTTTACATTTTGGAGAAATCAAGACTCCTAAATTTGATAAAAAGGTAAATGAGCAAAAATTCAAGTTTAATTTGAACGAAAATTATGAGAACATCTCTGATTATCAATTTTAAATATTTATAACTTATTTATCCACGCGAAGCCTCCAAAAACTATAACACTACCTTTTACTTTGAATTCTGACGACGTTCATAGCAGTTTTTATTACATGTAACACAGTGGAATGAACAATTCCTGTTTTTGCTCTTTTCTTCAGACTATGCTCCTGAGGGATGAACCGAAGTGGCACACAGTGAACAACTTTGTAAACGTATGAATGTGTGTGTGCGCGTTGGATACTGGTTATCTGTTCGTCGGCGCTTGACTAATGCTCCCATTGGCTCTTTTTTGGAGTCCAGAGACCATCGAAAGCTGATGACGTGATTGGCTGGCGAGACAAACGATGCGTCGATACCGCCAAAGGGTAGCATAGTAATTGCGACTGATTGGGCGCCGAATGCGAAAAAGTATGTGGACGCCATTTTGAAAGATGACTATTAAACTTTCAGGGAACTCTGCCATACATATGTATGCACACCTATGTTAACGATAATATTATGTATTTGGATTCAACGTTGTTAAATTAGGCAACATTGTGCTTCTTAAAAAAAATTAACTAAATTGGACTATACAAAACTTATATATTTGGCCACAATATAGTTTTAGAATTGTCAATGTGTAAATAACGAAACAAAAAATAATTAAATATCACAATGTTGAATAAAATAGTTGTAACAACGTCTATTTAATCTACTTTGACAATTGAGAGTAGTATGAGCCGAACATAAATTTAAAACAAAAATGGGAAATTGCCATGAAAATATACGTAAATATCTGTTTAGTAATTATTTTCATACTTAGAGTCGCAAAAACTCTGACTTCGAATTATATTTTTATGCCCAAAAGCTATATATGTAATTCAATTACAAAAATTGCCTTATAATTTTTTCAATAATATGTTATACCGACTATTCGAGTATGCGATATTAATTTGGACAGCCTTCTCAGTACAATTATTTTTTGATTATTGCTTATTGATCACTTTACAAATGAGTTGAGTTGTAAGCATTTTGTGCTCTAATATGTTTCAGATTTATGTATTTCACAAGTCAAACTGTTATGAGTCATTCAGATGGTCATTTATATTGTTTAACAATTAAGTAAGATAGTTCATTTAAGAAACAACAGACTTAAATTATTTATTCGTAGGTAACAACTTTTAACTTTTTGTACTCAATACAGGGTTTTACTTAAAATGTATTACATACATTGTACAGATAGTTTGAGATGTTTTAGTAGTCTTATATACAGAAACACAATTTTACACTATGTACGCAGGTATATATTACTTAATAAAACTTTTTGACATTCACTCAATTTGACATTTTACTCCTTGCTCTAGTTTAGGTTAATGATATTATTTATATTAGAGAACTTCGACTTTACTGTTTCAGACGAGCGGTTTGAATTACACTGCAGTTCGACCAGTTCGAATACACCTGTATACCCTTCTGCCTCTCTGGTCAGCGGGTTATTGCTACCCCTAGTTGTATATATATATATATATATATATATATATATATATATATATATATATATATATATATATATATCTGTATGTATGTATATACATGTATGTATATATATATATATATATATATATATTGAGTAAGATTCCTAGCTGGGAAAATTGGTCATATAGGAGGGCTTAATGTGTTGTGTAAACGGGTGGACAGGTACACTCTTGGTTACACGCAAGTGGTCAGAAAAGTTCAGTGACCCAGCGTATTTTTTTCCGAACGGGCAACTAATGAATATACCCTTTTGAGGACGCCACTGCTCTACTTACTAACACGCGTCAGCCGAAACGCTTAACATACTACTTTATGTATATATATATAATATATACATATATATATACTTGTATACCTGTTCGTGGACAGAGCCGACAAACAACGAACTGACATCGACCACCGTCCATTTGCGAAGGGACAAAAGCTTCGGATACAACCCTATATCAACCCCTATTCGTATACCCTGCTTTAAATGGGTCGTTTGTTAGGAGCCTTGTATTTTTTTCGTATTTGCCACATTCTTCATCAGTTTCATATTTCCACTAACCTAGCAGGTAATTGCTAGAGTTTTAAAATGGCTATAAAATATCTGTAAGATATTATTACTCTTTTTTAATCTCTGAGGGCATCAAGTATACAAAATAAATAAAAGCAAATCAATCCTATTCAGCATAATTAATCTCTATAAGTGGATACAGGGCACCTGGTAGCATGTTTAGAGCCCGTTCTGGTTTTTGTATATTTCTTGCACCCTCACTAATATATATACTGTTTTGAGCGCTCTCTAACACTCTAAAGGGTGGGAACTGTAAAATAACCTATAAAATTGAATACAGGTACAGTACAGTTAGGACACGATTTTTTTTATTACTCCATATCCATGAGACAAAGAAAAGTAGATGATTAATTGTTTTAAATATGTTGAAAACAGGCCCGATTCGGCTAATAATATTATATATAAAATTGGCCAAACGTTTGGTTTAATAACTTCTGTTTTACCTTATGGAATATAATGAAATTTTCGGCGTATGATCTACATATTCGATTGGAGTAATTGTCAGCTTAGTAAAAATACAAGCCGGTATCAACAATATATAAAAAATAAATTATAACAAGTAAGAAAGCTCTAGTTAGTGCCCGATTAGGAGATACTCAGATCCCAGTCCTATCTGCGTTTTTAAATATTTTCCGTAGGTTGTATGGAGTATTAAAAAACAAATAAAAATCGACATAATTAATAATAACGACCGCCAGTTCATAATTATAAAATAAAACAATAAAAAATAATATTTCTCCACCGGGCTCGACTCCAGGGACTAACTGATTCCAGGCGCCGCGTCTACCAACGCAGCCACAGCACCACTTGCAAGAAGAGTTGCAAATTTTAATTTGAGTAGCTACTGATAATTCAAGCGATTGAATACATCGCAATTTCGATTCTTCTAATAGAAAAGAATACACACATTTGAATGCATGAGTGCACACGTATAGGAAACAAGTAAGAAAGCTCTAGTCGGGGTGCCCGACTAGGAGATACCCTGATCCCAGTCCCATCTGCGTTTATTAATATTTTACATAGTTTGTATCAAGCATTCAAAAAAAAAAAAAAAAAAAACGACATTACGAGACCAAGATTCGAACCCGAAATGTTTGCGCAACGTGCACCAACTCTACCAACACCGCTACTTCATAACCCCCGGGACTAACTGCTATCGGATGCCCCCGGGACTAACTGCTAACGGATGCCTTCTCTACCAACGCAGCCACTGCACTGCTCTTGTAAGAAGTTGAAAATTTGAAGTTAAGTAGCAGCTAATAATTCAGAACAATTCAATCGCAATTTCGATTGTTCGAAAAGAAAACAATAGACGCATTTGAATGTATGCGTACACACGCATAGGAAAAATACGTGCGCGTGGCGCTGCTGACATGTGCTTTTGAAAATTGGGCAAACGTTTTGTTTAATAACTTCCGTTTTAGTTATTGGATTTTAATTAAATTTTCAGCATATGATCTACATATTCTATTTGCTTGGTAAAGATGTAAACGCCTTCACATAATGGCCCTTTTTCCAACCGAACTTAAATTTAAAGAATTTGGGGAAATTTGGAGCCGGTAACCGAAATACAACAAAAATCAAAATTTCATAAAATATGCATAAATACAAAATTTGAAGGCTCTAGATCTTAAGACGTCCGAGATATAATTTTTTAACTGCATTTCAATCACGTTTTTATTGAATAACAATTAAATGCGAAATAGCTCTTAATCCGTACGAGATCTATTTTAATAACTACATTTTAATCTTATTTTTAATCGATAACAATAAACGTGAAACAAAATTGATATGCGCGTGCACGAACCTAGCTATTACAGACAGACGAACAAACAGACGGACATTGCTTGATAGGCTCGGCTCGCTGATCAAGAATATGGGGTCTGTCACATATATGAAATAAAAACATTATATCCTAATTTGTTATTTACAATGGGATCAGGGTGTAAAAATGTAGACACAAATTCGAAGAAGAAAGAAAAACTCTTTTTAACTTTGCTAAAATTCTATTTTATTTCATTTCTTTCACATTCTACTGCATTAATTTATAAACTTAATTTTAACATTTAACTGGCACTCAACTTACATATTAATATATTTTATACAATAAACTAATAATAAATAAATGCAAATAAATTGTACAACTGACCTTTGATATTTATATTTTATATAATAAATATGTAAATGCAATTTTTAAATTATATATTTTGCTTATATGGGCATGTATATTCAGTAACTAGTTCCATTATAAATTAATAAAATAAGTTGGGTGGCTTTAGTTAAAAGTGCACGACATGTAGAGACACCTCGTAACCATCCAAACTACTTTAAAATGAACTTGAAAATGTGTTTCTTCAACATGGTTAAGATTATGTGTTTTATTTATGTAATCATCAGACAAAGGAATTTTATATTTTGTACTTTAATAATTGGAATAGGCGCTAATCTGCGTACAACTTTGCAGAACATGGACAGAGTCCCAAAAATAGTCGACATAAGAAAATTGACTCAAGAAATTAGCGCTGAATGGCGGTGCATAAATCAAAAGTTCGATAACGACCAAAAGATCAATTTCATAGAGATACTATCGATTATGTTAAAGAAGATTGATTATAAATCTTTGACCCATTGATTACCTAAATTCAGCTGTTTGAGAAAAATGCAACAAATTAAATAAATAAATAAAATGTGATGTGATAGCGCTGATAGTCAATATTAAAATATTCTAACAAAGTTGCTTAGTAATAATATTAGATTAACGTTCGATTGATCATATGCATTTTATAAAGAATCAAAGCCGGACAGGTCACTCTCGAGCTATAATGAATCAATCGTATTTTTATTAGTTTTATGCATTGGTAATATATATTTAATTTTTATTGAAAATATCAAACCTTCTCTGGCTTGTAAAGATGTGTATGTGGCAATAAAAATGTGGAGCCCAGATCTCGCTCAGCCATTGTATTTGCCTCCTGTACAAATTTGATTAGTTATTACTTTTGTTATTTATAATATAGTGTCGGTCGACCAGATGCCACCCGATCTCACATTACCTCGATTGTATTAATAGGCATCTGCTTTTTAAAACATAGATGTCGTGATTTAGTAACCTGAACTGTTGTTTCATCGAATGAGCGTATATCAGCCGATCTGCAAATAAGCAATAGAAGTTTACATACATTCTTTTTTACATAAACGCAATCACAAAGTGAACCATTAAGTTGGCTCTAGTTGACAGTGCAGGACTAGGAAGTATCTACTTAGTAGCTGATATACATATTCTCCCCAAATAGTCATAGATATATAATAATTATCTTTTTAGATGTGGGTTGCACCCACGAGTATTCAGGACTTTCTTATTTTTTATGCCCTGATGCCATTGTTAAAATAAAGAAAATATAAATAAAATACATATTTATATATATAACTATATATTATATATATAACTATATATATAACTATACATATATCTATATGACACGACGTATATATATATATATATTCATGATCGTGACTTGTATGTCCTTGTATATCGTACGGCCTTTAACTCGTACGGCTTAAGAGCTAGAGCCAATCGAATATGTAGATCATATGCTGAAAGTTTCATTAAAATTCAATGCAAAAGCCAAAATTACAAAATGGATTTAAATGAAATTGGCCAACTTGCAAAAACACGTGAAATGCATTTGTCTTGATATCACTTACATTTCAGTGTTAGGAATATTTTTCATCCAAGAGCTCATTCTATGAAAGTCCCTGAAATTAACAAATTAAATTAGGGCAACATTTTAGTGAATAATGTGTTATAAGCTTACTCGTTTGAATTTGAAAGGGCGTTTAAGTTTTCTCTAGTTATTGGTTCTCCGTGAGATGATGCACAATCAGTAGTATTTTCCTTCCAGTCGACTGTTTTGCTATTTAATTGAACTGGTTGGTCACTGACAATTGCAGAGACCTCAAAGCCGGCAGAGACTAATGAGCCACATTCTTTACTAGAGGGCTTTGTAGGTGTGTGTTTACCAGCTTTAATTTTACCTTTTTCATCAATTTCGTTTAACGTAAGTTCTTGTTGCTTTAATTTTTGTGTATGTGGCAAGACTGATGGATGGTAGTATTTGGCTCGTGGAATCATTACAGTAAGTGATCGATCCGATTGTACTGGTTCGAATGCATTAGCTGACTCCTAACGGGAGACAATAATATTGGTCAGTAAGTTAAGAGCAAAATAAGTTAAATGTTACCTTGAATGTTGAATATTGTTCAGTATTGTGACTCGATTCACTATTTGAATCATTTAAAATGTTACACTTGTCTGTGCTGGACTTGGGTATAAGAGCTGCAGATGACACTCCCGACTTGTTGCTAGATAAAGTTAACATACTTGGATGATAATTGGATGCCTTGATAAATATAGGCCTTGCTCTGTGCGTTTTGCGCTTCGTATATACTAGTAGCATACAGACCAACAACAAGATAAAAACTGTGCTAATTGCAATCAGACTAATCAACAATATCTTCAAATTCAATTGACAGGTTGCTCCCGCATACCAAGCAAAGCATTCACATACTGAGGTTCCATTCAAGATTGTATGCGATGTCACACAATGGCCATGGTAGTGGCACTTAATGCATCCAATTACCCCATCTGAACAATGGCGACCAGGATAAATGGGATTATCGGATGTGTCCACATAGCCATCTGGGCAGCTGCAGGTATAACTCCCTACCAAATTGAAACAGTGGGCGTGGATGAAACAATCGTTGAAGTCATCGTGGGCACATTCATCAAAATCTAAACATATAAAAAAAATGTATATATATATATATATAAGTTAATTTATAAATATATATAACATAAATAAATAAATGTTATGCCTTAGGCTACGGCATTTATTGTCAGTTCGTCAGTCTATAAGAAAATTTGTAATATATCCTCTTTGGTATCCTCATTTAATAAATTGTAAAGTGATATTTGATATGTCCACTAGCAGAGTGACAGTTCAGAAAATACTACATCTTTGTATAATTAAGTGCTATTGTTGTATATATTAACATATGCCCCACGGATGTAAAGCGGAAGAAGTTGTCTTCCAAAGTTTTGCAAGCCCACTAGTGGCATTTGAGCTGAAATTACCAAATTTCGCAAGTGGATCACCGCCTGGAAAGATAACCTGTTATTTTATTATATTCGCCTATCGGGGCGACGTAAATTGGAAAATATTGATTTTTGAGTAAATTTATGTCGTTAGTTCAATTTACCTTTCACTGTCAACGAATTTATATCCTCCTTCGATGTATATAATTCGGTTCCTCCAACACTATAGTTACTCTGTCGAAGATATTTCTTAAAAACAGTTTCTAAGCGTTTCACATCACTATTTTCTGACAACTGAAATTATATAATAATTTTTTTTTATATACATATGCACGAATTAATCAGTTTAAGATATTCAACCTGTAGCAAGACGTTTCCCAATACAGTTACATCCTTTCGAGAGTTGAATTCCCTTGACTGGACTCCATAGTATACATCACGAAAATCGGATTGCATAACCATACGATCGATAGCATCAAGGATTATTGATCTTATATATTGATTTTGATTTGACGAATTACTTAAAAGTTCATCGTTAAGTAAGTAGCTTCCGATTCTGGCGATTGGTATACGCAGCTCGAACGTATATGTCGCTGTAGATTTGGATTGTAAAAACATAAAAAAACTCAATATTACACATTTCCATCTACAATTTCGATCTTTTCTAATCTGATATAATATATATAATATTACATGATTCGAAAATAGTTTCAACTACGTTCTTTGATTCTAATATATGTTATTCTTGCTAATGAATATCTTCATTAGGGACGAGATCAGCGATGCTATAGTTAAGGTGCTAGAGATTTGAAATTTGGAACGTACACTTGCGCGGAACATCCAAGATCAAAAAGATATCGATATGATAAAGATATCTATGCCCATTGGAGACGTGGCAAATCAAATAAAACTCTGTCATCTACAGTTTTAGAGCTCGATCCCCAAAACTTATATATTATATCTCACTACACTAGGCGCTTTTCTGTTATATTTTGAAGACTTTTAGTTCTCGTGAATTGGAATACATATTTGTGAATATAGCTCAAATCTAAAAGGATATTGATTATATATATTTTATTTATATACCTTGAGTGAGTATTATGCAATCGGAATATTCTCCTGAACTCTGTATTCATTTTTATGAAGAATTAATAAAATATGTGAAAACTGAAATTGTATTTTGGATTCTGATTAAAAATTATTGATTTTTTAAGTTTTACTTACGTTTACATGGTCGATCCGGAAACATTCGAGCAAATCCCAGCCGGCATTCACAGTGACTGACATATTCAGAGATACTGGTACATATCTCATTTTTGTTCGACTTACAAGCTGGGTTGCAAGTCTGCGATGATGTAATTGGGGCCAGTAGAGTTTTCGGAGGCGTAGCTATCAGGATACCACTTAGCAGAACACTATTAGAGTTGATAGGTGGCAGGATTTCTTCATCTCGGGTGGGTATATCAAAATATATATTCGTATCATAATCCAAAGGTACGTCTGGGTCAATAATTTTACTATTGTCATTGCCAGTATCTTTTGTCATCACAATTAAAATGTTGGACATATCGGGTCGGATATTCATTGTTGAAGCAGGTATTATTGTATAATTATTAGATTTCGATCGCATATAATCTAATATTTCATTTTTAGTTGTACCCGTAAAAATCGTTTTAGTATCTGTCAAAGTTGGGATATTTAGAGAACTATTTGGTAATTCTGTAAATCTTTCCTTGATACTAACGGCTCGCGATGAAGTGGATTTAAAGAATTTCGAAAAGATGCTCGTGGTTTTCATTACGATTTCATTGTTGAGAATATCTGTTATTTTATTCGAAAATGTGTTGCTATTCATGTTCTCAATAGCAATTTTCGTTGATGAAGAAAAAACTGGTTCCGACGATTCCAATAAAAATAAAGAATTTTTACTATTGTTATAAGTAATTAGGTCTGAATTATATTTAGCATCATCATAATTATGAAAAGTATTTGTTGACTTGAGTAATGAATCTAGGCTAGAATTGGTAATTGTTTGTTTTATTTTTTTTAATATCGAATAAGTTGTCAATACCGATTCGGTTACGGTTGGAGGTTCCGTCATATGTGATAACGCTTGCGTTGTATATAAGTTAATTATATGGAAAGTATTTGGTATCTGGGGTTGTACAACATTAATTCTTTTTGTGACCGATGGAAAAGGCTTGAAATTTTCAACATTTTTCGATTCATTAAATATTGATGATACGGGTGTTTGATTGGATTTTGTAACAGTAGTTGGGACAGCCTTCCCTTTCGTTACTAATGTGATATACCTACTGGGCTCCTTAAATGTTGATGATACTTCTATATCTTTTGGACTAGTAGCTGTTGATGACAGCCTTGTGGCTTTTGTCGTTAGTTGCGTTGTTGTTGGCTTATTTGTAATTGGTTCTTGAAGTATTGATGATACGTCAATATCTTTTAGACTCGTAACTCTAGATGAAAGTTTTGTGGCTCTTATCGTTAGTTTCGTTGTTGTTGGTTTATGTGTAATGGGTTCATTGAATATTGATGAAACTTCTATATTCTTTTGACTCTTAACTCTTGATGGTGTATATCTATCGAATATATCTTGTGCTGTTAATGTTGATGGGGTAGGTTGTGATGCCAGAATTGGGGGTGGCTGCAATCCAACTACACTTTGCTCAGCTCCCGTTCCATAAATAAATGTTGAAATTGTTGTTTTTAAAAGTGTTGCCAAAGGTGGAGGCAACAATATTGTGGGAAATATTTTAGTTTCCATTACGGTATCTTCCATAGGATTCGGTGATGTTAGTAATGGCAAACTATATTCCTGCTTGGGCTGCAACTGTGCCCTTAAATTGAATTGTTCACCAGCTGCCACAAACACCTTTTTGGGCAAATCATTTGGTACTTTCTTTGTCTGGTTTTGGGTCTGTTTTGATTTGATAAACGGTTGACCCAAGCTGATAGTCTGGAACGGTGCAAATGATAGCCATGCACTTACTGAGGACGCGTTTGCCAATTTAGCATTGTTTGTGGATTGTAAATGAATATTTTGTTTAGTTAAGTTCTCAGGCTCAGAAAGGAAGACGCTGTCTCCTAAAGAAATATTTTCGTTAGGCAAATTGTAGTTCGAGTTGTAGGTAGTATATTCCGCATTTTGATCTTGTAAATTCGGTTCTCCACTATCATTAAGGGTACCCTTGTCATGTTTATTGTTATCTGATATAATTGAATTTGAAGCAACCTGAGTAGTATCCGATTGTGCGTTCCACTTTGTAAACGTTTCACTAAAATTCCATTTATTATTGACGTTTTGTGGTTTGATTTGAGCTGGACTTAATATTTCTGGGTTGGATGAGAATAACAAATTTGTAGTGGGTATGTTCGAACTTATAGTTTTGCTATTAAAGCTTGCATTTGGACCACTAATAGTCGAACTTTCAGTATTTTTAAAAAAATTCTGATTGCGTTGCTTAAATATATTACCAGTTTGTTTAATGATATTCGAATCATGCATGTGCTCATAAGCTGTCTCAGCTACTTTGACAGCGAGTTTCGTATTTTGAGGAGTCAGTCGAACCTCGACATTAGCTTTATTCAATGGTATTTTAATAAGGGGCATGTGTGGTGCAGCAATGTGACCCCGAAGTGCAGTTGCAAATGGAAAGTTATCGCTGTCACTCTTGAAGGTTAACGGTGGGACATTTATATTCACATTATGATTGAGAACATCAGTCTTCAGGTTTATATGATGATGGGCTGATATCTTTGGTGATATTTGCTTGTAGTACTTACTGTCAGATATTGGATATGTTGTCATCGTTGGTAATTGAGTACTAAATATTTGAGGAATTTGTTTGAGTTCCAAAATTTCATTATTGTTCAACTCCGAATTTAAATTAGCAATTAGTTGCTGCGACCCATAGAGATGGCCATTGCCATTATTGTTCGGACTGTTGTAGATGCCTGGTAATCTAGACTTGCCTCCTGGGTAAGATGGTGGTGTACTGAATTCTGGATATATTTGAGGAGCTTGACGTGTTGGTGGCCGAAGTATATTGTCATAATCGTTGACTAGCACTCGATGCTGATTACGACTTGCTTTCAGTTGATCACGATTATAGTCCATAGATCCTACACCGACTGGTATGATACGTGGTGGGGTTAGAGAGAGTGGTATTTGTGGTGGTATCCAGGTTTTCTTTTTGAATGGTGGTACGTTGTAATTTGTGGATGACTGATTTGTATACTCAATCGATAAATCACTATCGCTCTGACTGTTAAACACTGCATTTTGTCGCAAATACTGAACGCCTATTCCGTTCGGCCGACCAAAGATGACATCAGCATTTGCATTTATTATCTCTCCCGGTCGTATTGGTATTCCATTATTCAGCAAAGAGTTTCCATATTCTAAATGGGGTCTTGCTTCTTCGATGTAAGGTTGAGAGCTGTTACTATTTTGCTGTCGTTGCCAGCTATAGTCAATTGCTCCATCTGGAAAATCAGGTTGTGCTTCCGATTCCGGTGGATTGATGTGAAGACTGTATGATGTTAATCTATTGAGATTGATATTTGAATTATTTAGATCTAACTTAAAGTTGCTTAGTGAATTTGAATTTAGTTTATTATTATTGTGTTGTATATTAGTATGCGGGTCAGGTATTTGTAGTGGAATATAAACTGGCTGGCCGTCCAATTTATTTTGAGTTGAGAAATTGGTGTTTGGAGTTTTCCTGACCAGAGAGAGGTCATTCATATTCTGTTTTGTTTCTGTTTGTCGATTAACAATATTTTTTTGTAACAACTCAGCCATTACGTTAAATACTGGTCGAAAGCGTTCTAAATTTAAAGACCCAATTAGCTGATCTACGGTCGGTGATGCTGGCATTAATAGAGACTGTGCAGGTAACTTCTTCAACGGCTTAATGTATACATCATTGTATTCCGATTCGGATAGGCTTTGATCGGATTCAGTATCTTTTTTTAATTTGGTACGACTTTTTTTGGTCTCAATTCCATCAATATTACTTTCAACTGTAGTTGGGTTTATAAAATGGACATCAATGGGACTCGGAGCTAATGGTATTTTACTGACAGACACTTGATCATATTGCGCAGCTGTGGGTGTTGCAGTAAGTGATTTTTTTTGTATATTGACTGCAGTTACTTGCAAAGTTTCTCCGCTTACCAGGGTAGCTAGAGTAACAAGAATGTTCCGATTATTTTTGCCCTTCTTTTGTAATAGCTCAGTTCGGAACATGGACACAAGCTCCGGCCGCAGCAGTGAATTAGGCAAAATATCCGTCCTAATATTCACAATCACCTTTGTTTGTAGATTCATTTGATTTGCTTTTTCGTTTTTGGATATTGATGACAATGCTTCCGAATGTAAGGCTAAAGCTGTAGCCAGATGATATGTGACTGTTGTCAAATATGTTTTTGTTGCATAGATTTGAACATCTTGATCGGTTTGGCTAGCTGCTTTAAGAGGTGCTTGATATTTGACCTTTGATGCACCTCGTGGTGGAATGGATTCCGTGATGACGACTTGCGTCAAAATATTTTCATCGGTTAAAACTTTCGTGGACTCCAATCCTTCTTGCTGCGTTCTCATTACATTCAGTGGACTGTAGTATGTATTGGTATCTAATAGAGGAGTTGCATCTTCTGAGGGCTGCAAGAACGAAATGTAATCGTCTGGCCCAGTTATTGTGTTAATTATCGTGTAGCTCGATCTGATAACAAAGTCGTTGTTTTTAATCGAATTATAGTAGTGGTATGTGGTTGGAAATATTCCCACCACTAGTTCGGGCGTCTAAATGGAATAAATGATTAGAAATCTATTAGCAAGTTCATTTTACCCTGAACCCATAGGGTCAATGTTTTGTGGAAATAATAGTTTTGTGAAATTGTATAGAACACGCAGAAAGCAGAAAGCGGGGTAACAGTCCGCTTCAAGTTTACTTTTTATCAAGGCGACAAGCTTGGACAATATAGTCTTGTTCATCCGAACCGATCTTGTAATGCACAAAAGCTTGAAATATAAAATGACTAGCGGTTGAATTCGAAATGGCAATGTTACTAGCGCTGTCAATTCTGTTTCTTACGGAACAGACTAGTAATTATTATAAGCTGACTTAAACAGCACCCTTTCTTTCAGGATTGATTAACAAAGCTATGGAAGCTTACAGTAACTTCACACTAAACATAAAATATCCATATAGCCCTTGTTGAGCATTTATGTGTCTGTGAACTGGACTCTGGCTACCTTCTGAAATCGGAATTACCTAAAATTCGAAGCTGTAGTATCTTCTGCATACTCACATTTAGATATACAACATATTATGGGTTTTGTTTTTTCATCGGTAGTCTACGCATAATGGTTTTTGTAACCGCACATACTCACATTTGAGAGAGTTACGCCTAGGGACGATTGGCTGGTTGTACGTAAAAATTTTCGTTCCTCCGTTTGGCGATTTGATACAACCTTCTCTCTACTCTCCACTGTGGTGCTTCCCTTATTTAGGTATGTTGTATGATATGTATAGGTGGTTAGACAGGTCTTTGTAATGAATTGATTCTCTTCAATTGGAATTGAGAATTTCTCCTAAGAAAAACAACGAGTAGTAATGAATGATCATAATATATATAAATTTTTACCTGTCTTATAGTAGGCAGTGCCAAGATCATATGATTCTTAAGTGTACTGGGTGCAAAAGTGACAGGTTTCTGTTGAGCATGCCTCGATGACAGACTAATCGACGGGCTGCGAGTTGATGGCGCTTGTTTATCAATATGCTTGATTTTGTCGCTTGCAATGATTAGTTCTACTCCATTTGACATAACATGTGTAGCTAAATTAAATCTAGCCTGATCCAAGCTCTTATTCGACATATCATTGGAAATGACCCCAAATAAAAGTTTAGTGTCAGTGAGCATTCGGGTATTCTGAAGGCGGGACATTGTATCAGCTGTTGGCTCACTTTTACTACTATGTGTTGTATCGTGTTTAACGTGTCTTTTATTGTATCCTGCATCAATTACAAAAATTGTATGTAGGTTTTTAGTGTCCGGCGCAAAATGCAAAAGAACTGCCCTTTTCATTTTCCTTCTTATTTATTAAATATTTTTCAAATGTGTATTTACATGAAATATATAACTATATGATAATTCAAATTTACAGCTAATGTTACTTTAAATTCATTTTATAGAAAAATTTGTTTTAATCCATTACATTTTAGGAAATTCGAACAGGAAAATCTCTCCAAATGATGTTAAAGTATTCATGTTGTTAATCAGCGTAAAAGCCGAGTCGATCTAGATCTGTCCGTCTATCAGTCCGTATGTATAGATGTGTCTCACAATCTATAAGAGCCAGAAATTTCAGACATAGATTTTCCAAAACCATGCGAAGAATCAAATTAATTTAAAATAATAGTATACTAATAAACTATACATTTTCCTGTATCCATGAAATCAAGGATATCTCTCACATCTTTGCAGCTACACTTGCCAAATTTGCATGAATTTCATGTATATTAATATGTTGGTAAACAGCTGCAAATTTCACATCATAATTTCCGTAAAACTAAGATCAATTGTAAATTTACTTAACATGAAAAAAATGGTCTGTCTTTTTTTAGATATATCATATACGTGTTAGAATGTCAGAATAATGCACTAAAATTTCATTGCTAAGCCAGGTAAATGACGAAGTCTATGTAAGTCGAAGATCAACCGAAGTTCAAGGTATCTCCAAGTCGGGATTCCCGACTTTAAGCTTTAAACTCTGTTTACAAAGAGATAAATGTTATATTTAATTGTATACTTATTCATGTGGTGTCAAAACAGTATATTCAAACCGAAACCATCTGCCATTTCATATAGCTTACATAGCTATGCCGATTGGGAACGTGGGATATTATCAAAAACTGTACGTTCCACATTTTTAAACTTGGGTAGCTCGTCCTTAAACTTGGGTAGTTCATTATTGATATTCTCTATGCCTATCGGCATAACAAATTATTTAAAATTCAAGCATGGCAAATTATTTAGAATAAATAAAAGTACCTTGGTTCAGGTCAGATGTAGTAACTTCCTCATTTTGTTGGTGTTCGATGGAAAGTAGAATATATGTATTAAATAATATTGTTAAAGTCAATCAGTTTATTAACAAAGACATATACAAATTACAGAGTAACGTAAAAATGATGTGCGATTAATTTATATGTTAAGATTAAGTAACATTTTTTACATTCAATATATATTCACATTTATTATACATAGAAATTATAAGGTACATTAATAAGCCCACCGTACACACATTCTTAAGAAAATGTTGATAACCTTATTACTTGACTATTGTTATGAAATATGAAATATGTGTAACTTACGATGAAAAACTTAAATTTCAGTTAACATGTGCGAATATATATATATATATATAGTACTAGTATATATTTATATATATTTTTTTCTTGTTATTATGGATCGCATAATAGCAAAACATCAGGCTGGTAACATAAATTGACTTATGTGCCCACACTAAAAAAAATAAATCTATGTAATAGAAAATATATGATTTAATGTTTGTTTGTAGATGTACATTTTGTTCTCCTGGCTATAAAATCAATATTGCCTACCACCGTATTATTTGGGATCTTTTTGAGTGGGTTTTACTGTCAAATTATTAAAGTCAGTACGCGTTATGCTCAGTGTGACAGGCAGATGGCGAGTATTCACTCGAATAAACGTGGAAATGGATTGCAATTGCTCGGTCTGATCGTTGTGCACACGCTCTACGATATAGGTATAGGTGCGTGTATATAACACTGTTGTTGTTGTAGTCAGATGCAATGTCTCTTCGTTAGCCGCCGTAGACAACATTGTTAATTCATGTGCATTGATTCTAAGTTTCTTTTGCTTACGGCTCCTAGGTCGCATTGATATTGATGATGACGACGTTAACTTTGACGAAAATGTTTGTGTTGGTAAGATCAGCAAACGTTCCGAATGCTCGTAAGTATCGTTTCTAGATTCAGTTATTGAAGAAGTTGTTGATTGTGATTTAAATGTATTATCTGTATGGTTTCTATTTGTTAACCTATATTTGAAAATTACAACACGTTGTTTCTTTGGTTGCGTTGTCTGCATTGTCTCTGATCGCACTACTAAACTGCCTTTTGTTTCCTTTGTGTTATTGATATTCTTGACTAGTGATGGGCGTGTTGAATTAAGAGGCTTACGGCGCACAATTACCTTACGCACTAGTGGCTTCTGAAAGCCCATTATTTCACGCTTGGATATGCCGTTAATGCTGGGAGGACATTGTCTATGATGAATGTACAAATGTGTGTTGGTGACCTTCATCTGTAGTGGGAACAACTCAGTGAGGTCATTTAGGCTAAAAAATTTATTGAATTTGAATTACTACTGCTGTTGGAGGGCTCCTTTGTATTCGAAGAAACTGGCTGAACGTTCTGCTTTGTTACCTTGGCATACCACAGCTCGACATCCCCAATGATGCTCTCTAAGGTAGCTGTACGGTCTTTCCACGCACAGCCATTAACCGGCTCGCACTCATGCTCATTCGAACCGAAGTTTACTACGTTTTCATGTAGTTGATCTGGTTGCAAATATGACAGCACCCGTTCACTCTCTCCAAATGCATATATGTCCTCGGGGCTATATAAAGAAACTGTCTCCTCCTGCTCATTGACGTGCCTTTTGTGCAAGCTGGATGGCGCAAAGTGATCATAGCTACTGTAAACAGTGGATAGAATAGTGCTAAATTCTCCAGGTCTACGTCCAGAGACATATAGCGTGACTACGCTGCTCTCTTCCTCAGATCTTATCTGTTGCTGTTTGTTGCGTTTATGACTTTTTGTCGATTTTCTTGATTTTTTACGATTCTTACTGGTGTGCGCCTGTTGATCATCGATGGCTATGATATCATCGATATTATCGCGTGCATTTACAGAATCACCGTCAAATCGAGCCCCATCTTCCAAGTCCTGTAAATTCTCACTTAGCAGAATTAGGGGCGATGCTGTTTGCGTTATCTGAGCAACCTGAGCTTGCAGTTGCTGTTGCTGTTGCTGTTGTTGCTGCTGTAAAAGCAACTGCTGCAACAACAGGTTATTTACTTGAGCCACCTGACTCGATGCTTGCACCACTTGACTCTGTGGACTGGGCGTGTTAACTATTGTATCAACACTATATTCAGTTGCTGTTATTGTCTGGGCAGTTGTATCAAAAACGGTTGTTAAGATCTTTTTGCCCTGAAAAGTAATTGGCAAAATTGTCGATTTGCCATCGTATATAGTTGTAACATATGTAGAGGTATGTGTACGATATTCCGTGACAGGCACAGACGGCTCGACAACTCCGATTGCGCTCGTTACCTGGGGCTGACCCAGCGCCCCCAAGAGTGGATTGCTTGGCAAGTTAATGTTACCTAATAAGAGCTGAGATAGCAAAATATTGGCCAATGGTGCATTAGCTGCTATTTGAGGCTGCACCGTGGACACCACGTTCTCTACAGAATACACTGTCGAGGGCAGAACGTGTGAAAACGATGTTTTGCGGCCTCGAATCGTTGTCGGCGTAAATGTAACGGTCGATGTTAAGGAGTCGTGCAACAGATAACGTGTTAGCTCTGTGGCTCCAGCAGCATTAATGCTGGATTCCTCACGAGTTAGGAATAACGATAGTTGACCATTGTTTCCCAAAACTTGAGTATATTGATGTGGTCCTAGTACCTCGAGACTTGTCTTGCCAGTCACAATATTTTTGTATTCAGTCACCTGACCATTAATAACGGGTACCGTTACTTCCGCTGGGATCAAATGCGTAACCGTGATTGTAACGCTTCCTAACTCTGTGGATGTGGAGTCAGAGTTATATTCATTGCGAATCCGTCCACGCATCGTACTGCGCCCTCTTGCTGATACATTTGCATTTCCATTACGCGATCGTGTTGTGCTTAAGGAGCGATGACCAGAATTGTCCGCATTATTTTTATTGTTATTATGCTTGCTGTAACTCTTCAGACGACGCGATGGGCTGGTTGAACTGGAAATCGTCGGGTTGCGTCTACTCGGTTGTTGGCGACGGAAATTTGTGGATGCGGCACTCTGTCTGCTCTTTATAGGAGCATCCTTCTCTCTCAATGTAAACTGTGTCCGCGGCGATGTGGGCCTGGTTGGACGTATCGACCGTTGGCTTGATGTACTTGATGCACTTGTACTTGTTTGTGGCTTATGCGTCACTGGGTATCTAGATCCGAAACGCGAATTAATTTTTGGGTATACTGCATTTGTGGTGTGTGATGTGGTTTCTGTCCGCTCATCAACACTTGAAAGAATTGGATCTTCTGTTGTGACAGTTTTTGGACGGCGAAATCGAAATCTGTTCCTATTTAAGGTATCTGCCTCACGACGTCTACGTGAAAGCTGGGTTTCACTGCTGAGTTTTTTATTGGAACGCCGACGCCGCCTGGCCTCATTTTGTACTTCGCCATCAGCATCGTCATCTTCGCTTTCATCATCATCATACTCAGAATCATTCTCCGCATCATTAATATTCTGGTTGCCTTCCTTATTATCTGCCTGTGTTTGATCCTTTTGCTGCTGGAAAAGTCCGCGTGGTGGGAAGAGAGCGTTTTGAGGTCTAGCTCGAGCTTGAAGACTGGAAATTGTAGGTCGTTGAAAGCTTCTTGCTCGTGGCCTAGCTGTTGTCGTTGTTGTTGTTGTTGTTGTTGATGCTTTCGCACGTCCCGCTAATGTATTTATTCTAGGCGAAATATTAGCTGGATTTGCAATTGGGCGTGGAACCGGTGTAAATCCACTGGGTCGACCGAGCGGTCGACGGAAACGCAATAAGGGGTTCTGATTACGTCTAGAGTTTTGATCGTTTTTCTCTTCTTCGGCATTGGCTTCAATTTGATCCTCAGTGGAAGTCTCTTCTTCAGCATTGATATTTTCTGGACTCAGTTGCTTAACCGTGGATGTAGTCGCACTGTTAGCCTGCGAAATGACTGACGTTGGCCTGATGCGTTGTCTAGAGCTGGCAACATTTAGTGCAGAAGCTCGAAAATTGAGGCTGCTGGATGGTCGATATGAAGCATTTATGCTTAGACGTCTTGAACTGGATACGGATGCAGTACGCGTAGAAGACACAAAACGATTTCTAGATGGAGCAAAGCCTGTACTTGCTAAACTACTATTAGCGCCTAATTGACTTCCACCAGCACTGACAGCACTGATCGACGGCTTTATTGGGCGTCCAAACAGACGCCTAGAAGATGTTGATGCGGAACCACCGTCCAGAGGATTTATTGGCGCATTTGAAATAGCCACCCTACGGGATGAACTAAATCGGCCCACGGACTTGAGTGCCGGAGTTGCTGTTATTGTTGGTGTTATGTCAGATCTGGTGATAATAGTTGCACTACTTGGATTTAAAGTTTTTTGCTTTGGCGCAAACGTTGGTCTATTGCGCGAAGCAAACGGTCTAATCACAGGCGCAAATGTTCGTTTCTTCGTTTGGAACGATATGCTACCATTAAAATTCTCATCATCATTATCGTCACTATTATCACTAGAAATTGATTGTTCGGTCGGATCGCTATTAATGCTACCTTCAACTTCTCCCACTGAAGATAGAAGATTTACCACCTGAGTGGTGGTAATATCGTCAAATGTTAGAGTTGGCTGTACTGTGTCTGTTGCTATTGCTTTTTCGAAGAGAAAACTTGAGGTACTCTCAATGATCTGCGCATAACGATTATCTATAATGGTGCCAATAACTTTCGACTGATACAATGTTGTTGTACTATTCCCAATTCGTGTGCCCTCTATTAGTCTAGCCAAGCCAGTTTTGTATTGTCGGGCTGATCCTGATTCTGCTGAGTGTTCGGTTGTAGCCAAATTGGATTTCTTTACTTCATCGATATAAAGGCTCGATGTACTGCTGGTAATCTCAATGGAAATACCTTCATTGTTAACTGTTGATTGAATTTGAGTTGTAAAATACAGGGTACTTATCCCATCTGCATCAATTATATGCTTATAGTCGTAGAAAATTATATCTTTATTTTTATCCGCCTCATTATTTTCTGACATATATATTGGTTGTGGCTGTGTTACTGATATTGTAGGTTCAATATTTAATGTCAAAGCTGTTGAACTCATATCGCCTATGGGTGTTACCACATTTGTAACGGTCTCGAAGCGGGAATCTGTGACAGTTTTATTAGAATCGTATGAAGTTGTATAATATGTATAGGTCGTATAAAAGGTTGTTAGATCCGAGACTTCACTTGCGCTAAAATTAATTGATTTAGTGACATCAATACTTGGTTCAAGTTGAATGTATTCAAAATTATTATTGCTGCCGTTATTTAGTTGGCTGCTTTCGTTTGACACCGATGTAATCTCGGAAGTAGAAGCTGCCTTCGAATTGAACGTAGTGTCCAAGACTAAACGACTTGTAGGCTCTATCACATTCGATATGGTTTCCTCTCTGCTAATTGTTGTGATCTCTCCGTCTTTGGCTAACTTAGTCCAATATGTAAATGTGGTGAAATAAGTAATAGGAAGAGTGGCCTCATCGTGGCTTAGCATCTTGGTTGGCTGCCACGTTTCTGTGGCAATATTCGTTACAGTTTCGAGCCGACTAACCACATTCGTGCTATCCGAAACGTACATCGTTGTGTAGAATGTGAATGTTGTAAAGCTTGTCTGTAGTAGCAACGTTGCTGATGGTATTATCTCTTCGGTATTGCTCTCTGAACTAACTTGATCATCGTCGCGGATTTTTTCAATAACTTGTTGTTCACCATTCGAACTGCTTGATCGGATATCGGTTACCAATGTTAAATGCTTTTCTTCTTCTTGAGACTTTTCAGTTGCTTTCTTAACTGCAACATTTGGAGTATTCGACTGGGTTTGAAACTCAGACACGGATAGGGTTACAGCACTATCAAAATCTGAAGACGTGGTTGTTGGTAGGATGTTATCAACAATTGTTTTAGTCGGCCCTTCCAATTCAGTAACATAATTGCTGAAGACTTCAGTTCTTGACATTATCTCCGTTTCAGTATCAGCGAAAATTGTTGTGTAATATGTATAAGTTGTATAGAATGTTTTTGTATGTTTAGTATCATCCAGGAAGGTGTTTTGTTGGTTAACCTCCTTCGAATTGGAAGGTACGCTGTTTGCAGTAGCGTGCAATAAGCTTTCAAGCTCATCAGGTATCATATAACGGGATAGTATTGTCTTTATGTTGGGGGAAGCTGTAATCTTCACATCCATAGTTTGAGTTTGTGTAGCTGATATTTCAATATCATTGATCATTTCAGCGTCTTTACCGACGTTCAATGTAGAGGTAACGACGTTTGTAATAATCTCTGTATGGCTAGATACAGTTGTGGACTGACCTTGAAAGAATGTAGTTAAATAGGTATAAGTTGTGTATAGCGTTTTGTATATAAGATCTATTTCCTCCGAACCGTTATCACCATCATAATCATCATTTTCGTTATCATTTGTATTACTATTATCATTTTCATTTACAGTTTCGGTAACGCCTTCATTATTAACAGCCCCTGCTGGAGCTTCCGTCTCAATTTCTGTGGAGCTTTCTTCCTCAACTGTAGAAACTGTGACCACAACCTCTGCTTGCCTCTCTGTCAAGATATCCTCTGTGCTTATTGCTTCACTATTAGATGACGTACTCGACTGATCAGGCGACTCTTGAATAACTGATGTGGGCTTTTCTAATTGAGGTGATTCAATTACTTGTGTTGGCTCAATACAATAGAATTTAGTTGTCTCTTTTATATCAAATGGAATTTGTTCGTTTTTGTTGCTTTCGTGATTTTGTGTGCTTAAAATCATGTCTGACTTGGAAACTTGAGTCAAAAAGACTTGTGACCTTATATGTGCACAGTTTCCGTCGAGCGGGCTACTTATTTCCTTAAAATTCGGAGGAGATGATGGCGAAAGTTCTGTTACAGATGCAGGTTCGGTTGTATCTTCGCTGATCTGGGAACTAAGGGTGGAGGCCTTTTCTTCATCCTCTAAGCTTATAGTGGACCCTTCAGACTCCTTCGAATTGACATCCGTTGTATTTTCTTCCACTTCCATCGCTACTGTTGCTGTTGCTAATAAAGGCTGATTAGTTTTCACAGAAGTAGGCTCAACAAAGTTGGCAAAGGGATCATCATCAATGAATATGGTTGTGGCTCCTTCATGTACTTGACTTGATTCAGCTAGTTGGACTCTAGAAATACTATTCTCTTCAATAATTTCGCTAGAAGAGGTTGATAAAGCGGCTGGATGGGATTGTGCTTTGGCTAATGATTCATAGATTTTCAAAATTTCTTGATCAGTAGGTAATGAAAACATGGACTTACTTTCAGTTGTGCTGATATCTTGTGACATAGCATTAGTAACTGCTATAGAATCAAGAGTGGGTGTTGCACTTGAAAGCATGCTAACTTTGGACATGATCAATTCTGAAGTTATTAGAGTTGGGATCTCTCCCATATCGCTTATTGATGGCTCTATAGCATCTACAAAACTAGCCCACTCATTTATTGGTGTCCTAGCACTTTCGACCACTTCCGAGATTTTTGTAGACTGAATTAAAGTTTTTCTGGTCGTCAAATCTAAATAAACATTACTGGTTCGTAGCGTAGCCATTCCTTTTATTGATGTTACATGGCTAATGGTAGAGGTAGGCTGCGATGTTTTTGGTAGGAAAACGATTAAGCTATCGCCTACAAGTGTTGTAAAGTCAGCGAATCCATAATAGGTGACAGTTGACAGGGGTCTCTTCAGTACATTAAATGGTTCATGATGAAACGTTTTCTCTTCTTGTTTATTCTGCCCTAAGTCCTGTTGATAAATCTTAGCGGAGCGTCCCTCTTCATTCGTATGATCAAATAAATCAGCAGTGATTTGTGTATCTTGACTTTCACTTAGGTGGTATCCACTCGGTTCAAAATTATTTTTGACCGTAAACGTCGGCAAATCACCAATTGGCAACACTTTATGAGCAGCTAATTTACGAGCATTGTCCTCTGTATGTCTGGAACGACTCACAAACTTAATAGCCGTATTATTTTTTATATTTTTAATAATTGAAGATGATACAACGGGTACTGGAGCAAACTGACTGGCCTGTTTAAACATGATAAAGTCCGTATTACCAACAAACTCGTGGCCATTGACCGCAACACGCCCAAGAACTAGTCTATCATCTATGTCCTGCCAATCTGGAGATTCAGCATTCAGTAGATCGTTGTGGCTTTGCAGGTAGGATCGCGTTTGCGAGGGCTGAACACTATCGCCTACCCAACTGGTGACGACCGATGGTAACATATTGGGGCCATTTTCAAATAGTACTCGCGAGCTTTTCTTCAGATACTGTGCATATAATCTTCCATTATTTAAGGTAGTACCCACAACTTGGGTGGCATATTCAGTTGTAACACCTTCTTGAATGAATGTTCGAGCTGTTGAGGTTAAGAGTCCAACTTCTGGACGTACGGACAGAAATCGTCCGTGACTATCGCCTAAACGTCCCACTCCATCGTTGTTAACCAACAATACAGTAGTTAAATCTAATATGATTAATAATTGTACATTCACACACGCACAGAGAAACATTAATTGAGAGAGAGTTTCGAATAAAGATTTGAATATAGAATATACATAATGTTGATGGATAATAGAAAATGAGAGATGTGTGGTACCAATATTTACATAGTCATATACACATATAAATACATATACATATAAATAAAAGAAAAGTTATTAAAGATTATATCAGAATGTCCGGAATGTACAGCAGAGAGAGAGAGAGATGGAGAAATCATTTACATAAAAAGAAATAAAGAAAAGAATGGACAAAAGAGGTTCATACATAATAGAATAAAAATACTAAACATGTTTTTATTTACTTTAAAATATATGTATATATATGTATGTATATCTCTTTCGATTTATGTATGCATTTCTTTATATTATGTACATTGCTTTGTCTCGTATATTTGAAATAAATGTAATAACAGTGCGATTAACAAGAATTATACATACATATTAACCTATACACATACATAGAAATTTCAACATGGTTATGTAAACATATATATATAGAATCCTCTTTATCAAATGTAGTATATATACTGCTTACCCTCAGCAGCCGCCCCACGGAAAATTGGTGTTGGTTTCACAATGTACGGGACATCTGAAAATGAGAAAATATAAATAAGTAACAAAAAACAGTAGTGTCAATAACTTTTAGGTGGTGAATGTCATCCACCAGCAAATTTTCTTAATTTAGATAGAATGCTCATAGATATATAGTTATTCCGACTACCCATGTTCGCTTTATTATTTTATTAGGCGACATAACATATAACATATAACATATAACATATAACATATAACATATAACATATAACATATAACATATAACATATAACATATAACATATAACATATAACATATAACATATAACATATAACTATAACATATAACATATAACATATAACATATAACATATAACATATAACATATAACATATAACATATAACATATAACATATAACATATATAACATATAACATATAACATATAACATATAACATATAACATATAACATATAACATATAACATATAACATATAACATATAACATATAACATATAACATATAACATATAACATATAACATATAACATATAACATATAACATATAACATATAACATATAACATATAACATATAACATATAACATATAACATATAACATATAACATATAACATATAACATATAACATATAACATATAACATATAACATATAACATATAACATATAACATATAACATATAACATATAACATATAACATATAACATATAACATATAACATATAACATATAACATATAACATATAACATATAACATATAACATATAACATATAACATATAACATATAACATATAACATATAACATATAACATATAACATATAACATATAACATATAACATATAACATATAACATATAACATATAACATATAACATATAACATATAACATATAACATATAACATATAACATATAACATATAACATATAACATATAACATATAACATATAACATATAACATATAACATATAACATATAACATATAACATATAACATATAACATATAACATATAACATATAACATATAACATATAACATATAACATATAACATATAACATATAACATATAACATATAACATATAACATATAACATATAACATATAACATATAACATATAACATATAACATATAACATATAACATATAACATATAACATATAACATATAACATATAACATATAACATATAACATATAACATATAACATATAACATATAACATATAACATATAACATATAACATATAACATATAACATATAACATATAACATATAACATATAACATATAACATATAACATATAACATATAACATATAACATATAACATATAACATATAACATATAACATATAACATATAACATATAACATATAACATATAACATATAACATATAACATATAACATATAACATATAACATATAACATATAACATATAACATATAACATATAACATATAACATATAACATATAACATATAACATATAACATATAACATATAACATATAACATATAACATATAACATATAACATATAACATATAACATATAACATATAACATATAACATATAACATATAACATATAACATATAACATATAACATATAACATATAACATATAACATATAACATATAACATATAACATATAACATATAACATATAACATATAACATATAACATATAACATATAACATATAACATATAACATATAACATATAACATATAACATATAACATATAACATATAACATATAACATATAACATATAACATATAACATATAACATATAACATATAACATATAACATATAACATATAACATATAACATATAACATATAACATATAACATATAACATATAACATATAACATATAACATATAACATATAACATATAACATATAACATATAACATATAACATATAACATATAACATATAACATATAACATATAACATATAACATATAACATATAACATATAACATATAACATATAACATATAACATATAACATATAACATATAACATATAACATATAACATATAACATATAACATATAACATATAACATATAACATATAACATATAACATATAACATATAACATATAACATATAACATATAACATATAACATATAACATATAACATATAACATATAACATATAACATATAACATATAACATATAACATATAACATATAACATATAACATATAACATATAACATATAACATATAACATATAACATATAACATATAACATATAACATATAACATATAACATATAACATATAACATATAACATATAACATATAACATATAACATATAACATATAACATATAACATATAACATATAACATATAACATATAACATATAACATATAACATATAACATATAACATATAACATATAACATATAACATATAACATATAACATATAACATATAATATATAACATATAACATATAACATATAACATATAACATATAACATATAACATATAACATATAACATATAACATATAACATATAACATATAACATATAACATATAACATATAACATATAACATATAACATATAACATATAACATATAACATATAACATATAACATATAACATATAACATATAACATATAACATATAACATATAACATATAACATATAACATATAACATATAACATATAGCATATAACATATAACATATAACATATAACATATATAATTTATATGAGTACATAATATAACATATAACATATATTATGCATATGAGTACATATTATATACATACATATGTATATAAAAGTACTATACTTAATTTTACAATGAAAATGATCAGATTATCTAACATGAAAAGAAAAGGGAAAGGTACTCTTTCACCTGTTGCCACGCAGCATCAAGAGATATTGGCAATGGGTTGAACGCCACTTAAAAATTTCGAATCTGGAATTGTTAAGTTTCCCCAAGCTACTTACATAGCTATAAATGTTTTTATTTGGACCCAACATCTGCTGTTGATGCTGGTAACAATGATGATCGTTAAACCGTCATCAAGAAGAAGAAAGTTGACTACGCGAATATTCGTAAACCAAAGTTGGACACTACACAAAGTTCACACCTATCTATCTTTGGCTAAAGTGTGTTTCATGTTGATGTACCTTTTATAATTTACATATTTATTATATATTATAATATATACATATATATATATATATATATATATATATATATATATATATATATATATATATATATATATATATATATATATATATATATATATTATATATATATATATATATATATATGTTCCTTTGAAGACATATTTGCCTTTTACATTTATCACAAATTATAAAAATTCCGCATTCTTTAATATGGAAACATGAAATTGGGCTGGTGATTCATGTAGCAATTTAGCTATGCGTGAAAAAACCTAAAACAATATATATATACTTCTTAATAAAATCCCACGTTTAGTTACTTTTTAACTGTTGATAAATTTGTATCATATTTTAATTTGCTTATCTCATTGTAGTTTGATTCAATGAATTTGTTGAATTTGATTTTTGAATTGAGAAATACATTCAGCATCTGTAGGTAAATAAAATATTGATGACGTTGAGTCTAACAGAATATGATCTAGTACGATATGATCATTTGTTATTATTATATTAAAGGCCTTCTTCTTTTTCTTCTTTCTCTTCTTGTTTATTCATCGTTAACCCACATTTTGGTATTGCTTTCAGTTCAGTCTCAGTCCGCCTTTCATGATAATGCCGATAATGATGTGACTATATAACTATGGCTGTGCCTGTTTACTTCGAGTTCAAATTGTGAGTTTTTCTTCGGTTGCATTGTGAAAGCAGCTTTTATTCTTGTTTTGGCGGAGCTTGCGCCTCGTGTCTCCGCTACGATCAAACTAAATATGTATGTTGTTATGTATATATGTGGTAGTGAGCTGGTAACTGGCCCAGCCAAGCGGCTTACTGATCAGACATTCGCCTTAACAGTAAAGCGGACGTAAAAGAGGACGTCGACAATGCTGGCTGGAGGAATCAACACAAAGTTATCTCTTAGTTAGTCCAATGACATTTCCCTGCCACTAACTCGGTAGTCTCTAGGGTATCTCACGGCCAATAATTTTAATAGAACTCTCTTTCATTACATATATACATTATAAAAAATTATTATACAACATAAAAAAATAGCGTATTACAATGTGTGGTTCCTTATTATCTAAAGTTAAAATCCTACTGAAACTACTTTCGAAGTATTTCCATGCGCTAAGGATAATGCATGATCAAATTATATAATTCTGAAACAGATTAGACAACACTAATTGTAAAATCGAATTTATAAGTTTCAAACTAACTCAAGCACTTGCGGTATCTATGTTTTTACGTGCTAAATCCGGATATGAAACTGAAATGAGAAAAACTTGCAGAAAGAAAGGAATAAGTGATACGCAGAGAAGAAAAGGGAGTGATCAGTATATTTAATCTATTGTCGGTGATGGAGAACAAATTTTCAAGCTTTGCAAAAAGAGTTAATTCTTCTTTCAATATTATATCCGTCTTGTTTTATGAAAGGAATTAAGTTGTCATTAATCTTATTATATGAGCATTTGTTACATTTTTCAGTCCAAAATGCAATAGCGTACGAATAAACGTTGTCGAAGATAAACAACATAAAGCTGACAACTTTCGCTTCAGTCTTTTGTAAATTGATTATGATAAAATATTGAGCAATCGGCAGATAGAGTCAGGTAATAAGAAAACCATATTCACAATTTTCATTCAATAATCAATTGATACATACATATGCCAATTTAATCCCCGTCACACAAAAAAATATTTTCGTTTGGTAATCTCTCCCTGTTTCTTAGATACATTTTAGCTGTTGGTCATATCCGATGCGAATTAAAAAAATATAGGTTAGACTGATTATATATATATAACTATTAGTTAGATTAAGTAATTCGAATAATAAGAAACCGAATCCGGATCAGAGTCCTAAGTTTAAAGTCCTCTCTGAGCTACTGTTGTTATATATATAATATAAAGGTATATTTGATATACTTACTAATAACAATGAGATTTACTTACCAAATGATTGTGCAGATCCAAGTTGTGGTGCCCCCATTAGTGCGATAACTAATAGCAATTGACAAAGTTTTCGGTACAGTCTCGTATTAGACATTTTGGATGAAATAGAACTCAACCGTTGACCTCTCGAACAACAGATAATGCAAACGTCTCCGTTTTCAATGGATGGAGAGTGGAAATTGTGTATCGCTGTTAGCATAAGGGATTGTGGCATATTTGGCACCTCCTTCAATCGATTAGATATCGGACCTATACACATTATATATTTCTGCATTCATGCATATAATATGTAAAAATATCTATCCATATATTATTTATTGACCATATGTATGTGATGATGATTGATCGATTTTCATCCAAGATCTGAATTTGAATAAATATACATAAAGTTCATAGTTTTCTTATTTTTTATATTATAATACTGGCTTGCTGCTCTGTGATCAACATTTTCAGTCCACTCTTGTTATTTAATAATTCATTGTATTGTACAACAGCGATGGGTGTTTCAAAACTGGAATTTTTGTATATTGGAATCAGAAGTGTGCATTATATTTCGGATACCTTCGCAGTTAATCACGTCTCACGTATTCTCAATTCCATTTCAAGTGCAAATACGAGTATTTTATGATCTTTATGTAAAGAGTTTATCACACCGTTGGTTGTATTCGACTGTATCGTAGCTTTTTTTTATAAACTGTGAAGTCTGCTCAAATAAATATATGCATTTATTTTTTACGTATAGTTATGCTAATTTAAATGTTGCATAAATTTTCGCAGCACTGTGGTATGTACATATGTATATGATCTGCATACATATACAATGCTTTTACACACAGAGAAACACACACGCATACACATGCACACACGCCCATATATATAGTGGGGCTTAACTATTTTCACTTAACTGGCATATAAAGTATTGTTTTCTGTGCGCATTTCTTACGATTGTAAAGACTTTTAGCATACATACATCTGGTTATTGATGTGGTAAACGGACACAAGAGATCTTATATATATGTTTATCTATATATTTGCATATACTATATACATACACCATTCATAATATACGTACATCTTTGAACTCTTTGGTGATGCGCACTCGATCATGCAATGCAGACGAAACCCACAGAACTGACTTGGTCTACGCAAAGGCGACAAGTTGTTGGGCCAAACCCGAACCGCCAAGTCGAATCCCGAGCTCGAATCCGAAACTCCATGAAGACGTTTGTCGTGTCCGAGCTTTGTTGCCTTTGTCGTAGTGCGCATGTGCAAAAGCTGTTTGGCTGGTTCAGGTGGGCCGAAAAACGAGATACTAGCCAACAGCTCGTTTGACGGCGATTGTTATTGGTTTTGTGGGAAAGCGGAGCACATACCTGAATGAATTTATGTGGATATACTAAACAGAACTGCAAATGTCAGCAGTATACCCTCACCTTAAGCTTACCATGGACCTAAGGTATACACGAAATCGCATTACAAATGCATATTTTCTCATGGATCACACACGCATACGCATGTAAACATATTATGTATGCACATAACCATATAAGTATACTTGTAAACAGCCTGGTAAATATTTTTTGTACTTTTTATTAACTTTAAAGTGTTTTAACATCACAATTTAAAAAAACAAGTAAGAATATTTTCGTCGGGCGCCATAGACTATTAATTCATGTTTGGTAAATATCAAGAGGAAGTCTGCAATAACTGTCAGATTTTGGAGTTCAAACTTTATGAGATTGTGCACACAAAAAGCACATATAACTTTCTATATATTATTTTTGGGCGTAACTGTCAAATGGTAAGGCTTGCAATATACTCAATTTACCAAGCCTCTTGTGAATGTAACTATATAAAACCTATATATTTTTATACGCTGGTTGTCTACCCAATTATATATATTTCAATCTAATTTTTTAGCACCAAGTGTTCCAAATTTAACAGAACTTGTACAAATAACATAAAATTCTTTTTTATCGATCTACAAAAATACTTAACAGTAGCTGAATTTTTTAAATTTGGGGTTCTGCCTCTAAAACTGTGGGAGATACTGTTTTACTCTCAAATGACGTTAATAGCGTCACAATGGGTTGTGTTCATACGGAGACATGGACAGCAAGCCAATTTAAGTGATATAATACTAAGTCTAAAAAATGCAAGATATAATGAATTAACAACATAAACACCTTGTAAAACGTATGTTTTACTTTTAGAAAGTTAAAAAAACTTGGCACAGATTTACAAAACATCTTTATTGAATAATTATTTCTAAGCAATTTGATTACCTATAATATACAGATACATTACACAATAAATAGTTATAAGTATCTTAAGCTACCCACAATAGCAACTTATTAAAAAAATACTATATATAGAGGGTGTTTATTTATGACATCTACATGTTTCTGTAAGCCGTTATCAATTTTATTAACACGCGTTTTATTCTTCATGGTCGGCGACATAATTTACAAAACATAGAATTAACCTAATAAGTACTTGCTCGGTACCATTTCATTTAGAATACCCAGTATCTTACATGCGATCAACAGTACAAGCTAGAAAAAGTAACAGTGCCTAAATACCTATTATTATGCTTAGACTTAATATGTAATCTATGCATAACTATGATATAATACAAATTGTATGTACATTTTTTTGAATGGATCCACAAAAATACGTAAGATTATCTATCAATTATATTATTATTGCTAATATATATCATTATTATTATTTTAAGTATTATTTTTTTTGTATTATTGTTGATTTTACTATGATTAGTCTCTGCATCTATAGTTCAACTTCAGCTATGCTGGGTACCAAAACCAGATATATCAGATTTTAGGATCGACAAGCGATTACGGTGATCTACACTATTTTCAGATGTCTCAAAAAAGCCAGGAAAAACATTATGCTGGGCATCTAGATTTTGTTCGGCGCTTAAATTAACATATGTCGGCTGAAGCTCGTCAACTAGATCAGTTGGATCGTGTAAATCACATACCTCAGTTATAGGAGGCCAGTTATCAAATGACTTGATATTATACTCCAATTGCATATATTTACGCGTTGATGTTCTTATATTTTGCTCACGTCGCACTTGGAGTCGCTTAAATATCAAATTTTCGACTACAAAAGACTCTATAAATACATGAGAAATAAATGCTGCCACACCATATAGGAGCATGATGTAACGAAATGACATATCTGGGGGCACGATAATTTGAAAAAATGAAGCTATCCATTCACTTGGATAAACAATCAAATAAATCACAATACAAACATTTATAACTAAAGCTAAGCATAAAGGCCAGTTGGACCATATCGGCTTTCGGTATGGAGCTCCTTTTGAAAATACAAATGCAAGTATAATATACTGAAAGCTGGATATGGCAAACATCGTGTAATTCTCATAACAACCCAAATGCTCTTCTCCAGCTGGCTGGAAAGGTGTGAACCAGGACTGCTGATGCAAGTGGAACCAGCCTGAAAAAGGTAAATAATTACATATATGTATATCTTATAGATTTAATTGAAGCTCACCAGTGACTTGAAAGATAACCACAACGGCTAGATGAAGCAAAAGAGATGTTAACGGTGTTGGCGATATGAGAGAATTAAGTGGCACTTGTTTGTTTAGCTGGCCATCATATGCCTCGGTTTTGCCAAAGAAGAATGCAAATATCGATATTAAGCCAAGATCGACATAGAGATATTGTTTATCTGTTAAATTCGAATCGATTGAATAAAGTATCATTACGGATACAAACTGTACTAACGAATATGCGGCCATATATTTGAAAATACCAAATGATGTGACCAAAGCGGCACGACCTTCTTTTATTACATTTGGTACGGCCGCAATAGTGGGATTGCGAGATGTGAATGGCGATGCTATTGATGATTCACTGTCACTCAATGATATGCCCGTGTGCGCTACCTTTAAGGCACCACAGTCGTTAGCCCCATCTCCACACATCGCAACATAATAATCTAAATTCTGTAGCTCCATAACTAGCGATTGCTTCTGTTCTGGTGACATACGCGCATAAATTGCTCCACGTGTCAGAATTATTTCCATTTGCTGCGGAAATTGATTCTGTACAATTTGCCATGTTTTGCCATCCATGGCAAATATATATTGACGACGCCAATTATCATCGTTATGTATGATAGCACCTGCTCCTAGTTCCACATCATCGACATCAACATCGTTATGTGTCCACGTATCAATGGTCTTTACACTTGCCAAACTATTGCTATTGGGTAATACACTTGAGGCACAACTTAGGCCACCATTTACCAATGAATTAGTTGACTTTGAGAGATGATCTATATTCAGTACGATTTCACCGGCAGAAAATGTTCTTTTACCATTAAGTGGCGGTGAACACGTTTTACTACCCAACTCAAGAGTATACTGAAGTTCATATTGACCAACATTTTGTTCGGTATTCAATTTCTCGAAGGATTTTGGTATGGGCACGGCATGCACCGTAATAACAGCCTGTGCAGAACTCACAATGCCACAGTCTCGAGCAACACTCATTGCAGTTAATATATTGTCACCCGTAACCATAATTGATCGAATGTTTGCGAGATTTAGCGACTTTATAACCGCCGATGTGTCGGGCTTCAGACGATTTTCAAGAATCACAAAGCCGAGAAATTCCAAATTGTGCTCGACCTCCTCACGCGAAAGCCTTTGTATTTTTGTATAGTTCGTTTTTGGGTTAAAGCTTTTGTACGCCACGGCAATAATGCGAAAACCTTTCTTTGCAAAAATTGATAGCTGTTGAGTGTAGTCGTTCGGTATACTGTGTGGTAGACACAATTGTTGTAACATTTCAGGGGATCCTTTGCAGTAAGCATTGAAGCCTTGAACGCTGAGACAACGCGTTATTACCGACATACGCTGTAGAGTGGATGTAAATGGGAATTCTCTTACAATCCCATGATCAAAACTTGTCTCAGTTTTTAACAATCCGACGTTGGCCAATAGATCATCTACCGAACTCTGTCGCAATACAGACGTGCGTTGTGGCATTGCCTGCATTGAGCATGATTGAATTTCTTCTCGAGTCGGCTGCCGTAGTATAGTCGGATAGATCAGTCCATACTTCTCGTTTTCTGGTATATTATTCGCATCTTCAAGTATCCAGCCAGTCGATTCAAACATCTTAAGATCTAACGGATCACCCATCATTGTACCATTCATAAAAGTAATTGAGTGGCATGTGACCATGCCAAACAGAAAATGATCGTATGGCAATCGCTTAACATCTTTTAGGGGTATTTGAAACTGATTTGTTGAAGACTTTGGTACAACACCCCACATATCCAAACCATCCTCCGTCAAGGTTCCAGTCTACACATACACCGAAAAATAATTTTTAAATTAATTTTAATTTTTCAACAGTTGTTTTTGACAAACCTTATCAAAGCAACAACAATCTATGCTGCCTGCCACATTGATGGATCGTTGAGATATACAAAATATGTTGTTAGCTTTTAACCGTTTTTGAGCATAAAAGCGACCAACGGTCATTGCCGCCGGCAGTGCTGGTGGGACCACAATTGTAATTAGGTCCAATGATTCGACCACAATCTTAACAGGCTCTGTACCGCGCAATATCTTTAACGAGTATCAAGAGATAATACTAATGGAATGTAAAAAAAAAACCAAATAAAAAATAATTACCTTTGTGACAAGCGTGTATGTAAAACCAATGCATGCAATTATCGCTAGGAACTGAATGAACTTGTACGAATCCTGTTCAAATTTATAGTCAACAGGCGGTGGATAGAGTATAGAACGGATTAATCCACCTTTAGCCGTTATATTTCCTGTATTTATAACAAATGCTAACACCTTCTTAGATCCAATATATCTTGTCTGTATAACTTTAGTGCCACAGAAAAGAGTGTGGCGTGCATGTTCCTTTTTATCAAATATTACATCTCGCTTCATCGGCAGTGATGTTTTAGTAACTGGTACACTCTCTCCTGTTAGCATCGATTCGTCTAAAATGCAGTTGCCGGATAATAATACCGCGTCACATTGCATTGTGCAACCGGATGATGGTATTTCAATAATATCACCAGGCACCAGCATTTTCGTATTTACTTCAATCGATACCCCCTTCGCGTTGACCATCCAGGCATTTCCCGTATTCAGAACTGTTTTTTGCAAAACATCTTGGTTCTGAAACAAAATATTATAGTTGATAAAACGATAATAACACATTTAAAATTATTGATCTTACCTTCTTTGTTTGTATAATAGACATTGATATGCCAAATATAGACATTAATAAGATTACACAAGCATAGTAATAATAGTCATATGTAAACCAAAGAACAACCGAAAATATTTGAAACACATAAAACGGATTAAGAACTTCTAGAAAGAGTAAAGTCTTCACATCTCTCAGCGGCACGGTTATCTCATTTTCACCAAATACAATACGACGTGCGAGCTGCTCTTGCACAGTTAAGCCACGTTGCTGATGGTAATAGGAACAAGATACATTCACGTCCAATCCATTGATCTTTTGAAAGTTGTTGACGCTGCTTTCCCACGCATACACCAGTTGCTTGCAACGGATAGTCCTTAGGGATCTGCAACCTAAGAAAAGAAAATATATATATAAAAATCCTAACTATAGTTATTTAATTAAATTATATAAAGCCCACGTAAGCTCATGTATGGAATTATATGTATCATTAATATGTTTTCAATATGCAACATACAAGAGATCAATACGATATATGCCTATTTATATACTGCACACATGTATTCGTATTTCACGTACATACCTTTAAAATGCGCTGAAGAGATGTGAACTGGTAGCTGAAGTTTATTTTCATCAAATTCCTCCCCAATTTGATGCAATAATTTTCTACAAGTTAAAATTAAATCTTTTATCACAAAAATATTACAAAGGAAATACTTATAAAAAATAACTACTTGAATTGCTCTACGTCCAATGTGCGAACGGGCTTAACGTGATAAAGCTTATGATTTCCCTGATAGTCCTCTTCGATAAGTACTTGCTGTGCCTCCTCCAAGGGACACGGTTGGCAAGTTGCTAGCAAATACCAATGACGCCACCAATGTAACACTAGTCGTAGTATTCCACCAGTTAGAATGATGCATATCCAGCATAAGACTGTACGAATGTGCGATCGCCGATATCCACTTATTTTCATTTGGTCTGGCTGATCGGGGTTCAAAACAGCAACGCATGGTTTCGGATCTGAAAAATTAAATTTTGTAATATATATGTAAGCTTATATAATAGAAGAAATGAAAAACTGTTAGCTTAATTTTATACACATATCCACACCATTCACCAGAAAATTTTAAAGTTCTTTTTTTTTTGACTATCATACCTCGCATTGCTTCGCAGTTCATCATCAGTTTAGCTTAAACAAATTGACAGCTTGTAATCAGAAAATGTCTGCAATGTGGCATAACATTTAATTGAAATCTTACGATCCAGATGATATATTATTTAGCATAGGATATACTCATGCTACCTTTCATTTAGTTCAACTATACGCGCTCTCTCTCTCTCACGCCCACACATATACACACACTCACACAGACGTAGAAAAAGTTTTGTCTTTAAAAACACATACAATATATTGTTTTACTGTATCTGTCTGGAAGAGCACTTTAATTGACATGTGGTCGAGGCAAATGGAGTCGACGATTTATCAGACCAAACAGCGTTGCGACATTAGCGATTCTACAAACACAAACACATACATAAGCATATACATGTTAGTACACTAATACATTTACTTTTTTACAAAGATAAAACACAATTGATAAGAAATGGCGTGCATTTGCTTCTACAAGATCGTTCCTCATACAACGTTATATACGTGTGTATATAAAAAATACATAACAACCTTAGCAAGTTTTCGGTCCTTGAACTTAGTAAGCCCTAGTTCAGTTTTTAAATTGTTTAGCAATATTGAGAAGTTCCATTACAAGTTCTATCCACACAAAACACTCACGAACTACTTAACAGTCATTATTTCTATGATGATCGACAAACATTCACACACTAGTTTCAATCAATTAACACTTTTTGTTTATTATGACAATCATTATGTAAATACATACATATATATTTATCGATAAAAGTTAAAAGCAAATAAAAAGAACTTCTGAATACCAAGAAGACTGGTTCGCAGTTTCCAATGCTCAAATTGTACAAATGCATGAATCGATAAAAATTAAGCACTTAAATTGAACTAATGAAATGAACACGAATTGTCCAATTAAAAAAAAAATTCTAAAACAGATAACATATTGAAATAGCATTTCACTCGTGGCACATTTTCATATATGTACATATATATAAATGTATATAGAAATATATATATGTATAATTGTTTTATAAATTCACTCGCCCTTGTTCGAAACATACATTCAATGGCTGACCTCGTGCATGACATCAAATATATAAAATTATATATATATATATTGACGGACAAGCATCTGTTGCTGTTAAAATCCCAGCATAAAAAATGCAATGAGTGCACTATGTGCTTTTTGGTTGTATGATGTATGATAGGTTCAAAATCAAAAAAATATATGCACATGAATACGTGCGAAAATATATAGTTATATACACGTTGCTAAGTACATATATACATTGGTATATATCACTTCATTTTGTTGCGAACATATCAATATATGCGGCTATAAGATTGCTGTCGCTATTCTGAATGGAAACCGAATCTAACGAACCTACATAGAGCCAAATGCCGATTACAATCGCGAAAGCGCTTTGTTAACTAAATACATCTGTCTCAGAAACTGAAATGAACTGAACTGAACTGAACAGAAAATGAACTGAATCACACGGAGATCGAAGATTGACAGCGACGCGGTAGCAATAACGATTACGAACGCTTTTTTATTTTACTTTGCACGAACTCAACAAAATCAAAAAATATATATATATTTAAAAAAACTTACAATGAGTTACTTCTAACGGCTTTAAAGTTTGCTTTTATTTTATGAAATTAAAAACAACTTTTACTATCAGTATTTCGAGGTATTCACTTAAAAAAATACTTTTTACAGTGTGTTACTAAATCATACAATGTATTATTGGCCTTATCAGAACTCAAAACATGTAATAATAATAATAGCTTTATCGTTCTTTCACATATCGCAGATGTGATTAAGACACGATTTAGTATACTTTTTTGTATGGTTTTCCAATTCTCTTCCATGCAGAATATTTTACTGTCAAATTTGGTAGCAGCACACAAATGCATACAAACATTTATTTAAATGTAAGCCGTACTCCATAGTAGATTTTTAACGTTAGAGTACAATGCTTCAATTAAACATTTTCCCTCATGTATTACCAAATTGAATTAGCTAAATCTGCTAATTGTTCAACTGCCTAATTGAAATTATTGTAATTGTACTTGAACAATAGTTTTGATAGTATCAAAAATTAATATAAGTGGCATGTAATTGCAATTTTTAATTTAAACTATTTAATATACAATCATATTTGTATTTGCTAGCCAGTAATCATATTAAAGGCCGAATTAATGTTGCTCTTAAAATTATGTTTTGAAATAAAGCAATATTCATGGCATTTTATTTATTTGTCGATGACATATGAAATAAGTCAAGACGTCCCAGACTAGCGAATACCCTAGTAATTAGATTTGAGTCCAATTATTGCTGACAGATCAGATGGCAATATTCATGTCATATATTGGATTCATTTTATATTATTGTCTGGCAATATTCATGATATTTTTATTTTCAACATTTTTTCATTTTTTTTTTAAGAATTTGAATGAAATATATATGAATAAAACAATTATGTGTTACGACGATATCAACTGATATAGAGATAAAGTGAGTTTAAATTTAATTGAGATGGGTTTCACAATTATATATAAAATAATTTTTCATATCTGAATATTTTGTTTGAAATATAATAGACATGTAGATGTATAATAATAAGTTATATACATTTATATGATATATAATATATTTAATATATTTTGTACATACCCTTCATTAATAATTGTGAATCTTGTAGGTGTAAATCTTCATCGGCTTCGAAATTAAGGCTCTCCGTATCATTCGGATGCTTAGAATTTACGCGGGGATGCGTAGGCGTTGAAATTGATTTCGCAGGCGTATTACGGCTACTTTGATCGGCCGTGTTATTGTTGTTGGCGATTTTGGTGGGCTTGGTGTTGGCCAGACTTGCGTCGATATTGAGTCGCGTAGAAGCAAGAAATGAGGCTTCGTCGTCCAGTTGCTGTGTTGGTGAATGCCACCAATTAAGCTTTAATAGATTGTTCTTGGTGGCAATTCGTGGCAAGTGAAGCAATTTCTCTTGCTCCGCGAGCTGAACGTTGCCTTCCGATAGGGGCTGCAGGACCAAAAGCTCGGGAGGCACAATTTCTTCAATAAGGCATCCGCCATTTTTGCTTTGGCTCCCAGACATTCTCGATAGGCAAATCCGATACAGATTTTTATTTAATTAAACTATTAACGGTTTATCTGATTTTTTGTTTATGGTTTTTTGATTTGCTTTATTTTTATATACACACATATTTTATATATATATATATATATATATATATATATATATATATATATATATATATAATCATGTGATACCTGATACCAAAGGCCAGCTGTTATGTCAGCTGCACAACTGACTGTTTAGTGAAAAATATAATCGAGCATCATATTTAAAAAGCGGTTTAATCAGGCGTCTTTTCATCTTTGTAACCGATTCAGATACGTTGAAACTCAAAGGAATGGTGTAGCATGATAGATAAACACAATTTCCAATACAAATCAGTTTTAAACGTTTTCTCTTACGTAGGCGCAAAGAGTGAAATCCGTACCGCAAATTGGCAGTCCAATTAAAATCGTACTTGCAAAGTTCACAGGGCCAAAAAAATAACTGTAATCATCCAAAGTTTGCGCTGGCATTGACCAATAGTAGATGCCACGCTGCGGCCAGCTGTTGCTTCTGTTGTTCTCCTCCACTGCCTACACGCTTTTCAAAATAGAATTGTTTGACGTACTCCTTTTGAAGTAAAGCCAAATCAATCAGGAAGTCTGCCGATACAAATACTTTCGTCACAAATCTTCGCTGCTGTGCGTCGTCTCCGTCGCCGTCAGCACCGTCTCGACGTTTGCGCAACCTTCTCTTAAATGACCCGATGTGCTGCTGCTGCTCGGTTGCACTTTGAACTGAATTCATTACGTTTTGACTAGAAGGCAATACTTGTTGCTCTGACAACCCAATGGAGTGCCAAAGTTTTATATATGTATGTATATAAATATTAAGTCCGCGTCGTCTCAATTTCACAATATATGTGTGCATCTAACAAAATATATACACTTATGATTATACTATAAAGTATATAGTGTAATTCCAATTATTTTAATTTCACAAATATTTTAAACACATTGAATTGTTTTCTTTCTGTCGGTAAGAGTTAGCGTTAAATTGATCAAATATCTCTTTGAAAATTAAAATTGTTTAAAGTTTATGTAATTTTCCGCGTGATATGGTTCTAACAGCAATGTTGATTTATTATTTTGATGCTTAAAGATCGTTGTATTGTGTTCAAGTTGTTTTATAATTGGAAAATAATTCTTCCTTATGCTCATTCCTTGATGAGTAGCAATGAATGACATACTCATCGCGATAATGCATTAGGCGGCGCTCACTTTTGTTATTTAATACTCAAGTCAACATGTGTTTTTTCATACACCCTTGTATGCGCGCTTTACACTGTAGGTAGTCTGAAATGAATAAGCGTTATACAATTAATAAGAAAAATGAATATTAGAAATTATGTTATTATTCCGTATAGTTCGATTTTCGAATAATCGATAACAATGTGCCGTTGCACACCAGATTGTGGTGGAGACCCACCGAATAGGTGACATGCACACATTATAGCACAGGCATATGTATAAATGTGTGTATCTTCTTACACAAATAATACATATTTGCTGAAATTATAAAGTACCACCTGATTCTTTTCAACGTTGTGATATAGAAATTTGAAACACAAGAAATCAATCTAAACCTTACACATGCAAATTAAACAAATATGCAGATACAATGTGAATATTGTGAGTCATGCGATACTTGTTAAAGTGACATAACTAAAATTTGCACACACTTGCATGCTGATATTAACACATGTATGTGTCTAATAAAAAAAAATAAAAACTATTTTATAAAACAGCACGGAACAAAACTTCAAACACATATGTATAAATCGTACGCACACGTACCAGATCATAATACGTTTAGTATTTATTATAATTAAATATTGTTTTTTTTTTTTAATTTATGTTTTAAGAACCTTTTACACTTCCACGCGTTTTTCTGCGGTTGCAAGCAATTGTATATGTGTATATCTTCATATATGTATGAGCACATATGTTCGTATATCTAAATACGCGTGTAGATGGTTTAAGAATGATGCATGTATTTGTAATAATGCGAAAAGATAGACAGTTCCTATCGAAATGATCCGATTAGTTATTACGCCATGCTATCGGGCTGCGAAAATATACCAAATATATTTTAGTATTAGTATTTTCTCATAGGGAAAAATTTATATCGGTAATTTAACTTTTAAGAAATATATTCGATTAGTGAATAAATTTAAAATGGAAATTTAAACAAAACATCTCATCTATACTTGACAGCGCTGATTGGTAAATTTGATATAAAATTATACATATGTGTAAATTTATAAATGTATGTAATATGTCTACCGTTTCCTCCTTTATTAAAATGTTGAACCAGATTGTTCATTAACATTAGAACAGCCGGTTAAATATAGAAATCCTACGTGAAAAATGTGTTTGGCGTACGCACGAGCTGCTCAATTGCGTATTTTACTATATACTTGAGTTATTGATGGTCGACCTCACCAAACTCTTCATTAATAAAACAATTTTAACTGCAATTATAGTTCAACAATTTTATTTAGGATACACAATATTACGAATTAATAAACTCAAGTTTGAATTTATTTCCGAGTTAAAAGTATTAAATATGTTTATTATGTAAAACACAAGAATGACAAATTAATTATACTTTGTGAATAAATATTGCTAGATATTGGAGTTATCGTTATATTAGCAAGCCTAGGTTATAAGAGTGTTCCTTAAATTAAATCATATTTGTTCTTCAAATATCGCAAGTAATTGAAAGAAACAATAAAACCAATGTAAACCTTTGTAACTATGAAGACTAATAAAAATAAAAAGGGATCAGATTGGAAACATTTGTATTATGTATCGCAAATAATACACGAACTTTGTTTGTTGTTGTTGCCAAATAAAAGGAGAAAACACACATACATAAATAAATAAATAAACCAATAACTTGAAAACTAGTTACAAGTACTTCAATCTTCTGATATTTTCTTTAACAAACTGTTCTTCATCTCTGAATCTAGGTGTATAATTTTAGTTTTGCTATTATTTGCTTCTTGCAAAACATTCAAATCGCCGGTCCACGTTGCTGGTCCCTGGCATTTATCCACCAGTGTCTGCAATAGATTATCCTCTGATGATTGGGGATTATTTGCAATATCCGTCATGTTCAACGCCTTAATTAAATTTACTTCTGCTTCAATTACTAAATTCAAATAAACAGAAATACATACAATAAATGTGGAAAGTTAGAAATGGTATTGATTTGCATCCTTTACCTTTTGGTTCTTCAATTATTTCTTGCAAATTTTTAGGAATCGACATGTTAATATTATACTGATAATCCTGCGACTCGCTGTTGATTTCAATTGGGGTAGAAGGAGGTGTTGAGTAAGATTTATCTGAAATAACATATTAATATATATATTCATATTCAATTGAATATTTTTTGTTGTTACCATTATTAGATCGAACTTTGTTTTGACACAAATCATGTTCATTGCTAAGCTGATCAATGTTTAATGTTTCATTTAGGCCATCCGATAGATTGGGCACCAAGCTATGTTCATGTTGCATTCTAGCTGTGGCCAAGCCACGCTCCAGTTGATCGGTGACCAGCTCCAAATTAAACATGCACTGTTCTACAATGTCGTCACGTCTTATTTTGTTTAAAGCCTGAGACATTGCATTACCAGTTGCGCGATTGCCCCCTTGCTTCAGCCATAGACGAAGCATGACTAATCCTTGTTGTGCAACAGGTTCATTGGCGTATTCAGCTTTAACTAGATCGATGTCGGTTTCTGGTACACTCAATTCTTTAGCCAGCTGTGGCCAGTCATCGCCCAGCAGATTCGAGATATCTGATAAGCGTATGTCGGCGCGCTGTATTTCCTCTTCTAAGGAAAGACTTATTGGATTTATAACTGTATTCTCTATCGACTTTCTATTGGCTTTTATTTCGGCATTGATTAAATCTTTGTAGTTGAGGCCATGATCAGTATTCATATTTCCATTACTATTCATACCATTCTTATACAGTTGCTCTTGACTTAACTCTTGCGGTTCAAGTGACACATTCAGCGAACAAATTGGCTGCAATGGCGCCTCACCCGACGCCACTTTCGGCTCGCTCATAAAGGAAAGGCGTGCGTGTGGCTGCTCTTGATCCTTGATATATACTATGAAAGATAAACGATTTTCGCGAAATGCTTGAAACTTTGTATTCAGTTGTTCGCCCGATTTCAGCACCGGCACGAGATTTCCCGCAAATTCAAGATAAATATTTTGATTTTGTAGTACCTCAACATCTCGACTCTTCGCCACTTCGCTGAAATACTCTTGCTGTTCGAGCGTCTTATCCTCTTTATCGTCGGTCATGCAGAAGACAGATAATTTTGCTTCGGTTGCGGATATTTGCTTTGCAAATACTACAAACTTTACCATAAACGGCACCTGTGCCATAAACGTATAAAGTTCAGTTGCCATACGACCAGCGTCCGCAACATTGCGGCAATCCATTAGCCAAAAACGTGCCGATACCGTTGTTGTAAAGCTTACACTATCCTTTACAAATGCCAAAGGCGTCGAACCAGTTACATCCTCCCAAACAGCACGATTTTGCCCACCTGTGATAGAGCATAAAAGTCGTAAAGTCGGCGCATTTACATTTCCATTTGTGCCGTTATATGGTGTATTCACCATGCCTTGATTGCAAGACTTCGGCGCCGGAATACTTAATGTGATGGCCTTATGAAATTTGCGTCGTCGTGGCTCGACGGTAACGACCGGAGATACTGCAACGCCCTGCCCTAGTAGCTTGGAACAACCAATTAAGTCCACTGGCTGTGCTTGAAGACCGACACGAATCTTCTTTGTTAATGCATGAGGAGGAAATATGGATTGTACTTGGGGCACAGCAATAGATGATACAGTGCCACCATCTGGCCCAATTGCGTGCACTTCCTGGCGAACGCGCGATACCACCGCAAAGAAATGTGGGACATTTTGTGTAACAATTCGTATGATACGACTTGTGTGTAGATCTTCCAGTGGATTAACATCAGCTTCCATCGTTTCCTTCAAGGTGTACAGTAAGTTACATTCGTCCTCATATACACTATGCTCTCGCCAACTTTCGCCATTGTCCGACCTTAAAATGATTACCTCACGTTCTTTGTCGCGTAGTGATCCAAAGTGCGGCACTTCCAATACAATAGGGCTTCAAAATATAATATTTTAAATTAAATTTGATAAAAAAAAAAACAAAATGAAACTGTGTCACTTAAATATCAACTTAAAGGTAATAAACGACGTACCTTAGAAATTTTCCCTCGACTGGGGACATTTCCAATATGCGACTAACCAACGCTTCACCCTCCATCAAAGGCGGCGGATTAACTACTCGCTGTGGCTTGACATAGCGGCAAGTTATGCGGGTTGGTTCTGAACACGCCTTGGGTGGCACAATTATTCGAACTCCACTGTGTCGGCAACCGCGCATCGAACCGCCTCGTGCGTCAACAAGGAAGGACACTAGAAATCTATAATACATAAACGAAGCCGTGATGCTTAAATAAATGCTGTGAAAAACCTTCGAAAAATTGCCACATATTACATAAAATTTGACATAAAATTTGCTAAATTGTGAGCTTGAGTCTGTCTTAAATACCGTCTTAAACGACAAGAAAATAAGTATTAATTGATTTTTTAAGTAACAATATGAGAATTGTACGGATATTGTTAGCCAAAAAAATTAAATCGGGAAAAAGATTCTAGTAATATTAATAATAATAATAATAATAGTAATAATAATATATATATATATATATATATATATATATATATATATATATATATATATATATATATATATATATATATATATATATATATATATATATATTTACGAGTGTACATACCCCAGATGAATAGGCGGTCGTAAGATAGCCACATTATCAATCTGCCGTTTCATTGGCGATGCATTGAAAATTGCCTCACTGGTTCTCGTTATTTCTATAAGCATATTTTATTCATTAAGGATGTATATTTAATGAACAAATGAAATCATATTTCTGTAAACACCTCTTTCAATAGCTCGGCCACCTAGACCATCCAATTGATCTTGCTCCGGGTCAGTCGTGTCAAACTTTTGGTTATCATGATCATTGGTGGCCTTTAAATCATCGGTCGCCATATATTTGTATTGATTGTGATCCAAAAGTTCGTCACCTCCTTCGTCTTCAGAATCGGAAAGTAGCGTCTCATGCATAAATTCAGGTGCAACAACTTTGTATTTTTCCTCAAGCACTCCGGTTACCGTTTTAATTACGGATGTTTCTGTTACAGTTTTAAGAGTCTCTACAGCAGTTACGTAGCCCAAGTTATGAGCGATATTTAAAGCTGTTTGACCATTCTGGAAATTAAACGATCGGATAAGATAAGCTATTAATATAGTATGAAAAAACACCAAGAATACATTTTTTTGGTTTTTGTAAAAACTCTTTTTTTTTACAACTATATAGAGAAGTTAACCACTTTAGAACTTATATTAAACTGTTTGGTATTTTCCGAACAACGCCCAAATTGAGATATGAGAGAGCATGACTAATTTCAATATTCAATACTATTATCTTGCGCACGTCATACCTATAGAGCAAGGTAGAGATTGAGAGAGAAAAAGTAATGCATCTATATTTATAGATAAAGAGCACGAATAAGAGATCTCTCATCATACAGACACAGAGAGTATCGGATTTATAGTAAAAGAGTAAGCTACGTATCAAAATGTTTATTTAATCAATTTTAGATTTTCTCTTGAGACTCAGCAATTCCATATTGTGTGTGTGGCATATTTAGACTTTTACTTATTTATATTTATACATATATAAAAAGACAGATGTGTATAAAGTAAATAAAATTAGTCTGTTTAAAAATAGATATAAATGTTTACTTAAAATGCTTAAAAGACAGAGCAAAGAAAAAGAGAAATCATCAAGTTCTATATGTTATCAATAGTTATTGATAATTATTATATTTATTCACTAAGTGAAATTTGTATCTTGGTTTTGTGCAATGTTCGCCTTGTGGTCGTTATGAACGCTAACCATTTTGACACTATTGAAGCTAAAGACTACACTCAGTAGGGGCTTGCCAAGTCGGAATGATATAGTTGAAATTTTGAATATATACTTGAGCTTACAACCCTCGCCCAAAAATATACAGTACATATATTTACCCCCACGAGAGGCTTTGTAAATCGGATCTGACTAAACAGTGTCCAAATTCCAAATCCTGTTATATTTTTAACAATAAATACTTTAGATTTAGAATATATCCTCTGTATATAGCACACGCAAACCAAGTTGTTTCAAATATTTGATAAATATTCCCTATTCAATACTATTGATTAAAACGTAATCGACATATACCTACTGTTATATTAATATTCTACACATATATATTAATTTATATTTCTTGATTTAAAAAACTAGCCAAATCAAAGCTAACGTCGCTGCTGCCACACAATTCAATCATGATTGTGATACTTCCAACTGAAAACACGCACATCTATGTATGTGTTCACAAGTATAAGAAAAAAGCAAATCGGCCAAACGGTTCGTTTAATAACTTTAGTGTTATTTAACAAATTTCAAAAACATTTTCGAAATATGAGCTACATATGCTAAGGTTGCCAGTTTAGAGGTGAGTTTAAAAGATGGGTTCACAATACAAAACTGGGTTCAACATACAAAAGCAAATGGGAAGACCCTAGTTGTGAGTATGCAGCTAAGAGATAGCCATGAACTACAGGTAACTGCGTTTTAATCATAATGCACAATTTGTAACTATACATACATCAATAATTACACATGTATTTAAACACACATACATATTTGTAAATGTATTTGCTCCGTAATATGGGGTCAACGTTAAAAAAACTTTTATAATCAACACTTCAATAATCAACAGTAAACTATTCAAAATTCAATGATTTCGGTTTTCAAAACACACACTAATTTATAAATCTATCTCTGTCGCGCAAGCCAGCTGTCGTGAATATGAAATTTTTAGTGATTCCTAACAGTAGGTGTAAATTCACTTAACTGTCAAATTTCGACTGTAGAACTGCGGAAGATTCAATTTTTTTTTTTAAATCAATGGAGGAGTTAAATACTAGCTCAATTATTTGACATGCCTTGGTGGACACAACGGACGGAAAAGTAGACAGACTTATCAATACAAAAATTGTTTTTTTACTACGTAAATAAGTTTATAAATAGGTAAGAACTGAATATCTTAATCTTAATTTATTGAATATTGGGTGGTATATAGATGAAATAGAACTTACATTTGTTAACGCATCGGGGTTGGCTTTATGTCGAAGAAGTAGATTGATTACCATTGTATGACCCTGCTGTGCGGCCTGATGAAGGGGCGTGTAGCCAACATTTGTTGTCATTTCAATATTCGCATCATTTTCGAGAAGAAATTTAATTTCATTTATTTGGTTGTAGTGAGCAGCAATATGAAGAGCTGTATAGCCAGCTTTAGTGCGCTCTGAAATGTTAGCTCCGTGATTAAGTAAAGTCTGTGAGACTTGCACGTGTCCCTCCTGAGCAGCCAAGTGCAATGGGGTCAACCCGTTTTTGGCTGAAATGTTGGCATTGGCACCATGGTCCAGCAGCAATTGAACCATATCAACGTGTCCCTCCTGCGCAGCCAAATGAACAGATGAAAAACCTGACTTACTTGTTGCATCCACATCAGCTCCGTGCTGCAATAGCTCCTGCGCAATCTCTAGGTTATTCTTTTTAGCAGCGATATGAAGGGCACTGTGTCCATTGCGTGCGCTTATTTGCGCAGAGGCGCCCTTCTCTAGGAGCAGTAACACCACAGGCTGGTTACCATAGTGCGTGGCCACGTGCAAAGGTGTCACATCGTTTTTACCTTGACAATCAATGACGGCACCTTTTTGAATCAACAAATTGGCCACCTTTGCCTTACCATACTTGCTGGCCAGATGCAATGGTCTGAAACCTTTTTTGGTCTCATACTCCAGCTGTGCCCCATTTTCAATTAGAAGCTGGCACACTTCCTCCTGACCCTCCTTCACAGCAATATGCAAAGCAGTATACATATCTTTAGTATAGGCATTCACCAGAGCACCATGCTGCAACATCAGCATTATAATATCAATGTTACCCAGACGAGCTGCGACATGCAGCGGCGTTTGACCCTCACGAGCAATTGCATCCACTTGTGCTCCATTGCGAAGCAATATTCGAATAATGTCAGTCTAATAAAATAAAGATTAAATATCACAAGTATATATGCGAATATGTTACGTTGTCAAACCTGATTTGCACGTGCAGCCAAATGAAGCGGACTTTCGCCGCGTACCGTTGGCATATCGGGGCTTGCATCGTGTTGTAACAAGTAAATAACTATATTCATGCAGCCTAAGAAAATAAATTTCATTTTGCATACACGAATAGAATACAAAGATATGTGTATGTTTAATTACCCATAAAACTGGCTACATGCAACGGCGTTAAACCGGACTCAGTGGTGGCACGAATGTTGGCGCCATGCTTAAGCAGCAATTCGGCAACCTTCATGCGATTTTTCTTGCAGGCAATATGCAAGGGCGTAAAGCCGTTGAGCGCTCGCGAATTTGGATTCGCTCCATAGTCCAGCAATAATTTGGCCACTCGAACATGGCCACAGTGGGCGGCCACATGGAGGGCTGTTAAATAGTCAACGGTCACTTCATCAACGGGCGCCTTGTAATCGAGTAGCAAATGGGCTGCCTCGTCATGTTCCCCTTGCGCTGACATATGAAGGGCAGATAGTCCATTCTTAGTCTTTGACAGTATTGGAGCATGCTGGGAGAGTAAAAGCTGTATCACCTCAACATGTCCGGAGCGTGACGCACAATGCAGTGGTGTAAGTCCATCTCGAGTTGTGGCATCGATTCGGGCTTGGTGCGCAAGTAAAAGTTTACATACCGACGCCTTGCCCCATTTACAGGCAACATGCAACGGCGTTATGTTATGTTTTGCCGTATAATTGACTTCGGCGCCGCATTCGAGCAATAAGCTAGCAATGTCCACATTGCCATAATGGGCAGCAATGTGAAGTGGTGTGAAACCTGACTTGGATACAATATCGGCGTTATTATCATGCTGCAATAGCAGCGTGGCCGCATTAACGTCATTCTTTTTCGCTGCAATATGCAAGGCCGGCAAACGCACTTTACCACGAACATCGCTTTCAAGAAGAGCGGCGACCACTTTGTCGTGACCCTGTTGCATGGCGACGGCCAAGGGCGTGAAACCATCTTCAGTAGCGAGAGATGGACTTGCACCTTTACTTAGCAGTAGACGGCAACAGCTGTCATGATTCTCTTGTGCAGCCATATACAAAGGTGTAAAACCGTTTAGCGACTGCACATTAACATTTGCATTGTATTGAATTAGTTGTTTAATTACTTGCTGCTGGCCAGCCAACGAAGCTATATGCAGGGCGGTATTTCCTTTTTTTGTTGCACTGTCCACCATAATCCCGCGCTTCAGTAGCTCGTTGCATATATCCACAAATCCATCCTTGGCTGCAAGATGCAGCGCATTCAACCCGTTCTACATGCAAGACAAGAAAATTTACATTACATTTGCAATTTTTAGTTAGTTTCAAGCATTTATGAATCACTCTTTAAACCCTCCTGCGGCTCTCATACGGGCAGTTACATTTATTTATCTTTTTATGATTTGTGATTGTAATATTTTTATTGCAATTCATTAAAATTATTAATTAATCTAGCTGGATATTAGTTGACTATTTGATATGTTATAAAATAAAAAAATATGTTAAATTTATCTGGAATCGCCGAATTTTTTCAAACATACGTTGTTCTCTTCCATGCATGCAATAGAACATTTTGAATAATGACATTAGGTATTAACCAACATTAAACACTCTAATTTTGGATCTACTGTCGTTGTTCACCAAACTTTGTTAGCCTTTTAAAATACAATATGAATATTCGTAAGCCTTACCGCATTGCAAGTGTTTATGTTCGTGATAAGGCCACCATCAATGAATTCCAGTACCTTACCCAGATCTCCACTACGTGCAGCCCGCAGAAATGATATTGTTGCATCGCTCTTCATGTAGGGAAAAAATCAATTAAGTAAAACATATTATTTTTGTAAAGATAAGGATAAAGGTAAAAATATTCTCATTTCTAATAGAAAATTTTATCGGGGATTTCCCTGGTATTTCAGCCTACCTTTTAGCATCAATATTTTTCGATATAAAACGTGAAAAGAATATATATAAAATTAGAATGCCAAATTGGTATTTACTGATTTCATAAAACTCTAAATGAGAAAAACATTAGTTTCTAAATTGCTTTACTGTTTGACTTAGTCAAACGTTTTGTCCACATACAAAATAAATATTAATTCAACCGACTAGCTGAGCATAATATAATTTACATTTTAAAATGCCACACATTCATGAGTGTGTTTGAATTCAAAATTATTATTCGCACAATACTGCGATCAATTGGAAAGTGTCTGAGGAATGGGGTGTTTGGTAGCATGATATGTCCAAGCGCGCGTGTCTGTTTGAGTGATCTCATCTCTCAATGGCACTTCAACTATTAGAGCAGCTCAACATTCAATGGTTAATTAAATTCGTGTTCGACAGTTTGAGGGTAAATGGCGACGATTTGTAACCCTTAGAAATTTTTATTTAACTACAAAATACCTGTTTTTGATGTTTTGTCGTAATATTGTTTTTATCAAAGTTCCCATTTTTTATTGGGTGGCCGCTCTGATTTGCTTGTACCTGTGTTCGCTTTATTGCTGTTTCGTGACCCTGGGTATTCGTTTGTATATCGTTTTGCGGCTCGCCTAGTGTCATTGTTTTTAAATTGATTCCTAAAAGCAAGCTATTGACTAATTAGTCGAAGATATATAAAAATGAATATGGGACTATAGAAATTATAAAATTTTTCCATTTTCAAACATACATTTACATACACACGAACACATTAATACATAGAAGCGTGTATGACAAATGTATCGTCTATTTGCATGCAAGGTGTGTATATGAAAGTATGTTTGAAAACATACAAAAATGAATATTCACATATTTCATTAACTTACAGATGTGAATTTAACACTAATTTGTTCATGCAAAGTAATAACTAAATTTTTATATTGCGTATGACGTCATTTCTGCACCTACCTTAATTTTGAGCGAGTGAATTGCAATGCTAATACGAATTATATTCTATCGGTCTGACTAAGCTCGATATTTATTTATTAATCGTAGAATTATTTTTCAGCCGATTAATTTTCAAATCGATAAGTGCGCAGGAAAACATTTAAATATAAAACGGTCACTCTTTTTGATTCAGTTGCTATGTGTGTTAAATTATATGGCCTTATGTTACTAATTTTTTTATGATTTTATTGTAAATAAAAAATAATTTGATAATTTATTTTATAATAGTAATAATAGCTGAAGTATTAATAATTTATTCTATTATATATTTTTTTCTTAAAAAATTAATTTAGTCTATTAATTCGGGTTCGACAAATGAACTAGATGAGCAAAGGTTTTGGATTTAGTTCATACTTATTGAATCGCTCAATTGAACATATTCCATTAAAACCAGTGAATACAACACTCTCGGCAATTGCACGTGTTTATATTATTTTTTTAATTTCCACTCAATATAAAAATGTCTTTTGGACGTCCACGTGGTGGTGGTGGTGGTGGTAGAGGTAGGAACATATGGTTTAATTTTTTTTAAAAATTGTTTTTTATAAATGCTTGTTAATAGGTTTTCGTGGTAGAGGAGGTGCTGGAGGCGGCGGTGGAGGACGCGGTGGTGGATTCAACAGATCTGGAGGTGGAGTATTCGGTAGAGGGGGATCTCGCGGTGGCCGAGGTGCCTTTGATCAGGGACCACCCGAACGTGTTGTTGCATTGGGAAATTTCAATTATACATGCCAGAATGATCTAGTTTGTAAAGTAAATATAGACGATGTACCATATTTCAATGCTCCAATATTCCTTGAAAATAAGGAGCAGATCGGAAAAATTGATGAAATTTTTGGGACCGTTCGTGACTACTCTGTCTCCATTAAATTATCTGATAATATATACGCAAATAGTTTTAAGCCAAATCAAACATTGTTCATTGACCCTGGTAAGCTGCTGCCAATTTCGAGATTTTTGCCAAAGCCGCCACAGGCAAAGGGTCAAAAAAAAAAAGGTGGTCCCAGTGGAGGAGTAGGCGGTGGACGCGGTGGTATGTATAAACCAGATATACGTTTCTCTATAACAATCCAATATTATTATAATAAAGGTAATCGTGGAGGACGTGTCGGTGGAGGATTTAGAGGTGGCTCAAATCGTGGAGGAGGAGGATTTAGTAGAGGACGTGGTGGTGGAGGAGGAGGACGCGGTGGGGGAGGACGTGGGCGTTGGTAATACGAAATAAAATGTATAACAAAATTTAATAAAAAACGGTAAAAGTTTAATGACTTGATAAATCGTAAATTGTTTTAATATTTATTTGTAAATACTGACCATGATACATGCATTATATTTGTTGTTGGTATATATATGTATTCTGTATATATATTTATGTACATTGTATAATATTTTGTGCACATATTTATTGTGTTTGCTTGAAATAAATGGGGTATTTTAATTAGTATGGAAAATTTATAGGCCCTTAAAATTTGTATCATTCGTATTTTCGATATTTTTAGTATTGGTATTGGGTTGCGACGCCTCCTCCATAATTCGAGAACTGTTTTTGTTTCTACCCGAAGATGTGGGAATCGAATTTGGTGTCTTGTGACTAAATAGATTGGTGTCTGACAATAGATTCGATTCTATATTGTTATATATACGATCGCTATAGTTTGAATCGTAACGAAATGAACGGGTGTAAAGTCCATCCTGCCAGAGATCAACATTTTTTTGCCGTTGTGTTTCCGTTTCAGTAGAGATGTGCTACAGAAGAAATGATTATTATTGTATTGCAGCATATATATATATATATATATATATATATATATATATATATATATATATATATATATATATATATATATATATATATATATATATTTACCGATTTCGTATTTCCTTCTGTAAATGCCATGCTATTCCTTATTATGTCTTCCGAGTGATGGTGATAATAATATTGTGACTTTTGTGTCTGGGAGTATCTGCGGGTGGTGCTGCTTACCTCGCCATAGTGCAGGCCAATATTACTGTTTGTGGGACTAATGTATTTATTGCCATTATTACTCCCGAATATATCATCCACAAAGCTAAACGTGTTAAATTCGCTGGGGTAAATGTAAAAAGTGGTTATCAATGTCGCATACACAAACAAGTGAAACAGAATGCATGTCCAAATAAGATTTATCTGCCAATATGGAATAAATAAGAAAATCATTATTGTATTAATTAAATTATAAATCGTAATCAAATAATAAGCAGTATTTACCTTTTTCCTGCGTCCATACTTGGTGAAGGAAGTAAATGGTACCAACGAAATTGTTAGAAATGTACCACATGCAACCCCGGCAAGCAGACCAGCAAAGTTCAGTTGGTAAGGTAGTGTACCAATTCCGAAAAGAACTGTAGTCAATAGCAATATCTTAAATAAAGCTATGTATGGCTTGTGCAAATGCTTCCAGTGCATCCATATTAGTAATGCAACCAGCGAGGATAGTACCCCACAGAGAGACGCTGCGGGTCCTACCTGCCAATATATTGAATTGGAACCAAGTTGACGATTATATATATGTATATCATGCGTTTTGTAGGCGTACCCTGTACCCTGAATCCGTTATAGTAATTAACAGTGAAAGGAGGTTTTGGAAAATTCACAATAGTTAATTTATCTAATCAGTAAGCAGATTATGAATATTTTGAATTTTAGATGCTTGCCCTCATTGTTGCCAAAATTAAAAAACCCAATGAATAAATAAACAAGTAAGAAAGATCTAGTCGGGTTGCTCGACTAGGAGATACCCCGTAGTTTATATCGAGTATTCAAAAAAAAGAAAACAAATAAAAACTAACATTACGACACTAAGATTCGAACCCAAATTGTTTGCGCAACATGCATCAACTCTACCAATACCGCCACCTCATAATTAAACAAGTAGGAAAGCTCTAGTCGGGGTGCCCGACTAGGAGATACCCTGATCCCAGTCCTCTGAGTTTTTTTTAAATTTTCCGTAGTTTGTATCGAGTATTCAAAAAAAAAAAGAAAACAAATAAAAATCGACATTGCGAGACCAGGTTTCGAACCCGGATTATTTGCGCAACGTGCACAAACTCTACCAACACCGCCACTTCATAACCAAAAAAAAAAAAAAAAACCATAAAAAACGATTCATCTCTACTGGTCTCGAACCCCGGATCAAGCTGCATACGAGCGACGCCTCTACCAACGCAGCCGCCGCCCTTCTTACAAATTGCAAATTTGCACATAAATAGCAGCTAATAATTCAGCACAATTCAATCGCAATTTCAATTCTTGGAATAGAAAAGAATACACGCATTTGAATGTATGTGTGCACACGCATAGCAAAAATGCGTGCGCGTGGCGCTGCTGACGTGTGCTTTTGCAAATTGGCCAAACGTTTTGTGTGGATTTTCATGAAATTTTCAGCATATGCTCTACATATCCTATTGGCTTGGTTGAAATGCAAACGCCTTCACATAATGGCCCTAGTTCCAACTAAACTTAAATTTTAAGAATTTGGGGAAATTTTGAGCCAGTATCCAAAATCCAACAATAATCAAAATTGCATAAAATATACATAAGACTAAATACAAAATTTGGAGGCTCTAGCTCTTAAGACGTTCGAGATATAATTTATTTACTGCATTTCAATAATGTTTTTATTCGATAACAATTACATGTGAATAGTTATCGAATATTTGAAATAAACTTGACCTGCGCGTGCTATACACGGACCTACAAAAAAAATTTCAAGTCTCTAGCTCTTATAGATGCTGAGATCCACGCGTTCACACATACGGACAGACGGACATGGCTCAATAGACTCGGCTTGTCGTCCTGATCAAGAATATATATACTTTATGGGGTCTGCCACGCCTCCTTCTGCCTGTTACATACATTTGCACAAAACCATTATACCCTGATTTCCCATTTTTAATGGGATCAGGGTATAAAAATTAAAAAACATTAAAAACTCTCCTCGTCGCAAATCTCGAACCCAGAGGTTATTGCTTACGAGCGTCGCCTCTACCAACACCGCCCCTGCACTGCTTACTCATACATATTCTATTGGCTTGGTAGAGATGCAAACGCCTTCACATAATGGCCTTTAAATACTGAACTTAAATTTTTAGAATTAGCGTAAATTTGGAGCCGGTATAAAAATCCAACAAAAATCAAAATTGCATAAAATATACATAAAACGAAATACAAAATTTGGAGGCTCTAGCTCTTAAGACGTATTAGATATAATTTATTAACTGCATTTCAATCAGGTTTTTATTCGATAACAATTAAATGCGAATAGTTGCAAGCACCCACAAGAATAAAAAATTTTCAAGTCTCTAGCTCTTATAGATGCTGAGATCAACGCGTTCACAAATACGGACAGACGGACGGAAAGACAGATGGACAGGGCTTAATCGACTCGGCTTGTCGTCCTGATCCTGATCAAGAACCATTATACTCTGATTTCCCATTTTCAGGGTATAAATATAAGGAATGTTACAATCGTTACATGGTCCGAAAACCGATGATTTTTTTTTTCGAAAGTTTCAAGAGGGATTCTATATTAACGATGTCTAATTCTGGAAGAGATCAACAGTAACTCTATTATCAAGCTCTGAAGATTCGAGCTCTTAAACTATTCCAAATTTTTAGTCGTTTATTCGTTAAAAAGTACTTAAAAAGTGAAAGTTGACTTTAGTATATGCATAAATTTGGATCTTATAATTTAGCGTTTAATGATGAGTCGTAAATCAAAGTAATTATTTCTATCTATCTAGAATCAAAGTAATCACTTATCTGTTATGTGAAGGAGTACCTTGGTTTTGAGGAATTTATATATAGTGTTTTATACAAATGATGTTACATTTTGTATACTATTGAGGTTAGTTACAATCCTCCAAAGTTTTGGAGTTGAATTTTTAAAATTCTATTATTAGTTTACTATTGACGTTATCTTTTTGCGCCCCTTTGGGGCGTGACATATTGAAAAATTTGATAGTAGCATTTTTATAGTCCTTTTAATGATTTTCTTTATTATTAGTTATTAATGACTTTCTCTCTTAATCAACTACAAATTATTTATATATATATACCTGCCTTCAACGTTCTTACTTGTTCTTTTTTGTATCAAAACCAGTTTAGAAGTATAGCTGCAAATAGACAGTTATTCTCCCCCTGTTTCGATCTCTCTCTCTCTCTCTTTGTATTTGTATATGTTTTTTTCTATTTCTTTCTTTTTATCTACAGTTTAACAGTGGTTGTTGATGATATTTGGTTATGTATTCTTGATTAAGACGACTAGCTAAGTCGATCTACTATGTCTGTCTGTCCGATCCTTGGATGTAATCAATTAGTCTATAGTTTTGTTAAAATATTCATAAGTATATATTGGAACATACCTCAGGTCTATGCGGTACTAGAACTGCGCTGGTTAGATTTCCAGCCAAGCCAGACATTATGTAAACAACAGCTGTCCGCAAAGTCCCAATCAATCTCTCCAAGTCAGCAAGAAATAAATACTGAAATATAAGCGTAATTGCTAAGTGCAAAATACCAGCATGCATGCAAAGCGATGTCAGAAGTCTATATATTTGATCTGGTATTTCCACGGCGATAAATGGAAACATGCCACAAACGTTATTTAGGCACGATATCTGAAAACAATTTACAAAGCACTTTAGAGATATGTCGGAGTTTGTGAGATATACACTCCTCAGCATAAGGTCAGCACTATTGGATTGGGAATCTAATTGTATAAATCAGCAATGTAATTAAATCGTGAACTAAGCTTACTGGATGCCTTTAATTAACTTTATTTTTGTATTATATTGTTTTCTGACCATTTCAAGATATTTCCGAAGAAATTTACGTGGGGGCAGTATGAGGGCTATTGAAGGATCTCGACGTTTTGTGTCTTAATCCATTTCACGAATCATTTCATCAATCTAGCAGTAGTGATCGGGGCATTGTTGTGCTGGAAATTACAGTTTTTAATACGTCATTACAGGTCCTCAAAGGTAACAACTGCAATTTACAGATGCCATTATAAGAGATATAAGAGATAGTCCAGAATTGAAGTAAACTTTAATCATTGATATTTCCCTTAGAAAGCAGATCAATTTTTTAGTCTACCAAATTGAGCGAAATATTCATAATTGAATTTGCGGTGCGCTATCGTAATGATGCAAAATATGCAGTTTTTATCGGGCTTAATTTTTTTGTAGAGAGTTCACATATTAGGATACCAAAACCAAAAAAAAAATTGAATTTTTGTGCAAAAGGAAAATAAAAATTGGGAAAAGCAAATGGTAAAAAGGAGGCGCTAACCTAATGTCGAAAAGTGTATATATTATAAATTATAATTGTATTATATGCTTGGTATAAGAGTTATCATATCATTGTTTTCATAGTTACTTGTGAACAGAGAGAAGCTTCTTCATGAAAATATCCGTTAACAAAATCACAATATTCTCGTGTAGTTATCCTACATTCACCATAGACTCCGGTACAGCAGGGATGTCCGATCACTTCACAGATCATGTGCTCCGCCGTGTGATCCTTATAGCGATAGCGCTGAGAAAATGAATTAGTTTTCCGGCAGATTGGCCATTTGGTTATGTCATCGGGCCATTCATATGGAGCAATCGACGCGGGTGCATCGCAGAATTTTGGATCAAGGCCACACACCGAACCCGATATCCTTCCTCCTGGGCCTGATTCGCCAGGTGACCATTTTTTCCATGTCGATATAGATTTCTAGTTGTACGAAAGCAAAATGTAATAAATAAATATACAAAAATGGTTAATGATGTCAAGCTTACTGTTGGATAAAGACCCCGTATAGAGCAGTCCGCCTGTGAGCTCTGCACGCAGCCGGAATCATCATTCCGTATACAACAAGCCGTTTCACGCTCCTGCCTCCGGGTCTTTGTTACCACCTCCATGACCTTGACATCTCGCCGCATACAGGCCGCAAATTTGGCGCCCATGTGGACGAGATCATTGTTACGAGGACCTATCCAAAGATTTCGCTGTTCGATGTGCTGCACGGTCTGTAGGCTTAAGCTAGTGACGAGTACCTGTCCGGTTTTTTGTTCGGTGCCAAAGCCGATCGGTGCGATGCCATAACAAACAATCGATAGAAAGAGCACAACAATATGCACCGTATTTATCCAGTATGTAAAGAAGGGTCGATGATCGCAACGATCATCTAAATCATTGATCGAAAAGTATTTGATGTGTTGCCTCTGCGGGCGCCGCGAGTTCTCTAAAACTCCATCAAGTAGTTGGGCAGTGATTCGATTCCCACGATTTGTTGCTGATGGTGATGTTAAATTGGCACGCAACACAGATGGAACATGATTGCTGCTGATGTTCCTGGCGCCGAGAGACATGTGGTTCCCCTGTGGATCGGGTATTAAATGAAGATCATTTACATTTCCATTACCATTCAGAGCCGAGGTGCGCCAACCGTTATGATGTCGCTCTGCCATATAAACACCAACACTGCCCTCGACACCAACTCCAACGCCGACCCCACCCTGTTTGTTGACTTGTATTAGATCAGTGTTCTCCTCGTTAACTGGAGACTTTGCATTCTCACACGGATTATCGAAGAATACCTCTTCCTCGAGCAATGCAGCTAAGCTATCGGCAATGCCAATGTTGCAATCTCCGACCGTATCCATGTCCAGTTCTCTGTCATGCACATGGATTGGAGCAAAACTGCGTGACCATTGACGGTGACGTCGCAGGTTAATGTTGATGTCATGTCCAACATTTTTAGATGGTAAGTGGAATACGTTTATTAGATAACTAACACCCGTCATCAACATGTGTGCCACTGAAGCTTTACGCTCCACAAATTCATTGGAATTAAAATCCTTGCTTGCATAACATTTTCGCCATCTGCATGGACCAACCGATAAATCCACATGCTGCGAATCTTGAACTGGCAATATGTCGGGACGATCGCTTGCACAGTAGCTGTTAGTACTATTGCTATTGACATTTGCTTCAATTGTGGGTCCATCAGGTCCATTGTCCATATTATATTCGAGCTCGGTATTGCTGTTCAATGGCCCAAAGCGTCTAATTGCTAGACGTCGATGGCGTCCATACCAGAGCGCAAAGTCAGCTGCTTCGGTACTGGCTTCCACACCAAAGAAACGCGAAATTTCTCGTCTTAAATAAATTATTATACGTTTCTTGCACGAATGCCGATGAATTAACTGCTGTAGCTGTTGTTGTTGCTGTTGTTGTTGTATGGGGACCGATTGCTGCTGTGAATGCTGCAACTGCTGCAAATGATGAGCAGTAGCAATTTGAGAAGCCGGGTAAGTTTCCTGCGGCTGCTGCATTTGACGCTGAAAGTTTTCGCTGATCTTCAACTGTTGCTGGGAATGCGGCGTGGCATATATATCGGAAGAATTTGCCTCTAACGCAATGGCATTGCCCTGCGTGGCCAATAACATTTCGTGTTCATGCTGTTTTAGCTTACCCAGATCCAATGGCACGGGAAGTCCCACCGGTACGGGGCTAATTGGGCCAGTTGTTTGGGTTGTCTGATGCACACCCGTTGTGCGGCGCGCTGTATTGCAATGTAAACAGGTGCCGGCAGTATCTTGTTCCTGACTCTGACTTAAGCCTTGGCGCTGGGAATCGTTCTGAGCTATGACCGACTGTAAGGCTAAAACGCCTTCGCTCTCATCCGAATTGCTGCGGATCGTAGAACGTGAATCGGTTGCTGTGGATCGAAATTTGCTGCATGTTCCAACACTCTTTGTATTAGAGCCAACAATCGGTGAGCAGGTGTTCGCTGTAGCTGCCGGTATTGGAAACGATGTGGATGAGACTGGCGATGAAGACGGGCATGGACAGCTCGTCGCCGATAATGATGATCCCAACGCCATATTGTAGATCTGAGCGCTTTTCGAGTAACTGGCTTGGGTCTGACTAGTTTCATTTTGATGGTATTCACTGTGACAGCACTTGGCTCGATAACTATATGGTAAGTTCACATACTGTGATGGCAACGATGGCAAGGGTGGCGTTGCTGCCAAGTCTGAGTATACATCACTAGCTGGAGGTGGAGTTGGTACATAACGTTTCACTGGCGTATGTACAGTTGATCCTAAATAGCCACCATATGCATCGCATTGCATTACTTGCTTTGGTGTTATAAAATAGCGCCCACATGATGAAGCCGTAGCCGAGGCAGAAGTCGAAGTGGAAACCGAAGCTGGAGGTGGAGCCGGAGTTTGAATTGGAGTTGAAGACGCTGCAGTTGCAACCGTTGATAAATTTATTGTTTCCATTAATTTCAATTTTTGTGATGAATCTCGAAAGCGATATTTTGAATTGGGGGACATGGCACGTGGAGTAGTTGAATGCTGCTGAATGCCATATTTGTCGACCTGCTTATGATGTATATTCGCTGAATTGTCTGGCTGCATGCTTATTATGGAATTATTTGTACAAAGTGATGAAGTGGAGTTCGATAATGAAAGCGGATAGCATTGCGAGGCGTGATGGGAGTGGTGTTGGAAATGATTTAGATTTAGCTGTTGCATTGGATTGGCTGCATTGCTGTTGCAATGACCGATTTTGCTATGGAAACTCGATTGACTTTGACTGTGACTTGTCGGCATGCAATCGCTATGCGGAGCCGGTGATGGTGGCGGCAAACTGCCATTGATTAGCGTATCATCAAATTTGGTCAATGGTATAGTAAGTTTACTAGACTGTGCCAAGCATATCTCATTCGGATGCGGACTGAATCGACCGGCTGTTGCTATTATTGACTCATCTCCATTCGATTTGAGCGTTAGCTGTGCCTGATAGTTCACCGATTTTCTACGTCCTACAGCGGCACAATTATTACCAACGGTCATGGTTCCCATTCCAGTTCCGGGAACTGCTCCGCTAGCCGCCCCCAATCCAGTGAAATCATTGCGTCGCTGATTGTGGTGCATTTTTAATGATATGACTGTGTTACTTTAAGAACTGTTACTTTTAAGAACTTTATCTGAAAAATTATTGAGTGTATACGGGCTTATTATTAATTACATATTATATACCTATATTTCATTATTATATTTATATTATCTTTTATTACTGATGACAAGAGTATAGACATACAAATATACATATACATATAATTATATATATATAATAAATGATTATATAATCTTTTCCAAATTTTTATTTTTGCTTAGCATTTGCAATCAACGAATTTGGCAAACTAACTGATATTATTAGTGTTAGTGTTTGCAAAAAAAATATATATATCTATATCTATTTATATATATATATATATATATATATATATATATATATATATATATATATATATATATATATATATATATATATATATATATATATATATATATATATATATATATATATATATTTATGTGTATATTATAAAGGAAATTCTAGTAGTGTATACACATTCGTTAAACATTGAAAAATTAAAGCTTATCATATATTTTTCTTGCTTTAAACAGTTTTTGGCACTCGATGCTTTCGTTAATATATATATATATATTTATATATATATATATATATATATATATAAAATATATTCACATTTACCGTTACAGTTAAGAACTTTTATCTTATCGATTTTCCACCAAAGAACTTAGTGCATACTTTTTGGCGCAACTCATAATTGTGGATTGCGTTCACAGGACTGTATTGATGACATTTATTTTATGCTTGTTCTCGTTGCATTTTCGGTATTTTTTAGATTTTTTCATATACCTATTATTTTTGTTAAATTGTAAAATGTTTTCACCAAATAATGAGGAAAATCTTTCCAATACATATGTATTTTCATTAAGGCATATGAAAATTTACAAGCATATATGTATATATATGTTTAGATGTATATTATAATTTACTTGCATCGCTTGCCATTCACATTGTCATTCACGTTGCGATGTTGCTCACAATGTACATGCGCGTGTCAACGTTTGTGACGTCATTACAGTTCAATTTAATTTGTTGTGTTTCATTGTTATATACGGAAAACCTTTTATGGACATAATAGGACAACAGAATCGGTTATTCACAGATCACTTAGTCAGCTCATACTTTTAAAGAAAACTTCTTCTGAATAGTGCAACTTACTACAACTCATATAGTTATACACATGTTCGTACATTCATATTTATTTTAGTAGTGGCGAGTCGAATTCAAGCTGAAGGAGGACGTGGAATGCGAATCGGAACCAAAAAATATCGGAACCAAATAAATAAATAAAAAGAACTTAAATATTGTTAAGTAATGCTAATGTTAAAGTATATTAGTTTGACTTAAATATATTTGTGGGTACTCTGAAAACATACAGTAGTAATATTTTTTTGAGTCGAGCCATTTGGAATGTATACATATGCGCTTGGTGACGGCAGTGTTCGCACACTCTCTGTACATAGATCTTTTTCTATGAAATATGATCTTCAATGCCACTTAAATAACGTAAACTGTGGTATTTTTTGTACCCTTCTTAAGAATTAAAATTAAGTGGCAGCAGAAAATAAAATTTTTTTATATTTAATTACTCCATAGATTGAATAGGTAACTGAAATAAAAAAATGTATATATAATATAATTTTATTATGACAACATTAATATAATACTATATTAATACATAAAAATATTAACGACAGAACAAGATTCTAGTAACAGAAACTGTTGAATTGAAACAAGTAAGTCCTCTTTAATATATTTATATGAACATTAAATTGGTTTTGTCTACACTTCAATAATTAATGAAACCATTTACGATTGCGTATTCAATGTGTAAGAGATATGGTTTATTGAAAGATAAATCTTCAAAAAATATTAGTAAGATCAATTTTCCATATTTACTATAATGGAACTAGGCTTGTAAGTAATCAGTATCACTGAGTATCCTTTGTCCTATTATTGCAGCGGGGGTTATAAGAACGATAATCTGCACTACAATGGCCCGCGCCATGTAGTCAATGTGATGGTTGCATTACGTATGTGAAGCTTAGCAGATCGAAGAATATTCTATCCAACTTCTGGACATATAAATCTTGCTTTCTTCTTCATGCTTACTTTTCAATATAGGTATCTACATACGAACATATATATTGGCGAACATATATGGCAAATGCTTATAATTAGCGAAAACGTTTTACTTGAATTACAAAGTGTGAAGTGTATAGTCTAAGAGTATAGTGTAGTTTATAGCAGTAGTTATATTCTGGGCAATCGATAAAAATCAAAAGCATGTTAAATGCGCGAGTTACCATCTCAGTCCTTGGTGTTGCATAAGCAGTTCTCTAAATCGTGTTGGCGACACTTGCTGACCAATACTATGTTGCGAATCTGCAACATCAGCTTTGGGCAGGATGTCGCGACACAGAAACATAATCATACGATACAGTTAGCTTGGTTTAGGGCTAGATATATATACTTCTGTTGAATAAAATGACAGTGAGTCTAGTTTGAGATCAAGAAACATTGGTCATTGGTTATTGGTCTACTAATTCTCTACTGGAGTCCATTCTAGTTGTGAATGCGTATATAAAAGAGACTGTGTCGTTCGTGGCCAACATGACATGAATGTTGGGACAGACTTGTTGTATTCAAGCTTGTCGGTCGACCCAATTTTTCAGTGCGACTTATTGGGACGACATACGACTCGTTGCACAGACATGTCTAAACATTACGAAACATTACTAAAGACGAAAGAGCGCTATAACGGTATTCATACAAGCGGTAAAGTTAAAAAACTTATCCCAAACACTAGAAGTAGAGCTAGAATTAGCAGTAGCCTAACGGAAAACCGTACAGTAGCAAGAACCGAAGACGTTACATCAATGACATTCTAGATAGGATCGGTAGAGCAAAATACTTTACAGCTCTGGATCTAGCCAGCGGATATCACCAATTAGAATTGCACCCAAAAGATATAGATAAAACAGCTTTCTCCACCGTCGACGGTCATTTCGAGTTCGTTAGAATGCCTTTTGGCCTTACTAACGCTCCTCCTACATTCCAAAGAGTTATGGACAACATTTTAACAGATTTAAATGGCAAATGTTGCCTAATATATCTAGATGATATAAGCGTTTTCTCATTCTTCACTTCAAGAACACATGTTACATTTACATACAGTGTTCACTAGACTTAACGCAAAGCTCCAACCTAATAAATAAGATTTCCTAAGAAAAGAAATTGAATATTTGGGGCATATTATAACCAAACCCCAAAAAGATTGAAACCATAAAATCATTTCCAATTCCAAACACCAGAAAGCAAATTAAATATTTCCTAGGACTTTTAGGGTATTATCGTAAATTCATAAGGGACTTTGCAAATATTACAAAGCCTTTAACCCAACAGCTAAAAGGAAAGAGTGCAGTAAAAATAAAGTGTGCAGTGTGCAGTGCAGTAAAAATAAAAATAAGACACTGTAATGACCCGCTACTACAATACCCCAACTTTGACAAACCATTCACCCTTACAACCGATGCGAGTAATGTGACAATTAGTCCCGTGTTATCACAAGGTTAATATAACAACGAAAGACCGATTGCGTTCGCTAGTCGAACCCTTACTGATATAGAGTTAAACTACTCCACTGTTGAGAAAGAGATGTTAGCGATTATTTGGGCAACGAAACACTTCCGACCCTATTTATTCGGTCAAAAGTTCAAAATCGTTACAGATCATGATAAGTTTTAAGGAACCAAACTCAAGATTAGTTCGTTGGAAACTCCAACTACTAGAGTACGGTTATGAGATTTCTTATAAAAAAGGATCTGAAAACGTTGTGGCGGATGCCACAAAATAATAAGATGTACAAACCTATTAGAAGATATAACGGAAATAACTAAACTTGAAGTAGAAATTCAAAAATATCACAAAGATAGTAACCACAGAGGGATCGATGAAATTTTAGCTCACCTAAAAATAAAAATCTACTCACCACAATTGAAAACATTAATTTCTAAAGTTATCAATGACTGCGATATATGCTAAACTTTGAAATACGACAGACAGCCGCAAAAGCTCATATACCAAGAAACAGAAATTCCTTCAGAATTCCCATGCAAATTCTCCATATAGACCACTATACCATAAACACTAAGTCCATTTTGACTATTGTCGACAAATTTTCCAAATTTGCCTCAGGCTTTACAATCCCAGCTCGGGATAGTCTCAATATAGTCAGATCCATGAAAAATTTTATGGGACTTTTTGGAATCCCACAAAAAGTAGTTTGCGACCAAGGCCAGGAGTTTGCCGGAAAAATTTTCAAAGATTTCTGTGACCAATACAATATTCAACTATACAACCTCTTTTCAACAATCCTCGAGCAATTCCACAGTAGAGGGGCTACATTCAACACTGACTGAAATGTACCGAATCATCGTAAATAAAAAGAAAGAAGAACAAATAACTTGCGATCATGACGAGACCCTGACTGAATCTTTTATTACATACAACAACGCTATACACTCAGGGACTAAATATACTACATATGAGGTGTTCCAAGGCAAAACCCATTTATTTAGCAGAGAAACCAGGAAGAACCAAAAGATCTAAAGTAAAGAAAAAACTAAGAAAAAATACATTAACTATACAACATCTTACAGACTACCGCATAAATATTCAACATTTAACGGATAATGTTAAGGTGGCACAAAAAAATCTTGGAAACGCAAAAATTTTAATTTCACATAAATATTTAATTAATTAAAAATAAATTAACCTACAAGATTAAATTGATAATGTAAACAAATTCGAAATAGCGTTAAATGATCTTAAAAATTTGCAGGCGAAATTATTAATTCAGTCAAGACAAAATTAACACAAGTAAAATATAAAACAAGTAAGAAACGTCTAGTCGGGGTGCCCGGCTAGGAGATACCCTGATCCCAGTCCTCTGAGTTTTTTAAAATTTTCCGTAGTTTGTATCGAGTATTCAAAAAAAAAGAAAACAAATAAAAATCGACATTGCGAGACCAGGTTTCGAACCCGGCTTATTTGCGCAACGTGCACACCAACACCAACACCGCCACTTCATAATTTAAAAAAAAAATAAAACGATAAAAAATGTTTCATCTCTACTGGTCTCGAACCCCGGATCAAGCTGCATACAAGCGACGCTTCTACCAACGCAGCCACTGCCCTTCTAAAAAATCGCAAATTTGAACATAAGTAGCACCTAATAATTCAGCACAATTCAATCGCAATTTCAATTCTTGGAATAGAAAAGAATACACGCATTTGAATGTATGTGTGCACACGCATAGCAAAAATGCGTGTGCGTGGCGCTGCTGACGTGTGCTTTTGCAAATTGGCCAAACGTTTTGTGTGGATTTTCATGAAATTTTCAGCATATGCTCTACATATCCTATTGGCTTGGTTGAAATGCAAACGCCTTCACATAATGGCCCTAGTTCCAACTAAACTTAAATTTTAAGAATTTGGGGAAATTTTGAGCCAGTATCCAAAATCCAACAAAAATCAAAATTGCATAAAATATACATAAATATACTAAATACAAAATTTGGAGGCTCTACCTCTTAAGACGTTCGAGATATAATTTATTTACTGCATTTCAATAATGTTTTTATTCGATAACAATTAAATGCGAATAGTTATCGAATAATTGAAACGAACTGGACCTGCGCGTACTATACACGGACTTACAAAAAAAAATGTCAAGTCTCTAGCTTTTATAGATGCTGAGATCCACGCGTTCACACATAAGGACAGACGGACAGACGGACAAGGCTCAATCGACTTGTCGTCCTAATCAAGAATATATATACTTTATGGGGTCTGCCACGTCTCCTTCTGCCTGTTGCATACATTTGCACAAAACCATTATACTCTGATTTCCCATTTTTAATGGGATCAGGGTATAAAAACTGTAACCTTTAAAATTAACATACCAATATTTGATAAAAACAATTATGTGTTATTGCACATTATTCCTCTACCTATTAATAAGACAAAAATATTAATGTTACCAAAATATGTAATACATAACCAAGTAGGCCTAATCAAACAAATAACAAACAAATGTCCCAAAGTCCATCAAACGTATATCTTAACACAACTCCAACAATCGACCCACAATGCCTTAAGGGCATTCTAAATGAAGAAATGACAACATGCGACATTAGAGATATCGGCAACGAATAAATTATCCGCTATAATTGGCATCTGCTGGACCTGTAGAACCAACAAAATTTTGTTCACCCCGATGGAAACACATTCAGTCGGACTTACAACTGTAGCATCGTTATGGCCGTCGCTCCATACTAGGGGGGAGGAGTTACCATCTCAGTCTCCTTTGAGATGCCGCCTCGCCTTGGTGCTGCATAAACAGTTCTCTAAATCGTGTGAGCTAAACTTGACCGATACTATGTCGCGAAACTGCAACATCAGCTTTGGGCAGGATGTCGCGACACAGAAACATAATCATACGATACAGCTAGCTTGGTTTAGGGCTAGTTATATATATTTCTGTTGACTAAAATGACAGTGAGTCTAGTTTGAGATCAAGAAACAAGCA